GCAACTAATTTTCCGTTCTCTTTTTTTTATCTGAGGATTCATTATGAGCCTTTAAGGATCCTTTTTCTTTGTTATATTACCTCTCTGCTACTTGATGTGTGCTTGGTCTCGTTGTTCCATGTCTAAGTAAATAGCATGTCCTGTAACTTTCAGGATGAATCTGTTTTGATATGGTTCTCGGGGAAGGAGGAGAAACATTTGAAGCTGAGTCATGTTTCTAGGATCATATCTGGGCAGCGCACTGTAAGTTTTGACATCCGTGGATGATGTCATTTAATTCTCCTTTAAGGTGGCAATGAAATGTTTAGAATAAGTTCGTGAGACTAGTACTATCCCATTTTCGTTGTATTTATTTGGTTGGATCTCTATTTCTGCCTAGCAGGAATATCTTCTTCTGGTTTTGTATGGGTTCTCCTGTCACGGTTTTGATGAGGGTTGTCCCCCTAATGTGATCTGAGTTGTCGTTTATGATTGTCCCAAGTGCTGCATATCATGCACAAGGCACTTTTCATAGAGTCTTTACTTCACGTAAACTTAAATGAAGATTGGTTTTTTGCTATGTTTGATTAGATTCACCATTTTACTTTTAGCGAGGCAAGTTAGTCTTGATTTGACTTTGCGTGAGCCAATTTCCTTGGTCGTAGGTTACGTATTTGGACCTTGCACATCTAGTGTGATCTTCTGATAAGTCTTGCAATGGTGTTTCTGTTGCAGCCTATTTTTCAAAGATATCCACGTCCCGAGAAGGAATATCAATCGTTTTCGCTAATATACAATGAGAGGTCACTGGATGTGGTGAGATTTTCCTGTTCTTTTTAGGTTCCTCTATGAAATCACTATCCTATCACTAAAATGTCTGTTATTATTGAAAGTTCATTAATTAGTTGTTAGAATTCTGTTTCATAGATATGCAAGGATAAAGATGAGGCTGAAGTGTGGTTTAGTGGCTTAAAAGCCTTGATCTCTCGCTGTCATCAACGTAGATGGAGGACTGAATCAAGAAGTGATGGGACGCCATCCGAAGCTAATAGTCCTAGGACATATACCCGGAGAAGCTCTCCTTTGCATTCTCCATTTAGCAGTAACGAAAGTTTCCAGAAGGTACTAGAATGAAAGATTCCACCTCAATTTGTGCATGTCGTAACTATGGAAATTTTACTGGTTTATTTCAGGATGGCTCTAATCACCATCGTCTTCACAGTCCATATAACAGCCCGCCTAAGAATGGGATTGACAAGGCATTTTCAGACATGTCATTATACGCAGTTCCTCCAAAAGGATTTTTTCCCTCAGATTCGGCAACTATTTCAATTCACTCTTTGTCATCTGGAGGCTCTGATACCGTACATGGTCACATGAAAGGTATGGGTATGGATGCTTTTAGGGTTAGTCTATCAAGTGCTATCAGTTCTTCGAGCCACGGTTCTGGTCACGATGATGGAGACGCGTTGGGAGACGTTTACGTTTGGGGAGAAGGAATAGGCGAAGGTGTTTTGGGTGGTGGAAACCATAGAGTTGGAAGTTCGTTAGAGATCAAAATGGACTCCTTATTGCCAAAAGCTTTAGAATCTTCTATAGTGCTTGATGTCCAGAATATTGCTTGTGGCGGACAGCATGCTGTTCTTGTGACAAAACAGGGAGAAAGTTTTTCTTGGGGAGAGGAATCTGAAGGTAGGCTTGGCCATGGTGTAGATTCCAATGTTCAACATCCAAAACTCATTGATGCACTCAACACCACTAATATTGAGCTTGTAGCATGTGGCGAATACCATAGTTGTGCAGTTTCTCTATCGGGGGATTTGTATACCTGGGGTAAAGGAGACTTTGGTATTCTGGGACATGGAAATGAAGTCAGTCACTGGGTCCCAAAAAGAGTAAATTTCCAGATGGAAGGGATACATGTATCATCCATCGCTTGTGGACCTTACCACACAGCTGTTGTGACTTCCGCTGGGCAATTGTTTACTTTTGGTGATGGGACCTTTGGTGTTTTGGGACATGGAGACAGAAAAAGTGTCTTCATACCTAGAGAGGTAGACTCCTTGAAAGGTCTTCGCACTGTCCGCGCAGCCTGTGGTGTATGGCACACAGCGGCAGTTGTAGAAGTCATGGTTGGGAGCTCGAGCTCTAGTAACTGCTCCTCGGGAAAGCTCTTTACATGGGGTGACGGTGACAAGAACCGCCTTGGCCACGGTGACAAAGAACCAAAACTTGTGCCTACCTGTGTTGCAGCTCTTGTAGAGCCCAATTTTTGCCAAGTTGCTTGTGGTCATAGCATAACAGTTGCACTTACAACATCTGGCCATGTCTATACTATGGGCAGTCCTGTTTATGGTCAGCTTGGAAGCCCGCATGCAGATGGAAAGGTTCCAGCCCGTGTTGAAGGTAAACTTCATAAGAGTTTTGTCGAAGAGATTGCTTGCGGTGCTTATCATGTTGCAGTTTTAACTTCAAGGACTGAGGTTTACACTTGGGGAAAAGGATCAAATGGTAGACTAGGCCATGGAGATGCAGATGACAGAAACTCCCCGACGTTGGTGGAGTCGCTGAAGGATAAACAGGTGAAAAGTATTGCATGTGGCTCTAACTTCACCGCAGCTGTATGCCTTCACAAGTGGGCATCAGGGATGGACCAGTCCATGTGTTCAGGTTGCCGTCAGCCTTTTAATTTCAAGAGAAAGCGGCACAACTGCTACAACTGTGGACTTGTGTTTTGCCACTCTTGCAGTAACAAAAAGTCCCTGAAGGCTTGTATGGCACCGAACCCGAACAAACCGTATCGAGTGTGTGACAAGTGTTTTAACAAGTTGAAAAAGGCCATGGAAACTGATCCATCATCTCATTCTTCTTTGAGCCGGAGAGAAAGTGTCAACCAGGGATCAGACGCAATTGACAGAGATGACAAGTTGGATTCTAGATCCGACGGACAGTTAGCTAGATTCTCATTGTTGGAGCCCCTGAGGCAAGTGGACAGTCGATCCAAGAAAAATAAGAAGTACGAATTCAATAGCAGTCGTGTCTCACCGATACCGAATGTAGGCTCTACCCGAGGTTCACTCAACATAACCAAGTCTTTTAATCCTGGTTTTGGATCATCAAAGAAATTCTTCTCAGCGTCTGTTCCTGGTTCCCGAATTGCGTCTAGAGCAACTTCACCAATATCAAGACGCCCTAGCCCACCTCGCTCAACAACGCCAACTCCCACTCTTTCGGGACTAACTACACCGAAATTTGTCGTGGATGATACCAAGAGAAGCAATGATAACCTAAGCCAGGAGGTGGTTATGCTAAGATCTCAAGTAAGTTGCTTTCCATAGCTCTTTCACACTTTCCTGTGTTACACATAGGAAGAAAACATAGTTGGTGACCAATTTTGTTAAGTTAGTTTGTGAAGAACATTTACTGTCTCATTAGTTGCAGTTTGACTCCTTTGCGATAACTCACTAGTAAACGATGTCACAGGTTGAAAACCTTACACGGAAGGCACAGCTTCAAGAAGTAGAACTGGAAAGAACAACCAAACAGCTAAAGGAGGCACTGGCAATTGCTAGCGAAGAAACCGCAAGATGCAAGGCAGCGAAAGAAGTGATTAAATCACTTACCGCTCAAGTAAGTTCCAAACTTTTCCTCTGCTGTTTAAATGAATGAAGATGCTGTATGCAACTTACTGATTGTTTTTAACGAAACTGTGCAGTTGAAAGACATGGCTGAAAGATTACCTGTGGGATCAGCTCGAACCATCAAGTCTCCTTCTCTGAATTCATTTAGTTCCAGTCCTGATTACGTAGCCCCTTCTTCTAACACCTTAAACCGTCCAAACAGTCGAGAAACTGATTCTGATAGCCTAACCACCCTCCCAATGTTTTCTAACGGGACCAGCACGCCTGTTTTCGATGGTGCAAGTTACCGACAACAAGCCAATCATGCCGCTGAATCAATAAATAGAATCAACACTAGAGCAAAAGAGAGTGAACCCCGCAACGAAAACGAATGGGTCGAGCAAGATGAGCCTGGTGTGTACATCACTCTCACCGCCTTAACGGGAGGCGCAAGGGATCTCAAACGCGTCCGTTTCAGGTAAAATTCTTCTTTTATGTTTCGAATGCTTTTTTTTTTTTGTTGGTGATGAAATGAGTATAATCTGAGGGTGGTTTTGATGGCAGCCGAAAGCGGTTTAGCGAGAAACAAGCAGAAGAGTGGTGGGCAGAGAACAGAGGACGAGTTTACGAACAGTATAATGTACGTATAGTCGTTGACAAATCCAGTGTGGGTGTAGGAAGTGAAGACTTGGCTCATTAAATTTCTTTGCTTCACCCACAAATAACACACACAGCCAGAATTTCCCACTCATCTTTTTTCGTTTTGGGGGTTAACACGGGTTTCATAGGTTTATTGGTGGTTATAACACAACGAGAGTGAGAGAGAGTATTAGAATGTTTTCACCATCTTCTTTCATTATAGTTTGGGTGTTTCCATTTGTAAATTCTTTTGTAAATTTCTATAAGCAATACTCTGTTTCCGTCTGTCTCTATAAATGCTTTTATTTGATGTGATGTTGAACCTTGAAACAGTACTAATGGTTTGAAGCAGATTGTGAAGTAAGAAGGTTGTGTAAGTTATCATGATCATAATACCACTTGAATAACATTTTGGTAATGAGTTTAACACGTCACTGTTTTGTTTAACACTTTCTTTTTTTTCCTGTTTCAGATCAACCACTAATACCGTTTACATATACATGCTATTCAAAGTATACTATATTTGTTAAAGATCAAGTTTGAATCTCTTATATACGAGCAACACACCAAAATCGAACAATTAATGACCAACCAAATAGAGTTAGATACATTAGCTTCTGAAGAGCTGAAAGAAGACTGACTAGTTACACCAACCTCTGCCTACCATTAAACACTTGTTTCTTTTGTTGGTCGACCAATTCTGAACGAAAAAAAACAAGAAAGCCATCATAAAAAGCATACTTCGACATTTTCAAAACGAAGATGAACAACACTCACACCATGGCTTCCTGCTTCCTCCCTTCTCCTATGGCTACAAACCGCCAAGAAGAAGACTCAATCATACTCTTCTCAGCATCAAACTCTCCTGATGAATTCTCATCAGCTTCCTCTTCCTTCTCTTCTTCACCACTCCCGACCCCTAACCGCTTCTCTTTAACCGTCACTAACCTCTCCTACACAATCCACCACGCCAGAATCCTAACCTCTGTGTCCTTTGCAGCTGAGTCCTCTAAAATCCTAGCCGTGGTTGGGCCGAGCGGGACAGGCAAATCAACACTATTGAAGATCATTTCAGGAAGAGTGAGCCACAAGTCACTCGATCCATCTTCTTCAATCTCAATAAACGGTCGTAGAGTCAGCGACTATAACCATCTGCGCAGGCTCTGCGGGTTTGTCCCTCAGGACGACGATCTACTTCCTCTGCTTACCGTGAAAGAGACGTTGATGTATAGCGCCAAATTCAGTTTAAGAGATTCCACGGCCAAGGAGAGAGAAGAGAGAGTTGAGAGCTTGTTAACGGATCTCGGTCTTGTTCTCGTTCAGGACAGCTTCGTCGGAGAAGGAGACGAAGAGGATCGTGGCGTATCGGGAGGAGAACGGAAGAGAGTCTCTATAGCCGTTGAGATGATCCGTGACCCGCCGATTCTGCTTCTAGACGAACCGACTTCCGGTTTGGATAGCCGGAACTCGCTTCAGGTCGTCGAGCTTTTAGCTTCCATGGCGAAATCAAAGCAGAGAACCGTCGTCTTCTCAATCCATCAACCGAGCTATCGAATCCTCGATTACATCTCCGATTACTTGATCCTCTCCCGCGGATCGGTCATCCACTTCGGGAATCTGGAGCATCTCGAGGACTCGATCGCGAAGCTAGGATTTCAGATCCCAGAACAGCTCAATCCGATTGAATTCGCCATGGAGATAGTCGAGTCACTGCGAAACTCGAACCCAAAGGACTCGTCGCGCGCCGTAGAAGTATCATCATCATCATCGATCTGGCCGGAAAACGGAAACGAAAATGACGGGATTGTCGTCATAAAGCAAGAGCCTCGTCTCATCGACATCGCCGAGATCTCATATCTCTGCTCGAGGTTCTGCAAAATCATCTACAGAACAAAGCAGCTATTCCTGGCGCGAACAATGCAAGCCGTGGTGGCTGGGTTAGGTCTAGGAAGCGTCTACACAAGGCTCAAACGAGACGAAGAAGGCGTAGCAGAGCGGCTTGGGCTCTTCGCCTTCAGCTTAAGCTTCCTCCTCTCCTCCACAGTCGAAGCTCTTCCGATTTACCTCCGTGAACGACGCGTCCTGATGAAAGAATCATCTCGCGGATCCTACAGAATCTCATCTTACATGATCGCCAACACGATCGCATTCGTACCGTTCCTCTTCGTTGTATCACTCCTCTTCTCCATCCCGGTCTACTGGATCGTAGGCCTTAACCCGTCGGTTCAAGCATTCTCCTTCTTCGTCCTCTGCGTCTGGCTCATCATCCTCATGGCCAGCTCTCTGGTGCTCTTCCTCAGCGCGGTTTCACCTGACTTCATCTCCGGAAACTCACTCATCTGCACCGTTCTCGGAGCTTTCTTCCTCTTCTCCGGCTACTTCATCCCCAAGGACAAGATCCCCAAACCGTGGATGTTCATGTACTACGTGTCACTGTACCGTTACCCGCTGGAGTCGATGCTGGTGAACGAGTACTGGAGCGTGCGAAAGGAGTGCTTCTCAAGCGGGGACATGGGTTGCTTGATGACCGGAGAGGATGTGTTGAAGGAGAGAGGACTTGACAAGGACACAAGGTGGATCAATGTCGGGATTATGCTTGCCTTCTTCGTTTTTTATAGATTCCTCTGCTGGGCTATTCTCCTCCGAAAGGCTTCCAAGTCAACAACTCTTTAATGGATTTTTAGTAGACACTTCTTTTTCACACAAGTCTATGTTCATCATATACATACACAATGATTTGGTATGCAATCGATAAACGAGTCCCTTTTTATTCAAACCCACTAGAAAAGTTTTACACACCTTATGATGTTCAACTTGAAACGACATAGCAAAACAGAGAAGTTTTGAGAAAAAAGTACGAGGAAACCAAAGCAAAGATTTAGCTGCAAGAGGACAGCTAAACATTATTCGAAAAAGAAAAAAAAGAGGGCCAAACAGCAATCAACTGCATCAGATATAGAGAGCGAGCCACAAGTTACGTTTCCTTTCTTATTCATTCATACGGTCTTTAACATCTCCACCTCAAGTAGCAAGACAAAGGCACTTTACTCCTATCGACTCCGCAGAAACCACTTCATTCTTGTCACCATATATCTCTTTCACCAACATGAGCTGTCTCCTCAATCTATCATCAAAAACGCATCAAGGACAAGCTTAAGGACCAATGTGTGTGCCTAAACATGTATGACCAATGAATTTGAAGCACTAGTTTAAGGACAAGGATGAATCAAGGACGAACCTGTCAGGTAGGAAGTTCCCCACAAGAAGCCAAGGCCACGAAGACTCCAACTTTGAGACTTCCACAGAACAAGGCTCAGTTGGAGTTAGGTAGCAGAAAACATTGCGTAACACTCAACCTGAATCATTTACCAATTATCTAGATCAACACCAAAAGAATAAGAGTTTTACAAAGCATTCGACAATGCAAAGGAGCTTTGTGTCTCCTCTTACCGTGTTACTCTTCCATTCCCATCTCACACATAGTGACGACTCGACCAGCTGGGATGTCCTTGATATTGCTCCGGGAGTTGAGCTGATTGATGATTTTCGTTCACAAAGTTAGCATTCTGAGGATTCTGAAAATACGGAAAATCTGCTTGGACCTGTGATGTTGGAACTTGTTTCCCAGGGAATGGAAAGTTGGCAGGGCCGTTCAGTCCATTGCTGGTACCCATGTGCTCTGGTTTCCCAGAAGAGACGTAATTCAAAGTACTGTTGAGCCCAGTGCCCCGAGACGATTGAGATTGGTATCCATCCAACCAGCTGTAATCATCAACCAACAGATTGTTGCCAGACATATCCGACGCAGGTGTTGGCTCCTTTTGTAGCTTAGAGGGGACAGAATTGAACCCAGGCGGAGGGCCAAGATTGGCTCTACCAATTGGATTTTTTCTTGCTATTGACGATTGGACGCCCAGGGAATCAGAAATAGCTCCAGATGATGAAACAGCATCAGTTTTGGGTGGCAACACTGCTTCAGGTGTTCGTGACTGAGAATACTGCATACCACCAATACCATTGGCATTCAAAGACTGGTGAATCGGTAACGAGTGGGTAGGGTAATAGGAAGCTCCATGATTTCCTTGCATCTCATTCCTAGTCACAAGACCATTACCCATCTGAGGGAAACCAGATAGGCTACTAGCAACGACGGCAGCTTCTTCTGGCAACCACGTGCTACCACCAAGGGAAGCAGATTGTGACTGGGCCGGTGGAGCATGAGAAACCTGTGCTTGAGTTTGTTGAAATTGCACAGCCTGTTGTTGAAGTTGTGCAACCTGTGACTGCATTAGCTGAAGTCGCGCAGAAGCTAGTGATTGGGCTGGCTGAGGGTGCACTGCCTGTGCCTGAACCTGTTGCATATGCACAGCCTGAGACTGGGATGAAGGGTAAAGATGTCCTGGAATGTTAGAACCAACAGACGCAGGCCCTTGAGTACGTGCATTGCCTCTCGCTTGTAAGAGGAGATTTTCATAAGAAGCTGCATCAGACCCACTCAAAGCTTTTATGTCTTCCATAGTAGAAACTTGATCAGGTTTCCTGAAGCCCCCATTAGGAACATACATATTGTCAGAATCCCCTTTCCTCTTCTCAGAAACTAGAGGCTTGAAAACGATTTCTTCTCCTTCCTCCTCATCCAAATAAATCTGCCGATCTCGTGGCATCACTGGCGAGTTAAGATTCATCATTGCTAGGTTATCTTGCAAAGCATTATCAGGTTCAAGTGGGCTTGAATGAGAATCCAGCAAGTCATCCGACGGTTTTACACCAACAATAAACTTTTTCTTCTTTGAATCAAAATACACATGATTCTCATCAACTTTGATCACACTGGTCAAAGCTTTCCCTGCTGCTATGATCCTCTTTATACGAGCTTTCTTTTCCTTGGGACCTTCAGTTCCAAAGGAATGTTTTCTTGAGAAATCGAGAATCGTCTGAGCTGGAAGCAGTGGCAAGAATCCTCTTAGCTCGTAGTCCTCCCACAGTGCAAGTCGGTTTTCAGTTTCTCCTTCATCGTACATGCTCATGTTCGAAAAGCAAGTCTCATCTTCGTCATCATCAATGAACATAGGCCCAAGCGACAAGATTTGGTTGAAGAATGCAACACACTGGTTCCAAAAGGTGTTTCTTACGGCAGTCTGTTTATCATCCGGAAAAGTCCCCACTGCAATATCAGGACAACATGCCAGCCATTCAACAAAAACTAAGACACCAGGCAAGAAGTAACTCGACGAAAGATCACGCAGCTGTGCACACTGCTCTATTACATGTCCAAGTAACTCAAAACTTGCTGTCAAGGAGTTTCTGGCAGGCTCCACACGCTGTACAATTTCTGCGTATGACTGACCTTCCGTCTCTTTATTTGAGTTATGGACGCTAAATATAAGAATTGTCACAAGTCTAACAATGAAGAGTGCGCTGTCACTGGTGTCTATACCAAAACTCAGCTCTTCCCCCAAGCTCAAAGATATCAGCTCTCGTAAAATGCTGCTAGTGGAGGCAAGAACATCTACGAACGTCTCCAGGCTGACAAAGACAAGTGATAAATATTATACCAGAGAGCCAGTAACAGAATCTAGGACAAAATAATTTCGCAAAAAAAAAAATACCTTGTTCGGGTAAAAAGAATCCCGTTGAGATGAACAAATCTGATGCAGAATGATTTGAGCATCTCACTTGCACTAGTTACTTTCTCCTTCTCAGGACTAGCTACCAAGTTCGCATTTTTCGATGAAATATGTGCACCTTTACCTCTTCCTTTACCAGTCGGCCTCTTAGGTAATTCTTTGGAAGCCGCAAACAACTGGGCATAATTCTGACGACTCTGTTCAAAAAGGAGAGAACCACGCATTATATTTGGGTACTAAGAAAATGGGAGGATAATCGCTATTGTGCCAAGCCACTAACATAATTACGAAACAGAAACTTGTTGGCTAACCTTGTCAAAAGCAACAACCAAGTTCTCACGGGCAGTTGGGAAAGGATACTCTACAGCCAAACTCCGGAAATAACGATATGTAGCTGCAAACTCATCCCCCGAGTAAGAAGCAATTATAGCAAGCTGAAACATTAAGTTAATCTAATCAGAAAAACTGTACACTACATAGCTGGACCTGACCAAAAAATATCACGAGAAAGAAAAAGAAAAGTGAATAACCTGATGATGTGGGTTTCCACTGGCTGGCAATAGAGAAGCTGCTTGCAAATAGTAACTTGAAGCAGCAGCATGCTCTCGGTTCTTGGAGTCTCCCTCTGCATACAATCCTTTGTATCGAGCCAGATCTCCCAGGTATATTAAGCAGCGGTGACAAAATACCAAGCCTCTTTTGAATTCTGCTAACTTCTTCACATCCTTATCAGCCAAAGTTTGACTCTGTTGATCCTCCGAGAAAAACCCCAAAGGAAGACCATACTTTGATCTAATTTTCAAGATAATATCATGGTAAAACCCAGTTGCTTCTGAAAGGAAGGTTCTGAACTGCAGCTTGAGTTTTGCAATTCGATCGGGTCTAGAAGGACCCTTGCCATTTTGCGCAACACTCGAGCTACTACTAGAAGACAAGACAGCTTTGATGTGTGATCTAAACTCGCAAATCCGTTTGTAATGCAACTGCCACAGAGTTAACTCAATGCCGTGCTGCTCAGAAAAGGTATGATCTTCAAGAATTATTGCTTCATAATTCTCACGTATTTGCTGCCACAAATTAGGGTCAAACGGATTTCGAGCCTGAGCAGCCTTTTGAAGCTTAGCTTCTAACGCAACAGTCTGCAAATAAATGCATCTAGTGTCACTATAATGTAGTGCCAAATTTTACAAAGACATAGACTCAAGTGAAGAGACAAAACGGCCTTATATAACCCAACAGATATATGAACTAAGAAGTAGCCCCTCAAGACGCATACTACAACAACAAGGATGAGCTAAATTCAGAGAGTGGTTTAAGTAAAGAGAGAAAACCTTATCGAGTATGGACTTGGCTCGCTCCCTTGGCGAGCAAACAGGTTTTTTATCCATCTGCAAAACCATCATGCATCAAAATTGTCAAGGCAATAAGAAAAGGCGCAATCTCAGGCCAGGTTAACTAATTTGATAGCTAAACAGGACATACAAATCTTATTATCAGGAGCTTACACAAAACCAATTATCAAAAGTGCTTCGGAGCTAAGAGAAATATAGAGCTACAAGCATGCCTCTATCTAGGGTTTTTGTCAGCAATTTCAATATTAAGACGACAGAGAAAACTAAAGAGTAAATTTGAAATCATCAGTTCAAGTCAAACCTTAGATATGAATCAAGACCCTTGACAGAAAACAAACGATTCTACCACTGATCATCTGAAGATGATTAACAAAAGGAATACTTCGATTGAAAAGAGTAAGAATCACCCGAAATATAACCCAAAAAAATCACCAAGACTAGGTCCTTTGACTCTGAATCGTTTTGCCCGTAATCATAACTATTATCCCCAAACGAGCAGCGAAATCAAGCAGAATCAGCATCAAATTAGAAAGAAAAAAACCCCTCCTCCCAAGAATTTATCCCAAAAAAAAAAAAACAATCCACACGATAAGAAGAAAACAGCCAAAAGTAAAGCGAATTCTGGAAACAGGATTAAAAAGGGGAAGAAATATAACCTGAATTACCCAGATCTGCGATTGTCTATGCGACCAGAAGCATCGGAAATTAAAATCGGTGAGAAGAGAGAGAAATTAGGGTTTTTTCAAGGAGAAAAAAAAAAGGAGAGAAAGAGAGAGAGACGGTGAAGATGTATAAGGTCGATTTTTCCTTAATTTTTTTTTTTTCTCGTCAGCTTCCTATAAGAGAAAGGGAACGAGGGAAAAAAAAGGAATTTTGTCCAAGTATTTTCTCTCGCGCTATATTTTGTCAGCGGAATGTATTCAAACGACGCCGTTCTTGGTCTTTCTTTTCTCTGATGAATATATTCAGAATCTTCTTCTATGGGACATCAAATCTTTTTAGATTTGTATTACTTTGTTTTCTGTTTTTCACAACATTTTATTAGAGTTGATAATACTTACAAACATAACCAATCTCACATAAAAATATAACAAAACGTTTTACAAGAAAAAACCTCTATATACACACAAGACTGTTGCCCAAAAGAATAAAGTCAATCTTGTCTTCTCGGGAGAAAATAAACAGAGCAGATGTTACCATCATTAATCAATCAAAACACCAAAAAGATATACAGAGAAAACAAAGCTTTTATTTTCTTTTTCTTTTTCTTTTTTTTCATGTTGTTAGTTCCAAGGTGGAGAAGATGGCCTGTGTATGAAATCTTGAGAAGACGAACCGTAGTTAAGGTCGAGGTTCTGGAGCTGCTCCATGAGCTGCGAACGTCTTTCCTTGAAGAAATCAAGACGAGTTGTCAACTCTACCAGAGCTGCTGATGCAGCCGCTGACGGATGATTCAGCCTTGGGTACTCTGTTATCTGCAAAACCATCATTTCAAGCATGTTAGTGTGCGTCATCATCACTAAGGAGCGTTAATCTCTGATTTGCTAGGCAGAGAAGCGATCATGCCTGTCTCTGTAGTTACTATTTTTTTTACAACTAACTATTCGGTGGAACTATATAATAATGATAAAAAGAAGCAAAAGGTCTTACATCTAAAGCTCTTGAAGTCGACGGAGCAGATGGGGAATCTATGGATGAGAACTTGTCCACAGACATCTTTCCAGAGTCTTCACTGATTTTAGAGTCAATCATGTTCGTTGATTCTGGTATTTGTTTACGAGATGGTTGCCTGATATTGCCAACACCACAAGATCCTGCTCCTTTGCTATTTCTCCACTCTGCTCCCAGCACATTCTCCTGTAGCTCGAAAAGTAAATTCTACTGGTTTAATCTAAACTGTGAAAGCTGATGATTGATGACAGAAACATCTGGTTTAAACGTACCTCGTGTCTTTGTTTTCTTTCATGATTTACATAAGCAAGAGTGGAATCAAAATCTTGCTGAAGAAATCTTCTGCAGAAATATATTACACGGTATTAGAGCAGAAACATAGATGTGAACCAATCATACATATGCTGTGCAAAAGTTGTTTTGAACATAATATTTTTAACATCTTCACTAAGATCAAGAAACAAGCCACTGCTGATGATAGTCAATTCAAACGTAGAAGAAAAATACAGGGGTAGTGATACAACTCACTTTTGAGGAGTGTGATTCTGGAGGTACTGATGATTATCACGCGCGTCTGAGAAGGAACCAAAGTTAGTCTGACGTTGCTGGTTAAGCTGATGGTGAAGTTCTGCAACTTTCTGCTTCAGCCTGGCCACATCAGCCTCGGCAAGAGCAATTTCCTCAAGCTCAGCCCTTGTCTATAAATATACATGGACCGTAAGTATTTCACAAGAATTAGTTGTTTTAAAGAAAGATACCGTTTGCCTAAAATGTATACTTACTTTCGAATCCACACCATGTGAGCTGAATTGTCCAGAAGACATGCTTAACCCAACCTCCAGTGCAGCTCGGAGATCTCTTTCGGCTTGCAGTTGCTCTTGTAATCTTGACACCTATATAAGTATTTCCCATCAAACCAGAAGAAGATTTCCTTTGACATTAGGCTTAATTGTAAAGAGAAGAGATCCATAGACACTGATAGTTTGAAAGAGAAATTTTATACATCTTGTTCAAGCGACAAACGACGTTCATGCAGTGCTTGCTTCCTTCTCTCCAAGCTAGCCTGTAATATCGCATTACCTCTGGCCTATAACAAAAATGGTGACCAGTGTCAAATGACATTATAGTTCATAATAATAAAAATAAAGAAGAAATCAGCAGCAGGTAATTACCTCCTTTGCAATTCGTTGTCGCAGTTCATTTTTCGTGGTCTCGAGCCTTTGTATAGCAAGCCTACAAACAGTTGATGAACCAATTAGTAGTACAAAAAACATAAAGCTAGTGTAATGTCAAATGTCAATAGCAGAAACATTCTCTCTATGTATATGGAGGTGGAGGATACACCCAAGAGTGAAAGCCTTACTCGTCTTCTCCTGAAGAATCAAAAGATCCATCTGTGGATATCTTTCTGGCCTGTGACAAACAAAGAGCAAAGAAAATGTTATTAATATTATTCCATCGGACATTAGTTCATTATCTCTTATATAATTCTAGGCGTGACACTTGAAGCAAATTGGAGGAAAAGAGTTTTGTATCATGCATCCAATAATACTTGAATTAATGTGACAAATCAGAACTATGTGGCAAACACATACACTGCCTCGGCCCCAGAATGTTGCGCGCTTTGTATGAACAGAGGAGGGTGTGCCCTTATTTACGGATTTCTCACTTGAAGATTCAAGACCAGAAGCAGCCAAAGTATTCCCATTAGTGAGTGCATTTAGAACCTTCCCTGATGATTGACGAGACTCGCCAACAGTTTCGAGACCTGAGTTTTCTCTGTATTTTGTTGGAGACTCGACTAAAAGCTCTCTAGCTTGTTGATCCGTGGAGTTGTCAAAGGGATTTCTCCCAAGAAAATCTGTCCGTACGTTTGTATTACGTACTGCACCATTTGTCTCTCTCGGTGATTCGATATCAGAGTCATCAGCAACAAATCCCTACAAACAATGTAATCAGCAATCATGAGATCATTATTTTGTCTTGCACTGCTGACTCTGATTCATTAGAAGACAGCAGGAATAGGATACATACATAATAGCTGAAAGTTAAAAAACATACTCTATATCCATGAACCTTGCGTCTTAAGTTTAAAGATATTTCAGAATATACCAACAGTAAACAAATAAACGTTTCATGTAAACTTGGCATGGATGTGTGAGTATAAGGAGAAATAACCTTGTATTCATAGAGATCGCTCCCTGTGCAACCACTGCTCTCGCTCATTTTTCCACTCAGTGCACGCTCATTGTCATCATCTGTCACTGGTTCAACTTCATTCTCTGCATTATGATATACATTTTTCGGGTTGTTGTCATCATCACTAGAATCATCAGGCCCGCTATTTCCAATATGTGATTCAGTCGAAATGGAACATCTTTGAATGCTTTCTTCCTGAAAATTGCAGATAAACATATGAGACATACAACGTCAATTAAATTTGAACGATAACTATCTGAGCGCATCTCACATCGAAAATACTTCCATAATCCTCCAGGAGAATAGTAATGATGGCTTGAGCATTGTTGGCAGCATTAGCAGCAGCAAGAAGCTGAGCAGAATTGTCTTCGCCGCTATCAAAATCGTCCTCTAGATCACATTCGCCAGCCAGTAAAGGACGTAAGAGCAAGGGAGCCATGCAAGCAGCTACAGCAGATGGGTGCATTCGATTTTCGTGGGAGTGAGACGAGATAGTATGCATCATTTTCAGAATCCTGAGGGTACAACGCAAATATGTCAGGGTTTAAGAAAAAACACCTTATAAATGATTCTCGAGCACTCTTACTCATAAGAGCCACAAGGAATTCATCTGGCCGATAAGTCATACTTGGCAGGAAACAAGTAATCTCAACTTTCACATTTAATATTATCTTCTAAGGGAGATGAGTGAGATCTGAAAAACATACCGTTGTAGTAGACGTCTATTAGGTTCAGGAAATGTTTCCGCCATAGCAGAGCGCAATGAACTAATACGAGCCTCCTTAGACTCGATTCCTGATCCAGCAAAACCGGTTAAAAGGACGTCATTTTCACAGAATCTCCAGAAATTTTTAACAGAAAACCCATGCAAATAAATGAATATCAAACACACACAGCACACAAATCTGCATGTTTACAAGTATGACTTCATCAAAAGAAAGGAGAAGACGGTAAGGGAACTCACTGTAAGCTTCCAGCAGGGCAGTACAACAAGATGCAGAAACCGGGGAAGAAGGCAACTCCCTCAATACATGCTGGAAGTGAAATGAATTTGCATTAGTATTTTAACAATGCACAAATTTACAGAACAAGAAGTTGAGAAGAAGGCTACCTTAATGCAGTCTCCAATAACATGTGGATCTTCATCAAAAGTGAACTCCGTTTTGCCTACGCATTATTTGAAGTGGGAGGATAAAAGGAAATGTTAATTATGTATTGGAGGGAGAACATATAGCATAACTAGATGTGCTTGGAAGATTATAGGTACCCTGTTCATATTCTTGAACTCTACGTTCCACCTCCTCCACATCAGCAGACTGTCTTAATATTCCTTCAATTTTAGTTCCTGCGGGGACAAAAGAAGACCGCAAAACCCAACAAAAAAAACAGTCAATAAAAATGCATTCAAATATAATAGATACATCTGGTTTCAACCGTTGCGATAGCTACCTATATTTTCTCAAGAACTTACCATACTTCTCAATGAACTGAAGAGCTTTCTCAAGGAATGATGGGCTTCCATCAATATCTTCAAGAGCAAGTAAGATTGGTCTTCCAACAACCAAGGATTTTAATGGACGCTTATCCCGCCCTACCAATTATGGACAATAAAGGTCAGAAATATGCATAAGCAAAAAATAAAGGCATATATATGTACAGATGTAAGATTCTTAGGCCAAATCTGTAACATGGATTAGAACAAACATTGGTGAAAGGAACCTTCGATAGCCTCGTTATTGTCAGCACGGAATATTCCATTATGACCCATGACGAGTGCTGCATTAGGGGCGTGTGCAAGAGCCTGCTCAAGAGCAGTTTTCCAGTCGTACAAATCTTCATTTGTCTCAGCCTGCATCATCCAAGGTGGTTAAAAAAAAGAGAAATTAACAGTAGTGTAAAGATCGTTCTTAAGAGTATGTATTTCAAATTTGCTGCTGATGTTGAAGCACCTTAAGAGTGAAAGCTCTCCCATCACGCCCATCAGGAAATAATACGGTCAACAATTTTTTATCCTCTCTCACCACGACACTGATAACAAAATTGACTGTAAGTTGAATTCCATGAAATTTTCTAATCGACTAGCAATATTCTGCATACCTTCCGGAGTTATTCAAGTCGATGCCACCAAGAGTTAAGTTAACTTCACCTCCCTTTTGTGGTAGTGTACCCTGTGAAAATTCAGTAACAAAGCTCAATATATACGTTTCTCATAAATCTTAACATATATTAACAAAATAAGTCAAATACAGCGATCAAAATCAATGGATACTCACAGGGTCATTTTTGAAGAAGACCAAAGAAGTACGTGTGAGGATGAACCAGCGTTTCTTCCAAGACGTCCAGCCCAATCCTATTGAGCAGAATACCAAAATAAAATGTTCAATGGACTATGCTATCCCAACAGCCACAGTGTAACAACTTTAATAGAAAAACAGGGAGGGGGTAAAAAGCCACAAGGATACCTTTTGAGGATATGAAAAGTGGACCGCTCTTAAAAACCTGTCAAACAATCACGAATTACATAATATTAGTAGCAACCATCAAATTTCCATTTTGAAAACTATAAAATAGATAGTTGCAGAGACATGTACTAGCTCATATTGGGAACCAGACATACGCAAATATCAACGATTCAAAATCGACATGCTACTCATTTAGCCAGATGAATACCCTTATATCTTGCATGTGTGTTATTTCTACTTCAATGAGACTCTCCTGAATACTGTTTTCTGTGTATTTTGCATATTCAGCCAAAATCAAACCACCGATCTGCCTAATAGGCTCTTTTACTTTGAACAAATCGCTAAGAAAGCATATTTCATTGAATCAAGCTTCTCTTTTGATATAATGGAAATGTACTCAAGTACTCAACACAGATACTACACGTCATCTCAGCACTGATATTCGAGTGTTTTGTTAGAAGCAGCGGAGCGATCAAGCCAATAGGCTTCCACGGAAAAAATGCAGACTTAAGAATAAAAGGAACATTTAATCAGAGAGCACGTTTCACAGCTAATGAAAGGCCCTGTGTTTGATGATACGAAGACTGGAATCTACAAACTCCAAAATCGTATACAATAAGATTAAATTAAGCGAATTATTTTCATACATGTCCTATTTTTAGCAACTCCAGCGTCCGTAGTGAGCGAAATTCAGGAAGCTAAAGAAATTCAGACAGCTAAACCGTAACTATGAAGTAAATGCTCATATGGCCCTAACATCTATGATCAACTCAGCAGCAAACAAAATTCTAATTTATTAGCTTCACATGTATAAAACCAAAAAACAAAAGCGAAAGCCATTACCGTATTAGAAGCAGCACCGCGTGGCCGCTCCAAAGCCGCTAGAGAAGCCTCCATTGCCTCAACAGCATAATCTCAGATCCAGACTCGAAACGGAATCCAGCTAAATTCGACAAGCCCGAAAGCGTAGGGTTTCAATTTCACCTCTTTTCGATACGAACAATAGAAAGCGACAACAGCAACAAACAATCACCAGACCAAAACCTCCTCTCTCTCTCCTCCGAGTAAATTGAAGAAATTATACACCTCAGAAGTAACAGTAGCGCCGCCAATTAGCCGCCGCAGGAAACCTCGCTGGCTCTGTCTTCCTCCGCCGCGAGATGTAGAGCAAAGATTTAGCTGTAGATAGATAAAAGTAGGGACATTGCTTTACACCTACTTCTGCTGTGTTATTGAGGGAGAGAGAGAGAGAGTGGATGGGTCATGAGTGTCGGAGAAGTCACGGGTCGGGTCTGGTAAAACTTAAGTCGTATTTAAATCGATCCAACCAATTACGGTTCTCCACGTCAGCAACAGCTGGTATGATCTTCTCTCCCTCCTGCTCCACTGCCAATTTAATAACTCCGGATTAGGTACTGAGATTAGTTAGTTCCTCCTTAAGTGTAAACCAAATACTATACTTTCTGATTTAAGTATTTGAAAAGTAACTATTAATTACTAATCTATTACTATACAATTTCTCGCACAGACTGTTATCAGTCACGTTTGGCGTGCTCTATGGGATCCTCGTGAGGCTGAATTTGATCTGTGTATGCGTTTCCTTCTGCAAGTTTTGCTCCTCTCTTTTTGTTTCCATTGTTCAAGTTGTATAATCATGGCAAGGCCAAGGCTTACCATAGTACCACCTTTGTGAATATGTGTTGTCTCATCATTTGACTGATCTCTATAAGGATGAGGAAGAGGGAGAACTTCAGAAATGGATATTATGCTATTCACTTTGAATAGTACGATCAAAGCTAATGTTACGACTAACAAATATAGTGAGCGTCCGATTCGTCAACCTAACGCAAAATTGGTTACAATTATCTCCAACAAACTTTCATGGAAGTTCTTCAATACTTTCGACAAGTGTACCGTCATTGTGAAGTTATGTGATCCTTTTTTTTCTTTTGATAAAAGTCGAAGTTATGTGATCTTCTCAAGTAAAAGATGTGTCTAAGAGATTTCCAACAGATGTCTATCGAAACATGGTGAGTACTAGACCTGGGCACAGAGCAAATACCAGGGTAAAAAAAGGTATCCGTGATCCGATCCGATCCGTCCGGATATTTGATTTTCTGATCCGATCCGATCCGAAAATTTTCGGATATCCGAAAATCCGGATATTCGTAACTTTGTTTAATATCCGCGGATTATCCGCTCCGATCCGTTTGATCCGGATATCCGTAACTCTGTTTAATATCCGTGAATTATCCACTCCGTAAATATTTTAAAAAATATTTGTATTTAAAAAATTTCAGAAAAATCAATTTTTAACACAAAAATATAATTTTAATTAAAAAACTATTAGTAATTTTTTTTAGTGTTTAAATAATCAATTTAATGAATATAGATTTATAAAATTTAGATATAAACATAACAATCATCCAATTTATATATGTAATTTTATATATATAGATATATCTATATGTATAACGGAGCGGATCGGATATCCGGCTTTTAAAATTTCAGTATTTGTGATTTGCTCCGGTTTTAACGGATATTAATTTTTAGTATTTGCTTTGCTTTGTAAAATTACGGTTATCCGGATTTTTCGGATCGAATCGGAACGGATAACGGATCGAAGCAAATATAACGGATAATTTACCCAGGTCTAGTGAGTACAGTTTTGCTCTTAGTCAAAAATTGTTACAAATAAAAACTTTCACGCCATTCTAAAAGCGTTAAACATAATCGCAAAAAGATGACATGGAATCAAAGTAAGAGAAAGTATATTGTATTCTCCTTAATCCTTATTTGAAGAAACTTTTTTACTCGAACATAATACTGCATTTCAAACAAACAATTTTTTTTTGACAAAACAATCATGAAAACAAATTTTGAAAAAATCAAGAATTAAAAACCCTGTAATACCTTGGAGACTAATGACAGCTCATTTTACAGATATGAGTGTGACTTTACATGTGCTTCGGTTGAAGTGGGCTTACAACTGAAGCATTAAACTAATCCAGTTCTTCAATCCTAGACTTGAGTTATGCACATGAGAGACTATAGGAACAGAATGTTTCATTTATGCATTAATATATGTTCAATGATATATGCGACAATATAATAGTGGGGACAATATCACATGTCTCACGATAATTAAATGACACGAATAAAATCATGCCTTAACACTAACTAAAAATTTACATTTTCACACTAACTAAGCGTTTGGGTAATAGTTAAATGGAAAACCAAATTGTCCAAAATATCTATTGATGCTCCTCCAACTAAAAAACTTGATTATTCCATTTTGTTCACTGAAAAAAGAACAAATATTTTTTTTTTAAATCATTTATCATATCTGGTGCCAACTAATTTATTTGTTGAGTTTGGAAAATACATTGTGATATACGAAAGGACAAATATCGACGAAAACAAAATCTTTGTAAATTGTCCCAAATTAAAAAAAAAAAAAAAAAAAAAAGCAGAGCCCAGGAGCTACACGTTTGACGTCAGTATAAGACTAGGCAGCCGACGCAATTCTACACTCTCTCTCTTCCTTGATCTTCGTGTACATCCCGATCGAACCTGTACAACCATGGCAACGAGCTCCGGCCGGTTAATCGCCGGTTTGACTGCGTCGATCAGGTCAATCGAATCGCGTAATGCGAATCCAGCTCAATCCATTTCCCTAATCTGTCGAAATCAAGTAAACGGTGTACCGCCTATCGTCCTGCGGTCCTCTCAAAGCTCCAGGCGGTGGGTAATCGAAGCGGTTCCCCCGGCGAAGTCCTGGGAAGGATCCGACGATGGCGAGGACATCAAAAGGAAGTCAAACGCGATCGGTGGAAACGATGGTCACAAGGTCGCCGGGAAACACGACAGGACGATGGAGATAGTAATTGCAGCGGCGGCTACGGCAGCGCTGGGCGTTGGGAACCGCGTAATGTATAAGCTAGCACTTATTCCTCTCAAGCAATATCCCTTCTTCCTCGCGCAGCTCTCCACATTCGGGTAACCATATATCTCTCTTTCTCTGCAGTGCCTAAAATTAGGTGTGCAATTTCGTCGATGAAATAGTTGTTAATATAGATTTCAGGTTTTTGATTGATTACATCTGCGATTTTCATTTGTGTTCTCCACACTCTGCTTTCCACTGTGATCTAGCTTCTAGCATTCTAGTTATTTGATGGATTACTGAATGTGAACCTTTGATCTGAAAAGCGATTCCAAAATTGTTCGATGTGTGAAAGTTGGTATCATATGTCGTAAGTCTGTTGGAAAATGCAAAAGCTCAGATATTCGTATGCAATGTAATTTTCAGAAGATTCCCTTTAAGAATTGGGTCATAGTTGGCGACTTGAGGATACTTCTACCAAACATTCTTATGCTCAATTCAACTTTTTCTCACGTGCGAGTTTCTCTCGGTCACCTACTGCGAATTGCGTTTTTTTTTTTTTTTTTTTTAAATAGCTAAAGTAATGACGTTTTTGTTGAATCTGCAGTGAGTTACTGACTTATCGACCGAAATTAATAATCTAGTCATCATCTAGCGTGGACCGTGTCAGAATATTTGCCACTTTCTGAATTCAGTAAACCACGTGTCAATCAATTTTGTTTTTATTGTTCGCACGTGTCTCACTTTCTCTTGCATATTGACCTATTGTCGACTATTAACGATAGCAGAAAATCTGTTACCTTTCACTAATAGTATTCACTCTGGCTTGTGCAAGTATGAGTCAAATTTGGTGTAGTGTGTCAATTTTAGAGAATAATATATATGGTTGTTTGTGCTTCATGGATCCGGATTATAGTCCGTAGTAATAATGTGTCTTTAGATGTGTAATGTGCTTTTCACAGCTTGCTTCAGGACAGTTTCGACCCTTTTAGAGATAAGCTCGTCTCGTTGTTCTAATTGTTCAATATGGACAAACACATCGTTTCCACTGTCATATTTACATACTCAATTTCCTGTATAATGTATATTGTTATGTGTTACCAATAATAATTTTTAAAAAGAAACATTTTTGTTTTGCTACTTTCTACTTGCAGGTATGTAGCTGTATACTATTCAATCTTGTACTTCAGATACCGAGCTGGAATTGTTACAAAAGAGATGTTGTCAGTTCCAAAAATCCCATTCTTAATTGTTGGCATTTTGGAGTCTCTTGCTTTAGCTTCTGGGATGGCGGCCGCAGGTATCTTTGCATATATGCTGCCCTCAACACTTCCTTTCTTTTCCATTTTCTTCTGCAGTTTTCAATAGATGTATACTCTCATATGTTTGATGAAATTACATTGAATCACTATGTTCATCTTACTTACTGTCGTTTCTCTTGACGCAGCGAATCTCTCTGGACCATCTACTACAGTTTTATCACAGGTTTGAAGCTTAAAACATTATTATCTCTATCTTCCTTAAGATCAAAGTACAGCATTAATTTTCCTGAATATATTTCTGGTGTGTCAAAAACCGCAAGTTCTTCCCTCAAACCCGTGTTTTCTTCTTGGATTACTGTCTAGCTGATCAAAACACGGTTTCTTGTCTGACAAATGTTTCAGAGTTGATTCTAGTCGTTTATTTCTTTGCAGACATTTCTTATTTGGCAAATTATCTTCTCAATTATTTTTCTCGGGAGGAGATATAGAGTAAATCAAATATTCGGGTGTATTCTTGTAGCATTTGGTGTAATCGTCAGTGTGGCAAGGTTAGCCAGCTCGACTTAACTTGCTTGATACTAAAGTGACTTGGTTTCTTTGTCTCCTTTCATTTTGTTAGACTTGTCAAAGGACATAAGGTAATTGGGTTTACATAGTATTTTCTCATGAATGTTCAGTGGATCGGGTGCAGCTCATTCATTTAAAGACGCGGGAATATTTTGGAGTCTTCTTATGGTATCTTCTTTTATGCTTCAAGGAGCAGATACAGTAATGAAGGTTTGTGAATTTTATTTTCTAGTTTTATCACCAACTAGAAAATTTCGGGAACTTCCCTTTAACGGTAAATTCCATTTCCTTGTAGGAAGTCATCTTTCTAGATAGCAAAAAGCGACTGAAGGTAATGATGCTGTCGAGACCCTTTTAACTAGATCTGTTGTTTATATATTCTGAAAGAAAACTGTTCTTATTATCACAGGGTGCTTCGCTTGATCTTTTTGTTGTAAACTCATATGGTTCAGCTTTCCAAGTAGGTTTCTTGGTGTTGCTCCTTGTTTAATTCACTTTTTGTTTTTAGCATCTTTTACCAACATGATACTAAATAACGGACCTTTTATGCTAGCTAATGTGCCTGTTTATGTGATCAAACCAGGTCATATGTATAGCGTTGCTTCTTCCTTTTCTTTCAAAACTTTGGGGCATACCATTTTACCAACTACCGAGCTATCTCAGAGACGGGGGTGCTTGCTTTCTAAACATCGGTTCTAAAATAACAGGTGATACTCGCTAACCGCTTGTTGCTCCAGTGTCTCTTTGTTTTTTTCCTTTGTGTATAACAGCAATCAACATTCTCGGTTTCGGTTCGAAACAGGATGTGAAGGGGCTCCCCTTCTTCCTATAATGTTTGTGATGATGAACATGGCTTACAACATCTCCCTTCTACGCCTCATCAAAATCTCATCTGCTGTTGTGTCGTCTCTGGCATCCACCGTTTCAGGTGAAAACTTTTGTTTCGTGATATAGTCTTTGCAATGCTTTCACGGAGTTAACATGATTTATATGCAGAAGAGAAAGAAGCTTTTTTCTAATACACAGAACCTTGTTTGGATTTTCCCGGTGTGCAGTGCCCATAGCAGTGTACTGTTTCACGCTTCCTTTACCGTACCTTGGGGTCGCATCTTCGCTTCCAACGGGGTTCGTGGCAGGCACAGTCATCCTTGTACTCGGCATGCTTCTATATGCTTGGACTCCATCTAACCCTTCAGATTCAGTTATTATACCCTCGCCTCCATCCACCTAGTGGCAGGATAATCGGTTTTGTAACTTTGTTTGTTGTTCTCATTGTAGCATATGCTCTCTTTTTGTCATTAAGGAATATGTTTAGCTCAGTGATATAGTACATGAATTTTGCTCCATTCGATGCATTCTTTGTCATATATTGACAGCTTTTTAGTAACAGTAAGTTGAATTTTCGAAGGCACTTGAACTATGAGCATAAAGAGCATACTGCGACGTTACATATTTTGGGTAGATTTTTTCTGATGAATAACAAAGTATCACCAGCTTCTTTTGCCCAAATTATTCCACAAGTTGTTGTAATTGGTCAAAAACCCTCGGAATTCTAAAATTTCGCGAATTATCACCAATGAAAAGATAGATAAAAGATGTAACCTCATTTTTTCACAGTCGCACTTTAAACTCGTTACCCAAGAGACCCAGAATGCTTCGAGTGACCGGGAATCTTTCGGCGGCATCATCTCCGGCTGCGGCTTCTTTCTCCGCCGCTCTGAGACTCTCCATCGCTCCCACTCTCGCTTTCGTATCTGCTCCCCATCTCCGCTTGTTCTCGACAATTTCTCGTTCATTTCTCGGCGGACGCATATCTTCACTCCGACCACGCATTCCTTCTCCTTCCCCGATGAGTCTCTCTGGTTTCCCAGCTCTCAAAGCGAGTGGTACTGCATATACGATTACTAACTTTGTTTCCCCCGCTGTATTAGTGACTTGATTGCGTGCTTTCTTCTCAGATTTCTAGTAGAACAAACTGTGTTTGCCACTTTGCCCCCTGACTCTGATATGATTTTCTACAAATTTTATGTGTGATTACCTTTACCTTTGCTTTTTGAATTGGTATATCCGTATTTCTGATTAATTAGTCTCTTGTTGGATTGATTTCTGATTATCATTTTTGTTATTCCAGCTTCGTTTAGCAGTGGGAGTAGTGCAGGTAGAGAGATTCTGGTGCAGCATTTGCTTGTTAAGGAGGATGATTCTAAGCTCTTGGTTGAACTCCAGAAGAGAATCTTGGAGGGTCTGATTCTTTATCCCTTTTTTACCCCCTTTAATATTTACATTCAAATGAGATTAAGCTATTATTTCAACAAAGTTACATAGACCTGTAAAAGATTATATATAGTCAAATAACGTTCCGTTGTTTCTGCGAAGAGATTTGTTGTCACCTTAATGTGTTTGTGTTAGAAGACTAAAAGGTTGTGTAACTGTTTGGTTGTGAAGGAGAGGATATGAGTGATCTTGCAGCAGAGTACTCCATTTGTCCTTCTAAAAAGGAAGGCGGTATACTTGGATGGGTCAAAGTGGGTCAAATGGTACGCTCTCTTTTCTATAGTTGAATCTTAGCCATTTCTTTTGGTTGGGAGATTGAATTTGAGAGTGTTATTGCATTGGCTCCCTTGCTGTGTTAGCATCGTTACTACACAAGTAACTGGGTGATGTAACAATTCCTGGTGAATTAACTTTGCAGAGCATGACAGACCACTTAAAATGGTTTTTCAGGTACCAGAGTTTGAGGAAGCTGCGTTTGGAGCAGAGCCAAATCATGTGGTGAAGTGTAAAACCCAATTTGGCTGGCACCTATTGCAAGTTCTATCCGAGAGGTACTTCTTCTAAAAGCCATCCTTCGTTAGCGACGTTTTCTATCAACTGTTAACGGAAAAGTTTATATTGACAGGGAACCTGTGAAAGATATTCAGGTGGAGGAGCTGCATTCCAAAATGCAAGATCCAGTTTTCATGGAAGAGGCTCAGTTAATTGATGTCAGAGAACCTGACGAGATGTAAGTCTCCTTTCATTTCTCATTCTTGACATACATTCCCTTCTTCACTGAAGCCCAATGTAATAGCTTCATACTCTCTAATCACTTCACAACATTATGATTCAAGTGTAACGTGCAGAGTTTGATTGTTCTGCCGTTTAAATACATGTGTACCTCTCATCCTTTTATATTAGAAGAAGGACAAACTTCCCATAGTCGTTTCACATTGTTTTTTTTTCTTTCTTTGTAATTTGTTTCATTGCTTCCTGTACCAGAGCCAAGGCATCGTTACCAGGATTCCAAGTGTTCCCTCTCCGCCAATTCGGAACCTGGGCACCAGACATCACTACAAAGCTGAACCCTGAGAAGGATGTATTCGTCTTGGTATGTTCGGTCTTATCCGCTAATACATATCCTGCTGTGGTCTGTAGACTTTAAGATAGTTTATCCTCTTATGTTGAAATGATTTTATAATGGTTGTCTGATTTGTGGCCTTTGTTTCCCATACAGTGTAAGGTTGGTGGCAGGTCGTTGCAGGTTGCAAACTGGTTGCAGTCGCAGGTAAAAAGCTTTCCTGCTCCTATATCTGTATGTGTGTGTAAGATAAGGATGACGTGTTGATGGATTGTTGTCTTGTTCCTCAGGGCTTCAAGAGTGTGTACAATGTGGCTGGTGGGATACTAGCCTATTCTCGTAAGGTTGACCCATCAATCCCTACTTACTGAAAAAAAACTGCCTCATTTTGGAACTTGCTCTATTCCATTGTATCCTAATTCAAATAAAATATTGCGAGAAACTATATAATACAAGTAAGGCTCATTTGAGAAAGTGGCCTTGACATTAGAATATACAATGCAACCCTCCGAAATTCTCCAGGAAATGCTCTCAACCTTTTGTACTAAATCCTAAAATAAAATAATTAATATTTTGCTTTAAATAACGTAATTACAGACAGACTTTTGGTTCCTAAAGTTCCTCCCGATCAGCAACATTATCGTTTGAGAACTGAAAGCCAGCAAAAACAAAAAAAAAAAAAAAAAAACTTACAAAACAGAAAAATGCTATTCATAGCCATTCTTAAGCAAAAACTCCTAAATTTTCTTGCTAAAGAAGAAACCAAACCAAAAAAGAACAATCAGAGGAAGGAAGAAGAGAAATAAAGAAAATAAACCTTTTAAAAAAACACAATTTCTCTTCCTGGCTGAGAGCTTACTTCCTCTCCCCTTATTGCAACAATGGGAAATTGTTGCTCTCATGGACGAGACTCAGGGAACAAAGACGAATCTACGCCGGCAAATGGAGGAGGTGGAGGCGCCGGTGCTGGCACCGGTGTGGAAGCCTCCGTGAGAGCTTCTAGACACCCACCAGCATCTCCTCCTCCTGCAACCAAACAAGGCCCCATAGGACCTGTCTTAGGCCGACCAATGGAAGATGTCAAAAGCTCATATTCGTTAGGGAAAGAGCTTGGTCGTGGACAGTTTGGCGTGACCCATCTCTGCACACAAAAGTCCACGGGACTACAATTCGCTTGCAAGACCATCGCCAAAAGGAAGCTTGTGAACAAAGAAGACATTGAGGACGTGAGAAGAGAGGTGCAAATCATGCATCACTTGACGGGACAACCAAACATCGTTGAGCTAAAAGGAGCCTATGAGGACAAACATTCCGTGCATTTGGTTATGGAGCTTTGCGCCGGAGGAGAGCTGTTCGATAGGATCATCGCAAAAGGACATTACTCTGAGAGAGCCGCTGCTTCGTTGCTAAGGACCATTGTTCAGATTATCCATACTTGTCATTCAATGGGTGTTATCCACAGGGACTTGAAGCCTGAGAACTTCTTGTTGCTGAACAAGGAAGAGAATGCTCCTCTCAAAGCCACAGACTTTGGGCTTTCCGTGTTCTACAAGCCAGGAGAGGTGTTTAAGGATATTGTGGGAAGTGCTTATTACATAGCACCAGAGGTGTTGAGGAGGAAGTATGGACCAGAGGCTGATATTTGGAGCGTTGGTGTCATGTTGTATATCCTCTTGTGTGGTGTTCCTCCTTTTTGGGCCGGTAAGTCAAAAGATTTTTGATGTTTGTGTTATATATCTGTCAGAACAAGGACATAAAAAGGTTTTTTTTTTATCATTCATGTTTTGTCAGAGTCGGAGAATGGGATTTTCAACGCCATTCTAAGTGGACAGGTTGATTTTTCAACCGATCCATGGCCTGCCATTTCACACCAGGCTAAGGATCTTGTTAGGAAGATGCTCAACTCTGACCCTAAACAAAGATTAACCGCTGCTCAAGTTCTTAGTAAGCATCTCCTATATGTTTCAAAAGAAATTTAACAAGCTCCTATATTTTTGATTGAAACTGTTTAAATTAACATTTTTTTATTTTTTTTTGGTAAAGACCATCCATGGATCAAGGAGGATGGAGAAGCACCAGATGTTCCTCTTGACAATGCAGTGATGTCAAGGCTCAAGCAATTCAAAGCAATGAACAATTTCAAGAAAGTTGCTCTACGGGTAAATTATCAAGAATCTTCTCAAATATATATATATATATATGACTCTTTTTGGTGCTATCTATCTGATCACTGGCCTCATCAACCAAACAGGTGATAGCTGGGTGCTTATCAGAGGAAGAGATCATGGGGTTAAAGGAGATGTTCAAAGGAATGGACACAGATAGCAGTGGAACAATAACTCTTGAGGAACTAAGACAGGGACTTGCCAAGCAAGGTACAAGGTTGTCCGAATACGAAGTCCAACAACTAATGGAAGCTGTAAGTATTTTCTTTTCTGTGTGCTATGCTATTGTTATCTATTAAGATGCCAAAACAACAGAGGCTGATTGATTTTGTCTACATATAGGCTGATGCGGACGGTAATGGAACAATAGACTATGGAGAATTTATAGCAGCAACAATGCATATTAACAGGCTCGACAGAGAAGAGCATCTCTACTCAGCTTTCCAACACTTTGACAAAGACAACAGTGGGTAAGTAAACATTTTCTGGTCCTATATAATTATTAAAGAGAGATTTTAGCGAAACCAATATAAACAAACGATGGTTGGTGTCGGTTTCTAGATATATCACAATGGAAGAGTTGGAGCAAGCCCTGAGGGAGTTTGGCATGAACGATGGCAGAGACATTAAGGAAATCATTTCTGAGGTTGATGGAGACAATGTAAGCCCCTTTTCAAACATTCACAAAGTCGATTTGATAACTATAATAAGCACATGCAACAATCTAAATTGTGGACACATTTTCTTGTAGGATGGGAGAATAAACTACGAAGAATTTGTGGCAATGATGAGAAAAGGAAATCCAGATCCTAACCCTAAGAAGCGTCGTGAACTGTCGTTTAAATGACCCCTCTCGAACAGACAAGTCAGAAGAAAGCACATAAGAAAAACCAAGAAGAAGAAAAGTTATTGTAAAGTAGGCTTGGGTTGCTCAAGGAGAAGATCACCAAGAGAGGAAATGTATGTGATTAGGGAGGTGTTTCATGTTCGTAAATATTTTATGATTTGTCTACTACTTAAAAGTTTCAGAGGTTTCTCAATGTATCAAATTCCTTTTTTTTTCAATTCAAATATGTGCATTAGTGTTGTTTGTTAAATTATCGTCTCAGCAAAACATCCATTAACGTCATATTTTGGAATCCGACTGAAACTGAGAAATGATAATGCATAATTCACGGTTTAGTCATTGTAACTAGGATCCTAATTGTAGATTACAGAAAGAAAAAAAAAGTAAAAACAGGCAAAACAATCAAACAAAGAGCGACCACCACTCTACTCTTGTCTTCACATCATTTGCCCACTGGTGATGATGTGAGAGGTGAGTAACGCTGCCACGATGGCCGTCCTAATACGGCGTTTGCGTGAACCGAAAGGTAAGCGCCATTTAACCTACAAGAGAGCCAAAGGAAACAATGAATTGGACATTCAACTAGTAACCCACTCACAGATAACAACGTGTAAGAAAGTAATAGGAGTTTTACTTTTCAACATCAGGAGTGGCCTGAGGATCATATAACTCTTGCTCTGCCCCTGCAGAGTTTGTAATTTCCTGTGTACCATCTCCCTGCAAAATAGTCGACCATGAATAACAAGAACAATCCAATTATTATTAAATAGCTATCGAAGTTCGTATCCTTTACCTGTTGCGGATACTGGGGATAGCCATATCCACCATAAGCGTACAAGGATGGGTCTTGAGTTGTCCCATAACCATATGCATCATAGCCTTGTCCATAACCATAGTACCCACTCCACTGATTTGGATCTGCTTGTGTAACGTAACCATCCTTTAACAATAACCAAAGATCAACAACTTCATTCAGTGAAACATCGAGTAATACAAGGCCATATATCAAATCAGTCTAGCTGATAAAAAAAGTATTCACCTGTCCTGGATTTTTACTCCAAGAGATGCGAACTGGTTGTTGACCAATCATATGTCCCTGCATTTTTTGAACGGCTTCTTCGGCAGAAGGCCTGAGGATCAACATGGTGCAGAAGACAAAAAGTTAGTGAACAGAGCTACGAATAAACATACATGACAAACCAACACATGGAAGCAATCATTCACAGGTAAATTCTGAGTTTTTACTGAATGGTTTACCGGGTTTTGAATTGAACATAACCGTATCCCTTTGTTGCAGGTATTTTGCAATAAATAATCTCTCCTAAATGTGAGAACGCTTTCTTCAGCTCTTCCTCAGTAACATTTGGGTCTAAACTGGCAATTGAAACCTGTACACACAAAACCAATGCATGAATACACGCAGAAGAACTCCGAGACAAAAGCTCAAGCTTTTTCAGATAAACAAAAAAAACTCACCGTTGTACAGGTGACGTCACTTTCAGGTGGAAGCACCTGTGCCGGTTGAGCAGCATAGACTGGTGCAGCAATTGCAGATGGGACTTGAACTGGATAAGCAGCTACAGAACAATTCCCAATCAAGCAAATGAATTTCCAAGTCTAAACAAAACTAGACTAACAAAAAAAAAAAATCAAAATCAGTGTTTAGTTCTCATACCTTTGGCGGCATAAGGTTGCTGCAAACCAACGCTCTTCTTAGGCGTCGCTGCGCTTATCCTCATAGGCCTCGTCGAGCAATACAAACCATTCATTTCAGCCATTGCCCTGTTCCTCTCACTCTCCTCTGCAAACTTCACAAATCCATAACCTTTCGACCGTCCTGTGCTCGGATCAGTGACAACCTTGGCACCTCTAACAGAAGAATAGTGAACACGGAACGTCTCCTGAAGGAGATAGTCTGTAACGTCAGGTGCTAAATCTCCAACAAAGATTGAATGATCAGGTCCAGCATCTACTTTCTGGCCTGAACCAAAAGAAGCCCAGTTTAACCGGAAAGTTAGCTCCGTTCCAGGCATCTGTGTCCCATTGTACGTCTGAAGAGTCCTCTCCGCCGCTGCGTGAGATATAAACTCTATGAAACCGTAACCTTCTGGTACGCCTGTGATCTTGTTACGTATCACCTTGACAGAAATTAGCTGCAAAATATATGAACTATGAATTGTTAATCGTTATAATGTTGATTCAAGAGGATCATATAACTTAAGAAATTAAACACACATATATACAAAAATATAAATCAGAGCTTGGAGAGAAGAATCTATCCAACAATTCTTACTTGCAAGGAAAAAAAAAAAAAAAAAAAAAAAAAAAACTAAATCCTATTGAGGAATTGGAAAATCAGCATCATCACCTCTACTATCTACTGAAATTGGGAGCCTTTCGGGAAAGAAGAAAACCTAGAAATTTAGAGATCAGAAGGTACCAAATTGGTTACAACCCAGGGAAATTGAGAGGTGTAAATTGGAAAATCACAAAGTCGCAAGACGCAGAGAAGCTGAGGAAGAAGTGGAATAGAGACGGGGAAGTGAATTCGTTACCTCGCCGGTTTGAGAGAAGTAGGAAGAGAGGTAACTTTCGTCGACCCAATACTGCAAATCGCCAATCCAAAGGGTTCGAACTTCTTCGAGCGTCTGTGGATGGTGATAGCCTTGTTGTGGCTGCTGCTGCTGCTGCATCATCATCGCCGTCGTCTCTTTTTTCTTCACTGGCGATTTTTTATTTAGCGTGAAAACGTAAACCTAAGCAAACACACGACGGGGCTATAGCCTTTAGTGGTGGTGCCGGTAAAAATTAGCCGACCAATCTAATATTTGAGTCGTTAATGTATTTTCCGGATTAATTTTAGTAAATTTACATTATTCTGAATATAACATATTACAAAGTATTTTCACTTTGCTCACCAAGAAAAAATTATTCTCAAGCTTACCATACTGTAAAATCAATTTTATAAGTAACTTTTGGTATTTAAATTAATGTGTATCTTCTCCAAAGTTATGCTCTATGTAAACCTGGCTCTCTCCCACCTAATCAAGCATGTTGCATTCATAAGTTAATCAGTAGCTTATAGCAAGCTTTAAGATAATGGAATTGACAGTTCACCTCAGTTTTGTTAGCTGATTGTTAACTCAATTGTTGGATGATTGAACATTATTTGCTGAGGAGACACATAAATCCGAGAACAAAACTTTGTTCTTTCAAATAAGTTTTCAAATATTGACATTTAATTTGAATTTACATGACAATACAAGTGTTCCTAGATTTTGATAGTCTTTTTAAGAGGATACTATGATGTTAGTGCACAATTAAATCATGCATATTCGTGGAGTAGAGCACAACAAACATTAACCACATATGCATATGTTTGTCTCTAAGTGGATGGATGCATGTGCTTCTTTGCATTGAAAAGAGTTTTAGTACTACATGATAAAAGATTCTAATGTGGTCAAAGTCAAAGCTCCAGGTTTATACACTTTGTTTCTCTTATACACTACAAACTAAAAATATTTGCTTAATCATAGCCAATAATGTCTTCATTTTAATTATGTGAGTGGTCTCTTCATTTTTTCCTTGACCATCTTGATCTTTATTTAGATACACAAGCACAGTGAAATTCAATTATGATTATTTGTTGTACCTCTTCGTTACAATCATTATTCTAGTCTTCAAACATTAAGTACAGGGTATGTTGAAATATTGTATTCTGCGTTGCATAGTAATGGACAGTTAATAATAAACAGTGACATGTGTTTTAGTAATAAGATCGTTGGTAACATCGCTGTCTCTCCTCTCTCTCTCGCGCCTATCAACGACAACATTCAATACTCGTACTGTTGCTCAAAACTAATCAAAGATAGGTACAACTATCTGCATAACTAAAACGAGTGGTCCAACACCAAGAAACCCGCGGAAGCTGTGAGTCCCTTTTCTCGTCAGCTTACTTGAAATTGAATTTGTGCTTGAACATAACTGGTGCTTTCTTCAGAGACATGAGGGTCAGGCATACGCACAGCTTGACGAGACAGATGAGAGTCTTCAAGTTGAAACAAATGGAGGAGGACACGGACACGAGGAGTTTGAGTTCAGCGAAATTTTTGTGCACCAGCTCATTCACACCATTGAGTTTGTGCTTGGAGCTGTTTCCAACACTGCTTCTTATCTTCGTCTTTGGGCCCTCAGGTACAAACTAGTAACTAGCTGATAAGACTCATCATGCTATTGTTTAACGCAAATACACAATGATTGCTAAAATATGCTTTGTGTTGGCTTATTGCAGTCTTGCCCACTCGGAGTTGTCCTCAGTCTTCTACGAGAAGGTCCTTCTTATGGCTTGGGGGTAAGTAAATGCAATTACATCTCTTACTCACTCTCTCTCTGCAAATCTCAGTTGTGGAACATATTAATAGCAGTACCTCTCTCTCTTTCTTTCTTTGTTTCCTTGGATGTTTCGGACAACAGTTTCAACAATATCTTCATCCTGATAATTGGGATCCTGGTGTTCATATTTGCAACCGTGGGAGTGCTTCTGGTGATGGAGACGTTGAGCGCGTTCCTTCACGCGCTGCGTCTTCACTGGGTGGAGTACCAGAACAAGTTCTACGAAGGGGATGGCTACAAGTTTGCTCCTTTCACTTTCACTCTCGTTGGAAACGAAGACGAGTGATGATTTTGGTCTTTACCATTTTGACTCAAGAAACTACCGGAAATGCTCTCTTCTGCGTGTGCATATATAAAAGTATGGCAAGGAGGATTCTGAGTTTCTTCTTGAATCAATTTTTTTTGGGTCCTCTCCCCGTTTTTCCTTGTTAGAAAAGAATATTGAATTTTAAATACCTTGGCGGAGGAGGGAAAATGGTGAAAATAAAAATGAAAATGGGGAAGAATGGGATTGTTATTTATTAGAAAGCCCCATTTTGTTATAGTGATCTTTTTGTGAAGCAAATAAGCTCGTGTTGCTCTCAAGTTCCAAATTTATTAGGCTCAGCATGGGAGGCACAATTAGGCACAAAACCATCAACCGAAACTTGTGCTACGGTTGATGCTTTTGTGTACACATGCCTTATTGATGTTTTTGCAATTCATTAAAATTTATTTGAAGGTTTAAAGTTTTGAACAGACAGAGAGGCAATGCAGATTGTGTGAATAAATGAAAACATCTAGACAGAGGCAGCGACTGTGGAAACCAAACTATCAACGCCACAAATGTTACGGCCTTTACATATCTTGTAGAAACCATTCTCTCCCCAAGAATCTCCCCACGAGTTTTTGATGATCCAATACGGCTTCTCTTTAAACCTGGCCTGAGCAAACCCGGCCGAGCCGTAACCCACAAGCAACACACCGTGGTTGAGCCGTCTCGAGCATATGTAAGGGCAGGACACTCCTCCGATGTAGGTTTGCATGTAAGCTGCGTTAATCGCCACTGCGAGACCAAACAAATTTAGCTATTAAAGGTTAATAATCACAGGGATTGTGAGAGGGTTTAGGAATGCATAAAGTGATTATTACCAGCAAGAGGGCCGTTTTTGACTAGGTTTGCAGCAATCTGATCTTCGTTGATAGAGACAACACTGAAGTTGGAGACAGAAGCAACAATCTTAGACTTGTCTAACTTGCAAGACCCAACATCAGTTCCCGTGTAAGGATAATCTTCCTCTCGCATGAGCCCTCCGGTTTTCAGCGTATACTCAAAGGCGCTGTTCATTAGCCCACCGTTGCAACCAGCGTCACATGACCCTTCCTGCTCTGGATCACACTGCCAACAAAAAAAGAGACACAACCTACGCTAAGATTGTTGCTTCTAGAGAAAATGTCTGACTATGGTTAAATAACAGAGCTTCCATGATGTTCAAAAAATGTATTTTTCAAAAATTTCAAATTTCAATCATCAAAAATAAGAAGAGAATGGTCTCAGACCTCGTGATCACAATCGACGAGCTGTTGTTCACTGAGACTGACGAGTTCGCCGGTTGCGAGAAAGTGAGCACCTTCAAGAGCACCTGTTGTGCTGAAACTCCAGCAAGACCCACAAGATCCCTAATAAGCAGTGATCAAATCGATATCAGAATTTTTTCAATCAATTCGAATTCGTTATCATCATCGTAACCAAACCTGGTTTTTGACGGGAGTAACAGCGCCACGATCTCTCCAATCAAACTCATCAGGAAGATTCTGAGTCGGGAGGATCGGAGCTTGATTAGCGTCACTGGGAAGCTTAAACCCACCATTAACGCCCAAATGCTTTCTCCTGAACTCAGAAGGAGTCAGATCCGAAAACTGCGTAACCCCATGACTCGCCGAAGGATCCATCTTCTGGTGACGCATCGCTCGCCGGAGATTAGCTCTGAAAACAGAGAATCTGTAGTGATGCTCCTCATGAGAACCGTAAACCTTTCCGAATTTCCTTTTGAAGTGAGAAAAGTGATCCTCCTCCGAGGACAAAACTTCCGGCTCCGCTTCATTAACCACTTGCCGGATCAAGAGATCGTCGCCGCCGTCGTTCTCACCGGCCGAAACAGAGAGGATCACAAAGAGAAGAGAAACGGAGAAGAAAACCTTAAAATAATAATCCATGAGTAATCGTTTGATCATGCAGAGAAAAGCAGAGAGGGTTTTTATAAAGGAAACTCTTGTTAGGATCTCAAAGAGATAGATACTCCATTGAAATCGGAAAAAAAAAAAAAAAAAAAAAAAAAAAAAAAAAAAAAAAAAAAAAAAACGGACGCTTTGAAACTGAATTCAAGCCAATTATGAGTTGACACGAGGTGATAGATTGACTTGTAGGTGTAATCTAATTTTCCCGCGAGAATGGCGGTTAGTTGGCACACGCAAACCTAACTGAAATTCTTCGAGAATCAGGAAATTAACCGGTATTTAGGCTTATATTTAACAACATGCTACTTTTGCTGCCCTGAAACGCTCCGGTTTAGTATATATCTGTTCAAAATAAATCCTGATTTGTTAAAATTCGGATCCGGTCTAGTTCAAAAGATCGACCAATTCATCATAGTAATACCAACAAGAAAAAGATAACGTGACATTAAAAAGAAAACGATATGTTTGCAACATGGATGAAATAAGATTGTATAGATTTTTCCACGACACAGAAAAACAATATAATGAAACTTAAAATTATTAGAAGCAATCTCCATATCAAAACTGCATAAGAAAAGTGACATTTGATTGATGATAAAGTCTCACTCAAGACTGGAACCATTTCCTGACTTGTCCAGTACTCTGTTGTTTTTGTGGGCCGGTTTTGGCTGATGACTTCTGCGAGAACTTTGATCTGTATTGCTCAATCAACATATCGAGTTTGTCCACAACCTCTCCACCACCTTGCTTCTTCTTCTCGTTCTGTTTCTCTTTTTGTCTCTTCCTCTGCCCATTCAAACTCTCTTCACCTCTCACCTCCCCAAGCTTCCTCTTTCTCGGTACATCGGTCATATCTTTGGACATCTTCTTCGGGTTCGGCTTCTCAGTTGACTCTTGCTGTTGTTTCATCCGCTGGCCATTCTGGTTTGAAGGCTGTTCTTGTGTGCGTGTAGGATTCGTCGTTCTCTTGTTCCTCGCATCTTCTTTCACCGAGACACTCTTCTCATCTGATTTTGCTTCTTCTCTCCTCTGTTCACGTGGGCGGCGCATAGGTCTCTTCTTCTTAAACCCGGTAGCATTCTCTTCCCTTGGACCAGTGCTGCCCTCTGCCTGTGCTTCGCCATTTGCCTGCTGCTCCTCAGATTCGTCGTGTCTAGTGCGTTGTTGCTGAAACCGTTGCTGCATTTCGTTTCGTTTCTTCAGCGTCCGGACATCATCAAGAGCAAATTCTATAACAGGGCGGTGTTGAGAACCAAATGTCTCTGCAAGAAAAGCCAAAACGATGACCGTAAATATGAGCTTGTGATTCTTGGATTTTACTGAATTCTATATCATATGTTGCATGGATTTGTTATCTCTCATAATGATATCAGTCTCTAAGAAGGTTTCAGCAGCAACGAGATTTACCAGGATTGTTGTTAAGTACTCTCAGGGCCACAAGAGCATGCTCATGCTGTGTGAACTCTACAAACGCAACTCCACGTGAGTGGTTCTTCGTATCAACTTTACCCTTCTTTTGATCTTTTAAGAACTTGATCTGCATTGAAAAGAAAGAAACCAGAGTCAGATAATAGAACAATGTTTGAATAATAGCACAAAGGCAGCAAAAAATATGTGACCTGTCGGATGGTTGGCTTCTGCTTTGTAGCTCGTGAGATAACAGCTTTAACTAAGATCACTCGTAGTTGATTTTCTTTCATGGACTTTGGCACATTATAGATGATAAGCCTCGTTTTAGATACATGGAAGTTAGGAGACTCAAGCTTTTTCATCTTCTTATGATGCAATCTGCAGAGGACAACCAAACATGCTCAATCTTCTCTCATCCCACATCACTAGACAGTAACACGCATATATATAAGAAAGTAAGGCAAAAAAAATTTACGTTCGTCTCCTGTTCATATCTTCTGCAGAAACACCCTCGGCAGCAGGTGTACCATCAAGAATAAGACCTTCCTGTGATGAATATAAGTAGATGATTAAAGAGCATGCAAAGATTACGACTTTTCCAGAGATTTTGTGATGACCGAGAGAATTATGTACCTCAGCAAGATTAATGTTCCGATGGTCACGATTCTTCTCCTTTGTCTTTTCGAGTACTATGTCCTGTGCAGATTTCTTACTCACAGCTCTCTTAACGTCCAGTTGCCTGCCTTTAAGAAGGATACCGACACCTGAGGCAGTGCTGGCAGCTGAAATGGCTGCATCTGATGCTTCTGCTGTTTTGAACTTGAGAAAAGCATTTCCTGTTGGTCGTCTGAGAAAGAAAACACAAAGAGAGACAAACAATGAAGCTTTGGATTTGGGAAGATAACAGGGCCAGAATTTGCTTATAGGACTGAACGAAATTTAAAAGCATAGAAGGATGCATACTTTGTGACTGAGTGGAGAACTAGGAATAACGATTCAACTTGCCCAAATTCAGCAAACCTCTGTTCGACATCGTCCTTACTAACATCATATGGGAGGTTCCTTATGAATACCTTTCTCTCAAAATCCTCATCATCCTGCGTTACTTTAGGAGCCATCACTTTCGTTTTACTAGATTTCAGAGGTTCAGAGACACCAGAATCAGCGCCAGCCTTATTTAACGAATCCTCAAGTTTGTTTTTATCTGACTCCTTTTTCTCTCCATCAGGAGAAGCAATAGAACCTTTTGAAGACCCAAGAAAGTTCTTAAGCACCTTTCTCGCAACATCTGCATCCTCTTCAAAATTCACATTGGTTCCAGCATCTTTCTCCAGTGCATCTGATTCACTCGGTTTGTTACTGCCGTCCTCTTCCTCCTCATCAGTATCATCTCCTGAAGATTGGTGGCTTTCGACAGCATCTTCAACCTCCTCCAAATCAACACTACTGTTATCACTGTCCCCATCACTTTCATTTTCGTCACCTGCCAAGGTTCACGCCAAGAAGTATGAATATTCTATTAGGAAGAGAGAATACAAAAGTTCCGCCACCGACTGTATTTAATCCCCTGGTTATATACCCTAGGCATTCAGTTTTATCGTGTCAATAACAGAATATCAGATCTCCATATTCAAAATAACAACAAAAAGTTTAAAACCATTAGGTAAGCTATTAAGATTCCCAGCAATTAAAAAACAATATGGTAACATACCATCTGCTGGAGCAGTAGCGGCATCAGCAACACCACTGTAAATATTCTTAGCTACAGCCCAGTCTACAGCTATAGGTCTTTTATTAAACATGTGCCCATTGAAGTTTTCAATTGCCTGAGGATGAAAAAATTAATAAGACAATTGATCTGAATCGAAAATGACCAAATCAAGATACACATGTTTCTGAATCTTACCTTTTCTGCGTCTCTCTTACACGTGAATTTGACAAATGCAAAGCCCTTGGGTAGCCTGCCAAAATATTCCACTAAATGAGATCAGTATACAGTGATCTACTCATAATCAAGATAATTACTCAAACGAGTTAGAACATACCCAGTATCAAGATTTTTAGGAACGAAAACATCCCAGACAAACCCTACTGCCGAAAACACCTGTTTGATTTCACTAGGTTTAGCCTGCAAATTCCAAGAAAGCCATGAGAAAAACACAGCTTTATTTATGAAACTGTATAAATAACATAAACTCCGACTATAAGAACCTGGAAAGGAAGATTTCGGATAATCAGTTTCCACTTCTGAGCCTTTGAGCCCTGCCTCCAACAACAACAAAATTCAAGAGTTCGTGAACTGTTCCGAATGCTAATAAGTTAACTTGTCGATAGAGGTACAAAAGGTGAAAAGCAAGTAATGTTTACCTCCCCACCGAGCTGACGAGCCCAAATGAAATTTCCCTTTATCTCTGTGTAATGAAGTGCTGCAACAGCAGCACAAGCAGACTTGACACTCGTAAAGAGAACAGCTGATGCATCTGGCCTGCATCCGTCTTGGGTAAGACCTGATAAAAATAATAGTTCTAGTGCTTAATGAATGCATCAAATAAATTTATACATAAATGCAGACAGTAGTAGTTAGCATGTTGATATGGTGTCTTGCAAATTCTAGTCAGATACCAGAAAGGGTATGTGCACACAAGCTTTAAGGAAATATGATGTGACACATATGCTAACACCATTTACGAAATGCGAACCTTGTACTAAAAAAACATGATTGGATTTGTTATTTGCCTCCACTTTATTGACAAGATTCTTACCATTTTGTTGAAGCTCTTCTTTGGGGAGGGGATATCTGACAGAGCACACAGTGCCGATCTCTTTAGCACGACTATGGACCACCTCTGCCATCTCAGCATTAACAAGGCCACCAAAGATTACAGTTCTTGCAACTCTTCACCCACCGAAAAACATAAGAACAATATGTAACCTTAATGATACTTGTAGATTTTTTTTTTTTCAAATCTATTAAACTATACGCTTAATCTCCAATCAGATAGTAAGATACTATAAATACATAAACAAAAAATCACCATGTTATTCTAAAAACCATACCTTTGCTTATCTGAACATGTTTCTTTATCAGCTAAATCAATATGAAGCTTTGTTGGATTTTTGCGCTCAATCGGCTTCTCTACATTTTTGGGCTTCTCTACTTGTTTGCGCTCAATCGGCTTCTCTATATTTTTGGGCTTCTCTACTTGTTTGCGCTCAATCGGCTTCTCTACTTTTTTCTCGGGTGGAGGAACTGATGCACATACAAATTTAATAATATGAGACAAACGAGAACCAAACTTACTTAGACTCAGAAACAAATGTAGGCAAATCTCATACCTTGCTTGTCTGTCTCAGGGATTAAACTGCCCTTATCACTCTCTGCCTGGGAATTATCAGGTAAAGCGACCCCTAATTCGCATAAGAAAAAAAGAAGAAACTGATATGTCAATGAATATGTAATGTGGAATGCTGAAATGGCAGTAAAAACTGAACCTTTAGATTCCAAAAGTTTACAAACACCAACCTTCGGCTGCTTTAGTACGACGCTGTTGAAGAGAAGGCCGATGCGCAGCCTGTTTAACTGTAACCTTACGGCCCCCAACAATAGAACCGTTCTTCAGCTCAATGGCACGATCAACATCTTCCGGTAAAGCACTGCAGAGAGTAGCAAACATATGTAAATACTGTAAGTGGTACTCAGTAAGAGAATAGTTGGTTTTTCAACAGATGAAGTGTAGCTTACAATTTAACAAACGCAAAGCCTCGGTGTTCATTTGATCCTGTAAACAAGAAATAAGTAAACAGGGGCAAAAGAAGATTAGCTTTTGATAAGCGTATGACCAAAAAAGTGATTAACTTTAAATTCGAATTCACTCACCTTTGTTTGTGACCAAAAAGCAACGCCTGACGGGACCAACGTCGCTGAATGCTTCTTCAAGCTGAAACAATTGGAAACAAAACAATACCTCTACTCAGAATTTGAAGAAAAATACATTTGAATATCTCTGAGAATTCATTCAAATAATCGATTTTTACAATTCACCAATGCAAAACCCGAATCAACAAACAATTACCGGACTCTAGTAATAAAAAAAAAACAAAAATCATTGTCTGGAGAATCAAGGCAATGAATAGAGCTAGAGAAATAAGGTACCTGAGCGTTGGTGAAGGAATAAGGCAAGCCAGAGACGCATACTGTGGCAGCAGAGTGTTCAGATTTTTCTTCTCCTTCTTTCCTCTCTCTCTTGTTTTTACCCATTGATGATACCTTAGAATCTAGACTGAGTGATTGAGATTCGGACTTCAAAACGATTTTGAGTTGCAGAGCTCAAAGAGGGCTGAGAAACTGAAGATGTGAAGAAGCAGAAGTAATCTAGGGTTTATTTACTAAACCACTAAACCCAAGCCAACCAGGCTAAACCAGATAAAACTACACCGACCCCGAATAGCACAATTTCAGTTTGGTCGGCTCAGTTTTTTGCCGGTTATTGGTTTTTCTTTTTTGTCGGCACCTTTTTATTTGCAGTGCGATTGCAATTTGGTTGGTTAGTCTTTTATTGCATTGATAACCGAAACCAAAATCATAGAAGGCTATAGAACCATTTAGACTAGACTCAATAACACAAATTTGGTTCATCTCTTAAAAATTGAAAAAACAGATCGAACACAGAGTCGAATCCCAAATTAAAATCCATCTTTGTACCTAAAAATATGGCAACAAAATCGAATTACAAACTCTTCTCCGATTTACCGAAAATTCCAATGCCCGGTTCGAACCGGTTATGATCGGTTATCAAATCACATCACCTTGTGAACAAGCACTTGATATCTTCCCTCACCTTCATCGTCTCAAGAAATGCATCTCCGGAGTTATCAACATCAACGGCTCTTAACTCAAAATCACCTCTTCCTGATCCAACATTCCACTCGAACCACATCTTCGACATCATCTCTTTCCGCGAACACGTTTCGTAGTTCTCTTCCTCCGGCGAATCAGCAGCTATGAGCCGGTACGCATACACTTTCTTCTTCTGCCCTGGTCTGTAAGCTCTAGCCACCGCTTGCTGAGTCACCGACGGGTTTAGATGAACATCGAGAATCAGCACTCGCGATGCGCCCACAAGCGAAATGCCTTCTCCACAAGCTTTGATCGATCCGAAGAAGACTTTAGCATGAGGTGAATTGTTGAATCGCTCCATTGACAATTCCCTCTGCTCATTGCTCGAATCCCCTGTGATTGTGAACATCTCTTTCCCCAGTCTCCAACCTTTCATTGAGCTCAGGAGTCTCTCAAGGGTCTTAATCGGTATTATGTATTGGCTAAACACCAAAAGCTTATCCCCTGTTGATTCACACAGAGCTAAGAGGTTGAGGAAGAACTTCATCTTCACACCGTCTCTAACATTGATCTCCTTCAGCAGCTTGTCAAGCTTCTTCACCGTCTTACTGTTATCAGCAAATCCCTTCTCTCCATTCGACGGATTCTCCTCCAAGAAAGACTTAAGCTTTGGATGTATGTACAAAGCAGCACCAACAGAGAACTGCTTGAACAAATCCATTTTCCTCAGACTCTTGACTTTATCTCTCTGCACTGAGCTCAGATTGAGCATAACAGTGAACTCAGCAAGCCCCGGAAGCAAGCCGCTGAAGTCTGCTTTGTGGTAATGCAAGATCTCACGGGTCATTAGGCGTAGATCTTGTATCAAGCTGGCTTTGGCAGAAGAGTTTGTGCTCTTCCGCAATGTGAGCTCCACCGCAGCGAAGAAAGTCCCTTCGATGCTACTATGGTTCATCTGTTTACCTCTCGGTGTCTCTGCCTTGCTCATGATACGGGACACAATCTCCCGAGCTCCAGGGCGTTTCAAGAACTTGGGACGAACGAGATTCAGAATGTTGAACACTTCCTCAACGTTGTTCTGGAACAAAGTACCTGTGAGAACCACTTTCCGAGGAGTCTTGACACGAGCAAGCGAGATAAGCATGTTCGTCTCCTTGTTCCTCGATGTATGGCCCTCGTCAAGTATGAGCAGCGTTGGCATATGGAGCAGTATCCGTTTACAGTCTTCTGAAACCGCATCTATGTTATCATCGCAGATGATCTTGGCGAACTGTTGGTACCCAAGAAACAGAATGCTTCTTTGTTCAACCCATTGTGTCAAAACTTCTAACTGCTGCTTCCGTGATTCAGCTCTGGCGCTGTAAAGATCAAGCAGGGGAATGCTCTCGACCGCCCAAAGAGTAAACTCTCTCTTCCATGACTCGATGATCCCCTTTGGTAGCACAATCAATGGTTTAGCCTGAGGATCCATAGCCATGAAGCTCTGCATAAAGCTGATGAGAAGAAATGTCTTGCCTGATCCCGGTGCATGAGCTAAGATGCATCCACCTGGCTCATCAGCTCCAAGGTTGTTGCATAAAAATCTGAATCCTTCGATCTGGTGAGGTCTCATCTCTTTATCATGCCTAGGGTGGATGAACATTTTCTCTCCCAAAATGTTTGTCTGAGAAGATGACCAGTTTTTTTCTGAGAATGGCATGCTTGTTTCCTCGGTATCTTGTTCACGCATATAAGTTCTTCGGGATCTCTTCGGCTGCATCAGGAAAGAAAGGAGTGAAAGATTTGCAACAGCTAACAAAGCCAATATAGACCAGGGTGAGTTATCACTGACCTTGTTGAAGACAACCTCAATCATGCTCTCAATTGGTGTCTTGATGAGTCCACAAACACGGCATACTTCTCCAGTATCGTCCTTGTAGATGAAGGAATGGTCACAGTCTTCTAGTGGTTTGAGATCAACACCTTGTGAATACTCCACTGTCACCTAACCAAGAACCAAGGCAAAAATCAGCTGAATACAGAGAAGCACATATCGGCACCAGAAGTTGTGTCTATATGTATATGCAGATTAGAGAAGATGTATGGAGCTGTTGGTCTATGCTCTGTGATTCATTGAGAAATGTACCTTAGATGATTCTTCAGCAAATGCCATCTGCCTCCAAAGTTCTTCTACTTCTTCTGCGTGTGGATATGGAGCAGTTATATTGTCATTATCTGTGGAATCCACCTCGTCATAACTTGAGGAATTTCCGCTCTTCACATCATCACTGGAACCGTCTCTTGGAGCATCATTGTTAGCGAAAATGGGAACCGAGGCATGAGTGAATTTAGGAAAGGGCAAAAGCTCATGATGATCATCATCTACAACAATCACTTCCTCGGTTGCCTTGAGCTTCTTCACTCTTTTTTCTAGAGGCTACAAAATGCAGAACGGCATCATAAAGGTTTAGACTTGGCAATAAACTTAAGATGGAATCGTTTTAGACAAACATTAGCTAACATCTATGAACATTAATAATCTTACAGTAACTGATTCTTGGGGCAACTCATCGTCGGAGTCAGTGATAAGAATGCGAGCAGACTTGGCTTGTTTCTTCTGTTCTGTGCTTTTGATATCTTCCAGTGAGATAGAACCATTCAAGACGTTCTTGTGCAGCTCACAAAGTCGCTTTATGTCATGAGCTAAATATCCGTATTTAGTCTCTTTAAAGCCATCAAGGAGATTCGGTAGAAAGAATGGGTCAGGACGCTTGGCAAGTTCTTCTTGTGTAATTCTCTTGGTACGACGCAGCCTCGAAGACCAAGCTGTGTCAATCATCAATCAGAAGGAATCAGTGAACATTTGCAACAAAAGGAGTTTAATTTCTTGTTACAGTATCACTCTTATCTCAAACAAACCCCAAAAAAAGGAACGAATTTTAAGTCAGAAACTCAACCAGGAGGAAATCTACAGCCAGAAATGAACTTAAGGAAACAAAACCCATGTGGGTTTTTAGAATCTAAAACAGTGTAATCAACAACAGATTCGGGGTTCAGGGCTAGAAATCAAACAAAACCCATGTGTCTTTTTAGATTCTCACACTCCGATTTTGAATCTTTGGACTTCCATAAACAGAGATTAATCTTCTTACTCTTCGCAACACCATTTTTATTCGGCAAAAGAGCAACAACAAGGTCACAAGCAAAGAGAGATCTACATTACATAAGAAGTAGAAACGAGAGTGTATGTATACGTACGCGTCTTCCATTCCTTCGCAAATGGAGAATGATTAGTACCCACCATTACCGCTAAACAGAGCTCCTCAGATCGAAAACAGAACCAAAAACTATGCCAAAGATCCCAAGATGCACGCTTTATGCATAAAGTAGTGAGATTTCAAGCAATAACGACAAAGAAATTTGCTTTTTTCTGGAAAAGCTTGAAGCTTTTTTCTTTTCCCATAATAGAAATAACTCGTGTGCCAAAGGAGAGAGAGTTTTGGGAGCTGTAGATAAGTCATAAAGACAAAAGAATAGCTGTATGTATAGACTTGTAAACTTGCTCTCTACTCTGAGTACTTGTGTGTATGTTATGCTGTCTAGTGTCTACGTGCCATGGCATCTCCAAAATGTTTAACCATTTTAAACGGCTTAAAATCTTTAAAAAAAATCTTACGGAGCATAGAGAATGTGATTAGTAATGTATTTCAACTCATGTTAGAATGTGATTGTTTGACACTAATATATGTGTTTGCAAACATATATGAAAAACAAATGAGTTTTTTGTAACAAAAATCGCAAAGTGTATATGGTTGAATCTTGTAGAATGACGAATATGATCGATGGAGACTATGTCCATTTTGCATCTCCTATCATTTACCACTACAAAATTCTCTTGTGAGAAATTAAGATTATGTCCATTTTGTAATGTATATGTTTCCTGTTTACATGAAAGACGATACGAGAGTGAATACAATTCTGTCAATACAAACCTTCCTCTCACATTATCGCATATGGTTGTAACTGTGAAATTTGTGATCCTGATTATAGATTGGGAAAAAATATAAAATAAAATTGTTTTTCATTAATATCATTACTTTTTTATGGTGGTATAGTGGTGTTGGTAGCCCGATGAACATAAAAATTTCATGGTCGGAGATGAAATATATCTAGTAGGATGGGTAATGTGATATTTTTATTGAATGGTTTTAGTTAAACTGCGATACAAATACATTCTCCATGAAGACAAGCATAGTAGTACTCGGGGTCGTGGCATTCTTTAGCATCGGGGCAATCACTGTCCCTCTTACACTTTAACGTTTTGGTGGACTCAAACTTGAATTTCTGAGTATCACAAACGCAATGTCCGTTTACACATCCCCCAGAACCACCATGACATAATCCTGCACAATCTGCTGGTTTTTGGCATGAGTGTTCAAACAGTGCTTGAGTTCCAGAGAGGCTCACCAACAATGTGCCTACAAATTGCAAAGACATATCAGTATATATCATATATTTTGAGTGAGTCTTTTAAATCGATTAAATCAACATAAAGAGTATAGAGAGAAACTAACATGAAAGATACAGAACGAAAACAATGAAAATAGTTGATTTTTATGATGCCATGTCTTTTTTTGTTTGGTGTGATTTTTGTTTGGTGTGATAGGCTCGTGGTTACGAGTTTATAAATAAGTTAGAATATATAAGTTCTTATTTTACTCCTAATATAATTTGTTATTTCATTCCTAATATAATTTGTTGACTACAAATTCTATGTGACAGTTAATGTAAATGTATTGGTTGAGAATCAATTTTTCTATGTTGGTTTGGTAAGTAGAATGAAAGATATTGTCAAAAAAGGTAGATAAAAGTCGTAGGGAAAAAAATAGAAAGTATTGTTTGACTGTTGACAATTTTTTTTTTGTTAAACTAGCAATAAATCTTTCATTCAAATTCACTTGTAATAAACAATTATTTGTTGCTTTCTTTGAGTAAATAAAATTAATTTATTTGACTAGTAAGTAAAACATTTTTATTTTGGCTTTGTTATCTGTTATGATTATAAGGAAAACATATATAATCTTGATTACGGGTCAAATATTTCCAAAGACACAATATTGAGAGTTTATAAATTGGATTTTGGGAAGTGGCATTTGTCATCATCCTCTTCATAAAAGCAAAATGAAACATCACCATATCCAAATTCTTGACTTTCTATGAAGAAACTTGGCAGTAAAAAATCTGAATGGATACATTATAGCTCAAATTCCTGCATATGAAAAGAGGTTCTTGATGATCAGTTTTCTACATGGTTATCTTGAGGTTCTGCTTAAAGGATTTTCAACCGATGTGAAATGTCCTTGTTTGATCATGCTGACAAAGTTGGGTATTTAACTGAGTTAAGAATGTTGATTTTCTACTGTCAAGTTTCTACATATAAAGTTAAGAATTTGGACATGGTGATGCTTCATTTTGCTTTTATGAATAGGATGAGAACAAATGTCAGTTCCCAAAAATCCAATTTAGGAACTCTCAACATTGTGTAATATTTGACATGTAATCAATAGGAATACATTTTATTTAATTGTTCGGATTGATACAGTATATGCTAACTCTATAGCTTGTCGAACCATACAAAACTTGGCGATAATGTTGAGCATTGCAATTCTTTTTACACCCATAAGAGTGATTTGTGCAGTATACATTGTGATGGATGCGCGCAAAGGATACTTTTACACATCACAACTTGTTAGCTAATTGCTAAGAGAAACATCAAAGTCTTGTTGAATCAGATTGTTTTTTTAGTGTTTATATAAAAACTCAAAAATCTACTTTATGTAAAATTTAATTTGAGTTCAAAATGTTCATTTAGTTTCAACGGATGCAAAACATAAAACTGTATACGAAGAACTCAGAGCATGTCCATTGGTGAGACTCATAAATAGAGTATCATAAAATTATTATATTAATTTAATTTAAGTTTTTAATTAAATTTAAATATATAAATTTATAACTCACACATATGATGACACATGTATTTTGGGTCTCTTATACTATTAAGAGAGTATGTTTGGAGAGAGACGTATCAGCCTTTTAGACATTCACTCTTTTCCTTTTTTTTCTTTTTCATTTAATTTTAATTTTAAGAGACTGATATAGTTTTACTGATGGACATGCTCTCATAAATATTAGTATTAGTGTATAGTGACTCAAATATAGTTTTTTCAGTTTTTTTTTTAAGAATCAATGAACACAATAATTTTACAATGTGTAAAGAGAACAACTAATTCATTGAATTGGATTGGATTATTTTGATTCATTGAATTGGGTCTCTGATCAAACAACTAATTTGACGAAGAAGACGTAACGACATTTATTCGAAAATCTTATAACGAATTTATCCCCCAAGAAAATAAAAGTCTCAGAATCATTCATTGGTTAATTGATTGATACTGTAATTGAAAGTCAACTACACACTGAAATTATATTCGGAAGAGGAAATTTACAAGTTTACACACTTAAAACAAAAAGCCCACGTGAGGCTTTCCCAATAGCCGTCTCTTTCCTCTCGCTTTCTTCTTGTTCCAAATTTCCCAAATCCCTCCACATAAACCCTAGAAATCAAAATTCGCTACTCTCTCTGTTACTGATTCCTTTCGATTTTACAACTTAATAGCCCGGAAAAGCTTTCATTTTTCTCCTCCCACAATCCTCTCTCTTCTGCTCTGAACCGTCGCTTAAAGTATTTCTCCGTCTTTTCACTCCTCCATGGATACGCAGCAGCAACAATCCGCCATTAAAGTAAGCTCTGAAGATAACCAAAGGCCACTTTTTTTTCGCGAGTTTTCTAATCGAAGCTTTTTGAAAATTTCCGTGCTGGGTTTTAGGGCGCGAAAGTGCTTATGGTTGGGGCTGGTGGGATTGGCTGCGAGTTACTGAAGACTCTTGCTCTTTCTGGATTCGAAGACATTCATATTGTAAGTTCGTCGATTCGTTTTCGTGAATTTGAGTATTCATTCAAGTTTGTGGCTTCTTCTTCGTTTTTTTTTTTTTTTTTTTTTTTCCTGAGATTCGAGTTACAGACCAAAGTTCAACCATTTCGAATCTCCCACTGAGCTACAAGATTTAATTTGAGGTCTAGGGTTTCGAAATTATTCATAAAATTTGAAAAATTTCTACATCTTTGAGCTTTTTGACTACATCGAATCCTACTGAACAGTAGGAAGGTTGCTTAATATGTCTGTGTGTTTAGCTGTCTTCGCTGATAGATTTAGTGTATAGTGTAGATTCATGATTAACTTTTTGTTATCGGAAACCAGTAAATGGAGTTTCAGTTTTGCTTCTGGTTCTTATGGATTTTGGAAATGAATAGAGCAGCGACTTAAAAGATTAGTTTTTATCCTATGTTATCTAAGTTATTGGTTCTCTTATGTTACAGATTGATATGGACACTATTGAAGTCAGTAACCTGAATAGGCAATTTTTGTTCCGTCGTTCACATGTTGGGCAGTCCAAAGCTAAGGTAATTTTTGATTGTGCTAAGTCCAATGGATTCCTGTTCAAAAGAGTTCATAATATGAATTTTCCGTATCACCAGGTTGCTAGAGATGCGGTCTTGAGATTTAGGCCTCACATTAATATACGGTCATACCATGCAAATGTGAAGAATCCCGAGTTTGATGTTGATTTCTTCAAGCAATTTGATGTTGTGCTGAATGGACTGGACAACTTGGACGCAAGGCGGCATGTGAATCGTCTCTGTCTTGCAGCTGATGTTCCTCTTGTGGAAAGCGGGACAACAGGCTTCTTAGGACAGGTTATTCCCCATAAACCACCCTTTGGTCTTGCAGTTCTTAATTCTTATATCTCTAGTTGTTAACATTTCTCTGTGTCTGACTTTGTAATACGTGTTTGGATCAGGTAACTGTGCATGTTAAGGGAAAGACGGAATGTTATGAGTGCCAAACTAAACCTGCTCCAAAGACATATCCTGTGTGTACAATAACCAGCACTCCAACTAAGGTAGGAAGATTGTGTTGTTCGGTCTAATTGGTATCGTCTTAATCCTAAGTCAGAGTACTTGTTATTAATGTGCCAATGAATTTTGGATTGATTCTACAGTTTGTGCACTGTATCGTGTGGGCCAAAGACCTGCTCTTTGCAAAGCTGTTTGGCGATAAGAATCAGGAGAATGATCTTAATGTGCGATCCCACAACGCTGCAAGCTCATCGAAAGAAAAAGAAGACGTTTTCGAACGTGCAGAAGATGAAGATATTGAGCAGTATGGTAGAAAGATATATGATCATGTGTTTGGTTCTAACATTGAAAATGCTTTGGCCAATGAGGAGACATGGAAAAACCGTAGACGACCAAGGCCTATATACAGCAAGGAAGTCTTGCCTGAAAGTCTGACTCAACAAAATGGTAGCGCTCAGAATTGCTCTGTTACCGGTGGTGATTCGGTGATCTCTGCGATGCCGTCGCTTGGCCTGAAGAATCCACAGGAATTGTGGGGTCTAACACAGAATTCTCTAGTGTTTATAGAAGCATTGAAGTTGTTCTTCGCCAAGAGAAAGAAGGTGGCATTTTCTGTCAAATCTCCCAGTTTATATATAGGTTTCGATTTGCTGATTAATTCATGGTTTTGTCTATATGCTGCCACAGGAAATAGGACATCTTACCTTTGACAAAGATGATCAGTTAGCTGTAGAATTTGTCACTGCTGCTGCAAATATCCGAGCTGAGTCTTTCGGAATTCCTTTGCACAGTCTTTTTGAAGCCAAAGGTATTGCTGGAAACATTGTTCACGCCGTTGCTACAACTAACGCCATTATTGCTGGTTTGATTGTTATTGAAGCAATCAAAGTGCTGAAAAAGGATGCGAACAAGTACAGGTTTGTTATTTCACGACTGTTGATAAGATTCAGAGTCCTTAATATCCTTTGTATAACGTCTCTACTCTCAATGTCTATCTGTAGAATGACATATTGCTTAGAACACCCAAGTAGAAAGATGCTTCTTATGCCAGTCGAGCCATTTGAACCTAATCCTTCTTGCTATGTCTGTTCCAAGGTAATAAATATTACGTTTTGTTTAGCCTTGTTTCCTAATCTTTATTGCATTACCAATTTCCGGGTTCTCTCTTTTGTATTGTCAGACCCCTTTGGTACTTGAGATCAATACTCAGAAATCGAAACTACGAGATCTAGTTGATAGAATTGTCACAGCCAAGCTTGGAATGAACCTGCCATTGATCATGCACGGGGCGTCACTTCTTTATGAAGTTGGTGATGATCTTGATGATATCATGGTTGCAAACTACAATGCTAATCTTGAGAAGGTACAGCCTTGGTTATTTTATAATTTCCTCTTCAAAAGCCACATGCTGGGATTTCGTAGTTTTTGACATGCTCGTGTTTCTTTTGTCAGTATTTAGCGGAACTTCCTTCTCCCATTGTCAATGGAAGCAGTCTCACTGTGGAAGATCTCCAACAAGAGCTATCTTGCAAGATTAATGTCAAGCACAGGTTTTTTATCTTTTACCTTGTGGAACTTGTTTCGAAATCATTTTGGTTGCATATCCTTGAAATCTATCTGTTGAATCAAATCATGAAAGCTTTCGTCTTTTGAGATGGGTTATCATCAGACACCACCATTCTAGTGTTTCTGAAAGCTTTAGATGGTCCTTCCATGGCAGAGGATTCACGTACATCCTCTGGTTACTTTGTTTCTGTGACAGGGAAGAATTTGACGAGGAAAAAGAACCTGAAGGAATGGTGCTCTCTGGATGGACACAGCCTCCAGCTACGAATGGAGAGAGCGCATCAACATCAAACAATGAGAATGCGGTTGATGTGACAGAGAGTTCCTCAGGAAGTGAGATTGCTACTAAGAAGAGAAGACTCTCTGAGACACAGCCTGAGAATCATAAGAAAGAGACGCAGAATGTGGAGAGTGATGATGATGATTTCATGGAGATTGAAAATCCCATGTTGGTGAGCAAGAAGAAGAAAAGAGTTGAATAGGCTTTTTGTTTTTTAAGCTCTGATCTCTAAATCCTTACTTTACTTTTTTTGTTTCTTTCTTCCTAACTTTCTGAATTTGTGTCACGAAGAATTACAAAGTATGAATTAGGGATTCTTTGTTGGGGAAAGAAATTACTCGGATTGTTAGTCAGGAGCTCTCAGGAACTCGAAAAGAAAAGCAATCTTTGCTTTCAGAGACGACTCTGTAATTTTCTCACTTTTCACTAACTGTAAGAGCTCCTTTGTATCTTTTATTCTCGTTATCAAATTATCTCTCTTTTTCTTTTCTCTGTTGAAGAAATCTTAAACTACTTTAAAAAAAATTGGGATGAAATAGTCTAATAGACTAAACGAATCTTGGTCGATAATGAAATAAAACTCACATACACTTGATGCAAATTTGCATTATGTAACCTAAGTACAAACAGCCTAACACATGAGCGGAGGAGTAGATAAATGCAATAGCATTATCCTCAAATGTACAAAAATAAAACAAATACAACATATCAAATCACCTTGAGAAGAAGATCAATTTCTTCTTTATCTTCCGTTGAGACTACCAAACTGAGTAAACATGGTGGTTCCAGAGGGATCGTCCACCGCCGAGTCATCCTTCTCTCCAGGCTGAGTGACCGGACGTTCACTTCTTGCTGCGCTGGTGGCTGTGGTGGGGGCATGTGGAGAAGCCACCGTAGCAGCAGCCACAGGCACACCGGTATCATCATCACCCTCCTCAGCCTCATCAGTTTTTCCCTTAGCAAAGGCTTCTTGAAGCTGAAGAGCATATTCCAAGTTCCACAAAACATCTCCCATTGTTGGTCTATCAACACCATAATCTTCCAAACACTTCTCTGCAGCTTCTGCAAACTTATTCATAGATTCAGGATTCGCATGGCCAAGAAGATGAGGATCAATGATCTTTTCCATCAACCCTTTCTGTTTCCACTGCATAGCCCATTCGGCTAAATTAACCTGCTCTCTTGGTAGCGCTGGATTGATGGCTGGTCTAGCGCACAGAGCTTCTAGAAGAACAACACCAAACGAATAAACATCTGACTTGTCCGTAAGCTGTTGTCTCCTGAAGTACTCCGGGTCTAAATACCCGAAACTACCTTTCACCGCCGTGCTGACATGGTTCTGTCCGAGTTCCACGTCTTTGGAGAGACCAAAATCAGCGACCTTAGCAACCAAAGCTTCGTCAAGAAGAATATTCGTTGACTTGACGTCGCGATGTATGATCCCTTGAGCTGTTCCCGTGTGTAGATAGTGAAGCCCACGAGCAGCTCCGATGCATATCTCGAGACGTTGCTTCCACGTCAGAGGCTTGGAAACGTCTTTACCGTAAAGATGGTCTCTGAAAGGACCATTGGACATGTATTCATAGACAAGGATCATCTCTGAGTTCTCGTCGCAGTAACCAATCAAGGACACCAAGTGTCTGTGTCTGAGCTTAGACAGCATCTGAATCTCTGTGTGGAACTCTGTGATCCCTTGCTCTGACTGAGGATTACCTCTTTTGATCGCAACTTGAGTGCCATCATCTATTGTTCCGATGTAAACGTTTCCGAATCCACCAACACCGATGATCTTCGACGCATCGAAGTACTCGGTGACTTCTTGAAGCTCTGAGAGAGAGAAGTTACGTCCGAGGCCAAGCGTGGAGTTGTACATGTTGGATTTGTGAGAACCACCTTTGCTTGTCATGAAGCTACTGTCACCTGCGTGTATAGGAAGCAACCAAGAAGAGAAACTGTTCCTCTTCTGCCAATCTTGTGGTCTCTTCTTCCACTTGTAAACCATTGCTCCAAGTCCTACAAAAGCTCCAAACATCATCACAAACCCCGCGGTTGCAACCATCCCGTGCTTCCCCATCCCAATCGTTCTTCCATCAACTCCAAACTCTCCGTCAAGACTGTTCACTGCGTTGCTCATCTTCAAGACCTCGACTCCATTCAAGATCGCGTTCTTGGTTCCAGTGTCTTCTCCCATGGGACCAATCTGGACCTGAAGCTCTTGTTTCATGAGCGTAGAGTTGACAACAATGTCTTTGTAGTAAGGAGCAGAGAGATCTCCAGCTACAGTGGACAAATCCAGACCAGAAATGGCGGTCTTGCCGTTGATGTAAACGTTGAAGTAAAGGTCATTAAGGGACTTGCTCACAATGTCACAGAAATGAAGACGGATGAGGTAATGAAACGAAGGGTTTGATGGGAAGTTCCATGTGACGTTAAAGTTAGGATCAATGGTATGAGAATCAGCCATCTCTGCAGCTGTTGCGTAAACCGTCTGCGGCGCAATGAGCGGTGTAATGCCAGGAGGATACACGATCCCTGAAGCTGTTGTTTTGACGTCTTTAGCAAGGTTCTCATCTTTCAAGAACTCTTTGTCTTGCGTCCATGTTCGACCTAGCGTGTCGTTCTGTGGCGTGATCAAGGGGCCACCTACGTTAACCCTGTAAACCGGCTCGTATGCGTACTCAGAGAGACCCGAGAAACCGTTGACCGGGAAAAGGGAAGTGCCTGAATCGGTTATGAGCTCGTCTGGAGCTGACACAACTTCGATTCCGTTGATGAAAGCTGCAGAATCTTTCATAGGTTTAAACCTAAGAGAGAATTGAGCATCGGTGATGTTGACGAGGTACTCTTTCTGAACAACATCTTGGCTCTTATCATTACTGAGTTTGAAGTTATGGAGCAAGACGTATTTCTCTGTTAAAACAGAGAAAGTTGCTTTTTGGAGATCAAACTTGTCATTTGGGAAGGCAAAGAAATGGAGACGAACCCAATGCCAACCAGGTTGTGTCAAATGGAACTTGTAAATGGCTTCTTCGCGGAAGATCCTCGCCGTTAGGTATATAGGAGAAAGGATTTTATCTGAAGGCGGCGCAGAGACTTGGATATCGTCTTTGGCTTCTATGTACTGAACCGTTTCCGAGTCACTCTTGAAGACTCTGCCTTCAGGGGTTTTGGCTGACGACTTGCCTCCACAATCAATTAGAATGTCATCTGCCGGTTTGAAACTAGCGGTTGGGCCACCACCGACGGCAGCGGCTGAAGCTATGCCGGTTAGGGAGAGGAGGACGGTGAAGAGAAGAGCCATGAAAGGCTTGGAAGAAGAAGAATCTAAGACGAGAGACAGAGTTATGTTTGATTTCTTTCTTATCTCCATCCCTCCTTCTTGGCGGGAAGAGAGAGAGAAGAAAGAGGAAGAAAATGATAAGAAGCAAAGAAACGAGATTTTTGGGATGCTTGTGGTTGAAGAAAGGGCATGAAAGAGACAAAAGGATTGAGTTCTGTCGTATGTGTGGGCTACTTTTCTTATTATCTTTGGCTTCTGCTAGATTAAGTTTATAATTAGTGTATGTTATATTTTTAGTAAACAGTTAAATTTGGGTTTATGACAATTTTTTTAGCATAAAGCTAATAGAATCAACAATTGTGTGATTCCCCATTTCAAGAAAAATGAAGAACTAGGACTGGAAATCTAATTAATTAGACCCCATTAAATTGCTTATCAAGATTTTAAATTTAGCAACATCATCTCTTAAGAGATTGAAACATGAAACCAATCAGAAAAGAAAACAAACATGATTTCTTATTGATCTTCATGAAGGTAGCACTTGCTAAGCATTGCAACGGAACAACGGACACATAAACAGGAATTTTCATTTTTCACCTGTGCATGAGACTAAAAGCAAGCAGCAGCATAAATATAGAGAGTTTCTTGACAAGAATACTGAATATGAAAAAAAAAAGATAGCAAGAGAACTGATTAACAATTTTTATAAATAAAAAAGAGAACATGACACGGTGCTCACTTCACATCACAAACTTGCAAACCAATTAAAATTGCAGAGTACACTTTAGTAGACGACATAATTCACAAGGATTTATTCATGAAACAAGAAAACAAACGTTGTTATATACAGAGACAATGTGATGTGATTCTTCGTGATCATGGGTGGTTGTGGTGGCCGGGAAGTTTATCCTTTATCTTCTCCAGAATACCCTTCTTCTCGTGGGGTTGGTCAACGCCGGTTCCGGTGGTTGTGGTGGTGGTGGGTCCGGTAGTTGTGGCTGTGGTGGGTGTTTGTTCGTCCTTGTGCTTACCACTACTAAACTTCTCTTTGATTTTCTCCTTCATACTCTTCTTCCTCCTCCCTCCTTTCCCATCGTCCTCCTATATCAAGATCAAGATTTGTTAGAGATGCGGTCGAGCCAAAAAAGAAAAAAAAACTATATATGCATGAGAAATTGAGAATCTCACCGAGCTAGAGCTGGATGAACTTCCAGACCGACGAAGATGCTCTTCAAGCGAACCATGGTGCTGCTGCCCAGTACCGGCCGTGACTCCTGCTGCAGTGGCAGCGGTTGCACCAGCTACTCCTGCTGCGGTGGTTGCACCAGTTGGACCGGTGACTCCTGCTGCTGCCGGGTGCTCTGCAATAATGTCTCCAGTAGTAGCACTCTCTTTATAATGAGGAGCGGAGGTGGCGACGCCGGTTATATGCACAGGGTTACCAAACTCATCAGTGAGCTGGACCGGGTATCCTTGGTCGTCGGTTAGATGAACAGGGTTTCCTCTTTCGTCCTTCAAATCCGCCATTGTACACAGTGTTCGTCCTGCTATATGCTTTTGAGTTATTAAGATTCTCAAATGTTTCTTATAATAGCCTACGTTTGCGGTCGAACAAGTGTGTATATATATCATAACATGTAATCTGCATGGTTACGAGACGTGCCGAGTTTATGTGAAATGTTTTGACACGCGGAGTGCCACGTGTGTTTTGATACGAATACGTCACGAATCCGACATAATAACGTTTTACCTTTTTCTTTTTGATAAATCCGATAGAACAACGTTATCATCTTCGGTATTTTTTTTTTTATGTTTTGTCATCTTATTAACTTGTAATATATAGACGATAAGTATTGGAGTTCATCGAAGACGTGGACCGCTAAAAGAAGTATCACTTGGTGGCTGTTTGAAGCTTAGCTGATTGGAAGTATATTTATGGTTGGTACGATTGATGGAAGTATCCAAAATCATTAAACAAACAAACATTGGGCAAATAATGAAATCTTACGCATTTGATGTGATGTTTTTTGAAAGAAAAACATATAACTACGATTGATGTCAAACATAGACTAAATATTATAAAATCTCCATCTGACTAAACCCATTTCACATCCCTCTGATGTAAAGCCAGATCATTTTTCCCTTATATTATTATAATCATTATTATATTTACAAGTGTGAAAATTTGGGAATGCACAAAACCAAAAAAAAAAAAAAAATTGGCAGTTGTTGAGAACTGTGAGAAATTCTCTAACATACACACAAACAGGTGTGTACCGTTTGATAAGTATCCGTAACTTTGACTTCAGCCCTAGCTTAAGAAGAGGAGCACCGAGCACCGAGCACCACCAAGAATCTGAAACAAGAATTAATAATCATAAGATTTGCCATATGATTCAGTCATAAGCGATGCTTGTATAGAGAGAAAGATGCTTACAAATTCAGAGTTTGCTAGATTTAGTCCAGAAGAAGCCTTTCTTTCTCAGAGAGATCGCAGAATGATTCTCTTTCGGGGACTTAACACTATTACTTCTGGACCCGAAAGAGAAGTGTCGTGCAAGGAATGGCTTTGGTGAATAGCTTCTCAAGCTTAAACTTGTTACCAGCTTCGGGACCTTGCCTTTGTGGCTTGCTGCTGCTCCTCCTCCTCCTCGTCCTCCCTTGTGGCTGTGATCAAACATAACAAAGTCATCGCTGTCCACAACGCGGCTTCTTAGTCTCCTGTTGTGTTTAGCTTTCAAATCCAGATCTGCCCTTAACGCCTTCTCCGCTAGCTTGAGTGTTTTCTTCTCACCCAACGTGCAGATGGGACATGGAGGGTCGAACTTGTCGGCTTCGGGTGTCATGTGCTCTAAACATTCAGAGTGATAGACGTGGCCACAAGCGAGAATCGCAGCTATAGAGAGCTCGTTAGTGGCAAAGATCTTCTGGCTACTCAGCAAAGACACCCCAGACAAGGATCTTGAACAAGCGCCACAGGTTTGCTGAGCATTGGACTTTCGGTTTCCTTGATCTAACTTGTCACGTCGAAGCCCTAAGCACTCGTTATCATAAGAGCAAGACTCTCTGCGAGAATACGCCATCATTTCGGAGAAGGCTTGCATGGACCAACCATCAGACGGTCCAGAATGAGACTCATTCCCCAGTCTCTCTTGTGTTGCTGGCGAGGTAAATCCAAGGATCTGACCATCAGAGACTTGCTTTGATAGACGAGGCCGTGGGGTCAACTTTAGTGTCGATGAACTTCCAGGTGGCATTGGCAAGTGGCTCTGGGACGATAGTGGTGACGCTGAGAAGGATGATGGTTGAGATGCCAGCGAAAGAGACCGTTTTGCAGGAGACCGGTAAGCAGCAGGGTGTTCAGAGATGGTGTCAATGGATGCAACTCTTGAAAAAGATTGATCTGCCACAAGAATCACATGATGTCAAAACATGGCAAAGTCATAATATAATCTAAAAGGCTGAATCTTTATTTACCTGAAGCAGGAGACTTGTGCCAAGACTGAGTCTGGAAATTGTCCAGAGGGGACCCTTGTGATGATACAAATGCAGATTCGGACTTGACATCAGACCCATCGTTACGACTAATCCCATCAGATAACCAACTGAGAGAGGTCTCTTCACCTGACACTCGTCCTCTGTTATCCCATCGGAAGCTCCAATTTGGAGAATACCTGACATTGTTTCTTTGCAAACTCTCGACTGCTGGTGCATTTGGCATTACCATTTTGTCCCGAGAAGCAACACAACAAGCATTCCCCATAACTACTAAGCACCGTTGTAACGTTACTCAAAAACAGAGTAGAACACCTCAGAACCTTCCAAAACACACAAAAATCCAGCAACTTAATCAGAATCAACCAGAAAAATCAATCAAAGACTCAATCCAACCCGAACGATATTACAGTGTCACAGGTTGAAAATGTTACTAACACCACAGATTAGAGGTGTGATCATCCACACAAATAACTTATATTGGCCATGGCCACGATTAAGGAAGTTGCAAGTAGCAGAGCATATAGAAACGATTGGGATCGGATAAGGAAAGAATCAAATCGACTAACTTATAGGTCAGTGAACTTTGATGACTAATTTTCACTAACAAAATCCAAATGATAAAAATTTTTATCAGGAAACCAAAAATAGCAATTGAATCGGGCATTTTCTACACATAACAAACATTAAGCAGATCCGAGAATTAGGCCAAGGAACCAACAAGCGAGGTTGAAGTTGAGATTACCCAAAATAGAAACGAAAACCCTGAAATCGGCACCTAACACAAAATCTAAGAGAATAAAGTAAATTATTAACAACAATTGAGCAGATGGGATAAGAGTAACGATCACCGAACCTGCTCTCCCAAGTCGGAAAACGTCGCCGGAAAAATAAAGCGCAGACTTCAGTTTCACATAAAAGAGGGAGAGAGAGAAGGAGCGGTGGAGTTGTAGAGTGAGATTACAAACGAAAATGGAGCTTTGCAAGGCTTTGCTTTGTTCCTTCTTTTCTGAGAGAGAGAGAGAGAGAGTGTGAAAGAGACGAATAAAAGTCTTTTCTGACGGTTTTAATTAACGCTGTTAGAATCAAATTGGTCAGTATTGGTTAAGAATTCTAAAACCGTACCAAGTTAACAATTCTAATGTAATTTCAGTATATCTTGTGAAACTCATAAAAATGAATAAATTTATCCTGTTAGATGTAGGATTAGCAATATTTCATCATACTTTCAATGTAATGTATCTTGTGTTAAACTCATAAATCTATCATCTTAGATGTAGTGGATTAGTGAATAATGACCAGTTTGATTGATCTCCGGTTTAATAGAACCGAAGAAACATTACGGTTTGACTTATTGCTCTGCCGACGTGAGACCGTTAGTTTTAGCGGAAGTAAGTGACGTATGGCGGACGGTGCCACGTCATGTTGAAAAGACAAAAAGGAAGGGGAGGGAATTATTGACCGTCATTTTAATCAGTTTGTTTAACGAAGCGACGTCGTTAAATGGGAGTGTTTATAAGTTCAAAAACCAAGTTTGGGTGCCAAAATGAGAGACTTAGTTTTTGACGGACTAAAATAGGATATTTAAAACTTCTCTGCATGATATAGAAACAGAACGAGAAAACGGTCAATTAAATGCTGAACTTACACGTTTTTGCCAAAAGAAATACGAACTCTTCATTAAGCCAAAAAATTCACCAAGTTGGGTTGACCTAGCCTGTTAGAATATCAAATTAGTCAACCAAAACTAGCTTTAAACTCCGTTAATTGTAACTGTTAATTGTAGCTGTTAACTAATACGTTGTAGTTTCTTTTAAACACAAAAACAGAAAATCCCCAATTCTCTCAATACAAAACCCCTAATTTTGTTACCTCTCTTAAAAGAATGCATGAAGAATGCAACGCAACTGTAGCTTCTGTCTGCAACAATGAAGGGTGGAATCTACCTCCTCCGAGAACAGAGATAGCTCTGCACACCACTATTACTCTTCCAAAGCAAGTCCACCTCACTTGATTACGTAAGCTGGGTTGGGGAGGGCTTCAAATGCAGTGGTTTCTCTTCTAAAAAGACTTGAAATTCTTTACGGCCGAGGGCAGCGGAGCAGCGTTGGGCTAAAGCCGTATGGTTCACACATGCACCAGCGATCCTAAGAATAAAACTAGTGGCTCATGCTACAGTTTTTCACCTTTGGAAACAGAGGAATAACATTCTACATAACAAATGTTCCATTCCGCCGTCAACGCTCTTCGGAATTCTTGCAAGGACATCAAAAATATCATCTCTTCAAGAAGACACAGAAAAGGATGTGAAAGCATTATGCAGCTTTGGCTGCGTTGACACATTTTCAATCGTATCTCATCTCTTTTGCTATCTTGTTTTATTTTATATTTTTTGCCAAGATACAAAAATAAAATAAAAATAATGCATGAACAACTCTTATGACAATGAAACTCCATTTATATGAAAAATTGTGACCAACAACCTTTTCTGTTTCTAGACGATTACAGAAAACCAAAATCAACAAAGTTTAAAAGTTCAATAAGACAAAAAAACATTTAAATATCTTCTCAAGAGGATGCTGAATTATCCTTGTGATCCTACTTGTGCTCCTCCGTGTGATCCTCCTTCCTACAGACCAAGTAATGTATAATATTTAAACAACTATTTCAGTCTTTTAAAAAACTTCCAAGACTCTAAATGCGCATATAAACTCTAGAGAAGAAATAACCTGATTTTTCTTTGGTCTACCCCTTGGTCTTTTAGCTTCAGGCTCAGCAGAAGGTTCCGAACATGATAACTTATTGTTTCCTTCTTCCCTACAGTTCGAGCATGTCATGATACGCTTCTCCCTGGTTAACTTGGTCTTCTTAGAGGAAGAGGTAGCTTCATTGATGCTTTTACGCCTAGCGTAGTTACTTGGTCTACCACGGTTTCCTAGTCTATTTGGTGGTGGCAAGACGGGTAACCTGTTTAATCTCGGCCACAGCTTCATACCTTCCACAGGTTTAATACTATGCTCATATGTTTGGGACTTTGGGCCCACATTCGAGTTGTGAAATATTCCGAGACATGATCATCAACTTTCTGTTTTTTTTGCTATGATAACACAAGCATCATGATGACATGGAATTCCATTTAACTGCCACATCTCGCAGCCACACGTTTTCAAACGCATATCTACACTATATCCACAATTACGATAGTCTATCTCATGCTTCCTCTTCCTCATCGTCTGATGATAGAGGATCCGGTATTGTATCGTCGTATTGTATCGTCGTCCCATATATCGTCTCCACTGTCATAATTCTCCTCATTGTCATTGCTTGCAATATCTGCTCCAAAGTAATTAGAGAAAGCTTGGTCTTCAACAATTACTTCTCGAACAGCTACACCATGATCCTCATTATCATCTACTATCTCATCACCAACATCATCAACAATAGCCTCACAGTCATCTCCAGGTATTGGCTCACGCGCGCCCATCTTCATTGATATCATCTTCCTCAACAGCATCACGTTTTCTGCGTCGCAGTGGTGTTAACTTCGCCTTTTTCGTCGTCACGTCTGACTTAGAGAAGAGTAAACGAGAGAATTGGAGAAGAAAAGAACTCAAAAAATCGAACTGCTGACAAGAAATTAGGGATTTGAGAAGGATACTTGGGATTTTTAGTGTTTCCATTTGTTTCAGAAACGACGTTGTTTTGTTTTAACGTGAACACTAAACGGCGCTTAATACTCATTAATCTCCAGATTTAGTTGACTAATTTGGAATTTTAATTGGCTAGGTCAACACAACTTAGTCATTTTTTTGGCTTAATGAAGAGTTCGTATTTCTTTTGGCAAAAACGTGTAAGTTCAGCATTTAATTGACCGTTTTCTCGAAACAGAACACGCTTGGAGCTTTGTGAGGCCAACGAGAAAAGATCAAAGGGAATAAAAACGCGAACGAAACATGCCCTTTAGACTTTAAGAAAAACATAAATAATAACCAGTGATTCCAAAACACAATTATTTATTTATGAGATAACAATTAACTATAGTTTTGTTCCGTATAGAAGCTGCTGGAGTTTAATTGATAGCTTACCTAATAAACACAGATATTTTCAAATCAAATCTGAGTATAAAGAACAATGTGGAAATAATGTTTTAAACTGTTTTAATAAGTTGGGTTGATCTATCAATGAACCATCTACACAGCCAAAAATTTATCTTAAAACTACAAGACATGCGGTGGAAAGTGAAGACAACAAAATAAAACTTGAGCCAATAGCAAAAGAAAATATTATAATAAGAAAAAAAACAAGCATACTCGCTTCTTGTTGCTCTGTTTTTGCTGCGGTGATCGGAGTTTCAAGACGTCTTGTTTGAAGAACCTCCGGTGTCTAGTTTCACGTCGGTTTCGCGACGCAAGCTACTTCCTCTAATGTACGGCTTCTTAGCACCCTTCAAAGAGAAACAAAGAGACTCACAGTTACATTTTACTCTCAAGATTCAAAGCAACAATTATTTTAATGTAAACCCAATGAGCTTTAAGTTACGAACCCTTTTGTTCTTGCTCACCTGGAAGATATTTCCAAGTTTCCTCAGTCCTGTGGCTCGAGCTCGAAGAACATCCTTCGAAGCTCTTGGATCTTTAAGCACCTGCGAAACAAGAGACAGAGAGAGAGAGAAGATTACTTAGTTTGTTGATCATTTTGCTATCAATGTAAGATGAATTTTAGAAAAATCTTACAGATTGGCAGACATGAGAAAGAGTGGATTCAATGTCGAGAACATTGATTTGCCAAAGAGATTGAAGCAAAGCATCCATTTTAGCCTCAATGGCTCTCTGGATATGCTCCTCTTTGTTCTCTCCTTGGTGTTCATTCAACTTGTTCACTTCATCCTGCAACGTCAGCAACGAAACCGCACCTACACAGATCGAAACCAAAATCAATAACTTTTCTCTGTTTGACAAAAAAAAACCAAAAAATTTCTGTTTTTTTATTGCTTTTACCAGAAGCAGCCATGACTTGAGATTTCATGTGGTGGCCTTTGTCACGCACCCATTCTGCTAAGAAGGGCACTTTCATAAACTTCTTGTCTTTCCCAATCTCTTTAGCCGCTTTTCTTGTGTAAATGTAACCAATCGTATGCATCATTGCCTCTCCGAAACCTTTAACACTCAAAGGAAATAGTTTTAGTTACCAATGCATAAAGTTTGGACCTTTTCTTGTTTTATAGAACCTTTTTTTACCGGCAGAGGAGAGTCGCTTTGATTCTTCATTAGCCCATTCGATAAATTCATCGGTCCGTCCTTCAACAAAAGGTTCAAGTTTGTTTTTCAATGTAGCAGCGAGCTTGTCTTCCCTCTCCTTCTGCAGAGCCTATACACATGGAGATAAGTGACTAAACATGTAAGAAATTAAGAGGAAATAGTATATAGTGGGGAAAAAAAAACAAAAAGGTACTTTGATCTTGTCTTGAAGCATTTGCTTTTTGATTTCAGGCTCATATGATTCTAAGTCAGCATCGATCGAAGCCAAATAAGCAAGTGCAAGCTGTCCAATGTACTCTTCAAAGACTTCGCTTCCGAATAGCATACCAAACACAGATGCAGGATCAACCATTGCATCCCTGAAATAACAAAAAATATCAACCAACTTCAATCACAACATTCTCAAATACATGTAAAAATTTGTAAAAAGAGACTAAAAAAAAACCTTACTGTTGAACACCTTCTTTGCCATACTTGTCATAAGCTACTCGCTTCTCTGGATTGCTTAAAACCTGATAAGCCTCACCTAATACCTTTCATTCATCAAAGAAACGAAGGACACAAAATGGGGTACTACAACATCAGTAAACAACAGACCAAAACACTCAAGAAACAGTATCACTGTGACAAAACACTCTTGATTCACCTGAAAGTTTTTAGCAGCTTGAGGGTCTCCAGGATTCTTGTCTGGATGGACTTTCCTTGCCTGAAGAACCAAAAAAAAGCCATTCCTTACATTGTGAAACACAACATAGCCAGAGGTGTAGAAATGTTGGAGTGATTAATCCGAAACTGATTACTTTTAGGTAGTAAGCCTTTTTAATCTCAGCATCAGTGGCATCAGTTTTGACGCCTAAGATCTCGTAGAACGCATTCTCCTTCACCATACCTTGTGAAACAAAATTAAAACACCATTTTTTGTAATTTGATCCCAATTGTAAGAACACGCGTGGAGTTGTATATATGCGGAAATGTTAATGTTGTAAGGAGAAATTTGGAATCCCAGATCTTAAAAATCCCCACAATTAGGGATCAAACTGGCAAAAATCAGGGTGGCGAGATCATGATACCCTAGACATAAGAGAAAGGACAGAAACTTACTGGTCGTGCGGATATGAAATGAGGGGACAAAATCGATCTCTAGTTGGCGAATCGAGAAAGATTTGATCTTTTATACGACGAGTAAGGATGTACAACGATGCACGCACACTCACAGAAAATAGAGATGGCTTTGTGCTGTTTTGTTTCCTTTGTAATGAAAAAGACAGCAATTCGGTTACCAAGAAGACAATTCGAAACGTGTGACCGTGTCCGTATCCTTATCGTACACGTGTTTGAGAATGTTCCGACTGAGCCGTGTTTTTGGTTTACTCTATTCCAATGAAAATTGAATTTTGTACCGGTAGACATATAACCCGAACCGAACCATAATATTTATCAACCACAATCGAACCGAATTTTACGATGATTAAAACGGTAAATTGAACCAAACCCAAAGGCCAAACCGAGAATTTGTAAACATAAAAAAATCTGGTTTCCAAAATCAAAAAAAAATTGAACCATAGCTTTGGGAAAATAAAATAAAATCGTACTGGGGTTTCCGGATGGAATCGAACCAGGCTATTGGGACTCCGGAGAATGTAAACAGAACCACTACGCTGTGAGCCTTCATCTCGATTTCCTTATTTTCCGTAAATTAAAGATAGCAGCTTTTCTCTACCTGCTGGCGAACTCCTCGATCGTTGGAGCCCTAGTTTAGTGAGTTTCCGATTCTCCTTCTCACCCGAAGAATTTGATTCATTTTGTTGTTCTTGTGTGGAATAGGATGAAAATGGGTATTTACCTGTATGAGAAACCAGATCATTTCAAAATCTATTTCATGTTAAGCTTATTGAAAAATCTTACTGAAACAACAAAAAACTGATACTTTACCTTTTATTTAAGTTCACAGTGACTTAAGATCGAAAACTGGTTGATACTGAATCAATTTTCCAATATTTTCCAGGTTGCTCCTATCCAAGTTTTGAGCTGGGTTCTCTTTTGGTCGAAAAAAAACTAAATGCATAAGTTTTCTCATTTTAATGATTGTTTGATTAGTTACAATTTGTGCTTATTTGAAATGTGCTCTTAAAAATTATATTTTTTATTGAACCACAAATTTTGCTCAGTGTGGCTCTGACTGTTAATAAGATGCTAATAACTGTCATCAATCTTTGTCTTGTATCATCAGTTTAGCTTCTCCATAGGACCAAGAAAGAGGAAAAGAGAGGGTGTTTTGAATCATATAATCTCCATGGATCTTGCTGCAACTCGTGGTGCGTTTTATTTTATTTGATTTCTTAGCTTTAAGATAATGAAATTTGTCAACTTTTTTTCACTGAAATGTGACAGGCAGAGCTGGTTCTAAGTTTAAGCCAAAGTTTAGACCACGGTTGAGGAAACACACTTCAGTTTCAACATCCCAAACACTCTCTAATGATGCCAACGAAAAACTTTCAACACAATCCTCGGTTGCAAACGCCGTATCAGAAAACCTGGAGAAACAAAGATGTGATGACAAAGAAACGCATGATTGCTCTATTCAGGAAGAAGAAGATCGTCTGAACATGGAAAGATGTAAAACTGTACAAGAGGGCATCACTCCATGTGGTACGTGCTACTTGCTTTATTCTGTGCCTCTAGGGAATCATACTGAAAAGCTCCAACCAAAGCCAAGACTCCATGGAAATGTGATTGAAGAACAGAATCACAGTGTGCACAAAGATGCATGTGAGCCAAGAAATGAAGCTGTCGATACGAAAGCTAACATTTCTGCAGATCTACAAGAAGATATCTTTCCCCGAGTTCCCCAAGAAACGGTAAGATTAGTTTAGCAAAACTTTTTCACTTTGGATGTTTAGTGGCCATATTGATTGTAATCTTTCTCAGGTTCCTGAGATGGCTACCGGAAACTCTTCTCGTGAATGGGAACACGAGAAACGGGTTGATGAATCTGCTAGTAACAACACTGCTGCAGGAGAAGACGATTGCCTTGTAGATGAAAAGTCTGGAAGAGAAAGAAATGTGCGGAAGTCGACGAGAGCTGCAGCAGAGAGAAGTAGAGCTGCTCAGAAGCGGGACAAACCCAGTGGAGAACCAAATCGGTGTAGTGAAGAACCGCAGAAGAAGAAGAAGAAGAAGAAGTTCAAGCATTCTACTCGTCGACAGAAGAGAACATGTAACATGCAACTTCTTACTAAACTATTATGTTGGAGTTGACTCTCTCTTCGTGCTGATTCATGTTTTGTTTCACTAACTCCCTTTTTGTTGCTCATGTGCTAGTGGAGAAGGAGTTACTTGAAGTACCTGATGAAGAAATCCGATTCTTGCCTATTAAAGACTTGCTCCGGCTTGTTGATTATAAAGAATGGTTAGAGGTAAAGCATCCTCTCCTCTCTTCTGCTCATTTGCATGACTATTATCTAGGCTTCTGACAAGAAGGCAGATCTTATGGAACCTGTTTGGTTTTTGCTATGACTATTCACTTGACCTGCTCTGTATACACTTATCTTGATCTGTGTATGTTTCCTTTGTGTGATGGTTTTATATTGTCCATATGCAGGAAAAGAAATCAAGAGGACAAGGATCTAAGGCCCAAGAAAGGTAACGTATTGGTTTTCCAACTGTTCCTGTTTGTATCTGGAATAAAACTGAGAGTCCTCAGGTGTTTTAGATTGTTTTTCATTTGGTCAAGCAGTACTAGCAAAGCATCTGATAACCAGTATTCTCAAGATGACACGGAGAAGTTCGATTATTATGAGTTCAAAGATGAAGAAACTAGCAGAGTTAAACCGGACTCACCGGTTAACTATCAAACCTTCTCGCAAAGGACTGCCCGATCACGTTGGTCAAAACAGGACACTGAACTGTTTTATGAGGTAGATTGATGAATCCCTTGATGCTTCTTTTAATATGATGAAGATATAATATCTCTGACGAAAACTCATTTCCCTTTAGGGAATTCGCGAGTTTGGGAGTAATCTCTCGATGGTGCAAAAATTGTTTCCAAACATATCGCGTCAACAAATGAAGCTAAAATACAAGTTGGAAGAACGTAAACATCCGTTTAAGCTGAATGATGCTCTTGCAAGTCGCCCAAAACGTGACATCCTCTCTCTAACCATTGAAATTGTTTTTAACACCACCTGAAAGTATGTGGTGATTCATCAGTTTTCGGTTTGTCTTTCTCCTCTGCAGATCATACTCATCACAAGAACTTGATTAAAAAGTTACAACATGAGGCTGCTGCTCGGGAAGCTAAAGAAGAAGAAGCTGAAACTGCGGGTGAGGCTGCAGAAGCAGAGGCAAAGACAAATGATGTTCCTGAGAATGTAAGTAGCGTGGTACTTTGCTCATTTCATTCATACATGCACTGGTTTTTTTTTCGTGCTTTAGTAATGACACTTTTTGTGATTTTCCCTTAGTTTACATATCTCACTGGTTAAATCAAATTTATTTGTCCGGTTTTGGTGCTTGGATCATTTTAACGTTGTGGTTTTTGCAGAAGGAGACGGAGAGAGCTGGTGTTGCTGAGCCTGAAGTTAACGAATCGGACGGTGCAGAAGCCGAGAGCGATCAGACATCCAACGGTAAAGATGATGATGATTACTGGGACTCTTATAGGAGTGAGATGTAGGATTTAACAAGAGAAAATTCAGTTTTCTAATCCTTATCTAAAAATGTATATCTTCGGTGTAAATTTCTTACCATCTTCTAAAATGTATATCTCCTGTTGTAATTGCAATGATTGATTAAAATTCTAACTGAAAGTACTAACCAATCATAACTCGACTAATCATTGCATCCACAAAGTCTAAAAACTTGGTACAAGACTTGTCTAAAAGTCAATATTGTTGTTGCTGTTCGTTCAATTAATGAACCTTCAAATTTTGTTGTATGATTTGATTTCTAATAGAGTATTCGTGAAAGTAAACAATTAAATTGACGAAAAAAGCAATTCCTTAAATAATTAATAAATATTCCAATTTCCAACGACAAAATGTGAAGGCTAACGCCTAACGACCGTTGACCCTTCCCTTTAATTGCTCCGTATTTACTTGAATTTGTATTTTATTAGTAACTTCTGTAATCAATCCTGCACTATCTGCCACGTGTTGTGTAATGTGTAGGTCCTACGGAATCGGGTAACGAGCTAAATTTCACTTTGGCCCCTTATTAAAAAACAATTTACAGTTTCCTGCACATCTTCTTCTAATTAACTAACTTGTGCTCATATAAAAGCTGTTTGTACAATAAACTAAATAGATGATCGTATAGCTTAATTAAAATCTTATTATTTTTTTATATAATTTAAAGATAATTTTACTTATAATGTAATAATAAAAATTGAAAATTCCAATTATGTAAATTAAATTTAAATTACGAATTATTTCAGTTCATCTAAATTATCTGGGGTCATAGTGCAAAGAATATATTTTCTCCATCTCCTTTTTTGTCGGCGAATCCTCTCATTTGTTTGTTTTGTTTAATACAAAAATTACTTTATTTAACTTTTGTCTGTGCCACTGACCACATAGGTTTACCAACTGTACAGGTCTATTTGTCTGTAGATCCGTTAAATTTTTGCCCACGGCCATTAATGACCGTCAGATCTTCCTCGGTTGATGACATTTGACAAAGCAAGTATCTCTGCACTTTCTCCTAAATCTTTATATTTTTATAAATACACCCCAAGTCTTATGTCTACCCTTTTATATTGAACCAAACTAGTTTTAGTGACAGATTGAACCTCAATTTCCATACAACAAACTTTTGGTTTGCATCAGAGGCAACATATCACTGTACCATATCCGTGATGTAACGAAACTACGACAAGGGAATGATATAAATTACTTTGGAAATATTACTGTATCATATCTGTGATGTAACTTAATTTTCAAATTTTTTAAAATGGTGTCACAAAATACCACCGTCAATTTTGGGGGGTAGATTAAAAGGAAAAAACGTGTGGGGCTCACAAATGAAACCGAATGTAACAATTGGGTACTTATTGAATAACGAGCAAATACAACTTTTTTATATAACAAAATAAAATAAAATTAGAGGCAATTTAGGTGAGAAGAAACTGAGAAAGGTCCATAGTTCGCTCCGAATTCTACTCCACTTTTGCCTCTGAATTTGTTTTCTCTCTCTCATTAGTTTTTTTTAGCGATTTTTCTGGTTTTTTTTTGTTAATGTGAGAAGTAGATAGATTCGCTGGGAAAAAAGTTTTTTTTTTTTGCTGGTGCATTGATTCGTAAATCAGCCATCTTCTCGAAGGTTTTGGGGGGGAGATCAAAGGATTTATCGATTTTTAGTCGAAGAAAGATGTCAGGTCCACTTGATCGATTCCCAAGGCCATGTAAGAGATCTCATCTCCTTTATTGCTTCCATTTACCTTTCAATCCTTCGGCTTTTTTTGTTTTGCGTCCGATTTTTCCTTTTGTAATTCTGGGAAGTTTTGTTTTTAGGGTTTACTGTAGCGTAAACATTGAATTAAAAGGAAAATTGATGTATGGTATGATAATGAGAAGCGTAGTTCTCGAAAAAATTCGCGTCTTGTGTCGAATTTAGATTTTTAGGCTGAAATTTGAGCTGTTTAGGTGCAGACGTAGTTAAAGGTGGAGGCTTTTAGATTGTTTCCTTCAATTTTGGGTTTGTTGAGCTAATGCAATACTCGAATAGAGAACTAATGGGTCTCAACAAAATTTTCAACAGCTTTCACTACAGGTTTTGAGGGATTAATGAGCAGCGACGAGAAAAAGGAAAGAAAGTCAGACTTTGAGAATTCTGAGGATGAGAGGAGGACCAGAATTGGTTCTTTGAAGAAGAAAGCTATTAATGCATCTACAAAGTTCAAGCATTCTCTCAAGAAAAAGAGCGGAAGGAGAAAAAGCGATGGCCGAGTGAGCTCGGTCTCCATTGAGGATGTGAGGGATGTCGAGGAGCTACAGGCCGTTGATGCATTTCGACAATCGTTGTTGATGGACGAGCTGCTTCCCAATAGACACGATGACTATCACATGATGTTGAGGTTCTTGAAAGCGAGGAAGTTCGACATTGAGAAAGCAAAGAACATGTGGGCTGATATGATTCAGTGGAGAAACGAATTTGGCACTGACACTATTCTTCAGGTATGCTACTTTTTAACAGAAGATAGTGTTGCTCCTTGGTTTGATGTTTTTTAACCTTTTATTTGTATCAACAGGATTTTGATTTCGAAGAGATTAGTGAAGTTTTGAAACATTACCCACACGGTTACCACGGTGTTGATAAAGAAGGCAGGCCGATTTACATTGAAAGGCTAGGGAAAGTTGATCCTAACAGACTCATGCAAGTTACAAGCATGGACCGATATGTAAGATATCATGTAAAGGAGTTTGAGAGGACCTTTATGATCAAGTTTCCTTCCTGCACAATTGCTGCAAAGAAGCATATTGATTCAAGCACAACTATTCTAGATGTTCAAGGAGTGGTAAGTTCCTACAGTCTCTTATTGTTATTATTCTCTATTCGGATCTAATATCAAGGGGGTTGTGAAATGAGTTTCTTATGCCTTGTCTTGCTTCGTATAATCTTATATTCAGGGATTTAAAAACTTTAACAAGTCTGCTCGGGAGCTTATCACACGATTACAAAAGATTGATGGAGACAATTATCCTGAGGTAATTTTTAATTGGAGCTCTAATACTTAGCCCCCACTCTGTTTTATATGCCATGCATCGAAACTCTTGTGTGGTATGCTTATCTCGGGTTTGTGTTTAATTTCATGCAGACTCTCCACCAAATGTTTATTATCAACGCAGGGCCTGTATTTAGGAGTCTCTGGAGTAGTGTGAAAAGCTTTCTAGACCCAAAAACATCATCAAAAATCCATGTATGATAATCTTAATTAACTTGTTATGTCTCTTTTGAATGACTTTTCTTCAATTATATGAAATTCACTTTGGTCCAATGTAATGTAGGTCCTTGGATACAAGTACCAGACCAAATTGCTTGAAGTGATTGATGTCAAGTATGTGAAACCTTACTTTTTTTTTTCCTCTGAATTTTTGTTTGAGTCTTTTATAGAAGCTGTATGGTTTGTTTTGCTTATGTCCAAAACGGTTTGCACTCTTTTTACAGCGAGTTGCCTGAGTTTTTGGGAGGTGCATGTACTTGCGAAGATCAAGGTGGTTGCATGCTTTCTGACAAGGGACCTTGGAAAAACCCGGAAATTGTCAAGGTCATTTAACTGATTCATCTCTGTTTTTGCCTATTGCATTGTATAAGTTCTGAAGCTGACTCAGCTGGTTATCTTCACTATGTTCCAGATGGTACTTCATGGGGGAGCATATCGGGCCAAGCAGGTGGTGAAAGTTTTGAACAGCGAAGGGAAAGTCATTGCTTATGCAAAACCTTCATATCCATGGGTTTGTACTTCGTAGTTATTAAATCCTAGAACTAGTCAATATTTCTAACTTGTAGCTGACCATGCTGTGCCTAAACTCTGTCTGTCATAAACACAGATAAAGGGAAGTGACACTTCCACTGCGGAGTCAGGATCTGATGCTGAAGATATCGGGTCTCCAAAGGCCATAAAGAGTTTCTCTCATCTCCGCTTGACACCTGTTCGTGAAGAGGTAAATATTTTTATCTCTCTTTTAGTTGCGTTTCAGATTCTGGACTGCAATTGAATGTGTATGGTTACAGTACTTATACTCGTGAGACTTTGCAGGCAAAGTTAGCGGGTGAAACAAGCTTGACCGGTAGTTTTATGGGTTATGATGAGTATGTACCAATGGTTGACAAAGCCGTCGACGCAGCCTGTAAGGTGAAACCCGCCGTCAAGAGAGTGGCCTCAAAAGGTTAGTTTATGTTGGTTTATTAGCCCATAGGATTCATATTCCTTGTCTACATAGGATTTATTTTCTTACCTAACTAGGATTGTTTATTTTAGTTGGCTTATATATACGTGGATGAGAAGAGGTTTTTTGCAATATCCTTGCTTAGTGAGCTTATTACTTATCAATCAATTTGTGTTCTTCAGGGGCTTTAATGTCTCCCACTGTTCCAAAGGATCCCGAAGGCATCCAAACTCGAGTCCTAATAACGTTCATGACACTCGTGATGGCCTTTTTCACATTCTTCCGCACAGTACCTGTCCGTGTGATCAAGAAACTTCCAGCAACCACTACTTCTTCACCAGAAACCGAAGGAAACGCAGCAGAAGTCGGTTCTAACGGTGAAGTAGAGTGTCGTCCTCCTTCTCCTGTACCAGATCTCACAGAAGCCGAGCTCCTAACCTCTGTGATGAAGAAGCTAACCGAGCTTGAGGGTAAAATCGGGACTCTCGAATCAAAGCCGTGTGAGATGCCTTACGAGAAGGAGGAACTGTTGAACGCAGCCGTTTGCAGAGTAGACGCACTTGAAGCAGAGCTCATAGCTACAAAGAAAGCGCTCTACGAAGCTCTGATGAGACAAGAAGAGTTGCTCGCTTACATTGATCGTCAAGAGGAAGCTCAGTTCCAGAAGATGAAGAAGAAGAAGAAGCAGAGGCATCTCTTTTGCTTTTGAAAAGCAAAGCATTCCCTCTGATATTCCCTTTGACAATCTCTTTCTCCTTGGTACCTTAATCCGATGTATGATGTTTAAAGCTAATACAGAGAGCTCTTTTCCTTACGTGATCATGAATGTGTCTGTTTACTTTGTAGCCACATATGAAATTTGTAAACTTGTTAATGCGAAACCAAAAAAAAATACCGAATATTTATCATGATCCTGTCTTAAATACACAGTTATCACTAATGTGTATTTTCTTTTGTTTATGCAAAACGAAGAAAGTATTTATTCAAGATTTTGTTATCCAGTTGCATTACATGGTGTCCACATGTATATATATCTTCTCAAAAGTCTTTTGTTTTCTCTTGTTTTCTTCTCTATCTAAGATCATTCAGTAACCAGAATTTCTGATTGTATGAAAAGAAGAAACTAAAAAGAAAGAGTAAAATGGAGATAACAATATCCCAATTGTGCTCTCGAGTCAAGTTCTCAGTCTCTTCTTCATCATCATCACTGTTTTGTTTTAACAGAAACAGTGAGAGGAATCTAAATCGAGCTGCTTCAGTAAATTATTTGAAAGAAACAGAGCAGTTCAGTAATATTAGCTTCACCACTGCAAAGAAGAAACTGAGAAGTCATGCGCCTGTAGTGAAAAGAACACGTGCGTCCTCCGATGAAGATCAGTCCCCAACTTCCGGTGCCGGAGGAGAACGATGGCTTCTCCAGCCAGTTGGTAAGCAAAGCTCTTTCTGTAAATTTTTAGTCTTTTTCTGTTATTCATTCATCATATAAACTGTTTGTAAACATACAGGAGATGGAGACACAAGACACATTGGTTACAAAGTTGAAATGCCTGCTCCTTTCGAGATCTCTTCCGTAAGAATATTATTTCAAACAGTTTGATTTGATGGGTTTTTAGAAAGCTCCTGAAAACTGGTTTTCTGAGCAGGGTCAAGTTACTATCGGACGGCTACCGGAAAAGGCTGACGTAGTGATTCCTGTCGCCACCGGTATATCTCTGTTCTTGGTGTATTTTAATTGGATTTAATATGAATCAGTTTGGTATAGTTTTGGTTTCAGTTTGAGTTTGAGTCTTAAGACAAAGTTTGGTTCTTTAGATTATATCTTCTTAAAAAAAAAACTCTGCAGTGTCAGGAGTACATGCAACAATAGATACAAAAGGAGACAACCTTCTAGTGACGGATATGAACAGCACAAATGGTACATTCATCGAAGACAAACGTCTTATTCCTGGTGTTGCCGCTCCTGCCTTCCCCGGAACACGAATCACCTTTGGTACGTCTATTTTGTACCTTGGTTTTTGTTTTCATCTCTAGATCGTTGAGATTCACACTCTTTTATGATTTGCATGTAGGGGACACAAATCTAGCAATCTTCCGTGTTTTCAAGCTCCAAGATAGTCAAGTATCCTCGGAGAAAACGAATGCTGCAGAGTAACAAAACCTGAAACTCTGTTTCTGTTCGCTTGCAAATTGACCGGAATTTTGCAGAAATGCCGAATTTAGTTGTTGAACAAAATTGTGGATCTACTGGTATATATATGGTTTCATATGAACAATACTTTTTATATATATATATATGATAATAGTATAACATATGGTATAATTTATGTTTGAGTATGTTACAAATTAGGTGTGAAAGAATGATGAAATGGGTAAACATATAAGCTTTCAGGTTTTCCAGAGGAAGACAACAAAAACATTTACAGAAAGCAATATATTTCCACATCCTTCACGAATATCTTTTATGTTTTTATATATATATATTTATATGGTTCCAGGTTTCTTCTTAGTCTTGACTCTTGAGGCATCAAGTCTTTCAGAATCCAAAGAACTGAAAACAAAAAAAATAACAATAATATGCATGCGTAAATTACTTCTGAATCTCTAATCTTTAAGAAGTGTGTTTAATAATGTGTTGTTGTTTGTTACCTTCTTCTTCTTTTTCTTCTTCTCAATATAAGCCATTATCTCCTGCTGCCTAATCATGGCTTCGTCCAGCGTCTGATATTTTCAACAAATAGATTAACGAGTATATTAGCAAAAGTACTACTTTACTCTTAAGGTAGTGACTTTCTTGTTGTCCAAGTAATAATTAACAAGTAAGAGAGTGAAAGTGTTAGTGTGTTACCTTCTTGGTGTTAGACAGCTGAATCTCAAGCTCGTCGACACGGCTAAGAGCGGCGGTGAGAATCTCTTCCTTCTCAGGCGAGAACGCAGCCGGCTGATTGTCCAAAAACCTACATTTCTCTTCCAGCTCTGCCATTCTCTTCACCATTGACATGTAGTCTTGGCTAGACACCATCGCCTTCTCTCCTTTCTCAGCTTCGCCGCCGTATATCGCCGCCTCAGTGAGCTTCCTCGGCATGTTCTTCGTCAGCCTCACCACTGTCACTAACCCCATAACCAGAGACATAACGCCACCGAATAGATAGCCTTCTCCTCCTCTCCTCTCCGATGGCTTCACGGCAGAGTATAGATCTGCGTCGGCAACAAAAACACATACTTGTTTTGAAAACGTGAAAACATGAATAATTTATGTTTAACTAAGGATCAATGTTTTTCTGTGTCATCTTACCTTCAGGCTCGGTAAAGTTTGTCTTGTGGAGTTTTGTAGGCCAAGTAGAAGCATCCACAGTCTTGTCAACCATTGGTGTGAACTTAACATTCTCTGCATCGAGTTTGTTCTTCTGCAAAATTGGATTTGAAATCAATGAAACAGAAAATCTAGAGAGGAAGAGGTAAAGAAGTAAGCTTTATAGACAAAGAAAGAAACTCACCGCAACGGATTCAGATGTGGTTGGGTTCTCATACTCTGAGATTGTCTTCTCTTCAATGTTTGCCAATGTCTTCCTTGGACACTTTCCTTCCCCGTTCTGAACCATCTGTACATATATAGTTTAAGATTATGTTTTTCAGTTCATCGTTTTGTTTACAAGGTTTTAGCAGATTCTCTATTATCTTAAAAAAGTACCTTGAAGATGTCAGGGTCGTTCCATGGACCTTTGTCGGAACGCATACAACCACCTTTGTCTGCACAAGTGCAGTTCCCGCCCAAAAACTCAGGAAGTTCACTAAACACAACAAAACACAAAGGTTCAAGATTATGAATGTGTGGCTGAAAATGAAGAGAGTTATGCATCTCTTACTTGGAGTCAATAATCTCAAGCAGTTTGCTCTGGTATTTGTTGCCAAGAACCTGTACATTGAGGAACATGAGTTTTCCTGTTAACTCAGAGACAGACCTTAGAGTTTTGATCTTTGGAGTGAAAAGAAAAGCTTACATGAATCTTTGCAGTGGTCTTTGGGTCAAGGAAAGATTTCACAGTGCTCCACAGAAGCCTGAATCCAGAACCAGCGTTGATAATGAACATACGGTTCAATGTCTATATGATCCATAACACACACAAAAAAACAATCTCAGTATTGACTTGACTTAATAGTGACAACAAAACCATTTAGAAAACATCAAAGTAACCAACCTCAGGGTAGTTATCACTATCAATCTTCTGGATACGCTGAAGAAGATCCCTTGCAGCCTTACTGAAGCTCTTCAACCCCTAGAGATCCACAAAAACAAAAAGCAAAATCACTCAGTCACATCTTTTCCTTTGGTTTGAGTACTGAAACAAACAGTGGCAGAGACAACTAAAAGTGCATACCACGCCTTGCACATCCAAGATGGTGGTGCTCTGGTCAATGTGCTTCTTGGCAGCAATGGAACAAGCCGGTAATTTGATATTGAAAGTCTTTTCAAACTCTCTCACATGGTAATTCACATACCTATCGATCGTAGTGACTTGCATCAGCTTTGTAGCATCCACTTGGCCTAGCCTCTCTATGTAAACAGGCCTTCCGTCTTTGTCAACGCCATGGTAACCTTGAGGGTAGTACTTTAGCACTTCATCGATTTCCTTGAAATCAAAGTCCTGTGGAAGAAGAAGAAGAAAGAGACATACTTTAAAATCAAGGAGAAGAATAAAGCAGATGGTCTTAGTTAAATTTGTTTGGTTATTAATATTATTCACCTCCATGATTGTGTCAGCACCAAACTCTTTCCTCCAATTGATCATATCATTCCACATTTGCTTTGCTTTCTCAATATCAAACTTCCTTGCCCTCAAAAACCTCAGCATCATGTGGTGATCATCGTGTCTCGAAGGGAGGAGCTCGTCTAAGATGAGAGCTTGACGGAAAGCGTCAACAGCTTGAAGCTCTTCAAGATCAATGTCGTCGACGATTGAGACAGACATGACGCGACTGTTCCTTCGAGTTCTCTTGGTGAAAGAGTGTTTGAATTTGTTCGAGGCATTGATTGCCTTCTTCTTCAGGGAACACATCTTTGTCTTCTTCTCGTCCTCTGAGCACTCCAAATCTGCAAAAACATCATAAACCCCAAAAATCTCAGAATCTTTTGCCTAAATGTGTCTCCATCATTCCATTAAAGCTTCATGAAAAAATATGTCTTGAACAAAGTTTCCTCCTTACCATGCTTATGATGTCGGTCCATATGAGCAGACATCGTATCCGCCATGTTTAGAGCCTGGCTTTAATGTCCTGTTTTCACATAAACAAACATTAAGCAATCCACAGAAAAGGTTCAATTTTTACAGAGATTTTGCTTGAAAACAGAGAGTAGTTTCCTTGGCTAACAATCAATCGATGAGAGAAGAAACAGAGAAACCCATTTAGACATTTAATCAAACAGGTTTTATGCATACACAGCTAAAACAGGGTTTAAGATCATATACAATAATCAAAAGCATCATGCAAAAGTGAACTTTGAGGAAAAAAACTGCAGAAAAACAGAATCAAAACGCACTTTGAGAAAATAAGAAACAGATAATCGAAAACTGGGTAATAAATTATCACGGAGGTTGGAAACAATCGGAATATTCAAACATTTAGCGATTGTGAGGTTGGTGGAAGCAAATGAGAGAAAAGTAAGATCGTTCTTGATCTTTTTTTTTTACCTATTAAGGATCAGAGCTAAGGAAGGAGAAAGAAGAAAAGAGAGGTATATAATCTATTCTCTCTCTCTTAGCTCCAAATAAAGAATGCCTCCAGATTTGCAACGCGGATTCTCAGAGAACAAATCTAGAAAAGAGAGAGAGAGAAACTTATTTCAGCATTGACAAAGGTTTTACCTTTTTTGAAATCCAGAGAGAGAGAGAGAGAGAGAGAGAGTTAGCTTAATCCATTAAAAGGGTTTTCGAAAAGGTTTGACCTTTTTATTATGAATTTATGTGATGCATTGAAATTTGTAAAACAGAGAGAGAGAGAGAGAGAGAGAGAGAGAGAGAGAGAGAGAGAGAGAAGCCATTTTTATAGGAGAAGAAAAGGCGCGTGATTTTGCCGTTTTTATGGTAAGAATTTGTAAATGTAAGCAACCAAATAGAGTTGCTCTGTTTTGTAAAGATTGTATTATAGCATTTCTTCATATTTTCTTATTGTTTTCATTTTGCAATTAGCATGGAATGTTAAACACTTAGAAAAAGTACAGCCAAATTCTTTAACAAAAAAAAAGTAAAGCCAAATTAGAACCATACTATATTTATATGTCTAACTATAGAGAGGGAAAAATGATAAGGAACAGCTAGTTTTATTACTTTGAAATTGTTATGTTTCCGACAATATAACTATGAACGGCATGCATGGCTATGGCTTTCCCCAACTAAACGAAGCGAATTGATTAAAAACTAAAACAGTTATCATTTATTTCGTCCAGCGAAAACAATAAACTCCATTTAAATTTTGATGTATAGACCGACCGACCATCAATGATAATAAACCCATAGATTCCAGCTCCCATATTAATTGACTTTATAATACAAACATTAATGATAATACGGTTTTTTTCTTAGAACAAAATGAAAATCCACATTGTTAAAGTAAAAGAATACATATTTTTCACTTTTTCAAAAACAAGAAAAACAATTTAACTTGATAAAAATGCAGGTAAACCACAAGGTCCACAACTATATGTGGTGATCCACTTAATCAAAGTTAATTATAAGTTATAAATGCGTTTAACGGCTATCTAGAATTTGGGCCTAAAATGGACCAACCTTTAAGGAGCTCATGCTTTGAAAGTAAAACATAAAATAGCATTAATGGGCCCAATTAAGGCCTTTTTCATTTTTTTGCTACATTGATTTGATAAAAATGAAACATCGCCTTCTTCATTTCCCATGGCTTCTGTTGCTACGGCGATTCCGATGGTTATTGCGGGGGAGAAGTTAGTCTCCCGCCAACTTATGCTTGTAAAATCGCATTCTCTCCTCCGAGGACTGAGTATGGATCCTAATAGGTGAGAAACGTTAACCCTCCACGAATTTATTTGAAATTTTGAATTTTTAACAATCAGAAAATATTGCAGATCATCAATCAAATATGAATTTTTTATTGCTTCTTACATTTAGTTCATATTATAAAGAGTTGACTTTCAAAGACTGGGTACTAACTTAGTTTGCAATTCTCTGTTCAAGTTGATTATAATATAAGCACAAAGCTTCCACATTGTTAGCCTGAATTAGATTGATTTTCAATTCTCCCTATGCGTTGACTTTCTTTTTAGTTTCTTCCCTCGATTCCAGATTTCTTTGTTTATATCCATTTCAAGTTCTTGCACATTTCTAATATCTCTTAGATTTCGCAGTTGAACCAAAAAAAAATAGATCTTTGATCTTCTAATCTTGCTAGACTCAAAGACATTCTCATTCCATTGAATTTAAGTCTTTTGTTTTTGTTAGCTTAAAGTTCCTTGTCTTCTTGGTTTGTTTTGAAGTTTCAGCAGATGGCTCCTACTGGTGAACCACCGTGTAGCAATGTCCAAAGAACAGTTTCAGTTACAAGGAGGAGTTATCAAGTCGTCATAGCAGCAACAAGAGAAATGGGTCTTGGCTTGGATTTGAAACTTCCTTGGGATCTACCTACAGACTTTCAGTTTTTCCAAGATGTGACAACTAAGACATCCGATCCCCAGAAGAGGAATGCAACTATAATGGGAAGAAAAACATGGGAATCAACTCCTCCTGAGATCTGTCCCCTTCCTGGTCGGCTCAACGTTGTTCTCACAAAAGCTAACTCTCTCAACATTTCCAACGATGACAATGTGTTGGTGTGTAGTAGCATGGAATCGGCTCTTGAAATTTTAGCCGCTGAGCCCTATTCCATGTCCATTGAGAGGGTCTTTGTCCTAGGAGGCGGCGACTTGTTAAGGTTTGGCCATCCTCTGTCTCAAATTTGAAGACTTTAGAACCTTGAAATTTGATGTCTAGTTTGTGGTTATGCTGATAATTTATGTATTAGGGACTATATGAATGCACCAAGCTGTGATGCTATACACCTAACTGAGATTGATATAAGCGTGCCGTGCGACTCATTTGCACCGAGGGTGGATACTTGTTTATACCGTCCATGGTACTCGTCAAGTCCAACTATGGAAAATGGAACTCGGTATAGCTTCAACACTTACGTAAGAAGAAAAGATCCTGTTGTTGGTGGTGTTGGGACAGAGGAGTACTGGTTCTTGCCTAAGATGGTTTTCGAGAGGCATGAGGAGTTTGGTTACTTGAATCTTATTCAAAACGTTATATCTAACGGGGACATGAGTGACAATGGAACTACTCTTTCTAAATTTGGCTCTCAGGTGAGCTGTGTTATGCATATCTTTGTTAGTGTCTTTCTTTACTCTAGTTTAGCTTGCATGTTTTGGAGTTGACCTGTGAATTTCTTATCTCTTGTTCTGGTTCATTTACAGATGCGGTTCAATTTGCGCAAGACTTTCCCGCTTCTCTCAACCAAGGCATGTCTTCTTTATCTTTACTCTAGTTTCAGCTTCAATTCAAATCACTTTATTTCTAATTTCAGTTGAAGAAGAACATATTTGATTATAGAGCTTTAATTTCTCGTTTTTATCCTCTGTTGTCTTGCAGAAAGTATTCTGGTTAGGCGTTGTAGAGGAAATCCTACAACTCATCAGATGTTCAACCAATCTCAAGGTGAAAGACAATGATCATACCCAATATCTTGTCTTCATGAATATGTAATCTTTGCTGACCAGAGAATAGAGCATAAAATATTTCATAATGTTCTTTCAGAAAAAGGGTATGTGGGATAACGATGGCGCTAGCGAATATCTTGACAGGTGAGTTCAAAACAGAGGATTTAAACAGAGAACATCATATCTCTTTACATCTTTGACTGATTGGTTCGACATTTGGCAGCCAAGAATTCAGTCAGGTGGCTGATATGATAAACAAAATAAAGGACAGCACTAATGATCGAAAGATCATGCTTTCGGCTTGCAATCCCTTAGATCTCAAGTTATCTATACCTCCTTGTCAGACTCTCGCACAGGTTAGCACATCTTTCATCTGTTTTGTGCTCGTCTTAAAACTTGTTGCATTTGCAGAAGGAAACTTTGAAAACAAAACTCTTTATAAAAATGAGGATCGTTTCACAGAGAAAATAGTGTGGAAGTAATTTGAAAAAGGTTTGGTTTTTGGTTTCTGTTTGCCAGTTCTATGTGGCGAATGGTGAACTTTCTTGTCAAATCTACCAAAGCTCAATCGAAGCGAGTCTCGGGGTTCCTTTTAGTATCGCTGCATACTCTCTCTTGACATGCATCATAGCTCATGTTTGCGGTATGTATACATACATATATCCAGTTTAACATTTTTATTAGATCTTGAGTCCTAATGATGATCTCGACACTGGAGTAAAAGAAGACTCTGACGCATCTTCTCGTGTTGACAGATCTTGTTGCTGGTGATTTCATCCATGTGATCGGGGAAGCCTATGTTAATACAGCTGACGTCAAGACTATACAAAAACAGCTCCAAATCTCCCCTAAACCCTTCCCGGTTAGTTACTAAAACTTTGCTCACATGTTCCTCCTATAGTGTGGACTCTGTTTCCATTTCAGGAAACAATTGATCTCACTTCCTTTATCTCTTAAACGGTAATAAACAGATTTTGAAAATCAACCCCGAGAAAACAAAGATTGAAAGCTTTGAGGACTCTGATTTGGAACTCTTGCTTCACAAAGAGAGATGAACCATTGATGATTCTTGATTGTTCTTCCTCATTGTGTTTTGGATTGTATGATAAAAACACGTGTAGTGGGGGACTTGAGCTGAAGCATTTACGACTGTGTATGGATCGTGATAGGTGTGGCACCTTTAACCTCCATGAATTTATTGAATTTTTGTATTCTTTGTAAAAGACTTTGCCATACAAATTTCAGTTTTGTTTTATATTAAAAGATCAGAAAATGAGCCTGCAATCAACTTGAGCTAATTTCCAAATGGTGGTGATTCATCAATGAAGTTGCAATCTATCAATAATTGTTTTTAATTTAAGTTATGATGATAATATATATAAATTGACTTGAAATATTAATGAATTTAATTTAAATTTGAAAATCTCTGTCGAAAGGTCCATGTCCAAAGAACGTTACTTGTCATACAAGTTGTTTTGTTTTTACTATATAATAATCACAAGCTTCCACATTGTTTAAGCTTAACTAGATACATAATTCTCCTCCCTCTACGTTGACTATTCAGTTTCTTCCCTCTGTTTTGATCCGTCTCAGGTTTTTGCACATTTCTCACCGTTCTTAGATTTTGCAGTTGAAAAAAACAAATCTCACCACAGGATTTTTGATCATCCAATCTTGCTAGAGTCTCACTCCATTGAAAGTTGTGTCTTTTTGTTAGCTTCTTGGTTGCTTTATCGTTAAAGCGGCTTTCAGAACATGGCTACTACTGGTGAAGCATCGTGTAGCAATGTCCAAAGCAGAGTTTCAGTTGCACGTAGGAGTTATCAGGTCGTCATAGCAGCGACAAGAGACATGGGTCTTGGTATGAATATGAAACTTCCTTGGGATTTACCCTTAGAATATAGATTTTTCCAAGATGTGACCACCAAGACATCCGATCCTAAGAAGAGGAATGCAACTATAATGGGAAGAAAATCATGGGAAGCTACTCCTCTTGAGATCCGTCCTCTTCCTGGTCGGCTCAACATTGTTCTGTCAAAATCTTGCTGTCTCAACATTGACATGATTGATGAGAATGTATTGGTGTGTAGTAGCATGGAATCGGCTCTTGAGCTTTTAGCCACCAAGCCTTATTATTTTTCCATTGAGAAGGTCTTTGTCATAGGAGGCGGCGACTTGTTAAGGTTTGTCATCCTCTGTTTTGAGACTTTAGACCTTTGAGATTTGATGTCTAGTTGTGGTTGAAGTTAGATATTTCGTACTTGTTTATATATTAGGGACTATATGAATGCACCAAGCTGTGATGCGATCCATCTAACCGAAGTTGATATAAGCGTGCCATGCGACACGTTTGCACCTAGAGTGGACACTTGTTTATACCGTCCATGGTACTCGTCATTTCCTATTATGGAAAATGGAACTCGGTATAGTTTCAACACTTACGTCAGAAGAAAAGATCCTGTTGTTGGTGTTGTTGGGACAGAGGACTACTGGTTCTTGCCTAAGATGGTTTTCGAGAGGCATGAGGAGTTTGGTTACTTGAATCTTGCTCAAAACGTTATATCTAATGGGGAAATGAGTGACAATGGAACTACTCTTTCTAAATTTGGCTGTCAGGTGAGCTGTGTATTAGTGTCTTTTGTTTTTATTTAGTCTAGCTTACATGTTTGGTGATTGACCTGTAAAGTTCTTATCACTTATAGATGCGATTCAATCTGCGCAAGACTTTCCCGCTTCTCACAACCAAGGCATGTTATCTTTATCCTGTAGTCACACTATTGAAACCACACTATTTCTTATTAGATAATTGAGAATGATTTTGTCTCTTTTTTTTCCATTGCAGAAAGTATTATGGGAATGCGTTGTAGAGGAAATCCTAGAGTTCATCAAGGTAAAATCAAAAGAGACTTTTGTTCTACTACACAGTGAATGAAAATGATCCTGCTCAAGACCCTTTGTGTTCAAGATTGTGTTTTCTTTTGTTGATATGTATTGATCAAGAACCGAGAGTGAAACATATTCTTATCTCATAACGTTTTTTCAGGAAAAAGGCACCAATCATATATGGGAAAGCGATGAGGCTAAAGAGTATCTTGACAGGTAAACACATGATTGAGGATTTAGAAAGTAGGTTTACTGAAACAAGACTCACATATGTTTTGCTTCTTTGACGGATATTGGTTTTACACATTTACTAGCCAAGAATTGAGCAAGCTCTCTCATGTTATAAACAAGATAAAGAACAATCCGATCATGTTTCCGCCTTGTAATCCCTTTGATCTCAATTTATCCGTATCTCCTTGTCAGACACTTGCACAGGTTAGCATGTTTGTCTTAAAACTTGTTACATTTCCATAATAAGTCATTGCAGCTTATTAAAGAGAATCTTGTGAACAATAAAGTGAAAGTGGTTTGGTTTTTGGTTTGTTTTTTTTGCCAGTTCTATGTGGCAGATAGTGAACTTTCCTGTCAAATCTACCAAAGCTCAACCGAAGCGAGTCTCGAGATTCCTTACAGTATCGCTGCATACTCTCTCTTGACATGCATCGTCGCTCATGTTTGCGGTATGTGTATATATATTCATTGAGTCCTAATGATGATCTCGAGTCTCGAGTAAAAAAATACTTTGAAGCATTTGCGATGGTTTCTTCTTGGTGTTGACAGGTCTTGTTGCTGGTGACTTCATCCATGTGATCGGAGAAGCCTATGTTAATAAAGCTGACGTAGAAACTATACAAAAACAGCTCCAAATCTCCCCAAAACCCTTCCCGGTGAGTTACTAAAACTTTGCTCACATGTTCCTCCTATTATAGTTTGGACACTCACTTGTTGTATCTCTCTACTGTCTTAACGGTAAAAAAAAAAAACAGATTTTGAAATTACACCCCGAGAAAACAAAGATTGAAAGCTTTGAGGCCTCTGATTTGGAACTCCTGCAGATATGACTTGCTTCACACTCAAATCATGTGTTGATTTAGTATTGCTCAGCTTTACTGCCGGATCTTTTTGAAAATACACCCCGGATCCAAAGGTCCATGTCCAGAGATTAAGCACATTTCAGCTTAAACAATCGGGCCTTTCATTTTGATCACCACTGTTCCGACATACACATTTTCCGACAATATTGGTCCTATTCGACATAAAAGTTTCCGACATAAGTTTGTCCTTAAAATCGGTCAGTTCAGACACAGAACTTTCCGACATATGTTGTGTTTCTAATCGGGGCGTTCAGACACAAATCTTTCCGACACAAATTGTGCTTCTGCTGAGTCCGTTCGGAGCATTCTAACATCAAAGTTTCCGACATAAGTTGTCCTAAAATTGGTCAGTTCAGACACAAAACTTTCCGACATGTATGTTGTGTTTCTAATCTTGCCGTTCAGACACAAATCTTTCCGACATAAATTGTGCTTCTGCTGAGTCCGTTCGGACATCAAACATTCTAACATCAAAGTTTCCGACATAAGTTGTCCTAAAATTGGTCAGTTCAGACACAAAACTTTCCGATATATGTTGTGTTTCTAATCGGGCCGTTCAGGCACAATACTTTCCGACATAAATTGTGATTCCGATGAGTCCTTCCGAACATCAAGTATTCTAACATCAAAGTTTCCGACATAACTTGTCCTAAAATTGGTCAGTTCGGACACAAAACTTTCCGACATATATTGTGTTTCTAATCAGTCCGTTCAGACACAAAACTTTCCGACATAAATTGTGCTTCCGATGAGTCCGTCCGGACATCAAACATTCCGACATAAATTCGGGAGGATCCGACAAAATATTTTCTGATACATATATTGGGCTTATTATAGGCCCGTACTTGTATAAATTGGATTTTAATAGGCCCGTACCTATATAAGTCGGAAAGTTTTGTGTCTGAACTGATTTTGATTTAAGGACGACTTTATGTCGGAAACTTTGATGTCGAATCGGACCAATAGTGTCGGAAAATGTGTATGTTGGAACAGTGGTGATCAAAAGGCCCGATTTTTTAAGCTGAAATGGGCTATCAAAAGCCCAATTTTCAATTGAAATATGGTATCGAAAGCCCACATGGTATGAAAACAAAACTCCTTATAAAATATGAGGATTTGGTTTGGTTTTTGGTTTTTGATTGCCAGTTCTACGTGGCGAATGGTGAAGTTTCTTGTCAAATCTACCAAAGCTCAACCGAAGCGAGTCTCGGGATTCCTTTCAGTATCGCTGCATATCATCGCTCATGTTTGCGGTATGTATACACATACATATATCCAGTTTTAACATTTTTTATTATATCTTGAGTACTAATGATGATCTCGAGTCTGGAGTAAAAAAGACTCTGAAGTATTTTCAGTGGTCTCTTCTTGTGTTGACAGATCTTGTTGCTGGGGATTTCATCCATGTGATCGGAGAAGCCTATGTTAATAAAGCTGACGTAGAAACTATACAAAAACAGCTCCAAGTCTCCCCAAAAACCCTTCCCGGTGAGTTACTAAAACTTGCTCACATGTTCCTTCTATAGTTTGGACACTCACTCACATGTTACTGTCTTAACGGTAAAAAAAAACAGATTTTGAAAATACACCCCGAGAAAACAAAGATCGAAAGCTTTGAGGCCTCTGATTTGGAACTCCTGCAGATATGACTTGCTTCACACTCAAATCATGTGTTGATTTAGTATTGCTTAGCTTTACGGCCGGATCTTTTTGAGAGGTGGCTCTGATCATTTGTCTCCGGGACTTTCTCATACAAGGCCAAGAGTCCATCGTTTTATCAACCGGAGAGATTGTGACATGGTGTATATGTATTTGTAGTGTGTATATGTTGAACCATAAGAAGTTAGCATGATGTGTCAATATGGCAAAGTTAGGGTTTATGGTTTAGTGTGTTGATATCATTTGGTATATGGTAGTGTCCCCATGAACGAAGTTGCAGTTTATCAATCAAATATTGATTTTTAACCGTTGTAATTAATCTGTAGAAGAATTGACTTGCAAAGATTAATTACTTGATTTTATTATGAAATTCTCTGTCCAAAGGTCCATGTCCAGAGATTAAGCACAAATTAAGCTTCCACATTGTTTAAGTTAAACTAGACACACATCACTAATTCTCCTCCCTCTCCATTGACTATTTAGTTTCTTCCCTCGATTTTGATCCATCTCAGGTTTCTTGCACCACCTTCCATTTCCTAACCGAATAATACTTGCAGATAATGATAAATAAAAGATATAGAAGATTTTTAGCAAGTAAAATATTTTTGAAGATTTGATTTTGAGCCTATATATCAAATACCCTTTGTTAGTGGTGCACAGAAACCCTAATAAAATCTCCGATCACAACAAACGAAAGATAGAAGAAAAAAAACGAGCGAGAGAGAGAGGATGGTTCTCTATTTGGAGGTGATGTGGAAAATAATAGCCATAAGTTCTCTATTTGGCATCTTCATATCACTCAACAGCTTCTGTCCTTTCTCATCTCCCAATTGGTTTGCAGCCATCGGTGGCACAGCCTTGTACGTGACGTTACTGCTCATGTTTCACTTTACCACCGATACTCGCATCTACAAAGAAGAAGAGCCTCCTCTACCGGCTACACGTGCGGGCTACTCGGTGATTCTTATGACAGCCATGCTTTATTTCCCTTACTATTACTCGGCCCTTGATTTTCTGATCTACCTTTGCTCCATGTTTGCCTTTGGGATCTCCATCTTCCAGCTCAATTCTCCCATGGACACTACACACGTTTCTGCGACCTTGTTTTTTGGTTTCTTCGCTGCTTATATAGGATACGGGTTTAATCAAAATTTCCCAAATGTGGAACGTTCCTTTTGGTTTGTTTTTGTATTTTCTAACCTTTTTATAAGGCTTATGTTCCCCCTCAATGGCCTCTATAATTGAGATTGCCTGTAACAAGTTTCGCTTCTCAAGTTTAATTCATTTTACAGTCTTACAGAGAAAATTACACAAAGTTTCATAATCTATAAGATGGAACAAAATTACACAAAGAAAAGAAAAGCAAAACAACATCTTATGCTCGGGCTTTGAAATGTTTTTACCCGTCTATATATACAAACACACAAATATATGTGAATGTTATTTTGCATAAACTAAAGTTTTTCTCTTTTTTTTTCTTTGCTTTTTTTTTTCTAGTATTTGATAATATCTAGATAATACTAAACTCTTCATCCTTTTGGTTCCTCCTCTGTCTCGCAATGAAAGACTCGATCTTGTACCGGAGTTCATCATCAGAATCAATGCTATCAGCAGATCTCTCCGTCTCCGATCTCTTCAGTTCTCCACAAGTACTCTTCTTCGAGCTCACGAGATTCTCCGATCGACTCCTTTCGTAACTTTGCCTTGTGCTGTCCTGGCCTTGAGTAATGTTATGTCTCTGTCTCTTCACACTTATGTCCTTCTTCTCTCTCTCCTCGCCACTGATCTGTTTCGCACCGTTCTCAGACTTTTTAAGTTTCTCTCTCTTCTCTTCAGTGCTCTGTTTTGCCCTGTTCTCCGACATGATCTGTCTCTCATCTTCGCTGCTCTGTTTTGCTCTGTTTTCTTCAGTGCTCTGTTTCGCCTGGTTCTCTGCTTCCCTTTGCATTTCTCTGCATATCACATCGGAACGTGAACTCCTTTCTCCTCTTGAGCTCTCCCGAACAAACTCGTCGTAAAAATCATTCTTTTTTCTCTGTGCTTCCGGTTCTTCTTGATTCACAAAGAGACCGCACTTGGCGACGATAGCGATGACTATTGCGTTCCCGAAGATGAAAGCAAGGTGACGATTGATGAGGAAACGCATGAGACCAGAGTCCTCGAACATGATGACTATTTGGTAACAGAGCTTGGCTACTGTAACCATAACCACAGTTATCTCGATAACTCGGTAAAACAAATTTAGAAGTATTTGAACACGAGACTTCTTCACGACAACTTTCATCTTTCTTGGTTTAGCCTGTTTGTGGGTACTAAGCGAATCCATCGGAGATGAAAAGAAATTGATTTAGCTTTGAAAGAGAAAGAGAAGATCGAACAAAGTTGTTGTAGAGGTAAAGAGATTGGTTTAGAAACAGAGAAGAGACTGAGTGAGTCTGTTTTTCTCTTTGTTCTGTTGTTTCTTATTTTTAGCTTGAGAGAATGTATCTTTGCGATGTGAGTATTTATAAAAGGGTCAGTGAGTGCAATTGCTTTATTTTTCCGGCCACCAATTTTTGTTTCTCAATTATATTAAAGTTACTTTGTTCTTATATGCAAAAAAAAGTTAATTAATTTTCACCCTTAAACCTCTTAATGCATACTTTTTCACCTTGACACACTAATTGCCTAGATTTTTATTTGATTGAAAGACTGTTTACATTTGTATGTTAAACTATGATGTTTCTCTTCAAGTAAAATCATAAAAAGCTTAGAATTCCAAAAATAAAAATGCAAATTTGTGAAGTAAACACAAATGGATTGGATGGTTGTAGACTTGTAGTAACTAATGATATCGTTTGCGCTTGGCGTTTGCATATTGTTAAGTTTTGATAGAACTCATATTGTACCAACTTGTAAAGAACAACGCTAATGTTTAATTAGTGATTCGCTATACATAATTCTGACAAGTAAACTTCAGCAACAATAGATCAATAATTAGCTCTTTCGTTTAAATTAAAAGTAGGTTATTTGCAAAGATCAATATTACAGATTGATGAGAGGCTATTGATCCTAAACCGAAAAATTATAAAATATAATTTTAAAAGGTGATTAAACATTGTGGTTCACTGTCTTATAGTATGTCAATCAAACAAGTAACATATTAACTTTATTATAAAATACTATTTGATCATGGAAAGTGTGCAGTTCTTAAAGTGTTTGTTACCTAGAGAGCTATGTCTCACTTCACTTGGCAAACAATAGTAATACAATCGACTTACAACTCTATACTATTCAAATTTATTTGTTATGTGATTTTCATTTTTCCAGTGGAAAGTAAAAAGCTTTCGTTTAAATTTTAACAAAGGCATTCATACAGTCATACCATTGATTGACCACATAAGGTAACTATTTACTGGTATGTTAAAATCGTTGGTGACTTGTTGTGCGACTGCCTAAATTCAAATTTGCATAACACATACTGTTAAAGAAATAGTTGCCGATAATTGTAGGATACTTATCATTAAACTAATAATCATATTGGTAAATAGCTGCATGCACTACCTAAATTCACTCAACTCATAAAGCAGCCCACCACCGCATGTCCATTTAATATCTTCTTAGTATTAATAAATTAATCTCCATATTTAATACATTTTGTTGCAAAAGTTCTTAGGACATGAATGATTAGTACAAACTACAAAGCATGTCTATCGTGCCAAATTAAAATACTCCAGGGTATGAAATATTCTATCGTAATAGGCAGTTGATGAAAATTATTTTGACATGCAAGAACTCTTTTAATAATATACCGGCGACATCTTTAAGAAAACGGATATTAATTTTGATGTAAAATTTTCCAGTTATTACAAGGTATTGATGATGAAAGAACCATTGTTTTGAGTTTTTAGAGTTTTCTTAGCAAAACACCATTCAATTATGATATGTTACTATTTATATAAATAAAATCTCACACTGAAATGACAAACAAACAAAGAAACCTTGAATATTCTAAGTCATATTTTGAAAATATAGAAGAAACCATTACTTCTTCACTAAGAGATTGAGAGATGGCTTATACTTCTACAACTTCTCTTTGTTAATGTGTTTCTTTATGTCTTGTCTCTTTCAAACCAAAAGCATATATATGTGGTTTCGTTTCAATTTTTATTGTGTTATTGGATACACTTTGGAGAAAAACAAAAGCCCCACTTCTTTTTTCTTAAAAGACATCTTCATAATTGCTTATGAGCGTAACGTGTCACTCGATGCTTCAATCAACGTTATGCAAATTATGAAGTATGTTTGTCTACATGTCCTTAGACACTAATCACACTTATCCATTTATAGTTTACGTCTTGCATTACTAACTAGGATCAGAACCAGTTGGTACTGCAATTTACAACACCAAGTAATTTTTGGTTTTAAAACACCAAATAATTTGTCAAGACCGATGTTATGATTACCTACTATACTAGTTATATTAGTGATACATCAGTTGTGTTCTTATTTATGGTTTACAGTTTTGAAAGATTCTGAACAACAAAAGTAAAACAAACTCTATATAAGTTAGTTTAGTGCCGTTTTTATTTCAGTTCAAATGTGATCAAAATATATTATAGTTTAAACGTTTAAGGACGTGTAGTTCTGATTCAGTTTTACTTATTTGGATATGTATAACGATTTCAACCAAATCAAAACTCAATTCAATTATTTTAATTTAATTTAATTTTATATAGCTGTGATTTATCCGGATTACACAGTTCTACTGTTATTGTTCGGCCAATTTTTTTCTTTTTATAAACAAAATAGTTTAACATATTTATCCCTTTAAAGTATAAAGTTTTGTTCGGCCAATTTTTTTTTATAAACAAAATAGTTTAACATATTTATCCCTTTTATATAGAGAATGATTGGCCCTCATGAGGCACAAGAGAATACTTTCTTTTTACATGATAAAATGTATGTGGGCCTTAAAAATCTATGAACTACTTTCGTTTATCTATAATTTGAACTTATATTTAGAGATTATGGAGCTTTATCGCGCACACAAACATATACTCACACATAATTTTGGTTGATGGAATTCTTGTGATGTTATTCTTTCTACGAAAAAATTGTATCCTCGGCCAAAAAACATGTTTCTACATGATTCATTAAAATATCAATGTGACCCCTTTTCTGGTGGCAAATCTTAAAAGAACCAGAATCTGAGTTTCATAATTTATAGAGGCTTTTACGTATCGGTATAATTAATTATCAAGTTGATCATTCATGGAGACTGGTTATATTTTAAATTTGTATTCATCTTTTTCTTTTTTGACGACAAATTTGTATTGATCTTTTACATGCATTTTTATAACATATATTTCGTCCCTCGCATTAGTGCATGCTGAATCAGTCTCACTAAGCTGGAATATTTTTTGTTTGTTTTTGTTTCTTCGCATAACTATTTGTTTAAAACTGTACGTGTAGTTGCCTTGCCAAAAACGACAAACCGTTTCAATAAGAAGGAAAAAAAAATTATGACACCAAAAACGACAAACAGTTTTAAATCTAACATTTTCCAAAAAATCCGACCTGCCGGAATCGAACCAGCGACCTAAAGATTACAGCAACCACTACAGTCTTCCGTTCTACCAACTGAGCTAAGGTCGGTCTGCTTCCTAAATGATTTAAAACATATTCAACAGACCTTGTAAAGTATCCATATAACGTTTTTCCTTTTCCAGCTTCAGTTCATATTATTGGTTCCAAAGGAAAACCAATTGTCAAAGAATATAGAAAAAAAAAATGCAACTGGGAGATCAAATGAAGAGAAACGTGCAGCTCAATTTCGAAGTTCGTTGATCAGCTCTTGATTGTGAAGGCATATGCTGGTCCTCGAAACGCCATTTCATATACGAACAAAGCTGATCCTCTCTGTCTCTGATCACATTTACACTATTCTCGCAATGGAGTTAATTAGATAAGATTGATCCATTCAAATTTTGTTTTTGGTATGAATATTAGATCCATCCAAAGTTCTATATCATTTTACTATCTTTTACGAATATTTTTAACACAAATGATATTCACATACAAGATACAAAATGACTTCATATATAAGTCTTTTTTTCTAGGCCAACTCTAGGCCAATAAGGCCAATAAAACTTATAAAAGAATTAGTTACAGAAAGTACCAAACATTAATAACTCGTAGTAAAAGAGTTAAGCTTGTTTTTGTTTTTTTTACATATATAGGAGAATAAATGAAAGTGTTGACAAAAACGGAGATAATAACAACTACCAACTACTCTTTAACCTCTATATAAGCTCTCTTAGAGTTCACTCTTGGCTATGAAAAAAAAGGTAAGTGAAGAATCATGGCCAAGTCTTGTGCTGCATTCCTCGTCTTCCTTTGCCTTTCCATGCTCATCCTCTCATTTCCTGGTGAGTTCTAGAATCTATAGTAATAAAGCCATATTACAATTTTGAGGATATATAAAAATATCAAGGAAAGGAATAAACTAACTATTCTGAAAACAAAAAATGTAGAAGTGGAGGCTAAGGTATGCATGAAGTTGAAAGTTGAAGCGTTAGAAGGGAGTACTTGTAAGATCTGCGACCCCGAATGCATTAAGTGGGAAAATGGAAGCCATGGAGTTTGCAAAAAATACGAAATACGCATTGCTTGCACCTGTCCTTGAATCCTTCATCTACGTCGCATGCATAAATATGGTAAATGCATGTATACTTTCAAATCAGTGGAAGAAATAAAACATCGATCTATTAAGGAGTCGTAATATGAGGAGGGTTTTATGTACAAGCTAAGGTCACATGTTTGATTGTATTAAGATTACTATTATGTTCTTTGTGTGAATGATTATAAAGTTATAATTACTATAAGTCTATAAATATTATGTTCTTTGTGTGGATGATTATAAAACTTGGCTTTTAGAAAATAGACAAGCTTTAACTGGTCGATTCATATGAATATATACCAACGACGTACGTAGCAATAGCATGCGCTGGCGAAATAGCACTTAAAATATCTCCAAGAAGTTAAAAAACCATTACAGAAGTACAAATGAATTAAACTTTTGTTTTAAGTTAATAACCAGGAGATCCGCAATCAAACATCCAGATTAATCCCCAAAGAATATAGAACGCTAGATATTTCTTTCCATTTATATCGATAATGGTGGACCAATCGTAAAGTAAAAATTAAAAAGAATTCTTGCTGCTTTTGTTTTGTTTGCTTTGGCCTTTCCCGTTTCTACTATATTTGCAGGTGATTGCGCGATGTAAAGTGAATGTAAGAATCTTGAAGGGATAAAAAAATATGTAGAGACGAGAAAGTCATCTTAGTGAGTTAGTGCCAAAGAATGGGGGGGGGGGGGGGGGGGGGAAGCAAATGGGTGAGCGGAAAGAATTTAATGCCATAAATGAAGTGCCATATTGAAAATTGAAAATTGGTGAGATGGAGAAGAAAAAGAGAGATCACTCATGTGTTTACCTCAAATTTATGTCCTTAACATAGACAAAGAGAGACACTATATAGGCTATAGCATGTGTGAAAACGTGTTACCATACTGTATGCTTTAAAATATCTTAGATGTTAAGTTCGTCAAACTAGCAATGAAAAAATTGCAAAATCTTGTTTGGAACCAAATAGAACATGTTCATCGTTTTGCTACTAATGTCAAACAAACTACATAATACGAAGATCAGTTGATACTGGCGAAAATTTAATCGACGGATAAAGTTGGGCTAAACCAAAATCATCAATATAAATTGGTCTCAAATCAATTAAGATAATGGGCTTATATTAGAACACGTAATGGGCTTTCCCGGAGAAATCCAGCCTCTCGACACTCAGAGCTCAGAAACCCTAATATATAAGTATAAAAGCACTTCTGTCTCCTTCTTTTTCACTGTCGTCTCCGTGAGCCTCATTTTTCTTCTCTCCTCTCTCTCGCCGATTGTTACTCCGTCTCCGTCGACAACACCATGGTTACTCCCTCTCTCTCTCTCATTCTCTCTGTATGGATTTGTCTCTGTTGGCTTGAGTATCTAATTTGGAATGTTGTGTGTGTTTCAGGCGCCAAAGAAGGACAAGGTTCCACCACCGTCATCGAAGCCGGCGAAATCCGGAGGTGGAAAGCAAAAGAAGAAGGTTCATTTCCTCCTTTTTTTTCTATTTTTCTATCTTTACAAGATATACAATCAGTGTAATTTACTTGTGTTGCCACTGTCGATGTAGATTGTAGATTTAAGATCAACAATGAGCTCCGACTCTCTGTTTATTTCTAGAGAATGTGAGAAATTGTTTTAGGTTTCGTTTTTATTGTCTAGTTACGTCTCCTGGGAGCTTGATCTATCTGATTTGGTTGAATTAGGGTTGATTATGAAATTGCTGAAGATCTAGGTAGATTTGGGTATCTATTTGTAGTAGTATCACAAAAATCTAGAAACTTTAGTCTCTTTGATCCATTTGAAGATGCTAAATGAATCTCGAGTCGTACTTGATTATGAAATTATTGTGTAATTCAGCTCTGGTTATGTAAAACATATTTGTTTGAAGATGCTCGTCTTGCTTTGTGTTGGTTTTTCTGTTCCATGATCTTTGTAGCTGAATCGTTTTTTACTACGTGTATGTTTATGTTACACAAAACAGAAGTGGAGCAAGGGAAAGCAAAAGGAGAAGGTGAACAACATGGTGTTGTTTGATCAGGCTACTTACGACAAGCTTCTCACCGAAGCACCCAAGTTCAAACTCATTACCCCTTCCATCCTCTCCGACCGTATGAGGGTATATGCCTCTTCATTTTTACTATTTCATTCATCAGAATCATATAATTGTATAGTGATGCATTAATTCTTGCGAATGAGTTTGCACTTAGTTTCAAATCTTGTATCACTTCTAAGTTGTCAATCTCCAGAATTTCAAACTTAATTGTTGTGAACCTTAACTTAATATTGTTGGAAATGCAGATTAACGGGTCTCTAGCAAGGAGGGCGATCAAAGAGCTAATGGCTAAAGGTTTGATCAGGATGGTCGCTTCTCACTCGAGCCAGCAGATCTACACTCGTGCCACCAACACCTAAACAAATTGACTTTTGTCAATGGTTTGGTTCTTGAATCTCAGGACTCGGTTTCTCCCTTTTGATGTACGACATTAATCATCAGTTATAGTTCATTTTTCTTTTTGGGTTTTTCTCTCTACTTCTTTGTACTCTGAGAATCTCTTTAGAATGCTGTTTTGAGATATTATGTCTATTTAATTCCCAGTCGATTTCTATCCAGTCATCTGAATTTTAATTTTTTGGTGGATTTTCATTTCTCATTCGAAAGTATCAAACAAAAAATGGTCACACATTCGATATTTCCTATAAAAAAATATCTGTTGAGGTATATAACATCGTAACCATGTTACATTAGTAAAGCCGTTTTAATTATCGCACCAGCAGCACCATCCAAACCAGATAACAAAGCAGAAATGTGTAGGTTATATTAAAGATCAATTTGAAACGTGAAACCTGTATCCATTTCAAGTTAAACTGGTTCTTAACATTGTTATATTTCGAGTTTAGAGTTGGAATGGGATGGGATACCACCAAAAACGGTTGCCAATGCACTGACAAATTCGGATATATAATATCATTGTTTAAGGAAAAAAAGGTTTCACTAATTGTCATATTCGGATATATAATATCAAAGTTTTGTTTGTTGGCAAACTAAAAAAGGCACTTTAAGAGACTTTTGAGTCATACAAATGGTTTCTTTGACAATTGTGCGGTCGTAAAATTTCATAAACAATATATTAAAAATCAGATCAAAACTTCACTAAAATGGTTAAAACAATGTCACTGTCTCACACATGACATAGCACATGAAAGCTGTTTTAGATATTTGTTGTATCCTAGCCGTCGAAAATCATCAAATTGTTTCATTTCAAAGCACATTGTCTGATGCTTTGTATTGCTGATTATAATCCGAGTTGAACCAACTAATGTATGTATGTGTAGGTAGATGAAAAAACAAGTTAATCACTAACTTTTGTGCGCGTTGTTTCTTCCACTCATCTATTATTCATTTGATTTTTTTTGTCGATAATTTAACACGTTTTGTTAAAAATATTTTAATTATACTACTGTATAGTCTGTATTGTTATGAACACAACGTGTGTATATGAATATGGGCCGTGGGTCCACTAGATCAGACGGATTATGTGATGGTTCCGCGTGTCCTTATTGCACTAGAGCAAGAGTATGGGACAAACCATAGCCGTCCGTTTGGTGTAACAGCCACATGACTCACATCACATGATCTTGTGAATATATTTTTTTTCTTCTTTTGCTTGAATACAATTCTATTATTCAAATTTGATACATTTTTATTTATCAAACTACAAGTGAATGACTGATTCTTCTTATTTCTTATTGTTGTTGTACTTTTAACTTGGATGCTTAAAATAAGATAAAACATTTAAATCTAAAAGATTATAAAACCTCTATAATTGATTTCAAATATTTAAATAACACCCCTAAATTAGTGTTTTGGAGTGATTTCATTAAAAAAAAACATAAATTTACTAATGTGAATAAGAACATTCCGCTATAAAGATCCAAGTTTAATCAGAAGAGAACTGAAACTGTCTCCTAAATCCTAATTTAATCAAGAGAGGAGATACAAAAACAAAACAAAAAAACATTTTGAAATAACAATTGGCAAGAGAGAAAATCAGCTTACTTTCTCGTGGGCGATCACAGGAAAAGCAACAGCGTCCTCCGTCAAGTACACACTTCACTGATTCAGACTTCTTCTCCTCTGTTTCTTCGATTTCACACGAACAACACATTAATCAAAATCAGAAGAAAGAGCTAACTTTCTGGTGAGTTAATACTCTGCTGACGCTTTTGCGTTCATAATGCGTTTCCATTTCTAATTTGTTTTCCTTCCGTTTTCATGTTTGATTTTGTTCTGGAACTGAGTTTCTTTGATCTTCTCTCTGGATTCGTTGTCGTTAGCTTTCACATTCCCATTATCGATTAGAGAACTTTTCAAGAGTTTTTGTTGTTTTGAGACGATGAGATTTTTGAGAGTTTCGGGGATCTGTGTTTGTGAATCACCTTGGTTTGTGGAAAGTTCGTAGCTTTCGAGGATTTATCTATTTCGGTACTCTCATGAAATGTTTTTGCAGGATTTCTCTGGTCGGTTTCACTTTAACACTTTGCTTAGATTTCAACAATGCGTTTTGGATTATTCTATTACTCCTACTATTTTGATTATATTAATAAGCAACTGAAACGCTTTGTGTGTCATTCACTTTACTTGAAGCTTTTATTATTCTTCTCAGCCAAAATCGTCTCTGCTATTATCAACTTTCCCAGGTTTCTGTCTTCTTTTTGTGTTGTTGCAGCTACAAAGATGGATTCTTCTTACTACTTTGCCTTGGGGACAAGTAGTCCCATCTTGCCAAAACTCAGTTTCAAGAATGTAGAGAACAGCTTTTGGGGTGAGAAGACCAACAACAATGGTTTCTTCAAACGTTCAGCTCCAGATTTGAGCTCAAAGAAGTTTAGGAATGGAAACTTCAAGCGAAGTGTTGTTTACTCAGTTGCCACTTCAAAGAATCCTAATGAGGCTATGGTATGTTTGATCAGATTACTCTGTCCTCTCTCCTATCATGTCCTGCAAAAGTCTCAGAGGTCTTGATTCTGTTTGGTTGCTTTTGTCTTTGTCAGACAGTGAAGCCTTCGATGTTCGAGAGAAGAAAGGCAGATCCGAAAAACGTGGCTGCAATCATTCTAGGAGGAGGCAATGGAGCTCAGCTCTTCCCTCTTACAAAGAGAGCCGCCACACCAGCTGTAAGTATTCGTCTGTAGATAACATTCATGGAGACAAGAACCTCAAAGGGTCTTTTTTTTATAAGATAATGTTTTGTGTAATAAGGATTCTTATGTACTAATCAACCATATGTAGGTTCCTGTGGGTGGATGCTACAGGCTGATTGATATTCCGATGAGTAACTGCATCAACAGCTGCATAAACAAGATCTTTGTGCTTACACAGTTTAACTCGGCTTCTCTCAATCGACATTTAGCACGTACTTACTTTGGGAATGGCATCAACTTTGGAGGTGGTTTCGTTGAGGTATAATTAAGCACTCTATCAATTAACAATTTGGGGTTCTTGATTTTTTTTTTACTAATAGAGGAAAAGTGAAATGTTGTTGAATAGGTTCTTGCTGCTACACAAACACCAGGGGAAGCAGGGAAGAAGTGGTTTCAAGGAACAGCAGATGCTGTCAGAAAGTTCCTATGGGTGTTTGAGGTATGGATTTATGATCACTTTAACTGCTTTATTGGTATTAAAGCATGTTCCTTTGTGATCATTGGAGTGTCTTGAATAGGATGCCAAGAACAGGAATATTGAGAACATTCTTATTTTGTCTGGAGATCATCTCTACAGAATGAACTACATGGACTTTGTTCAGGTATTTATCAAAATCCAAATTAACAGATCTTCTTCTGAAAAACCTCTGTATAGTGTAGCTAACTCGTTATCTTGTAACAGTCTCATGTAGATAGTAATGCGGAGATAACTCTCTCGTGCGCACCAGTCAGTGAAAGGTTAGTTTCTTGAATCTCTTTTAGGCCTTTTTTGTATGAGAAATCTCTGTTTTCTGAAACATCTTTTGTGCATTTTGTAGTCGTGCATCGAATTTTGGTCTAGTGAAGATTGATAGAGGAGGGCGTGTGATCCAATTCTCTGAGAAACCAACCGGAGCCGATCTAAAATCAATGGTATGGTTTTGTCTACTTCTCAAAACAGATTAACTCTCACTAACCATTTCAATTTTCTGTTGTGTTTTTGACAGCAAACCGACACAACAATGCTTGGACTGTCTCATGAAGAAGCTACAGAGTCTCCATACATTGCATCAATGGGAGTTTACTGTTTCAAAACCGAAGCTTTGCTGAGTCTTCTGACACAACGGTATCCAAGTTCCAACGACTTTGGATCTGAAATTATTCCTGCAGCCATAAGAGATCATGATGTTCAAGTAAGGATTGTAGATAAAAACTCTGCTTTCTTCTTTCTTTAATTTGTTAAAGACAATGAATAATCAATCAAACAAATTTGGTATTGGCTTTGGTTAGGGATACATCTTCAGAGATTACTGGGAGGATATTGGAACTATAAAGACATTCTACGAAGCTAATTTAGCTCTTGTTGAGGAGGTTAGAAACATACTCAAAGCTTTCACCTTATTATGATCTCTTGAAAATCCATTTTTCTCAAAACATGTGTTCTTGTTCTTCTGCAGAGACCAAAGTTTGAGTTCTATGATCCAGACACTCCCTTCTACACTTCTCCTCGGTTCCTACCACCAACCAAAACTGAGAAATGTCGTGTATGCAATCGACAAATGACAAAATCCATCTTTCTTTATGGCTGTTTCATTGATTCTGTTTTTGCTAATTTGGTATGCATTGTTCCTCTTTTGATGATTTTGTAGATGGTAGATTCCATAATCTCACACGGATGTTTCCTGCGAGAGTGTAGCGTCCAACGCTCCATCATTGGTGAACGCTCACGTCTAGACTATGGAGTTGAGCTTCAGGTGAATCTCTACAACCTCTTCGCTCTTTGATCTATAAAACAATCAAAAGGATGTTACAATATTGTTCTCATGATCAAACTGAGTTTTGGTTTTGTTTTTCTAGGATACGCTTATGTTAGGTGCAGATTATTACCAAACTGAATCTGAGATTGCATCTCTGTTAGCAGAAGGGAAGGTTCCAATTGGTGTTGGTAGAGACACAAAGATCAGGTAAGTTTTGAAAAGACAAACAAGAACCCTCTTCAAACTTGTCAATTGGATTTGACCACAAAAAAAGTTATTTGTGTTGATTTTTATAGGAAATGCATCATAGACAAGAATGCAAAGATCGGTAAAAACGTGATCATCATGAACAAAGGCGTAAGCTTCTCTTGAATTTTGCTTCTCCTCTCCAGTAAAACGGCTTTCGAGTGTGAAAGAAAGATCAAAACTCTTAAGATATGTTTGCAGGATGTTCAAGAAGCGGATAGGCCAGAGGAAGGGTTCTATATTCGATCAGGAATCACTGTGATAGTCGAGAAGGCCACCATTAAAGACGGTACTGTTATATGAATGGAGCTTGGACGTTTGGAGATGTTCATAAGACGACAAAGCAACAATGTAGACGACAAAAATTCAAAAGAGAAAGCTTTCATCTTTTGTTTTTTCTTCTTATCTCGGTAGTGTATGTAAGTAAAGTTAGAAGAGCTCAAAGTTTAGCTAATCGTGTACTAATTATATAAGAGAGATAGACAAACTTTAGATCAATAAGAACAAAGTTCGATAACTGAAAAAACAATTATGGATATGATGATGAGAGCTAAAAAATTGTGTTGAATAATGTTTTATCAATCTCTCATGTTGAGGGCTTAAAAAAAATTACATTAAATATTAGTGTTACGGAGTGATTTCATTATCCTTGAGGGCTTAAAAAACAGTTGAGTAATTTTTGTGCTATTTCTATTTTCGAGGGTTTAAAGTTTTTTTTTTTTTTTTTTTTTTTTTTTTTTTTTTTTTTTGTGCTATAAAAGTCCACCCTTGCGTTAGAATTAACCCAAAATTGATTTTTTACTTTCTTTTCCAAAAGTCTCTCCAGATTTATCGAGTCTCTGTCGATACCATAATTATGGAGGAAGAGGAAGAAATCGAATGTAAGATATCTATCTATCTCTTGCTCGTAATGCTTTGTCTATATATATATATTCGGATTAGATTTCAGTAGTCTCATCGATCTAAATCAATTTGGTCGTAATTGTTTTGTGTTTATGACAATACAGATAGTGAGACATTCGTCTTCTGGGACATGGTGGACTTCCCTCTTCCTCGGGGTGAGATTGGTTCTTTTTCTAGAAATCTTGAATTATCTCTCCAGAAAGAAGGTTACGTCGGTGAAACGATTATCAGAGCTTATGGTCATGCAGAACGTTCTTCTCTATTAGGGTTGGAGTCGGTTAATTCCCACATCCTATTAAACCGACTAAGTGAGTGAATTTTTTTTTTTTACTTTTTACTTTTTTTTGTAAGTGCATGTAATGTAATCTAGCTCACTCTGTTTACACATGTGATTTCCATGCAGGTACTAAATTTGCGAGAGTAAATCGGATGTTAGTGGACATGGTTCGTTTTGTAAAAATGGATCGTAAACAAAATCTCATGTTGATAATGAAAGGCATGGAAGAGGAAGACGCGGAGGTTGTGCGCATTATTAAAAAACTGCAACAAAGAAATCGCAATGTTCTCTTAGTAGCGGATGGCGATGAAGACTACAGAGCATACCCATCAGAGGTACAGTCTAGTTGCACCGTATGGTTTTGGAACAACCTATTGAATGGTGAAAGACCTATACGCCCTCTTCACACAAGTGAAGAGGAGGAGGATGATGAAGATGATGATGATTCTGACGATGATGGCTCTGACGATGATGATGATTCTGGACAGACCGTCTATATTCCTGAACTTGGACGCTCAGTTACTGTGTATTGTAATTATTGATTTGTATCGCATTACTATGTTTTTATTTATTTTATGTTGCTTTGGATCCAATTAATCCGACTATGTGAGTGAACTATTTTACTGATTTTTTTTTTTTTTTCTAATGAAAGATCATCTTCTCTGTTTTAGTACTTGTATATATATATGTAATCTAGACCAGACGTTAAAAAAATAATATGTAATCTAGACCTCTTTTATTTATTATATATATATGTGATTTCCTGCAGGTAGTAGATTTGCGAGACTTAATCACATGTTAGTGGACATGGTTCGTCATCGTAAACGATCGAATTTCATGTTAATAATAAAAGGCATGGCAGAGGAAGACATAAAGCTTGTGCGCATTATTAAAGAGATGCAACAAAGAGGTTTCAATGTTCTCTTAGTAGTGCTCGACTTTGATGACTACTACGAATACCCATCAGAGGTATTATCTAGTTGCCCCGTGTGGTTATGGGAAGACCTATTCAACGGACAATGCCCTTTAAGTGACGATGAGGATGAAGAAGAGGATGATGAAGATACTAGTGACAAAGCTATATATACTAGAGGCTCAATCTAATCAAACAATATTTACTTTGTTTGTGCCTTTTTCTTTAGATGCTGAAACACTCGTCTACTGGGACGTGGATGATTTCCCGGTGACCGATATAGTTACGTTCAATGAGAATATCAGATCAGCTCTAGGTAACGCCGGTTATCATGGTAACGTGTCAATCACGCCGGAATCACCTTTGTATCCGGAGGTGCTTTGCTTTCTTTTACTCTATTTATTGTTTTCATTGTATTAATTGGACAAGTCTAATCTTTGATTTGATTGCATCAATATATATATGTTCACAGGCTCAAAAGGTGGTAGAATGCATAGCATGTTATTGGACATGCATTTGAGGGCAGCGGACAATATAAGTTCTGCACCGACAAACTTGATGGTAATCACAAAAAAAAACATGATGCCGGCAGACGATGAAGACGACACTCAGTTCGTCTCTTGTCTTGGAGATTTGAATTACGAAAGCTACAATGTTCTCTTAGTACTGCCTGATGACTACCAACTAGCAAAGTTGCCTTATTAATTGAACTACTCTGCATGGCTTTGGAGTGACCTATCTGCTGGTGGATCTCCTCTCTTCGAAGCACGTCGACAAACACGACCACCCATCATAGAGGAAGATCCTTGTCCTTGCTGTGGAAAATAATTTGTCCCTTGATAAATAATTTACTGTATGTTTGTCATTTTTGTTTGCTGCTTGTTTATTTTGTTCTATACGGAAAGTGGAATAGAGATATTTAGCAGAGATACGTATTTAAGATGACAGCATAAATCTTTCAAAACATTAAATGGATACAAATAACACATGATTAATAGTATTGGATATCCAACTTAATTAAAATATTCAAAACCCCAAAAAACATGTTTAATTAGATAAAAAAATGAAAAATCTCAAATTAATAAGGTGTTAGAATTGGGTTTAAAAGTGCCAACTAATAACAAGGGGGTGAATCTGAAAAGAATGAAAAACATCCGGGGTTACATCCAACCAAACATTTTATAGCTGGTTTTTGCGTAATTATTATATAAACCCACGAGGAAATTAAATGAGAAAAAAAAAGAATTATTTGTGATATTCGTCGCATTTCGCATTCTCATTCTCCTTGGCCAGATCTGCTCTTGCTTGCTTTTAGCTTCGTCGAGGTCTCGTTTGGGGTCAGCAGAAGCTAATCCCATTCTTCACCATCATCAGTAAGTGTTTCAATCTCTCATCGATCTTCGATTTTCTCTTGTTCCGATTTGATTTTCTCTTCGCACTGCTTTGTGATTATTCTTGTTCCGGACGATTCAGCTCTGATTCTATTCCAGATCTGACTTGAGCGATTTGGTGAAATCTATTTGGTCGGTGTGAAAATGAGAGATTGAGAGGAATAAGTTCTTAATTTGTGTGCTTCTAGGGTTCTTCAGATTGTTTAGCTAAGAGATGATTACTTATAGCCATTTTCTTAATCTATTCTGCAAAACACTTGGAGAAATCGAAGCTAGGATTGGTTATTAGGTTATTTTCCTGACATTTCTTGTTCTGAATTTTTGACTAGATGTGAGAAAATAATCTGGATTCATCTGTGAAGCTTCAACTTTCGGAATAAAGTTTCATGCTTGTCTCCTGCTCATTGCTGTGTTATAACTTATACGCTGAAATTTCTGTGTTTTTACTCATCTCTAAAGGTTTCAAGAACCAGAAAATGGACGGAAGCGGTGGTGACGGTGGTGCGATGGCAACGCCTGTACAGAAGCGGGCACACGAGGCATGGAGGGTTTACAAGTATTACCTTGACAAGACTACTCCTCATTCAACTTACAGGTGGATTGGAACGTTCGTCGTCTTTCTTATCTACTGTTTGAGGGTTTTCTCCATTCATGGATTCTACATCATCTCCTATGGTCTTGGCATCTACCTCCTGAATCTGCTCATTGGGTTCTTGTCCCCTCTCGTTGATCCTGAGCTCGAAACCTCTGATGGAGCTTCTCTGCCTACTCGTGGCTCTGACGAGTTCAAGCCCTTTATCCGCCGACTTCCTGAGTTTAAATTCTGGTAACCTCTTCCTCAACTGCTTATGCTACTGTTGGATTATCTTGAATGCATGAAAGTTCTTGTTTTTGGTGACGATACGGTTGAATTGGATCTGTGATTGCAGGTACTCGATGACCAAGGCATTCTGCATAGCGTTTTTGATGACGTTCTTCTCGGTCTTTGATATTCCCGTCTTCTGGCCTATACTGGTTTGCTACTGGGTCGTTCTCTTTGTGCTCACCATGAGACGCCAAATCTCCCACATGATCAAGCACAAGTACATTCCTTTCAGCATCGGCAAACAGGTTACTTTTTGAATCCTCCTCCACACTTCTCTGCAAAGCCATTCACGTTCGTAGTTACAGAGTGTTGAGGTTAAGTTTGCTAATTTGTCTCTAACGTTTGATCCGTGTGGCAGAAATATGGCGGCCGGAGATCTTCTGCGAGCGGTGGTGGCTCTCGTGCCGATTGATTCTGACATTTTCTCCGGGAGACGAAAGAGAAAAAGATGGGTTTTAAAACCATTTTGGAATGTTTTGTAGTGATGGATTTAATCAAATTCGTAGTATCATAATGCCTCTACAAGGAAGAAGAAGAAGAAGGAAAACAGGGTGACTAGTTAAATTTGTTTTGATGTTGCAGGAAGATTGTTCTTTGTTAGTTCTCTTTTATCCCAAGTAACCTCTTCTGTAAATATGATTTATTTTTATTTCAAAACAAATTCATTCCTTTCTTTTACTTTTCAAAAAAGGTTAACTTGTTTTGATCGATTTCATTAACTTAGTTATTTGACTACAACTCACATAGTACTAATCAATTGATGGAATTATTAATAAATTATAGTATTATTTTGGAGCTTTCTTAAAGTGAGAAGGCAAAGGTCGGAGCCAGTCTTTGCCGCCGATGAAGTTCTTGCTCAAGAAGACGGTAGCTTCGTCGTGCGATAACTGTTTTGACCACTTTACCCTTTGTCTCCGGTCTGCTCCGGGACCATAACATTTGTATTCACCATAATACGCAGTTCTACAAAATGAAATCAAGCAAGTTTTAGTATACAATATTAGTCAAAATATTTCATCAGAATCTTGCCAAAAACCAAAACGTAAAAGAAAAAGTTTCAAGATTATGTATACTTTTCGTTGGTCGAGTTTTCCCAATTGTTCCATCCTTGTGGCACGACTACATTGGAGAAGAAGGAATAAGCAAAGACAACCCTAGAATAAGGTCCCCATGGTCTTCCCAAAAACGTGGATCCCGAACCGGTTAACTTGCATTGCAAGAATACAAACCCTGATTTGTCCGTCACATTCAATCTCTTTTGCGCCGTTATCGACCCTTTGTTCGGTGAAACCGAGTGTAAATAACACTTCTACAAGCCATACCCCCAAAACGTAATTAAACAAATTAACAGAATACGAAATATTTCACTGCATGTGGATTGTTTAAATAAAGGGAGAAAGATTATGTAAAATAAGTTAGTATTTACTTCATAGAGAGAAGATGCGTTTCCACAAATGAAGTCGGTGGCTCCTTCAATATAGCAATCATTGAAATAATGGTTTCCTTTGTCGTCAAGAAGAGTGTCTTGGTATGACTTTATCACACAACCGTAGAACGCCGCATTATCCGCCGCCACCCGTAGCGCAACCGCCTGTCCCGCGACTCTCGCCGTTCCAAGCTCATTCTACTTACAACGGCAAGAAGAAACACGTCAACATTACTTCCTAAACAAAATCGGAAAGAGAATCAACCATATGTTTTCCTTTGATGAGAAGTTTGCAAACCTTGTTACTGAAAAATGTTAAGTATTCATAGAAGCAAACGACAAAATCACGTTTGAAACAGTTATGGTGATGATCAAAAACATAATATCAACAACGCCATTGGACTGCCAATACTAAACTTATAACGCCAATCGTTTTACAAAAACAGAAATGAAATAATTGGTCCCTTTGTACGTAATTATGATATTTTGGTGCTCGATCTAAAATATGCATGCATGTATACAATGTATGTGATGAAGACAGGATTGACCTCAATAGTGAGCAATCGGCATACGAAATTGGAGGCGAGTACTGTGAGAGGGGGTGATTTCTTAATGCCTTTACCATCGCTCCATTTGAGAAAAGTATTGGAAGCTTTTGTTCCACTCAATGTTATGTAGGGTTTCTCCGCAGGAATCACCACTTTTTCTCTGTTTTACATTGATCCGCTAATTAGCATTAAGGCTTAATATATATATGATAAAGTATGTAACGTAGGTAAAAAGACTAGTTACGCGGGTGATCTCTCGTACCGGTAAATTCCAGGCTTAACCCAAATGACATAGAGTTGAGAGTTGTTTAGATTGGGAGGGATAGAGTCAACTGCTTCTTGAATCTTACTAAAGTCTCCTTTGCCGGATTGATCAACATTTATTAGAATTGCTGTAGAAAAGTCAATTGAAGACGAGGAAGAAGAAGAAGAAGCCATGGTTGAAGAAGTGATGGAAGAGAGAATGAAAATATTGATGATTATGATTTGATAATAGTTACGAGGAAGAAACAAAGTCTTTATAGGCTTTGTTTCATAAAGACTCATCGTGGCCAAATAGCCCATGTGAGGTTTTACGTTCTTGGCGATTGTGCAAGAGGACTAGAAAAACAAAAACGAAAACAATATAGAATGTGAGAATGGAAAATGATGAACGTAATTGGTTAAGCAAGAGTGTGATTATTAAAATTTATACAAGTTTGGTTTATACATAAAGGAGCTATTATATATACTCCAGTGGATTGACTAGAGGCCAGATGACGTGGAAGGGTTTGGCCAGCGGCCGATTTCTTATGATCCAAGTTGAAAAGTTTGTTTTAACAGAAACAAAGAAAGATTTGTATTTTCGTCTTCAAAAGATGTTGTATATATCAGAATCCAAGTTGTTTTAAGCTCTAAGCTAAAAACATTTATACACACTAGGACAAGTTTTTCTCATTATGAATTATCTACATTAGGCAAAGCCAAACCGATATCTGAAAGCGACCTGCTTGGAATTTGGTTTAGAAAACCAGAGACCTAACAATTCTCTGATGACTCCCGTAAGGCTATTTTCAACATTTTGTTTTCATTACAATCAGTTTTACTTGCTTCCTCTTTTGTTTTTTTCGGATCGCTAATTCCTCGAGATTCATGTAACAAAAAGTGCACTTATTATTTTTGGGTTAATAAAACATACCCAATATCAATTTTTTTTATATACAAAATTAAAAATAAGTTTACGTGTTTAGGTTGGCGGCTTGCATGCTTCTCGCATTAGTATTAGCAATCAAAAAGAGACCTCAATAATGCGAACGTTTGTTTGAATTGAGTAGTACAAAATCTGCATGTATAAACCGAAAATGTTAATGGGCCAGAACCAAAACATAAGGCCCAATCAACAAATTATTGTTTATTATCTAAAGAGGGTTTCTTGTTTTGTTTTCTTCTAGAAAGCTACCGACAAGAATATCTGTGGGATCACACTGAAATGTGATTACGCGTCAAAAAGCAACCAAACCAAAAAGAATCAAATCACTCATCGAATTCTCTATTTCTACACGCAACTTTCTTTAAATTCCAAAAACCAATCAAAATCGATCCACTGAAACCGCGAAGAAGACCCAACGAAAACCATAAACCGAAAATCTTCAAATCCGGGGAAAATGGAGCCATTGAAAGAAGACGAAGAGTACAGTTTCAGGGAAGTGGTGTTGCCGTCGCTGATTCCGGTGGTGGCAGAGCCGGAGCTAGAGAGGGAAACCGGAGAGAGAAGAAGAGGAAGAGATGTAATCGTAGCCGTTGATCATGGTCCCAATAGCAAACACGCCTTCGATTGGGCTCTCGTTCATTTCTGTCGCCTCGCAGATACGCTTCACCTTGTTCACGCCGTCTCAAGTTCGTTCTCCCCTTAATTCCATCTTAATTTGAGTCAATGTGAATCTTAAATAGTTAATACATATGCAAATCCCAGATCTGGATTTTGATCGAAAGGTGGTTTTTGATTTTTCCTTTAAAGGTGTGAAGAATGATGTTGTGTACGAGACGAGCCAAGCTCTAATGGAGAAACTCGCTGTTGAGGCGTTTCAAGTTGCCATGGTACTATCAATGTTATCTCTTTTGGTTTTGAAGAAGTTTCTTGATTGCTAAGTTAGGGTCCGAGATTCCAATACAATCAGAAACACTGGTTTTAGTCTATTTAGCTGCTTAAAATGCGTTGATGCAGTCTCTGATGCGGTTCGCGTGAAGACATTGTGATGATTCAATTAGTAAACACATTTTGGGATGTATTCATTCGATTCACTGACTTGGTTTGGTACTGAACTACTGATACTGAACTAGGTGAAGAGTGTGGCTCGTGTGGTTGAAGGGGAAGCGGGTAAAGTAATCTGCAAGGAGGCAGAGAGAGTGAAGCCTGCGGCTGTGATCATGAGTACACGAGGCCGTAGCTTAGTAAGAAGGTTAGATAAGATGAAACACTAGTGGTGATTTATGTTTTTGAATTATTCTGCTTTCTTGATTCAATAATTATCTTTTTTTGGATTATAATGCAGCATGCTACAAGGTAGCGTAAGCGAGTACTGTTTCCACAATTGCCACTCGGCTCCTGTCATCATTGTTCCTGGGAAAGGTACGTTTAATATTATGAATCAATCATTGAGTAAGTTTTTCACAGTTGGTTTGTATAACTGTAAAACCTTTGCGTGTTGTAATGCAGAAGCTGGAGACGAATCGATTGTAGACTGGACACGATCAGGAGATCCAAAACCCTGATGTTCCATGTAATTCCACGAAGGAAGACAGTTTGTTTGTTTGTTTGTTTGTTTGACATCTTTCTCGAGTCTTTGTTTTGGTATGTTTGTAGGTGTTTTCTTTTGGTTCTTTTCTTCTTCTTCTGTGTGTGTTTTTGTAGTTTTAAGATTTTGCAAAAAAACATTTTCTCAGAAATGAAATTGTTCTATGTAAAATACTAAAATGGCGTGATGTGTCTGAGAAATGAAATCGATATGAATTATGGAAAAGAACATGGCCACTATTTAATAAACTATGTATCGAGGGAAATTATGGCTGGAGTCTGGAGATCTGTTTACATGAATTTAACTTTAATTTATAAAAGAGTCTCACTTTTAGTCTATAGTTTTTGAAAATTATTATTTTCAAAATTTTCTTTTAGGCATTTGATCGAACATTTGGTGAACATGATAACAGACAGAGACTGGAGAAAAGTCAAATCATGGCGGAATTTGGAGTGCTCGAAGCTCAAGATGGTGTGAGAATGCCATGGAACATCATCCCCGTTGGAACGAACAAGGAGCAATCTTCAATCGACTCTGAAATCCCAGTTTCCGCCATTTTCACACCCCTCAAACCTCTTCGCTCCTCCGCCGATCACTCTCTTCTCCTTCCTTACTCTCCTCTCCGTTGCCGGACTTGTCGCTCCGTCTTAAACCCTTTTTCCGTCGTCGATTTCACCTCTTGCAATTGGGGTTGTCCTTTCTGCTTCAATCGGAGTCCTTTCCCGTCGAGTTACTCCTCGATCGCCGATAACAATCTCCCTCCGGAGCTTTTTCCTCATTTCACAACCGTCGAGTATCTATGCGATTCCTTCTCTACTCCTTCTCCTCCTGTTTTCCTCTTCGTCGTCGACACTTGCCTGATCTCCGAAGAACTCGAATTCCTCAAATCGTCTCTCTTCCAAGCTCTGGATCTCCTCCCCGATACTTCCATCGTCGGACTCATCACCTTCGATTCATTAGTCCGCGTCTACGAGCTCGGATTCCCACACTGCACCAAATCCTACTTCTTCCATGGAAACAAAGACTGTACCAAAGATCAGCTCTTGGACCAGCTGAGTTTCTTCGTCAAGCACCCCAAACCTTCTTCCGGTGTCATCGCCGGTGCTCGAGATGGTCTCTCCTCCGACGACATTTCACGGTTTCTGCTACCAGCCTCCGATTGCCAATTCACTCTTCACTCTGTCAGTAAATTCGTTGCCTTTGACTATCTTTCTCTGAACTTCAACTTTGTGTTCATCAGTGAACTCCAATTGCTTCCTGGTTTAGGCTCTCGAGGAGCTTGGAAACAACCCCTGGCCGGTTGCAGCTGATCACCGACCTGCCAGGTGTACCGGCGTTGCTCTCCGTATCGCTGCTGGTCTCTTGGGAGCTTGCTTTCCTGGCTCTGCTGCTAGAATCATAGCTTTTATAGGTGGACCTTCCACTGAAGGCCCTGGAGCTGTAAGTTCTTTCTTTCTCTTGTTATATCATATCTGATGGTGGAAATGGAAACTCGATGCAAGCTTGATGCTCTTCAATTTGCCTTTTTTTTAGATTGTTTCCCGGCAACTTTCTGAACCAATTCGCTCACATAAGGACATTGATAAAGATTCTGCTCCGTGTTATCACGAAGCAGTCGAGTTCTATGAGACGCTTGCGAAACAGCTTGTTCATCAAGGCCATGTTCTTGATGTTTTTGCGTGTTCTGTTGATCAGGTGATTGGATGGAGAACTTTGTTAGTAGTTAAGTTCTTTCTTGTTTCATAGCTACATGTTTATTAAATCTATGCATCTGTAGGTTGGCATTGCTGAGCTAAAAGTTGCAGTCGAGCAGACTGGTGGATTGGTCGTGCTTGCTGAAAGTTTTGGCCATTCGGTATTTAGGGATTCTCTCAAGCGCGTGTTTCAGTCAGGTGAAAATGATCTAAGCTTGTCCTCATGGTAATGAACATTCTCTTATCTGCTATGTTCATCTTCAGTGAGTTGCTTCTGATGATTAGCCTCTCTCTCTCTCTCTCTTACAGTGGTATATTTGAGATTAATTGCTCAAAGGATATCAAAGTTCAGGGAATCATTGGTCCTTGCGCATCTCTTGAAAAGGTATCATATAAAAGTGTGAAGCTATCTCTCTAATTTTCCTTGCGCTTGTTGTGATCAATAAGTTAACTCTCTGATGATTGTTTGCAGAAAGGACCATTATGCTCTGACACTGTCATCGGCCAGGGACACACAAGTGCATGGAAGATGTGTGGCCTCGACAAAAACACTTCCATATGTTTAGTCTTTGAAATTGCTAAAAGGGATACAACTGATGTTGTTTTGCAGACGCAGACCAACCAGTTTTACTTCCAATTTTTGACATAGTAAGAGACTTGAAAATTTCTAATTAAAAGTCGCTGTTGCAAGTTGTGGATCGAGAAGTTGACACACTTTCTGCTTACAACATTCACGTATCTGTAGTTATCAGCACTCAAATGGTCAAACAAGACTCCGGGTTACAACTCTTTCAAGAAGATGGGTAATAGGAACTGAAGGCTTACAGGCAAGTTTTGAGTAGTATGTCTAGGAATCTTAGATAAATGATTTTTATACAATCTTAAGAAGATAACAAATATTCATATGACTGATAGTTGTGTCAATATATATGAGAAGGAGTTGGTGTGCAAGTTACTAGTGGAACTTTATTGCTTGTTTCATTAGATTGTACTTTGTCAGGAGAACTAGTTTTGGTTTGAGGTGTGAATTTCAATACTTTCTCCACTCTAGGTTTTGGTTCATAATCAGTTCTGAGAAGTACTCGTCCGTCTCTGTTTCTTTCTTCACGTAGAGATTATCTCTAACTGTTCTTCACAATTTGCTTAGTGTAGGAGTTGACAAATGGTTTTGACCAAGAAGCAGCAGCTGTGGTCATGGCACGGCTTATTTCTTTCAAAATGGAGACTCAGGTACTCGTTGATGAGAGCTAGTTAGATTTCTCAAACTGAATATCTGCTTAGGCTTCTTACTTGTTCTTTTACAGCCTGAGTTTAATCCCCAAAGGTGGGCTGACAAAGCTTTGGTAAATCTATGCTCCCGGTTTGGAGATTACAAGAAAGGCAATCCCTCTTCCTTTAGCTTGCCTTCTCAGTTATCGATTCTCCCGCAGTTTGTGTTTCACTTGCGCCGATCTCAGTTTGTCCAGGTACTTGTCCTCAATACTCCTCATAGCCCATAAACGCATGAGAGACTGAAGTTACAGAACGATCTTTAGTGAGAATTCCATCGTTTTGGCTCTCCCTTTATGTGTAGGTTTTTAACAACAGCCCAGACGAGACAGCATATTTCCGAATGATACTGAACAGAGAGAACGTTTCTAATTCAGTCGTGATGATACAACCATCACTGGTTTCTTTCTCATTCCATTCACCACCAGAGCCAATTCTTCTTGATGCGGCATCTATTACAGCTGACAGAATCCTACTGTTGGATTCATACTTCACACTCGTGATATTTCACGGTGCTACAATAGCTCAATGGCGAAAAGCTGGATACCATAATCAACCTGAACACCAGGTAGGTATTATCATCCATCATCTTAAAAGAGAGAAGCTCATAAAAAAAGTTTTCTAGAGTCTGATCTTCCATTAAAAACTGTCTTCTCTGTCAGGAATTTGCGCATCTGTTGCAGTCACCTCGTGACTATTCAGACACAATCATCAGCGAAAGGTTTCCCACTCCACGTCTTGTCATATGCGATCAGTATGGTTCACAGGTACGTCTTCTTCGATAGATCTCTGAGATTGATTATTGATTTTGCTTATTAATGTTGTTTTTGGTTCTTTCTCATCTTCTTGCGTGTGTGTGTTTTTTTTGTTGTTGCAGGCTCGTTTTCTCTTAGCGAAACTGAATCCTTCGTCTGATGGCAATGGTCCTTTTTCCGGAGAGAGTAATGTTTTCACAGACGATGTTAGCTTGTCTGTGTTTCTTGATCACCTTAGACGACTCATTGTTCTATAACTTTTTTCGTACAGATTTGTTTATTGTACGTTACCAGTTTACCACAAAAGAGAACAAACATTTGTATCAACAGAAAATGAGATTCATGAAAGTGAAGGGGTTAAAACTGGATTTATGAAAAATATACATTTCGATACAGGGGTTAGGTTTTGCAAATTCAAAAGTTAAGGGGTCGAACTGGAAGAACCGACTAAATTAAGACGGTTAGTGAAAATTCCGCTTTGTTCGGAAGGTTTTGCGTTGGGCTTACACTTATTGAACTAAAAACGCAGCGTTTAATGCCTTGGTGGCCAAGATCTTTTACTTTGCGTGTTCCACCCGTAATGCAGCTATATATATATATTCATTGGCTATCTGCTTGGAGAAAAAGGAAATAGCAAAAGAGAGGTTTCAGAGAGAGAAAAAACTATAGAAAGCAGTAGAAGAAAAAGCCAAAGAGAAACAACGATTAAGGTAAATCCTTAGTTTCATTAATTTTCTGTTGATGAATCCACTTGTGACGCGAGTTGTGTTAAGATTTGCGATTATACTCTGTTAAGAATATGGTGTGTATCAATATCATCATCATGCTTATAGTAATCGGTGTTTATCTTTGGATTTGCTTTCGCTTCTTTTTTTTTTTTCCGGATGTTAGATTAGATTGATCGAACGAATGCTATTACATCTGTTTGATATTTTGTGGTTGTTGTATAAGTGATGTTTTGGACTATGAATTGTATAAGCGATGTTTTCTGAGAGTTATCTAGGGTTAACAGAAAGGATATGGCTCTTTGTTCTTTTGGCTTTGTGGTTAGTTTGATCATGAGAATTGTGTTTGCTTGTGTTAAAAGAGCTCAATTAATTTGATCATACTGTTTTTTGTAACAGCAGGAACAAATGGATACACAGAAGATTCAAACCGAGAACCAGGCAGAAGCGGTAGTGTCTTCCACATCTTGCAACAAGTATGTGAAGGATGAGAGTGCCACTTTCTTTGTAAACCTCAAGGGTCGCTTTGATAATTTCGTCAATAAACCAATGGATGAACACAAGACTTGCTTCAAAAACACCATGGACAAGGTTAGTTTGGTAAATCTTAAATGTGCATGCAATTATCTGTCTAATGCGATTGGTTTATTTAGTGTTAATCTCGTCTCTTAACTTGTATATATGTTTTGGTCAATATCTTAGATGTTCGGAGGGATGTCGAAGGCGGTTGAAGAGAAGAAGGTTGAGACTAAGGAAGTCGGGAGTCAAGCTGCCTGAAGCAGCTGTGGTGGACTTTTAGATAATAAAAAATCAAGTGTTTTTTTTTTTCTTTTCTTTTTGTTTTTTTTTAACTTGAGAAGTTGTTAAAAGTTCCTTTGCTGAACAAAGTTTCTATCATGTGCAAGGTGTTAATATAATCATTGAACCAGCTTTTTGCTTTGTTTTCTTAATATTCGTTGTTTAATCATACAAGTTTGCTCCTCTAGTAAATATCATCATATTAATGAAGATTGTTTGATTTACAAAGAGCAAACCTAAGCAAATGGTTCCTTTGCCTGAATTATTGTTGACTTTGACAGTCCCTACACATTACGATTTACGCCACCACTACTACTCGTGTAACATGTGATTAACATTAATTAAAAATCTGTGGATAAAAAAACGAAAAACACAAGTTTGCTAACAAAGTCTCAATCTTATATTGATGGAGAGTGGAAAGTATAAGCCTATAACCAAGAAAGTAGAACGATACACTGTATATTGCTTGATCTGAAGAATAATAATTTGCTCTCATGATCTTACATACTACTGTATAAGGTCGGGATTTATATTTTAGAAAACTTCCTAAAACTATTTTAAAAAGAAAGATTAAAATTAAAAAACCTTTTTGGGTTTGCCTCGTTATTTTTAACTAATAATACTTGGTTATATTCCTAATTTTTTTGGTAACTTTTCCTGCACAAGTTTTTGTTAACTTTTACGTGACTACTTCTTTTGATCATATCTTCCTTTTCTCTTGGGTCATTTTGCGTGTTCAGCAAGTACTACCTATGTATAAATACAACTCGTTCTCAGCTTGAAGGGAAATAAAATTAGAAAGAAGTTGAAGAAGCGAAACTGAAACAAGGTAAACTTTTCGTTTCGATTCTCTTCATCAATGTTTATGTTTGTCAATTACTTGTGAATTGTGATCAAGAGAGGAGGAAATTCGGATTCTGTTTGCGAATTAACTGGATCTCAAGATAGCAAATTTTGAGTTTTGTTTGGATGGATTTGCGTCAGTTGATAAAAGATACTCTGTTAGGAATTATAGTAATCGTCGTGTAATTATTACGTATAACTTGGAATTTGCTTTCTTCTATTGCTTTTACTTTTCCAGAGATTCGTAAGTCTAGCTACCTCATATTATTTTTAGTTCTTGGTATCCATTAGATGGTAGTGTACAAGAGAAAGTATATGGGTCTTTTTTCTTGAGACCGATCATGGAAGAAACATGTGCATACTGGTCTTGATGATGTTAGAAAGAGCTTATTTGGATTCATATTGAAGAGATTTATTTTCTGTTTGTTTTTGGAACAGGAGGAACAAATAATGGATACCAACAAGATTCAAGCCGAAAACCAGGAAGAAGGTGAAGTTTCTACTACATCTTGTAGTAAGTATGTGAAAGATGATAATGCCACTTTCCTTGAAAACCTTAAGGGTCAGATGGACGAATTCGTCAATGCCTCAATGGAGGAACACAAGGCTTGTTTCAAGCACAACATGGACAAGGTTTCTTTCCTCAATTCTCTCTCTCTCCATATATAAACTCATCTGGAATTATGCAACTTTCCTTGATATATTGGTTTATTTAGTGGTTATGTGTCTCTTAACTTATCTTGTTCCTTCTCTAGATATTCGAGGAGGTGTCGAAGGCGGTTTCAGCTGTGAAGAACGTTGAGGTTAATCAAGTGTGTCAGAAGGTAGTTTCAGCTGTGAAGAACGTTGAGGTTAATCAAGTGAATCAAACAGCAGATTCAACTTAAGTTAAAGTTGTCATCTTGTTAGCTTCAAGATATGATATGAAGTGTTTTTCGATTAGTTTTCTTGTTTAGCTTTACAATAAGTTTCAAAGTTCCTTCGCTTTGCTGAACAAATTTCTATCATGTGTCAAAAATTATCTTCAAGTGTTCTCATCTTGTGAACTTGTTTCTGAACCATGGCATTAATAAATCTTCTTACACAAATTTCGTTTAATATTTAAGTCTTTATCATGATTACATCTGTATCTTGTTTACGAACCAAATGATTCTTTACTTGACCACCAAACTTAAATGGCGGCGGTTGCAAGTTCTAGGGTATTGGGATCAATATTTGGGTTGGTTCGAGATCCCCTGTTATATTTATCCAACTTTTTTTTATACTATAGATTATAAATATCTTGTTACACTTGATAAATAGTATTTGCAATATCAATTTGTTACACTTGATAAATAGTATTTGCAATATCGATTTGCTTTATCTTATTCTTATTCAAATCCAGTTAGAATGTTACTGTTTCAGTGCTATCTGACTCAAATTCGACTCCAAAGTAGTATTGCTTGTGAAGAAAGTTATGGATATCGAAATCTGTAGCTAAAAGAAGCCACACAAAAAAAAATGCTTAAAAAAATACATGATGCAAGTTCGTTTTCTTCACGAAATATTTTTAGAGTATTTGAAATCATAGATGTATACATATTGTCTCCTACTAATATACATATACTAAAAAAAAAAACAAATACTAAAAAAAATATCTGTATTCTACAAGCATGCATAATAGTAGAGATATCCGTATATCTTATGTGGACACAGATTCGTATACGTACGGTACCGTATATCTGCGTGTATAAATTGCACGTGACTTACTTTTTCCAAGCATCAGATTTGCCGCTCATTTTCTCCTACAATACAAAAACGAGAACTGTTGAATTGTTTTTTTTTTTAACCAACAAATTTAAACTCTCTCGGGTTTCGCTTGATTCGAAGGTCGCGATCAGAATTGCAGATTTTTCGAGGTGAGTTTTTCTCATCTCGTGACCCAAAAGTTATCACCAATTATCAACAACAACATTTTAATTGATTAAATACGAATGTCGAGTTGGAAGAACCCTAAATAGAGATTGGTCGGATGAATCGTAAATTTCGAGAGTAACTTCTTGTCCGATTCCGAATATCTTTTCCATTATTGGATTCTCCGTAAATATTTTAAGTGGCTACGACTTTGGATTATTCCATCACGAAGAACCATAGAAACAGATTGGTTGATTGATTCGTTGATTTCGATGATATTTTTTTTTTCATTCAGATCCGTGACCTTAATCTTTGGAATTATTAGTTTATGCATAAGAATAGCAGTTAACTAAATGATAAAACATTTTAATTGGCTTTAGACAATTGGATTTTTCCATTATACGAAGAACCCTAAAATACAGATTGGTTGACTAATCCGAGGACTGCATTTTTTTTGCCTCGATAGCAGTTGCTTCTAAGCTTTGGGGAAAACATGGGAAATTGCAATACAAACATTAATTCGTCTAACTTTGTTGAAACACTGAGAAGAAACTGATCTGCGTGCTTCTCTTTTATTTTTCGACGATTCATACGTAGTTAGGTTTTGTTGCTTGTTCATCACTGCAGCTTCATGCTTCTCATCCTGCAAAAAGTAAATGAGGGAGTTAAAGAGATTTAGCTTCTAAATATTGTTGGTTTTGTTAATTTGCATGTCAAAGGAATAGCTTAGAAAATAAGAGAAAAACTCAAGCTAATTTTGAATTCTAGTTTTTAGATTCTTGATGAGTGTGAGTTTAGTCTTGTTTCTGGAAGTTTCTGGGCAATATGTGGGAATCAGCTATATAAGATACCATATTGAGAAGAAAGCAAGAAGGAATGATTCGAAGCATATTTTTGTGGGTGCTTTTAGTTTGTTTGTAACAAAGTCGAGAGAATCTTTCTAAAGTGAACAAAGCTTTATCCTGAAACAGACATGCCCGTTCATATGTTTGATTTGGTCTATATATTGTCATGGCATAGGAATATATAACTTGACTATATAAGTATCTTAAAAAGTGGACCATTATGGATATATAAACAAAGTTGATTAGTTGTAATTAGTATAAAACATGTCTTATAAGATTGGAAAAGTACCTTTTCTCCTCATCACGAAGCCTGCCGTTGGTGTTGTTGCGTCCGTTAGTCTTGTAGTCAGGGAATGGTACGTGACCATTCTCAATTCTCTCGATGTCACGCACGAGAAGGTCATACTGCCTCTTCGCTTCTTCTGGTGTCGTCCCACCAACGGCTCTAGCAACATTGTACCAACGGTCAGGAGTGTCTTGGTCATAGACTGCTAGAGCACGCTCAAAGGCTTTGTTCTGCTTGACAGTCCATGAGCCAGATCCATAAGAAGACATTGAGCCTGATGCCATTTGAAACAAAAGAAGTATGGTATTATAAAGTTTATGTTATATTCTGAGGAAATTGTGATGTGTTGCACAGATGTCGCAGAGTCCTTGCTCTTTATAAAGAGAGATGTGTGTTGTGGGGTATAGTGCCAGTTGTTAAAGATATCTTTGCCAAAACAGAGAGAATTTTAAGTCTTTGTCTCCATAGAAACGCATATATAAGTAGCTCGAATAGAATATTATTGAGGAAAAAAATTGTGGAGATCAGTATCAAAGATCCAAACTAATCACACCAAAGATTGCGTTTTTAAGTACTTTTTTTTCCATCCACATTTGGCATATGATGCTTGGTAGAGACATTTTTATCTATAAATGTTATAACTAATATGTTTACTTTTATTTCCCAATTAGTGTTATGACGTCATTTTCTTGATTAAACTTAGTCAATAGAATCATGTTTAGGTGAGAAAATGTCTTCCAACCTTGATATTTAGTCAAACTATGTCCAGGAACAGTCTGGTCTCCAGTCACAGCCCAAAGCTCACTGTACTCGTAAGACATGGGAAAAATTTAAGTCTTGGATTAGAGTTAGGGAGAAGTCTTTGTTAACAAATGACTTTCATTTGAAACATTGTGACTTGTGAGGATTAATTTTCATCCACAAAACAAAAGTGGAGCTTATTCATGTGTTCTCTATAAGCCATATATTCTTCTTGAAGGAAAGTGGGGGCAGAGAGCTTTTAATGATCTCAGGATTCTCGGTCCTAAACACACCATACCAAGTTATCTAGCTGTATAGATTTGTCCGTACAATCAAAAGACATTTTTGATGTTTATTTCTTGTTAAGAAAAAAAAGGTCAACATTGTTTACCTACTTTTTTTTTTCTTGGTTTGTTGGGTCCATCTTCTCCATCTTCTTGAAGTTAGGCAACTGTGTTTTCTAATGTGGATTCTTTGTCGTTAATTTGTTAAATAATCACTTTTGTTGGTGGATATTCAAACTGTTTTCTGTTCTTTGGTGTCTGCATTATTGAATATTGGGGAGTTACCAAAGATTTTACAGCTGTCTTACTCTTGCTGTGATTTTGTAAATTTCTTGTTTTGGTTGTTGGTGGTGGTGAAATTATATCTAACCACTCTTTATCAGAGCCCATGATGAAAAGATGCACATTTTATAATGGTTTGTTGTCGTATTATCACCACGTTTTTGTTTCAAACGATTAACTAATTGCCTTGTTTGGCAAGAATCCAGGCTTGGGATGGGCAAATAGATTATTGTCCTGAAACTATATTAGGATGCTAATGTAGACTAAACTGTTTCGTTGCTTGTTTTCAGTGTTCTTGTACAACCTAAAAAGGTTCAATTCAAATAATGCACAATAGGATATATACATACTTGACAAAAAAACAACATCCATAAATTGTCCACTTGTTGTTTGGATTTAACTCAGAAAGTGAGCCTTTTGTTTTATATCTTTGAAGCTTGAAGCATGTATTTTTCATAAATAATCCACTTAATGTTTGAAATTAACTCAAAATATCGTTGATCCAATTGGTTTAAAGTCCTAATATTTTCTTGTTTCGGAAACACATGGGAGATGGAAGACTATACTCGTATCTTATCACTAAGTAATTGTTACTTATTAGAAGACCCCAAGTATACTAAGTAATTGTTTACACATTTTTGTAAAGCTACTTCTTGGATCTTTCTTGATTATATTAATGTCTATCCATTCTTTTGTTAGTCCTAAACACACTAAATGGTATTATCTTTGCAAAGTGAGATGATATTCCTAATGAGGTCTTCTAAATATATGCCAATATAAGCCCTTATAATTAAGTACTTTTTATCTGTGATCCAAACTATCCCACGTTTAGATTTTGATTCTTGTTATGATATGGATGTTGTGTTTCTAAGATGACATGGTTTGGTTTCAGGGTAGAGGCGAAACTTCTTATGAAAAGGAAACTTTAAATAAGAGAAAGAATCAAAATAATAATGAGGCCTTTGTCACAATATATTCCAGAGATAATAGTTTGCAAGTTGCAAACAAATTCTCCTCGTAGACATTGCACTAATAATGATGATATTCCCATCGTCACTATTCTTTAAACAAAACCTCTCGCCTAGGTATTAAAATGGTAAAAGAAACACTTTCCCCACATTAAGGTCCTCAGGTTTTGGTAAATTCTTTAGCCGCAAAACTGATAACTATGAGTTCATAAGTTAAAACACAAAAATGGTCGATTTGTTCCTTTTGAGAAAGATGCATATATATTCTGCTTCTTACTTTCTCACTGTGAATAGTTACATCAGTAAAGATTTGAGGGTTTTATTCCAATATCTTCAGTCTTGATTTCCGTATCTTTTGATGTAGATACTAGCCCCAGTGATCACTGTTGAGAACTTACCCATAATTTGATCATTTCTTTTTTTTTTGTTACAAAATTTCAATAATACTTATCCCCAATCTAGCAAAAATAAATAAAAACAAGAAGTAAGTATTCTTATTCCTCTCCAAGTGGTTGCTCCTTTATGCAACTTGGAGAACAAGAACAAGAAGTAATCACTTGTTCCTCTATAATGGAAGTTTCTGTTGCTCAGTTTAAGACGTTTTTGGAGTATCAATAGTCATTACACAAACTTTTAGAATCTTTCAGCATAGTGGTGAGATATTATTATCACCAAAAGAATGATCCCTTTACAATTTGGGATTCGGACAAACTTTACACAAAAGTAGCAAATGGCATTTTATCACCAGGAATCCATATAGAGCAGTCCCATTGAGGGGAAAAAAGTATCAAAACACAAGCCTGGTCCTAATAGTAGCCTATAACAGCAGAGATCTATGCTTTACCATTTTTGTTATCTCTTGGGAATCTTTGAATAAAGAATTTTCGAAAATGAGAATCTCCATGCTCAGAGGTTTTCATTGGTTAACGAAAGATAGAACCTATTGCTAGTCTTTGCTTTGATGCTAATCTTCTTCTTATCTTAGACAAGGTAAGTGGAAGCATGCATTATTGGCAGCAGAGAACTGTGTTCTTGTGTTTGCTTTTGATGATTTTTTATCAGTACACTGTTGTTACGCTTGTTGATTTTCTGCGTAAAATTAGTAGAAGTCTAGTGCGTGAAACTGTTTCATCTAAATTCGTAGAATAATTTGTTTCTGTTGCTGAGCTAATCATACCTTTGTTCTCTGTCGAATTTGTCTTTGCAACAAAGACTCAATTTCTACTAAGCCAAAGACAACAGGAAAGAGGTTGCTTCTTTTGCTCTGTTTACAACTATGGTAAATTTGTTCCTTCAAATTTATATAAGCAAGATTACTCTTAAACCAAGTGAATTATGCATGTATTTTTAATTATGTGTACACTTTTACACTGCATATATATAATGTAGCATTTGTACACTAAATCCTTGTGTTCCAAGCCAACGAATCATCCCTACCGTTGGGCCATCGGAAAGTCAAGATCAAAACAACTAAAATAAATTCCGTAAAAATAAGAACTCAAGAGGAGAAGAACGTTGCACCATGTTGCACGTAATGTTGTATCATCAGAAAAAGTGATGGGTCCTCTTCTTGGATATGTGACTAGCCCAAATGTTTAACATTTAGACGCACTACTTCTTTCTTCCAAGAATACACATTATGTATGTATCACACTTGTTCAAAAAAAAAAAAAAAAAAGTATGTATCACACATAACATAACATATATGTAAAAGAGAAAAGATGTTTGTGAATGGTTGTTGGTTTTGCTCTTCTCGAACCAAATTGTTGTGGATGAATCGTTTTGTCATTATGTCAATAACAAGTAACGTCCTATCTTACAAATTAGCAAGATTGAACCACCATGTTTGGACTGTATCTTTATCTCTCTCTTACTATTCTCTACCGTCACTCACTGTACTGTCGTTTTTAAATAATCATCACAACTTTGCAGTGTCAACAATAATCTTCACATGTCAACAATAGACTTTACATCATTGGGCGGATTTTTAACCAAGGCTATGTTCTTTTGTCTACCACATAGACTTGCACCTTTTGGGGTTTCGCAGCTTTTTGTTCTTCAGTAAATTTTAGAGGCCCACTGCAAGTCTTATTGGGCTCAAACAAATCGGGCCGCTCTTGCTTGAGCAAATTAGAGGGAAATAGAGAAGAGATGTCAACAATTAGAGGGACATACATTCCTCTCTAATTTTGTGTCGTATGGTAAATTTTGCAATAGTTTCAACTTTTAAGAGACTGTTTGATTAAGCGTAACAAAGGCAGATTGATTTGCGTTACCATCGGGTAATTTACTACGAAAAGGCAGAGTGATTTGCGTACAACAGAGCTTAACGCGATTAAAAAAAAAAACTTTTTGTCAAATAATCGGTGTAGCATTAAAAGTTTGAGCGTTTGATAAGATCGAAAAAATAAAACTGGATACGAAATTGATTAAGAAGAAATGAGATAACGAAAAGTGATTTAACATTACGTTTCCAGATATCAAATACCTAACCACGAACTGTTTCATCCAAAATAGAAAAGAACCAGAAGCAGAACCAAAGAGCACACATAAACCAACCATAATTAGATCCAGAAACCATAACAGTCTAACTCTCAATCTAATCTAATTACCAACCACCACCACCTCCTCCACCGCTGTTTCCTCCGTAGCTACCGCCGTAGCCACCACCACCACCACCTTCACGTCTGCCACCACCGGAGGAGTAACCACCACCTCCACGGCCGCCGGAGGAGTAGCCACCACCTCCACCACCGCTGTATCCACCCTCGCGCCTGCCACCGCCGTATCCACCACCTCCTCCGTATCCGCCGCCGCCACCTCCACGGCCTCCTCCGCCACCACTTCCACGGGACTGAGCCTCGTTCACGGTGATGCTGCGACCATCGAGCTCCTGTCCGTTCATTCCGTTGATGGCGTCATTCATGGATTTCTCATCCTTGAAGGTGACGAAACCGAAACCCCTTGATCTTCCAGTCTCACGATCGTTGATGATCTGTAAACGGAAAACGAAAACTCAACAGATCAGCAAACAAATCCAGCAGAGACGAGTGAAACAAAACGAAACGTTTAACGAACAAAAAATTTGAAAACAAAATCGATCGATCTCCGGGCTCATGAAAGCAGGAAGATGAACGTACCGATTGGCAAAAACAAGTAACAGTAACTAAGAACGAGAGAGCATAGTAACAGTAATTCGAATCAAGTAACAGAGAAGCACAGATCGGAACAGATCCGTCGAGGATCAGATCATCGAAATCCCGGAGTTTCCGATCTCTGCGAGTAACCGACCTTGGAATCAACAACTTCGCCGTACTGAGAGAAGGCGGTCTCGAGAGCGCTGTCGTTTGTGGCCCAAGCTAGACCTCCAACGAAGCACCGGAACTCAGCATCAGCGGACGACATTGCAATCGAGAGAGAAAAAAAAAGAGAAAATCTAGGTTTCAGTGAAGGGAGCGGAGAGAATTGTGAGTGATGATGGAGACGGAGAATCGTATTTATAATGGGGCTGAGAGATATCAACCAAGGTTAGATATTTTCTAGGGTTTAGGGTCGGTTTATGTGAGAATTTGGTTTAACTATGGTTAAGGACTTTGGTTGGAAATGGTGGTGGTTGGGGACACATCACGTGACACTTTTTTGGTATAATGCGCAAATGGAAAGACGACGATGCGGGGAAAAGATATTTTTCTTTCCGCTTCTTCCCAGAAAAATATCTTGGGACTAGAGGAAAAATATCTGATATCCGAAATGACATTTTTATCCCTTTTAGGCCTCAAAATGCTATCACATGCGCTTGACACGACTGTTACTGGGCCCGGAATTATTGGGCCGACAATAAAGCAAAAGTGATTTTTACAAAATTGTTGTTGACAGTGGGATTTGAACCCACGCCCTTTCGGACCAGAACCTTAATCTGGCGCCTTAGACCAACTCGGCCATATCAACTTCGACGTTCAAAATTCTTGTCAACGTTAATGATTACTTGAAAACGTCATGGGTGAATGGAAAAAGCAATTTTATTTTTCAAACGGTTGATGATCCAGTTTATGATAATGGAAACACAAAAAGATTAATCAAAGATGAAACTGTCACATAAGTTAACTTGTAGGTGAAGTATCTTTGTCTTAGTTCAAGACTTGCCACAATATCACACAAACAAACTTCGAAAAGTATAGTAAAGCTTACAATCTTATTATTTTTATTACATTATTATCTTATGAAATCCTCTTGTTCAGACCTTCTTCTTTGAAACAACACGTCGAGAACGACGACTTCTGCGAGATGAGTGAGCCTCTTCCACAGTGATGCTGTATATTCCGTTGTCGAGCTTCTGACCATTCATTCCGTTAATGGCATCCCTCATGGATTTCTCGTTTTCGAATGTAACAAATCCATATGCTCTTGGGTGATCATAATCATGCTCAGATGGATAAACAACCTGTGAAACAAAGATAAACAAAAGTCAGAATAATAAATAGATTAATTCCAGTACCTCGACCAATTGGATTTGTTAATGACACAAGAAAAAACGAACATAAACTTCTATAACGTCACCAAACTGGGAAAATGCATTCTCGAGCTCATATCTCTTTATGTCCATGGCCAGATTGCTAACATGGCACTTGAATTCAACATCTTCAGACGCCATTTTTGAAACAGAGATGTTCGACAAAATATGGTTTCTAATCAAATCAAATTTATAGAGGTTAAAGTGTTTTATTCTTTTGGAACTAGTTATGATATTTTATGTATAATGGGCCTGAGATATTAACCAAGGTTAGATATGTTCTAGGGTTTAGTGTCGGTTTAAGTGAAAAATTCTTTAACTATGGTTTAGGATTTGGGTTGGAAATGGTGGGGTTGTTGGGGACAACACTTTTGGTATAATGCAGCAAATGAAAAGAGGACGATGCGAGGAAAATATATTTTTCTTTCCGCTTCTTTCCAGATAAAATATCTAGGGAGGAAAAATATCTGATATTTGAAATAACATTTTTATCCCTTTGAGTCCTCAAATTGTTATCAGAGATGTGAAGATGGGCTAATTCATTTAAATCTTTATGATCTTATTGATGGTGAACTTTTATTACAAAGAGACCAAGAAGCTTTAGAAGATTATTCAACATAAAATTTGTTTTATCTTGTGAAACACTCTTATATTCCAAGCCTCTGTCTTGCATGTATAACGCCGACAAAAATTCGAACAAGATCAGAAGAATTGCGTTTGCGTGGCCAAGCCTCTTCAACACTGATGGAGCAACCATCGATCTCATAGCCGTTCATTTGCATAATGGCATCTTTCTTGGACTTCACGTCATAGAAAGTAACAAATCCAAACCCTCTCGAGATTCCAGTGTCACGATCGTAAATGATCTGTGAAAACAAAGATAAACGATACAGATGAATAAAAAAGAGTCCAGCAAACAAAAACTAATACCAAAATGTGAAATCACAATATCTGATCGATATTAAGGAGTAACGGACTTTAGAATCGATAACATTGCCAAAACTTGAAAATTCTTTCTCAAGATCATTTTCATCAGTGTCAGGGCCTAGACCGCGAACAAAGCACTTGAATACTTCATATTCCGACGCCATTAAAAACAGATATGTAAAGACAAATTAAATTAAGCAAGGTTGTGACTTATGAGAGACAGTTTGAATTAATTTATAGAGGGGTTTGAGTTTTTAGATTTTAATTTTCTCATGCATGTCGTATTCAACCTTTTCATGTTTTTAGTAATCAACGTCTTTGTTTTGGAACAAGTGAAACTATTAAAGTGACGTACAACAACTAATTTAGAAATCAGTGTCAAATATTTATTTTTATAGAGTTTGAAGAAAAGAATTTTTCTTACGCAAATTTAAAACTACAACAGCATGTATTTAAAAAAAATCATTACATTTTTTTTTTAATTATCATTTACTTAAAAGAAAAATTAAACTCAAGTGAAGTGAAACAAGTGCCCAACCTAAAACTGAGAAAAACAAAAAAAGAGGTTCCACCGAGAATTGAACTCGGGTTACTAGATTCAGAGTCTAATGTCCTAACCGCTAGACCATGGAACCATTTGTTACTTACTCGTTTTATTTAGTTAACATCTTTGTATGCTCATAGCCGTAGCTCTATCTTTCTTTCATTTCGTCTCCGTTCTCTGTAATCTCTTCTCAATTCAATTCTCCGAGCTGCTCTATTTTGTCTCCACCATCACTCCTTCCTCCATGCTTCTCCACTGTAACGTAGGCTATTGCTCAACCTTTTCCCTCGTCGCCTCTTCTCTCCGCCGTCAGGACAATCTCGACGAATCACAAGATACGCCAGTAATCCGGCGCCGGCACAATGCGAGATCCCTTTCTCTATTTATCCGCCATAACCAAGACCTCAAGCATAGAAAAAACCTTAACGAATCCGCAGAAGCCTTCGTTCCTCCGCCGCGAAATGTAGACGGTGAAGAACGATCGAAGCTTCTCGAGCTCTCTCTCGTCACCAGAAGAACACCACAGTTCCCTGGCTCAATCTACGCCCAATCTGCTTCCGATGCTGATGTCGCATCATCGCTTCCTTCGCTCCGTAAATTTCTCGGCTCCGATGGTGATGACGACGGAGAAAGCGAGAGGGAAATGATAGCTAAGGCGCTAGAGATCAGGCGGAAAGTGACGAAGGAGATTATCAAAGAGTCATTGGTGAGGAAAGGTAGATTTGGGATCACGTACGCGACTAATGTGACCGATCGTGTGGGTGAGTTCGTTGATCATGTGATGATCGAAGCTGCGGCGTTAAAGCGGTTGCCGGAATTTTCACAGTCAAGGTTCAATCTTCGCGCCAGGACGGTTATAGAGGACTCCAATTTCGTGCCTCTTGTAAGGTCAAGCTCCTACTTCCATGGCTTCTTTGACCTGCTTCTCTCTTTATTATCGCCCATAAGGTGTTCGATTGTTGGTCTCTGAGAAAAAAGACATTGACTTTCTCTATAACCGTGTAGGTGGTTGAAGCACCATGAGTTTTCATACAACAGAATTGGGAAGATCATATGCATGTCGAGAGGGAATCTTGACTCCATAAGAGTCATGATCGAGTGGCTCAAGACCATTCATGTGAAGGGTGAGTTCATTGGAGTTGCGTTCTTGAGATCTAAGGGCAACATTTTGCAACGCAGCCGTGAAGAGCTAGACGAGATTGTTGAGTATCTTGAGAGCAATGGTGTGAGGAGGGATTGGATGGGATATGTGGTTGGCCGGTGTCCCGAGTTGCTTTCTTTCAGCATGGAAGAAGTGAAAAGCCGTGTCGATTTCTTCTTGAAAATGGGTATGAATCAGAATGACTTTGGCACTATGGTCTTCGATTATCCAAAGATTCTCGGATACTTCTCATTCCAAGAGATGGAGAAAAAGGTGCTGAGAGCTATTTTGTATATGTGGATACACCATTGTTAGGGATTGTCTTTTGATTTTACAAAACTGTTGCTTTCCTCTAAACCAGATCAGTTACCTGAAAGAGTTTGGGCTTAGCACAGAAGATGTTGGGAGACTATTAGCCTTCAAGCCACACCTCATGGGATGCAGTATAGAAGAAAGATGGAAGCCTCTCGTCAAATATTTCTACTACCTTGGAATCTCCAAAGAAGGAATGAAGAGAATCCTTGTGGTGAAACCGATTCTTTACTGCACTGATTTGGAGAAGACGATCGCACCAAAGGTATTTGAACTTCTGACTCTTCAATGAGTTATATACTATGAACTCTCCTTATACAAGCAGCAGAGTCCACTAACTCGGATTCCCTTGTATTTGTAAAGGTAAGATTTTTCCAGGACATGGGAATCCCTAATGAGGCCATTGGAAACATGTTAGTAAAGTTTCCTTCTTTGCTAACGAACAGCCTCTACAAGAAAATCCGACCAGTGGTTAGTTTTTATACTTCTTTTTATGAGCCAAATATAATCCATAAAATGTCATGTTAGTGGTATGATGATTCTGGAAACTGAATCTGACATTGTATAAGTTGATCGTACAGGTGATTTTTCTGTTAACCAGAGCCGGAGTAAGCCAGAAAGATATCGGCAAAGTGATTGCACTGGATCCAGCTCTCCTTGGATGCAGCATAGGGACGAAGCTAGAACCAAACATGAGATACTATATATCTTTAGGAATCCGAATTCATCAACTAGGCGAAATGATTGCTGATTTCCCCATGCTGCTTCGGTATAACGTTGATAATCTGCGTCCGAAATACCGCTACTTGCGAAGAACAATGATTCGTCCGCTCCAAGATCTCATTGAGTTTCCCAGGTAACATACAGGAAACAATGTTATTTTTACCTTCGAAATGTAGCTTTTTACAAGTGTCTTGAAGTTATACTTTCACAGATTTTTTAGCTACTCATTGGAGCGTAGGATAATCCCAAGGCACACCATTATGGTTGAGAACAGGGTTAACTTCAAGCTCAGACACATGTTGGCTTGTACGGATGAAGAGTTTGAGAGGAGGGTGAGAGAGAAAGTGGAGGGAAGAGAGAGGTTCGAAGCTGGTCTCTACTCTGAGGATTCTCAGCCGTCGGATGAGTCCATCTCCGATGAGGAGATTGTCGTCTCTGACTCTCCGGAAGAAGAGGAAGAATTAGCATAATGAATAGTTCGTAACTTGAAAGCTGTACATAGCCATGTATTCTTAACACATAATTTATAAACGGAAGAATGTGTGAATTAGTGTGTTTACTTTGTAAATATAAAAACGCAAATCTTCTCATTCTTCAATGTCAGATAAAAAAAAAAAAACTTGATATGATCTTCAGTTGATACATAAAGCGATTCAGAGTCTAGAAATTGCATGTTAATAAGATTGTGTAAATCACTTTGCTTCTCCTGCAGAGAAGTTTTGATCCCCGCAGCAAAACTGAATCAGTCACGAATGCAGAATCCAAACCAAATATCCATCTCACTTGATTCCAATACGACAGATCGGATTCCGTTTAATAAGATCAAGATCCACCTGTGTAAACGAATAACGATAACTCGATGAGACTACTATTATCACTACATCAAAGATGATGTTGATATCATCAACAAGATAGTAAAGATCTTGTACCTTGTGTCCAAACAGATCGCGGATGTTGTCAATGCCGAACATGATCATTGTTGGTCTGTTTATGAAACAAAATCAAAAAGAATCAGTAATGATCTCTCTGAAAGTTTTCCACATTTCATTTTTGTGTTGTACCTTTCAAGAGAAAGACCCCATGCAATGACTCGAACATCCTCTGGGAGACCCATTGGTTGTAGCATTTCGGGTCTGAACATGCCAGAGTTTCCAATCTCCACCCATTTCCCAAGTCCTTCATGGTAGCTGGTAAAAGCAGCAGAGACATAATATCTTTAGTGTCTGTGTTTTTATTGTTTTTGCCTTTTTAGAGATGATGATTTGTTCGAATTTACCTGAAAATTTCCATGCTTGGTTCAGTGTAAGGGTTGTAGGCAGGCTTGAAACGCAGCTTGGACATCCCTGTAAAAGCATTATCGCATTAAGCCTTTGTTTTCTCCTAAGTGACTTTGAAGCATCAAAATAAGATTACCCAATGCAAGAAGTAATAAAGAATTTTACCTAATCGTGAGAAGAACTCTTGTAATACACCAATAAGATCACCCAATGTAAGACCACGATCACAGACCAAACCTGAGCAAAAGAGAAGAAACTTTTTTTATAGGAAATTTTGGTGCATTTTCATGATTCTGACTACTGTGACAACTCATTTAGCTAATGCAACTACCTTCAATCTGATGGAACTCTGCCAGATGGGTTTTGTCAACAGCCTCGTTTCTGAACACACGGTCTATTGAAAAGTACTTCTTGGGAGCGAAAGGTTCCTACAGTAAGCGATAATATAAAACTCATAATGCACTAATTTTCAACAAGTCTATATGCTTTAGGATTCACTGAAATATATAGATACAGCTTTTAGACATCAAATGATTCTTTGGTCGGGAAACCATATATGTAAATGATGCCAAAACAAACAAAGCTTTAATTCCCCCACTTAAGGCATTCACCAGTCAAAATAAACCAAGAAAACGGAGAAAATGAATGGATTGAGAATCGGAAGGGTAAAGTCAAATCAAGTCAAACCTTTGCGAGTGCATAAAGCATCCTAGACGACACTGCCGTTGTGTGGGTACGGAGAAGATTTTTGTTTGCTTCCTCTCTTTTCCATTCATAATTGTACCTGTACAATGGAGAAGTCCATGATGAGAGATTAAATATTAGTTGATTACTATCAGAGGTAGTAAGCATCAAAACAAGTTGTTACCCTCGTGATCCATATCCACCAGACTCATGAACTTGTTTCACCCTTTCAACATAATCTTCTGGTAGTTCCCTTGTCGTCGAAGGATCTACAATCAAATATTCACATATTACAATTAGAATCTAGAATGACATTGGGCAGCTGATGGTGAATCGTCCACGAGACAAACTCCACCATGACTGAGGGTTCAACTTCAAGAACTGAACCTTTTAGGAAGAAGGTGTCATGAGAGTCACGAGCAGGGTGCTGCTGAGGCTGGAATAGTGCATCGAAATTCCAGAAGCTACAGGGCAGAGGAAAAAGGTTGAGATCAACCAATGAACACAAAAGAGAATTCCCTTTGTCTTTACGAAAAGCTTAAGATACCCAAGCACCATTTCTGAATAAGTAGATGAATTGTGAAAAAAGTAGAAATGTTTGCATGAGGTGCTTTGCTATATAAGTATCAAAAAAGATCTACACATCTACTATATGATACCTGCTCTCCACAAAGTTGTTTGTTGGCATCTCTTCAAATCTGTGACCACATAATGCTGAGAACCATTATTCTCAGGTAGCAGAAAAAGTTTGAGAAATACAAGTAACATGGTAAAAGTCTCACTCCATCTGACAAAATATGTCTTTGAACTGCTTCCGCACCTAAAACACAGGAAAAAAAGCAACTGTTACTCCTAATTTCTGTAACAGAAAAGGTAGCCGGCAAGTAAAATCTATTTATGTGAATTCTACAAAACACAAAGACACACCGGGCTTTCAACAACTCGTTTTACGTTTGAGTACCTTAAGAAGGGGGTGGACATGCCCAGCATCAACAGGCTGTCCCTTAGCATTGAAGTTATACTCCTTGAATTCTAACTCTTTCCAGCTGCATGTGAGTAGCAATTTTTGTTCTTATTTTCATTTCTTTGCCAATAATATCATTAGTAAGTTGAAAAGGCAAGGAATAGTACACACTTTTTAAGATTTCCTACAGTCAAATCAGTGGCGAAAGTCTTCCTTTTGGGAGCATACTTGGGACCCTTCTTTACAGAGTAGCCATTCCATGTCCTACGAAGAAAGGAGGGAAGCTTTTAAATAATGTCTCCCAGAAGAAACAATTACAAACGAAAAGGCGCTGATAGTTACTGTTGTTCTATGAGTTTCCTGGCTTTGAGAGAACTGAGACTTTCTTTGTCAAGTTCCTGAAGGTGAGAAAGGCCAACTTAGTCACATAATATTTTAAGCTGAAAAAGAATTATACATAATCATTTTGAAATGAGACGATACATACCAGTCCTTCCTGTATTTGTAAAAGCAAGTTCTTCACTTTATCTTCAACATGTTGAACCTACAACAAAATGGTTCAAGGGTTATGATGCAGACCAAATAGAGGAGAAGAATAAAAATCACTGCATAACTAAACATGAACAGTGTAACATGGTATTACCTTTCTAGAGACTTGTTTTCCCATTTCCACCCACTTGTTTTTTCCAGCTTGTGCACAACCAATCTTGAATACCGAAGGAGCTAGGTTTCTCTGGAAACAGCAAGATTTTTACACCCGTCAAATCCATGATTTTAGCAGTCATGATAAAGGAAATCAAAAGAATGGTAAATTGCAAGATAAGATATCCATAGTCATCACCTGGAGTTCGTCTTTGGATATGCTACCTTCCGCAGGAACAGCCAAGAAAAGTTGTACCTCCGGCGACCCTTCCGCAGCATATTTCTTGCCTTCAGCAGTCAAAACCCATGATTCCCGTTTAATGTCCTGTACATCAAATTACAATCTATTAATCCCTGCAAATCTTAATTATGTGAGCCATAGATTCAATCAGGTCTCACTTCTCATAAGCTCAATCACTGAAAAACCATCAATTTAAACCCAAAAAGGAGATAATTCACTATGAACAACATATAGATCCCTGATTCCCCATTTCCACGAACCAAATTCAACTTTAAAAGATAGAATGGCGAAGTGGTGGTACCTGAGCTACGATGTACTGGAAACCACGTAAGCTCTTGATGACATTGACGACTGCGTTGTGGTCAAGGTTGTGTTCGGTGGAGAATTGACCGGAATCTGTGATTTCTTCGTTGTTCTCCAGAAATCCTAAAACTGCCTCCTCCGCCATGTTCTCTCTTCCGGTGATCGTATTTCGCGCAAATCCGCCGCCGCCGTCGTATGTTTCAAAAGAGCACTGAGCTTCAGTTTTGCTAATCGGCTCACTGTAGTTTTTTAATATAGTTGGGCCGGGCCTGGAACCCAAAATGCGAATATCGTCGTCGGTCAACGAAAAAAACAATTTGCGATTTTTTTTTCTTCACGGTCACTCGAAACGACGTCATTTTATATCTATGATGATTCTCAGTTTTCGCCTATTTGCATGGGTATGCAACGTGGCATTTGCAAAGGTTGCCAGTGAACGAGTTTTTTCTCTACATCAATGTCACCAAAACCGAATACGAAAAAAGCAAACAGCAAACAAAAAAAGGAAAGGCAAAAAGAAAAACAGATCACAAGAGGAAGAAGAAGAAGACGATGAGGAAGATGAAGCACTTGTCCTCCATTGCGAACGACGTCGTTCTTAGATGCTCACAGTATTTCTTCTTTGCTCTTGGCTATGATATATACACGAACATTTATCTCTATGTGTTTTCAGATCTTTGTTGGTTAATATAACGTTTATGATCGTTGACACTGGAATTTAAGTGTAGACCATAACCAGAATCGTGTTCGGGATTTCATTTCTTTGCAATTGTAATTCGGAAATTAAAGTGTATAATAACCAAAATCGTTTAAGTGAGCAGTTTCATGGGATTTTGTTTCTTTGCATTTTTTTTTTTGGTGGTTAACAAACGAATAACAAACCGGTTAAAACTGATTCCGGTCGGTTTAGTATGGATAGTGATGAAATAGTGATAATTTGATGCTGCAGGGAACTAGAGTCACCCATTGATAAATTGGTGGAAGAGTTTGAATGTCAATGGAAGCCTGGAAAGGAAGGTACTTACTCGAGGAAGTTTGTGGAATTTTGCAACACAAAGATGATGACTCGGGTTTGTCAAAACATACCTGAGAGAATCAAAGATGGTTCTTTTACACGGCTCACGTTCGATATGATGCTTGCATGGCAACAACCTGACGCAGATAACAATGAGTCTCATTTGGTACCTAATCTTTGAACATTGAGACTTCATCACTTAATTTCTTGGATTCGGAGTGCGTTTATGCATCTTTGTGTTGTTGTTTACTTGTGTTCAAAGGAAGCAGTAGGTAAGGAGAGTGAAGACAAGAGGATTCAAGCAACCTTATCCCCAGAGCAAGATGACATCTCTCTTTTTTATTCCGACATCATGCCGCTTCTCGTAAGCTAATTTTTGTTGTTTGAGCTGTGACACTAATCAAATTTAGTTTATATGAGTAATTATACCTTAATTATTGTGAATTGATTAGGCTGATCATGAACCAAGTGTTGGTGAAGATGCATTTGTCTATTTGGCCACGATCATTCCTCTCCCTGTGGATGTCATCAATGGAAGATACACATTTGAGACTCTAACCGCTCCTACAGGCCACCAACTTCACTTTCCAGCTTATGATATGTTTGTCAAAGAAATACACAAGTAATTCTTCTTAACTGTATATATATATTAGTTAGTTTTTAGGCTCGTTATAATTAATGTATTCTTTTCTTTCTAGTTGTTTTGACTTGATTTGATTTTGTATAATTCGTTTATATATAGGTGTATGAAGCATTTGCAAAAGCAAGCAACGCCTAAAGGGATCGAATTAGCGGATGATGAAATCATATTGCATGTTGAAGGAACAATGGCTTCACAAAGAGTGGTTCGCCACATTAAAGAAACAAGCTGGCCAGGTTTGTTTTCACTCTTATATCCTTCTGTTATGTATGTTTAAGTTTGATGTAAAGTCGTGGTTGCTAATTTCTTGTAAAAATGTCTCTTGACTTTTTGTAGGTAGGCTTACTTTGACAAACTATGCACTATACTTCGAAGCCGCAGGAATCATAAACTATGAAGATGCTCTTAAGGTAGATCTTACCAAAGACGGTGCAAGTTCTGCAAAGCCTATCTCCACTGGTCCATGGGGTGCTCCACTTTTTGACAAAGCCATTGTCTACGAGTCTCCCGATTTGTAAGTATTTATGCATAAGTGTCAAATATTATTGTGTGGTAAAAAATAAAACACATATACTGTATGCATATTACTAGGCTTATATGATGTTACCTCATATGTGTATGACTTGTAATATTCACTTTTTGATGTATTTATTAGCGAGGATGGAATTGTCATAGAGTTTCCGGAGATGACAAGCTCAACGAGACGAGATCATTGGCTTATGCTTGTGAAGGAAATAACATTAATGCACCAGTTCTTGCAGAAATACAATGTTGAATCTCCCTTACAAGCATGGGAAGTCCATTCGAGAACAATCTTAGGAGTCATACGGTTGCATGCAGCCCGTGAAATGTTGAGAATCTCTCCCCCTGATCCGAAAAAGTTTCTGATATTTAGTTTATTTGAAGAAGTTCCTAAGGGAGACTTTGTACTAGAAGAGCTCGCTGAGATTAGTCTTAAGGCGGGTGTTGCTAGAAATCCATGTAGTGCTAGCTCCATACTGAGGAATATGAACATGGATCAACTTGGTAACATATTAAAAGAAGAGGGAGAAGTTAAGTGTATGGATCAGAAAGGAAAAGAGACTGATAAAGAAGAAATGCTTGCGTCTCTCGAAAGTGCAATAAATCAATCGAGAGAAGAGGGAAAGGAGATTGAAAAAGCTAAAGCTACGACAACAGAGCTAGAAGAAGAAGGGATTAGTGAAAGTGTAGCAGTTCTTATGGTAAGAATATTTTTTTATCATGGCTTATACCTTATAGTCCCAAGCTCCATTATGCAAACACATTTTTTTGATCGCCTACACATTGGCTATATATGTGGTCCAATGCTTGGTGCCAAAAAAAATGATTGGTTGTTTTACGATATGTATTAAACTGACAATACTGAGGTGCATTTCAGGAATTGATGAGGCCATTGCAAGACGCATTGCCATGGTTCCAAGAAGTGCTTAATTGGGAAAGGCCTTCTCGTACGCTTATCGTTCTAGCTCTTACCATTTTAACTGTCTACAAGTGAGTTTAAATTAGCATTTAATACAGAAGAGTAAGCTCATGGTATATATATAGAGTGTTGATCAAGAAACCAATTTTATGTTACAGGGAGTGGATTGGTAAGGCTATAGCTGCTTGCTTAATATGGATAGTGATTAAAATGGCTCAGATTAGACATAATATGGTACACACAAAAAGCGAGGATGCGGTAACAGTGAGCACTGAATCCGACCAAACAGTGACAGAGAGCATTGTGTCGGCTCAATATGGTTTAATAAGACTTCATCAGTTGATGCAGCTGGTGAATGTCACCATCATGAAGTTGCGGTCCATATATACCTCCAAGGCTAGCAAGGTAATTAACTAGTAATGTTTTATATAACTTCGATGTTCTTTTTTGTTATGTCGAAAGTGTGTTCTCTCTTACTCTTGGATCGTGTAGCATGCAAGCATAGTGATGGCGTCGATGGTAGGGTTGGCAAGCTTCTTCGCCGTGGTGCCGTTGAAGTTGGTCATCATATTTGGTGCAATATATTGCTTTGTAATGACATCGAGTGTCGGAAAATACATGAGCAACGATCAGAGTAACCGGAGAATGAAGGAGTGGTGGGATTCTATACCCATTGTTCCCGTTCGTGTACTTGACTCTTCTTCCAAGTAGTTCCACACTTCCACTTAATGTGAGGTACAAAAGGCGATGACTGTTTTGTTTCTTAATCAGAAACTTATAGAGAAATAATGTTTAAACTTTAAAACAAAGCTCGTTTTGTATATACGTATGTCGCTGCAACTATGATAAAAGTTGAATTATTTGGATGAAATCAAAACTAGAGTTGGCACTGCAAATGAGGTTTTAATTTTTTCAGTGGAACTTATAAATACTCGCCATTTTAAGGTAAGATACATTTGACCAAGACTATTCAAAATAAAATTGTATGGAAACATATGTGTGACCTGAATTTTTGTTTTATCAATTGTTGAATATTTGTTTGACCCATCGCAAAGACTTGTTTACAAGGAGCGAGTATTCAAGACTTTAAAAAAGAAAGAAGACTACAAACAAACGAAAAACAAACGAGAACAAAAGTATATCTATCTAAAGAAAATGAAAAACAAGAAATCTTCGCATGCTTATGAAACATCTTTCCTTCTGATATTAACCATCTTCTTGCTTTTCTTCTCACGTAAGTCCTTTGTTTTATCAATCTCAAATACAAAAATTGAATCTTTGTGATGATTTTGAATGCATTGTTACATTTTCTTTTTTTGATCAACTGCAGGACAAGCAACTTCATACCAAATGCTCATATGTTTGGACTTAAACATATCATGTTCTGAGTGCAAAGCACAATGCGACGAGACAAGTTATGGAGGAATATGTGTAAATGAAAATCCCAAAACCAATCGTACAACTTGTTGTTGCAAAAAAAGTCCCCCACCATCATACTATGGTCCCATAGAAGCTCCTTCTTCATAATCATATTATATGATATTATATGTTAAACAAAATATTTAGTGTCAAAAAAATTCATAAATCCTTAACTGTCACCACTTTTTGTTTTGTTTTTTTATATATGTTAAATAAATAAATAAATTAGAAACATGTTATAAGTGCAATGTTCTAAATGCACATGTTCTAAATGCACATTATACTAACATGACAATATCACGTGTCAATATATAATTGTGCCTAAATCTTATCAGTAAGAATGTAAGATACTTTACCTAAATAAGCTATCTATTACTAGTCATTTTATCAACTTATTATGGAAAAAAATGAAACAAGGATTTACTTCCTAGTTTACTGATAAAAGCAATTATGGGTTCCATGTATATATGCCCCAAGCACCTTCTCTAATAGACAGGCAAAGACAGAACCCAATCAGTCACAAAGAAAAGAGGAAGAATCATGGCGAAGTCTCCGGATCGAAACGAAGCATTCGGTTGGGCGGCCAACGACAAATCCGGCGTTCTCTCTCCATTTCATTTCTCCAGAAGGTTTCTTTCGTTTACGTTTGAATTAAATTCGTATCCATTTCTCTTCACGAGACCCAAATCTTTATTTTCTCCCAACGAGTTATTGTGATTGATAATGATATAACATGTCTTTGTTTTGCTGTTATATACGTATAGAGAGAATGGTGACAACGATGTAACAGTGAAGATCTTGTTTTGTGGTGTTTGCCACTCTGATCTTCATATCATCAGGAACGAATGGGGCAACGCTCGTTACCCGATCATTCCCGGGTATCCAAAAACTCTTTCTACCATTTCTTCTAAATTATAATCTCTGAAAAGTATGTAATTCGCCATGTGTTGTGTCAATGACTAATAATTAATTAGAAAATAAGGCCTGGATTTTTTTCCCCATAATATGAATTTTATGAAAATTAAATAGAATACTAGAGATATTTTCACGGATATTCAAAATATTCTTATTACTTTTTAAAGGAAATCTTTATAGAAAATTTTGGTGAATTTGGATACAACAAAAAAGCTCTGTATAAATGTTTGAATTTAGATTTTTTTTTTTTTTTTTTTTTTTTTCAACGTTTGAATTTAGATTTTAAAATGAATTTTGCTATATGTAGTGAGATTTGTATAACTTGTTTTTCTTAAATGCATTAGTACGTTAACAAATAACTTCGATCTTTACCGTTCCTACGTTCGACTATTTCTTTTGTTTATTTGCTAGGCATGAAATCGTTGGAATCGCAACAAAAGTTGGCAAGAATGTGACAGGGTTCAAAGAAGGAGACCGAGTAGGAGTCGGAGTAATCATCGGCTCATGCCAATCATGTGATTCATGTCACCAAGATTTAGAGAACTACTGTCCTCAAGTTGTATACACATACAACTCTCCTTCCTCTGACGGAACAAGAAACCAAGGTGGTTACTCCGACAAGATCGTCGTCGATCACCGCTTTGTCCTGAGATTCCCCGATGGCTTACCGAGCGACTCAGGCGCACCGCTGCTCTGTTCCGGAATCACCGTGTACAGTCCGATGAAATACTATGGTATGGCTGAAGGAAAAGGGAAACATTTAGGTGTGAGTGGACTTGGTGGGCTTGGTCATATCGCTGTGAAGATCGGTAAAGCCTTTGGTTTGAAAGTCACTGTGATCAGTAGGTCACCTGAGAAGGAGAGAGAAGCAATCGACAAACTCGGTGCTGACTCGTTTCTCGTCACATCGGACTCTCAGAAGATGAAGGATGCAATTGGGACTATGGATTTCGTGTTGGACACGGTATCAGCAGATCACTCTCTTATGCCGTTGTTTAGTTTGCTCAAAGTGAATGGAAAGCTTGTGACAGTAGGCTTACCGGAGAAGCCACTTTTGCTACCAGTCTTCCCTCTGGCTGCCGGTAAATAAACATATGATGACTCTTTCTGTGTTTTATGTGTTGCGTACAATGCAAGTAACTAATTTTTTTTGTGTTTTTGTTAACAGGAAGGAAAATGGTGGGAGGGAGTATGATTGGAGGGATGAAGGAGACACAAGAGATGCTTGACTTCTGTGCCAAGCATAACATTGTTGCAGATATCGAGCTCATCAAGATGAGTGATATCAACTCTGCGATGGAACGCTTGGTTAAGTCTGATGTTAGGTACCGGTTCGTGATCGATGTGGCCAATTCCTTGAACCCTGCTCAGGGCCGGCTCTAGATCGAGACTCAGCTTATGATCTTTGCTTTTGTTGTTTGTGTGTTTTCTGCTTTAGTTTTTGTTCTTTTTCTTTTTTCTTGTCTTCTATCTATGATGTAATAAAGAAAGCAAAGATCCTGAGATTTTCTGGAGAACAATAGTAAAAGCATGAGTGCATTTGATATTAAAACTTTATTTTATAACTTATAATCTTTAGTCCACTACATGATATTAAAAGTTTAGTTTAGAACTTATAATCTTTAGTCCACTACATGATATTAAAAGTTTAGTTTAGAACTTATAATCATTATTAGATGTATGGTTGCATTTTACATCAAAGTTTCACTGGGGAAGGAGCCGGAGAAGAACCACCGGAATTTGGAGACTGACAGAAGCCACGGAGGACGTTGGTCTCCTCAGATGTAAAGCCAAGAGAGGTAAGCATCGCCGGCCAACAATCGATGGTGATGACATCAACGGCGTGACAGCAACCAACGCCGAGTTTGGTCTCGCCGTTGAGGAAGAAGAGAACGATTTCGTTGGTGCATGATTTGAGCTCGTACAGTGCGTCCCAGCACTCCATCAGCCCTCCTCCGTTAAGCCTCGCCGCAATGTTTGTGGAGTCAGCCGTAGCGGGGAGATTTCTGCCGGAGATGCTGGCGACGAGGAGAAGAGTTACGGTGGCGAAGAGGAAACTTGTGTTAGAAGCCATTGTTCTTTTTGCGGTTTTGTTGTTCTGTGAATTGTGATGGTTTTGGGTTGTGAGAGCTCTGTTTTTATAGTGTGGCTTTGTATGAATTTGAATGTTAGTGGTCATTTAAGAGTATATTAAAAGGTGGATTAGTGGGAGGAATGTGAAAGGATTTGCGGTAAATGATTTTAGTTAAATGTTATTTATAGAACTTTAAAGCATATAGTTAGTGAAAACGTATTTGAGTAATGGAGGGGAAGGGTTAGCGACTTAGCGTTATGTTAACAGCAGGTGAACAAAGAGAAGTATTTTCGAACTTAGATTTTGATGTTTATATAACTTTTTTTGTTCTGACCAAAGGCTTATTCATATAACTTTCTTTCTAATAGGATAAATGCAATTCTTTTTTTTTCTTCGATAAAACTTTTGGTCATGAGAAAACAGAAACTCAATCCATTTTTGTCACCCAAAATATGAGAAAGTCTAAATTAAATCTTCGGATTGTCTCACATAATCTTTGTTAACTTCTGGATTGCATTGGTGTATTAATCAGATTACAGTCTATAAGTTTATATCCATAATCTAAGACATATAGGAAACTAAAGATGTGTTCATCTCAATGGCCAGCCCAATACTTTTTTTGTCCTCTTTTCTTTCTATCCGCTGTTTTCTTACAAATTATGATAATTGTTCGCAAACAGAGACGATTTAATTTTCTTAAAAACTGTACAAAAGCATGAATCAGATATCTTCTTGGACAAGTTACTTGTTATAGTGCTCTGTTTCTTAACGGAGCTTGGTTTTGTTTTGATAATATTTTAAAGCCATTTCACTTTGATCGACTCTTTCCTTGTGTTAACGACTAACGCAAACGAAGCTATTCAAAACTCAAATGACCGAACTGACATTTTCTCATTATACTATTGAATAAAAAACCACATATTATAACCATAATAATCAATGTCTGCATACATCTACGAGGAACATATATCAAACTTTCAAAGGAGAAGGCGCCGGAGAAGAAGAACTTGGGGACTGACAGAAACCACGAAGGACGTTGGTTTCCTCAGGTGTAAATCCAAGAGAAGTAAGCATCGCCGGCCAACAATCCGTGGTGATGACGTCAACGGCGTTGCAGCAGTCCGAACCGAGTTTGGTCTCGCCGTTTAGGAAAAAGAGAACGATCTCGTTGGTGCATGATTTGAGCTCGTAGAGAGCATCCCAACATTGCATCAGTCCTCCTCCGGTAAGTCTCGCCGCTATGTTGGTGGAATCTGCCGTCTCCGGGAGTGCTCTGCCGGAGACGTTGAGAACAAAGAGAATAGCGAGGGTGGCGAAGAGGAAACTTGTGTTAGAAGCCATTGTGTGTTTTCTTAGGTTTTGTGCTGTGTAGAGTGATGATAGAATGACTAATGGGGTTTGCTAAGAGCTGTGATTTATAGTACTAGTGGGAGAGGGTTATTGATTAATCCCAAAACTTATCATAACGGAAAGATCAAAGATACAAGCGAAGGGTCAGCTGCTAGTTCAACGTTGTGGCCGTGTAGACCTGGGTTCGAATCCCAGCAGCTGCACATTCTTTGTTATATGGTTGTGTTTTGAAACTCGTGGGCTTTTTGTTTACTAAAGTTTACTTCGACGTTTGACAAAAACTTGGTTTGGGTTTGGATTTCATTGGGTTTGTTTGTTTATCTTCAATCGAAACAAGATTCCACAAAGAGTGTGTTTCAACGTATGAGATTGTAACACGTGGGTGAGAGAAAAGGGACCCACACTTAGGTGACAATCCCATATTTGGAATCGGAAGGAATGGCTTACGTGGAACCCACCAAATCGTGTAACAGAAGTCAAATGCATCTATTGCTCTAAGCTAAAAGTAAACCTCATTGAAGAAGTAACATAGCAAGCTAACGTAGCCGTTGGATCAACGACACAAAGCTTCATGTGGAGAATAAACTTTCGACGGATCAGATTCTCAGCGATACTATACACACGGTTGCACCAGATCATTCCCCACTCTTTTAATCAAAATTAAATAATATCAGAAGACACGTTCTTCTTCTTACGAAACCGACTCTGTAGTTTCTTCCTTTTTTCCATTGCACAAAACGAAAAAACGACAAGATTAAAACAAAAGAAAATCTATAAAACAAAAAAAAATCAATCGACTCGCGTGTTTTAATTTCTTATTTATTGGTTTTCTTGTTTTATTTTGTTCCAGAATAACTAAATACGGCAATGAACGATCCAATGGGCGAAACGGGATTTTCTGGAGGATCGGGCGAGATCGTATTCTCGGAGACGGAGATGGCGGCGGCGGAACAGCTTATGCAGCTGAGCGAAGAAGAAACGGTGAGCTGTAGCAGCAGCACCGGCGGAGATGGCGGCGGCGAAAGAGGAGGACGCAAGAGAAGGCATGAAGATGTTAGCTCGAGAATCGGGAACGAGCAAAACGACGGCGTAAAGGAGAATTGTAATCTTGGCGTGGAGATGAAGACGAAGATGAAGAAGATCATGAAGGAAAAGAAGTTTCGATCTCTCGAGAGTATTTACAAGGCGACGAAAGAGATTAGGGATTAGTGGACGAGAGGGGATCGTTAAATTACTTCTGTTAATCGTTGTTAGTAACTTGTTCAATGATATTGTGTGTAAAGACGTAGTGCTTAATCTAACGTTGGAGCTTGAGAATTTGTGATGATAGTTTTTGAAGCTTTTGAGGTGAAAATTGTAAATATTTTGTTCTCACGTGAGATGCTATTTCTTTTCCTTTACATTTTGCAAGTAATATACACGGTTTTACTTTGTAGTAAACAAGTTTATGATGTGGTAAAATAAATTTTTAGTTGTAGGGGACAAACACATCTTGTATACGAGAGGTTTTTATGAAGAGTTTTGTTGAAAGCTGTTTTAATAGTTGAAAGTACATTCATAATTTAAATTTTTACCACATGCAAATGCTTTCGTTTTGAATTTTGAAATGTTCAAAGAATCAAAACAACAGACCAGAAATATACTTGAAACTTTGGTAATTTGTTTCTTTTTCACTTACTGCAATTAAATCAGGCCAATGTAAATCTTCAATCACGTTTTATCTAAGCTTTCAAACACGGTTTGGATTCACAAAACATTTTTAAAGAATTTGATATCTTTATAGAATTGGACCTCTATTTCTTTAAGATTAAATTAACACATCAAACAGTTTGAGACAGTCATGTGCAGAAGATAGTTTGAAAAACTATGTCCGTGATTAGACTTTGAAAATTATGTTCAACGGAGAAATCAATTTTATTTTGCACGAATGGTAGACTTAATTATGCAGTATAATTTACTTTATGGTAGAAAAATTCATAGCTGCCTTAATCATCTGACATCTCATTCAAAAAGAGTTGGGCCCCATTAAAAGACACATTAACTTCATGGGCCGGGTACACATTCAACAATAAATAAATTTGAAACAAGTTACGCGCCAAAATGAAAATAAAGCCCAATAGCTTATCTCAGAAGCTCGCGGGAAAGCCCATTTAGATTGAACAGAAGCAAGAAAGGAAACAAATCTCAGCCGTTCAACTTATGGTCAATTGACAAAGCCCTAGTCCCCTTCTTTCTCTCAGTATATAAACGTATCGTCCCTTCTTCTCCTCCCTCCTCCACAGAATTCAAATCGGGCCTGCTATCGTCTCTGTTTTCTTTGTGTATTTTAGTGTAGTTTGTTTTCATCGATCTCCATGGTTTGAAACTTGTTAGAATTTAAAAAATGTCGATGAGGATAAATCTAAGGCTTGTTTCTCAAAACATTCGCAGTTGCCGCCTAAGGCTTTCGCCTTTCGCCGGGATTGAGAGCTTATGATGTTCTTATCCTTCCTTGGATGTCTGAGACTTATAATTATTGTTTATTTTTTTGAAAACGTTTTATGTTCTTGTTCTGTGTGGTATGTGTAATTCTGTATCGATGAGCATAAATCTAAGGCTTGTTTCTCAAAACATTCGCAGTTGCCGCCTAAAGCTTTCGCCTTTCGCCGGGCTTGAGAGCTAATGCAGCTTTTATCCTTCCTTGGATGTCTGAGATTTCTTTCTTCTCCCTTCTTTTTTTCTTCACTTCCTTCTTCGTATTTGGTTTTAAGTGCTTTTTTATCTCGTTTTTGCTTGATAACTGTAGGAAATAGGAATTTGTTACTGTTACCGTTGGTAGGTTATAATCGGGTTTTTTTTGCTTGGTCTGGAAAAAGCTTTCATCTTGTGTTATGCCTGTTTTATAGAATCACTACTTGTATGATCAGGCGCGAGTGTTAATGCCACTTTAGAATCCGTGAAGATGGATAATTTGTAATTGACCGATTCTCTATCTACATAATAAAAAAACTTGATCTTACAAGTTCCGATTAATTAAACCAATCTTCTCCATGGAACTCGCAAAATGAATGTGCCTTAGCAATTTCCCATTAAACTCATCCTCGACTTGCAACTTCCAATCTTTACATAACCGCAGACAAGAAATTCATATTAAAAAGTACAAAATAAAGAAAACGGACTTTATGTGTAAACAATTCGAACAAGTTTGAGCAAACTAATAAGTTAAAAGAGGATCCTTTGATAATGTAAATGTATTTAATTCGATTGAGTACACAAAAAACTGTGTAGCCAAACACAATCGTCGTCACTGATTCCATTCTTTTATCGATAGTCCCCCGCCTTTGTTTGTTCGAAGCGTCCTCAGTACACTTTGCGAACTTCAAATTCCATCTCTCTCTCTCTCTCTCTCTCTCTCTCTCTGTTTCTCTCCTCCGGTTAGTTTTGTCATGAGTGATCCCATTTTGATTTCCGACGAGGAGGATGAGGTTACTCCGCCTTCGAAGAGGGCTCGAAAAAATCCTTCCCCTACCATTTTGAAGTTGGGTACCAATTCGACACCGCCGGGATCTGCTTTTACTCCACTGTTCGTCGACGAGACACCTCTCTCTGACGATGTCACCGTCGTCAAGTCTCATTTTGGTCCCGGAGCTGGAGGTTCTTCACACCGCGAGAACAAGTTTTCCGGTATGTTGACGTTCTTAACCCAGAAAATCACTCAATCCGTCTTTGTAATTGCAGTAGGTACGGTTTGTCTCCGATGGTGTTGCCGAAATGGTTTCGTTCTATGCATCAATTTTAGTGATTTACCGATGAGTCAGTCTCTAACTTCTTTGTTAGGGATTTACTGTATATCGACTGTTTCCTTGACTTTTCTCACAAATGGTTTTCGGAGTGAATCTTATCATTAATCAGGTTAACGACATTTCCCTTTACTTCTTCTCAATGTTTCTTTTGGAAATGGTTTTAGGTAAACAAGTAATAATACCTCTTGATTTGGATTCGGAAGACAGTCCTCGACCTGGAACGTCAAAGAAGTATGAACCAATACACGTTGATTCTACGGAGCAACCATGTAGATTGGAATCTGGATCCAGTGATGCAGATTCTGGTGAGGAATATTTTGATCTGAGTACAAGAATATACAAGTATTTTAAGCAGTTATGCTTATGAGAAGGAGCTATCAACTATAAAGATTTAGTCTCTCTCCACTTACAATATTGCTGGTGGCTGTCTTCTTTCAGATGATGATACTAACTGGATGCACAAAGCCAGTTTTCGATCTTCACTTCCCAACGATGCTATTGAGGTACGTATCTATTCTGCCTCTGCCTCTTTTTGTTTTTTGATCCCTAAAGCTTTCTTTTTTGGCTCTTTTAGTTTTGATCTCTCAAAGCATTCTTTTAGAAGATTCAGAGGTTCTGAATTCCCGTTTGTGTCATTTTTGTTAGTGTATTCCTGGTCATCTCTCTCTTTTGTTTGGTGCAAATTGTGTTGATCTTATTACTAAATGCTTGCGTCTTCTGTTACTGTTATATTGATTTCATTGCTAAAATCAGGTCGATTCTGACCAAGAGAAAGAAGAAGTCTTAAGTCTTGGGGAAAGGGGACGACAAAAGCAGCCCGGGAGTTCGAAAAATACACCAAAAAAGCAGCAGATGTCAAAGGACGAAAAGATCCGTGTGGCAGAGGAAAAGAAGTTACAAAAAGAAGTGAGTGTCTTTTTAAGTGGCTTTTCTATTTTGTTCCCTTCCCTGGATTAATAGTTATTTGGCTTCCATCATCCAGCAAGAGAAATTAAAGAAAGCTGCCTTGAAAGCAGAAGAAGCTCAGCAAAGAAAGTTGGACAAGGAAAGGCAGAAATTGGAAAACGTTAAGCTAGCGCTTAAATCTATCGTCGCTGAGATTGATGTTCAATTGGTTGAAGGATCCATTGGAGGTAAAGTCTTTCTCCATTCTTTATATTATTCTTCAACATTGGCTAGTTCGTTACTAAAGTACCGACGCTGAGTGCGTTTGCTATACTGTTAATGTAGCACCTCTGATCTCAATGTTCTCTGAGAAAGGCATTACATACCGTGTAACCTCTAATCCTATCAAGAGATCTATTGTGTGGACAATGACACTTCCAGAGGAGATAGCCCAGGTACAATAAATTCTTGATCAATTTGTCTGGTGTGACAATGTTATTTCAGATGATGAAATATTAGAAAAATTAAAGAAATGAATCCCTTGTGTGTTAGGTTTGAAGGGTCTTAGAAGATCACAATGTGAATCTGCTGTATCCAGATTTTTTTTCCTTTGCTCTTGATTTGCATCTTTTCTCTTCTCTGTTGCAGACTTTACCCCTTGGAGGCAAAATTCCATATGTCTTACTTGTGTATGAGGCTGAAGACTTTTGCAATCTTGTTGCTAATGAAAGAATCCTAGAAAACATCTCGAGAGTTCGGGACCAATACCCATCTTACAAAGTGTGCTACCTCACCATTAAGTTACTGTCCTACGTAAACAAAAGGTTGAATTCGATAAGATGAATTTTCTTTGCATTATTGTTTTCATCATGAAGCTGAATAAACAGATTTTCTAGGGAAAAGGAAGAGTATAAGAACTTGGGACAATCCAATGGTTGGAGGCGGCCTCCTATCGATGAGGTACTACAGTTCTCAACGAGGCTGCTTTGGGGAAAACATCTTTATTGCTCTTTCTTTGCGTTCTTAAACATACTTAGCCTTATGTAACTACAGGTACTTGCAAAGGTAACTACTCACTACGTTGGAGTGCATTCCAGACACTGTGTAGACGAGGCTGAGGTCGCTGAACATGTTTTTGGCTTAACAAGCAGCCTGGCCTCTTGCCAAACCAGGTACTAATTACCTACGCTGTTTCGATTTTGTTTAAAAAGACTTAAATCTTGATATGATGCTCGATGAACGTTTCGGTTTCTTTCCCACAAGAGTCGTATTAGACCAATCAAACCAATTAGTCTCTTGATAGAATCCAAACCACACTGTTAACAAGCTAATGGAATAAAGATGACATCAAAAGATCTTCATGAAAAAGTGGGCAGTAAGGCTTGCTAGTCTTAATTTTTACATGGCTGTGAAGTAAATTAAATGGCACCAAATCTGAAAGCTCAGAATTACGTAGAAGTAGAACTTACTTGATACACATATAATTCTTTACATTGCGTTACTTGATTATACACGGTTCTATAATCTGATGCACAGGAAGAAGACATCTTGGTTATCAGTAAATGCTGCCGGTGCCGTACCAGCCTCTATGGATCCTGTTGACAAGCAACTGTTTAAAAAGAGTCCATGGTAACGAAAAAGTGTAAAACCATTATAACTTTATGTTGTGTTTAAGTCTTTCAAAATCAGTAACGGTGTGTTGTGTTGTGTTGGTGGGTCTACAGGTTAAAAGCGTTAGTAGCAATACCAAAGGTACAGCCAAGATATGCAGTGGCAGTGTCGAAGAAATATCCATCAATGAAGTCTCTTCTTAAGGTTTATATGGATCCTAACAAAACGGTAAATAAACCTTCTACGGATTTGGCTTCCTCGGTCTGTTGCTTTTAATGGTTTCTGAAGCTAAAAATCTCGGTGTTTTGGTTATTAAAAACTGGAAACAGGAACATGAGAAGGAGTTCCTTCTAAAGGACTTGAAGCTAGAAGGATTGATGGGAGATGAAAAGAAATTTAGGAAAAGTAGGTTCAACGAGGATATATAGAGTTCTTATGTCTACCATTGGAGACATAAACACTGATGATGTGGAACATGGTCCTTCACAGATTCATGACTTGACTTGAACTAGAACTTTGTCATATAAAACAGTGTGGTGATTGTGTCTGACATTTCTTTTTGTATATATGTATGCAAGTTATATAACTTCTGAAAAAGTTGATTATCTCATTCCTTTTCTTCTACAGATTTCATATTTTGTTCAGTTTATGATGGATTCTATCAATTATGTTGGTTTGAAGTCTTTGATATATATTTTCTATCAAGTTTTGTTACGTTGTTTGTAGATGATGGTGGCTCTTTAAGAAGCCCGTGACTACTTTTTATGGGCTTGCACACAAGCATACTTCCGAGCGGGCTTTCAGGTTTGGAGGTATATAATTTAAAATCCTCAACTGCATTTTGTTTTTGGTCAACTACATTTAGATCTACTAATCTCGCGTTTCTTTCTTGTTGACTTTTGTGCACCCGTAGCGATGGCAGAACTACTACACCAGCATTTCTCCCATGAATGCGCATTGAAATCACCAAAGATCGTCACCGATGATATCTGCAGCATCTGCTTCGAAGATGTTCCTGTTGAATTCACCTGCAGCCGTTGCAATTTTGACCTGTGTAAAGCTTGCTTTGAGTTGCCGCAGAAGGTGTCACATGATTTTCACCCAGAGCACCCTCTGGAGTTTTGCTTGGGCCAATATGATCGGAAACCTGGCCATGTCATCTGCTCAGGGTGTGGAAACATGTGTTCTCGCTCCTTCTACGAGTGTAAAAAGTGTGAGATCTACCTTGATTTGGGCTGTGCTCTCATGGAGAACATCTTCAGGGGATGGGATGCCAAAGAATTACTCCACTACAGCCATTCTCACTTGCTTAGAAGGAGCAGACCAGGACCAGACGCTAAAGGATCTTGCCTACTCTGTGAGCTTCCCCTCTCTCCTTCCGCCATATGTTACGGCTGCGTTCATTGTTACTTGTTTGTCCACGAGCACTGCTTTGGTCTTACCATGGAGATTCATCATCCCGTGCATCCGAAGCACCTGCTTATGCGCCTTGATTACATACAACTTTGTGGTGGTGATAAAACTTGTGATGCTTGCGGACTCAGTTTCGTCGGTGTCCCATTTGGTTGCCTTAGCTGCAACTTTTACATTCATCTTAGATGTGCGGATTCCTTACTGCGAGGTTTAGTGCACAAGTCTCATGATCACATGTTGTTCTATGTAGCTACTAATGCTGAAACAGCTCTTAAGAAACGCGGCTGTGGAATATGCAAGAGGAAACGTGTAGTCTCTCTTGACTGCTATTATCAATGCGTGCAATGTGATTGGAAGTGTCATTTCAAGTGTCTTGAGATACCTGAATCAGTGGTCAACACAGGTTTTCACATTCATCCACTTGTGTGTAAAACGTTCCTAGCAGAGGATGATTCGTTGGAACATTGTGGTGTTTGCGAGACAGTTGTAAACGAAGGACATTATGCTTATTCATGCAATGAATGCGACTTTCTTGGCCACATTGAATGCATTCTACGCAAGGTACGCAATTCACCTTTGCAGTCGTACAGTCTTCTCTAATGATGATGGTAATATGAAGGTGCTGATAATTAAGCTACTCTTTCTCGTAATATACAGGACGAGCCTTCCCCATTGTACTTGAAAGATCTATTTTCTCCTAGTAAGGACATCAAGAGAAGGACAGACGAAATAGAAGACAAAATTGTGGTAAGGTCTTTTGATAACTAACCGATAAACCGATAATGGAAGAGATTAAATAAGTAATCCCTCTTTTTTTAGGTCCTCATTTGTTTCATGAATGTGCTGCAGGTCAACGATATCGGAGAAATTCATGAGTTGAGATTGAAAATGCGGGACATGACAGAGCGTTGTGATAGTGTATATTGCAAAATATGTGCTCGAGAAATATATGGTAACCCATGGAAGTGTGAGGATTGTAATTTCGTGGCACATTATTACTGTGCAGAGCTGGGACGGCCATCAAGGCAGCGAATTCATTTAGACCATGTTTTGACACTCCTACCACATCGCCCTGCAGGGGTTATTATCAATTGCAACACTTGCAAAAACGAAATCTCTGGATTTAATCTCTTTTGTCGCATATGCAGTTTCACCATATGCATTCGGTGCCTAGTAAGAAGTAAAGAATTTCTTGGGGTGTTATATAGGGGGCAGAAAGTCATTGGAATCACAGAAGAGCAATGCATGACAGAATATCATGACTTGGTTGAAGTTATTGTATCGAGGTCATATCCCATGGTTTGCGCTCTTTGTGAAGATAGTGTGTGTGGAGAAAGTCTATCATGTATGGATTGTGGAGAGATATATCATCATCCGTGTGTGGAACTTTCGAGAGAAGAAGCCTATCAACTTCATCCTGGTCATGACCTTGAAATTAAACAGATCAGTGGATTCAAGTGCCTTGCATGCAAGCTGAATATTATCAAGTATGGCATTTATTGTCCCACTTGTAAAGTCGGTTTCCATTATCGATGCATCAAAGCGGGGACTGTCTCGGAAAATACCATGGCTCATAGTCACATTCTCTATAACTTTTGGAGCAATGATTTGCGGCTGACTCGTGCATGTAGTGTTTGTGATAAACTATGTGGTGCGTCGTTCTACGGCTGTCTTGGATGTAATTTCTTTGCCCATGTCGAGTGTATTGGGTTTCCACCGATTGCGAGGAGCCAACAGTATCAGCATATTGTCGTGGAAACTTATACTGACCGCAGATGTAGATGTTCTCTTTGTGGTTCATATTGCAGCCGTGATATGTACTATTGCTTACACAGTGACGAGGACTACTTTCATCAGGAATGCATAATAACCATGGTAAAGATTTAATCCATCAATGTTCTAGAATCCAAGTCATTTCTTTTGGCATTTTAACATCTTTCAGCGTTTTTGTATTGACACAGGATGACCGTAAGGAAGCTACAGAAGAAGAGCAGCTTGGAGAGATTTATCTTATGTACCTTGAGATTGAGCTCGCCAAACTGTTGAGTGAAGACAGCGACAATGATTATTCTTAGCTAGGGTCCTGCCTTCATCTCTGGAACAAAGTACTGCAACTTCCATGATGTAAGGTTATGCTTCAAAGCTCATCTCAGTTTTATCGTCTTTACAAACAATTTGGTAAATCATGTTTTCTGTTTCTTTGTCAAGTTTGATGTCTCTTCTACATGTAATCTGAATTCAGTTCTTAAAAGACAGTTCCATTTGTTTTTGCTGTTTGTCTGAATCAACTTCATAGATTCTGGATTATTCACATCAACTACAACCAATATACCGGTCTGATTCTGTTCTTGTTTCACAGATTCCGCTGATTAACTAAAAATCCACAATCCAAAAACCTCAAATCGAAACGAACTGATAAAAGAATCATGGGCTCAAACAGGTTTGTATCTCGCTGTTTCATCCTCAGAAAATTAAGGTTTCTCTGCCTTTGTGGGCTCTGTTATTTGATTTTGTTACGCTTTTGTGTTTTAGTTCTTCCTACAAACATGTAGTGGGCCTAACGATGCCTTATTAGTTATTAGCCCCTGCTTTGGTATTTAAAACTATTAGTTACATTGGATCTCTCACAATCTTGAGTTTTTCTTTGGTTGACTTTCTTGCTCCCAGGGCGATGGCAAAGCGCAAGCACAGCGCCCATGAATGTGTGTTGACCTCTCCAGAGATCGTTGCTTACGGCATCTGCGACATGTGCCACAAAGATAAACCGGTGGAGTTCGCCTGTAACCCTTGCAATTTCGATCTATGTAAAGCTTGCTCCAACATACCGCCCACCGTGTCACATGATTTTCATCCAGAGCACCCTCTTGAGTTCTGTACCGGAGAAGTCAATGGGAAAACTAAGTACATGGTCTGCTATGGGTGTGGGAACATGTTTTCTGGTGGTTTCTACTACGAATGCAAAGAGTGTGAGATCTACCTTGAGTTGGGCTGTGCTCTTATGGAGAACATCTTCAGGGGATGGGATGCCAAAGAATTACTCCATTACAGCCATTCTCACTTGCTTAGAAGGAGCAGACCAGGAGCAGACGCCAAAGGATCTTGCCTTCTTTGTGAGCTTCCCCTCTCTCCTTCCGCAATATGTTACGGCTGCGTTCACTGTTACTTGTTTGTCCACGAGCACTGCTTTGGTCTTCCAACAGAGATTCAACATCCCGTGCATCCGGCGCACCCTCTGGAACGCCTTCATTACACACAAATTCTTGGTGATGAGGGAAGAACTTGTGATGCATGCGACGAAAATTTAGATGTTGTCTCGTTTTGTTGCCTTGAGTGCGATCTTGATCTTCACCTGAGGTGTGCAGATTCTTTGTTGCGAGCTCTAATACGCAAGTCTCATGAGCACAGGCTGTTTTATGTAGCTTCTACAGGTAGCAAGGTTTCAAGAGAAGAACGGCCATGTCAGATATGCATGGGAACTATCGAAATCTCCCTGGAAATGTATTATTACTGCGTGAAATGTGATATGTGCTTTCATTTTGAATGTCTTGAGATACCCGAGTTTGTGAACAAGACAATCTGTCACATTCATCCGCTTGTCTGCAAAATATTTCAAAATGAGGACGATTCCTTGGAGCATTGCGGTGTTTGCGAGACAATAATATATGCTGGACACCATGCTTATTCCTGCCAACAATGTGATTTTCGTGGCCACATTGAATGCATTCTTCGCGAGGTAAGTATATTAATTATTGGAATTCTCTTTCTTTTTAACTAATGATTATATATATGATGTCCAAAACTATGAGCTAATCTTGCTCATAATCAATAGGAAAAACCTTCCCCTCTGTACTTGAAAGAGTTGTATTCTTGCGACAAAGATATCACAGCATCAACAGACCGAGAAGACCGTGAAACAAACAGTAACGAAAACAAACTCACGGTATGACTTTATATTGTAAATCGATATATTTTCTTTCTTTAAGGCCAATCTTCCTCAAATATATCCAGTAATAGTATACGTGGCAGGTCAATGACGTTGAGCATATTCATTTGATGAGACCGGCCCACATGCAATCTGAGAAAAATGAAGACTGTTCCATGTGTGGTGGAAAAATGCGTGGTGGCGTTTGGAAATGTGAGACATGTCCCTTCGAGACACATCAATTCTGTGCAGAGTTGGCAGGATCATCGATATATCAGTTTCATCCAGACCACCCTTTGACCCTCCTGCCAGAGGCCCCTAGAGGGTCAATAATGGATTGTGACACCTGCAATGACAAAATATCCGGGTTCAATCTCTTCTGTCGCATATGTAATTTTATCATGCATATCAGCTGTGTCTTGAAAGGTACACAATTTATTGGAGCATTACACAGAGGGCAAAAGGTCATTGGAACCTGGGGAGGATATTGCATTCTAAAGGAGCATCTCTTGTTTCAAGTTTTCATCTCCAGGTCATATACGATGGCGTGTGCTCTTTGTGATAAGATGTTGAGTGGGAGAGTTCTGTCGTGTATGACGTGTGGAGATTTATACCATCCTTGGTGTATCAAAGTTGAGAGAAAAGATATGTCCGATCATCCGATTCATCCCAGTCATATACTTGAATTTACATTGGTAAGTGGATCCAAATGCACTGCATGCAAACAGAATATGGGTAAGTATGGCTATCAATGTGGCATCTGCCAAATCAGTTTCCACTTAAAATGCATTGAAGCGGCGAAGGTATCAAGGGATACCCCCGGGTATCACAATCACCGTCTCTACAACTTTTGGGAGGATGATTCAGCTCGAACATGCAATGTTTGTGTTAAACCATGTGGTGTGTCATTCTATGCATGTATTGGGATTGGTTGTAACTTTAGCGCCCATGTAGACTGTCTTGGGTTCCCAGTCACAATGAGGAACCAACAACATCAGCATACTGTCCTGTACACTTGGTCCGATAACGAAGAAAATGAAATTTGTCCATTATGCGGATTAACATATGTCGCTGGTGTTTACAACTGCATTCACTGCAAAGCCACATTTCATAGGAAATGCATAATGTCCATGGTAAAGGTTTAACATCTTGTAGAACGTAAGCCAAATATTCTCTCTTTTTTAACAAATGATTTCAGCATTTTATATTTACAGGATGACCGTGAAGCAGCAACAGAAGACAAACAAATTCAAGAAATCTATCTTATGCACCTTGAGGTTCATCTATTCAACCTGCTCAGAGACGGTAAGTCTTATTTACGGTCTGCCTCCCCCACTACAAACTAACTAGTGCAACTTGTCTGAGGTTTTTGCGTTTAAATCCTTTCCCCCTTATAATATATGAAACAGAGGGAGTATTAGAGACGCCAATACCGGCCTAGGCCCGCAGGCTGGGCCCAAGTATGACCGCAATGGGCAGGTGTGGACAAGTGTTTCTAGTCCATAGACCGGCGGGCCTTGTAGTCCAAACCACATCGGTTAACAGGTTCAGCAATGGTGACTCCCCGGATTGTTGCTTGTCGGATCTGATCGATTGATGAAGTACATCTTATATTCTATGCTGGTCCAGTTCTCTGTTTGAGTTTCAGTGTGATGGAGCTGATTTTAAACAGTTCTATATCTGCATTTATACAGATTGTTGGCTGTTTCTAAATTCCGTATGGATTTGACTACTCTTTACAACTGGTTTTCATATGCTATTTGATCAGTTTATAACCTTTTTGCTCTCTGTGTCATTTTCCATTTCGTTCTCCTTTTTTGAATTAATGTTTGAACTCCACAAAGACACCCTTCAACATCTCTATTAAGAAAGTGTAAATGTTGAGTGATGCCATTGGGATAACTCATCTAGTTACCTTCCTATCGATGAGGTACTTCAGTTCTTAACGACCATGCTTAGGGAAAAACATCTTTATTGCTCTGTTCTTTAGGTTCTTAAACGTACTTGCTTTTCTGCTATTTGATGTGTAATGCAGATACTTGCAAAGGTAACTACTCACTACGTTAGAGTGCATTCCAGACACTGTGTAGACGAGGCTGAGGTCGCTGAACATGTTTTTAGTTTAACAAGCAGCAAGGCCTCTTGCCAAACCAGGTCGCTATTTCGATTTTATTTAAAAAGACTTAAATCTTGATATGATGCTCGATGAACGTATCGGTTTCTTTCCCACAAGAGTCCTATTAGACCAATCAAACCAATTAATCTCTTGTTAGAAACCCCTGCAGTCCATCCAAACCACACTGTTAACAAGTATAATGGAATAAAGATGACATCAAAAGATCTTCATGAAAAAAATGGGCAGTAAGGCTTGCTAGTCGGAATTCTTACATGGCTGCACTGAATCTGAAAGCTCAGAATTACGTAGAAGGGGAACTTACTTGATACACATGTAGTTGTGGTTGTGTGGTTCTGGCTATTGTGTTTCTGTTTGGTTATGAAGTAAACTAATCACGGTTCTGTAATCTGATGCACAGGAAAAAGTTATCTTGGTTATCAGTAAATGCCGCCAGTGTGGTAGCCGCCTCTCTGGATCCAGTTGACAAGCAACTGTTTAAAAAGAGTCCATGGTAAAGTAGAGTTAAAATTAAAACCAGTAACGGTGTGTTGTGTTTAGTCTTTCAAAATCAGTAACGGTGTGTTGTGCTGTGTTGTTTTGGGTCTATAGGTTAAAAGCGTTAGTAATAATACCAAAGGTACAGCCAAGATATGCTGTAGGCTGTAGCAGTGTGGAAGAAATATCCATCCATGAAGTCTCTTCGTTTACATGGATCCTAACATATCGGTAAGTAAACCTTCCGAAACAAACTACGAACTGGACTTCCTTAGTTTGCGGTTTCTAAAGTAAAAAATGGAAACAGGAACATGAGAAGGAGTTCCTTCTAAAGGACTTGAAGCTAGAAGGATTGATGGGAGATGAAAGAAGTTTGGGCAAAGTCGGTTCAACGAGGATATATAGAGTTCTTATGTCGACGATTGGAGACACTAACATTGATGAAGTGGAGAACGGTCCATCGCAGGTTCGTTCTCCACATGACTTGATCTAGAACTCTGTCACAGAAAACAGTAGAATGATTTCTTTTTTGCACAGGTATGCAAGTTATAACTTGTGTAAAAGTTGATATTGGTTTCATATAGGTTCAGTTCATTTTGTTTTAATGTGAGCCTGACCAGTTTTCTACCGACAAGAAATATATAATATGCTTGTAAATGGTTTTTTGTATCTTGATTTGGTAAGAAATATGTTGGATCAGAGGCTGTGAAAGCTCTGCTCAGTATTTGGCTTTAAATATCAAAATATTACTCGATTTTTTTATCAAAAAAGACCTCTCGCTTTCTCATTAGTGGGCCAAATATAAGCCCATTAATGATTGTTACGGCCTAACGATCTTTCGGGTTTGCGAGGGTAATTAACACGAATTAATTTGAATTGAATAAACTGTATGATCTCACATCGACTTTTGTTTGATTTTGTTTTGTCGGGCTTTCGTTGACTTTTCATACGATGGCAGAGCTGGAGCATTTCTCCCATGGATGTGCGTTGACTCCGCCGGATATCGTCGCCAAGAATGTCTGCAACATTTGTTACAAAGATGAACCTGTCGAGTTTTCCTGCAAGCCTTGCAATTTCGATCTCTGCAAAGCTTGCTCCAAGCTACCACAAAAAGTCTCGCACGATTTTCACCCAGATCACCTTCTGGAGTTTCACCTAGCCCAATTCGATCGGAAACCTGGGCACGTGATATGCTCTGGCTGTGGGGACATGTGTTCTGGTTCATTCTACGAGTGTAAAGAGTGTGAAGTCTATCTCGATCTGAGCTGTGCGCTTCTGATGAACATCCTCACGTGTTGGAACGCCGAACCATTGCCTCACTACAGCCACCGTCACGTGCTCAGGAGGAGTAGACCAGGACCAGACGCTAGAGGCTCTTGTATTCTCTGTGAGCTTCCTCTCTCTCCCTCCGCGATATGTTACGGCTGCGTTCATTGTTATATGTTTTTCCATGAGCGCTGCATCGATCTTCCGACGGAGATTCAACATCCTGTGCATCCGGCACACTCACTCAAACGCCTTGATTACATATACACTTGTGGTGATGGAATCAATTGTAGTGCCTGTGGTCATCTTATAGATGGTTCCCCGTTTGGCTGCCCAAAATGTAAATTTTACCTTCACATGAGGTGTGCTGATTCCTTGCTGCGAGGTCTGCTACACAAGTCTCATCGTCACAGATTGTTTTTCGTGGATAGTGGTGCTGAGAAATTCAGCAGTTTCAAGACTCCATGCCAGATATGTATGAGATCTTGTGTACACTCTCTTGACTCGTATTACAAGTGCGTGGAATGTTGCTTGGATTTCCATTTCGAGTGTCTCGATATACCCCACTCCGTTGTCAAGAAATCTTGCCACATTCATCCGCTTGTGTGTAAAATAAGATTCTTAGCTGAGGACGATGCCGTGGAGTATTGTGGCGTTTGCGAGACAATGGTTAATACAGGACATCATGCTTACTCTTGCAAAGAATGTGACTTTCTTGGCCACATTGAATGCATTTTGCACGAGGTAATTATTATGTTGCTACAATTCTGTTTTTTTCTTTTTTTTTTCTCCTTAATGATGATGGTAGTGAAGAAAGATGATAATGTGCTATATGTCTTACTCACAATCAACAGGAAGTGCCTTCCCCAATGTTCTTGAAAGATTTGTATTCTTCTACTAATCAAGAGAACACAAGACCAACCAATGTAGAAGACTTTGAGCCCAGCTTATTGATAGAAAGTGAACTTATGGTATGATTTTATCACAATTGGTACACGCTTTCTTTCGTTTAGTCCGAGTTTCTCTCAGTTGGTTTTGAACTTTTGATATTTGTTGCAGATTAATGATGTGGGGCATATTCATGTGATGAGACATGTCGACATGAGTGATCTTGATGGGCGTGCAGATTGCAACATATGTGATGAACCAATACTTGATAGCCCATATAAGTGCGAGACCTGCAGCTTCTGGACACATAATTTCTGTGCAGAGTTGGGGAAGCCATTAACACATTGGCTTCACTTAAACCACCCTTTGACACTATCAAGATCGCCTACAGAGAAGATGCTGTTTTGTGCCGTATGTGAAGGACAAATAACAGGGTTTAATCTATTTTGCCGCATATGTGATTTTACCATCAACATCAGTTGCGCACTGCAAGGTAAACATTCTCTCGGGGTGTTAGGGCTTAAGTTCATGGGAATCTTGAGACAAGGTTGTATGAGACAAAAACATATGGTATCTCATGTTTACATCTCGAGGTCGTATCCACAATCTTGCACCATTTGTGATGAGATTATGTATGGAAGAGCTGTGTCCTGCATGAGGTGTGAAGAGATATATCACCTTGAGTGTTATTTAGTTGGAAGATTACAACGTCTACTCCGGCATCCACTTCACTCTAACCACTGGCTTGAAGTTTCACATCAGAGTGGATCTACGTGCGTTGCCTGCAAACTGAGTATTATCAAGTATTGCTATCATTGTTCCACCTGTGAAGTCAACTTCCATATTGAATGCATCAATGCTGTGAATACATCAGGAAAGGCCAGGTCCCACAGTCACAATCTTTATAACTTTTGGATTGATGACTTAAACGGGACTCGGGTATGTAATGTTTGTGCACAAACATGTGGTGCGTCATTCTATGGCTGTATTGATTGTAACTTCAACGCCCATGTGGAATGTATTGGGTTTCCAGACAAAGTGAAGATCCAACAACACCAACATACTCTTTCGCAACAGGCTCTTCCTGAGGCGAGGGATTGTTCTCTCTGTGGATCAAGATGCTACAATATGGCATACTCGTGCAACCACTGCAAAGACATATTTCATATGAAATGCATCATGCCCACGGTAAAGATTTAACCTACCAATGTTATAGGACCCAAACCATTTTAATATCTGTTTTAGCATTTTGTATTTTCCCATGTCATACAGAGTGACCGTGAAGCTGCAACAGAAGAGGAACAATGTCAAGACATCTATCTTATGTCTCTTGAGCGGAATCTTTTCGACATGTTTGGAGAGACTGAGTCCTAGGTTGGTTCTACCTCTCGCTCTGAACCTAAATAACGCAACGTCTCTTATCCGAGATTATATATGCCTTAAAAATCCTCTCATTATCAACAAGATTATTGGTGTGTTTTTATATGTCAACAGACAACAGGCCGACAGCAACGGAAGACGTAGCATTTATCTGCAGACAAATCATGTTCAGACATCCTAACTATGACGTAGGAGCTTCATGATGACCACTAAGCTCCAGTTGCTTAGGTGCTAAACTAAGCGGCCAAGTAGTCTCAGTTTTTGTCATCTTTCTGTATTTTCAGCTTCCCATACGAAATTACTACACATTTTGATATTCTTGTATCGGGTTTGCTTTCACCATTTTTAAAAATGCATGACCAAAAGGTCCAAAACTCGAATAAGCCTTAGTGGAAGATGATGTGGGTCTTCAATAAGCCCGTAACTGATCCTTTATATAAAGGCCCCTCATCTCAGCATTTGACATTTTTCTAATAACATAAAATCTAGAGCTTTGCGCTTTCTTGTTTGACTTTCCTGGTAATGGCAGAGCTCCAACATTTCTCCCATGGATGCGCGTTGACCTCGCCGGAGATGGCCGTAGTTGGCGTCTGCAACATTTGCTTCAAAGATGAACCTGTTGAGCTCGCTTGTAAACCTTGCAACTTCGATCTATGTAAAAGTTGCTCTAATCTGCCGCAAACGGTGTCACACGATTTTCACCCCAATCACCCTCTAGAGTTTTCTCTACGCCAATTCAATCGGAAACCTCTCCACGTCATCTGTTCTTGGTGTGGAAACATGTTTACTGGTTCCTTCTACGAGTGTAAAGAGTGTGAGATCTACTTGGATCTGGATTGTGCGATCCTGAAGAACATCTTCACGGCTTGGGACGCCAAGGAAAAGCTCCATTACAGCCATCATCACCTGCTTAAGAGCTGTAGACCAGGAAACAGAGCGAAATTCGTCTCTTGTGTTCTCTGTGAGGTTCCCCTCTCTCCCTCTGCAATATGTTATGGTTGTGTTTATTGTGGCTTGTATTTCCACGAGGCCTGCCTTCTCCTCCCGACAAAGATTCAACATCCTGTGCATCCAGCACACCCTCTCAGACGCCTCAGTTTTGAAAATGTACGTGGTGGTGGTAGAAAGTGTGATGCGTGCAGAATCCAGTTCGCAGATGTCCCATTTGGCTGTCTAGAATGCAATTTTGATCTTCACTTGAGGTGTGCAGATTCCTTGTTGCGAGGTCTGGTGCACAAATCTCACGAGCACCGTTTGTTCTATGTAGCTACTAATGCTAGCATAGATTTTGGTAAAGTAAGTCCATGTCAAATATGCATGAGAACTGATGTCATCTCTCTCGACTCTTACTATCGTTGTGCGGAATGTGATTTGATGTTTCATTTTGAGTGTCTTGAGATACCTCAGTCTGTGGTCAAGAAATCTTGTCACATCCATCCACTTGTATGTGAAGTATTCATGGCCAAGGACGATTGTAAAGTATTCATAGCCAACGACGATTTGGTGGACTATTGTGGGGTTTGTGAGACGATAGTGAACAAAGGACATCATACTTATTCTTGCAAAGAATGTGATTTTCTTGGCCACATTGAGTGCATTCTACGTGAGGTAATACACTTCTGTTTTCTTTCTTTTCTTTTTTTTTTCGTTATTGATTATGATAGTAACAATGAGCTAATACATTCTTGCTCACAATCAACAGGAAGAGCCCTCACCCTTGTATTTAAAAGATTTGTATTCTGTTGGTAAAGACGACACAAGACTAACAAATCAAGAAGACCATGAAACCAACAATTTAAAAGACAAACTTGTGGTAAAGCTTTATAATAAGTTAATAACCCATACACCAGCGAATGAAAGTTTTTGTTGTCCTCAAAATTTTATGGTGTATGTTGCAGGTTAATGATTACAACCATGCTCATGTGATGAGACCCGCCCACATGAGTGAGCTTCATGAACGCACAGTTTGCAACATATGCGATAAGGAAATTCTGGGTAGCCTATGGAAATGCGAGACTTGTAGCTTCCAGACACATATGTCTTGTGCAGAGCTAGGGAAACCATCAATACATCGGTTTCATCTGAACCACCCTTTGAGTCTCCTTCCGAAGAATCCAGGAGTAGGTCATATGTATTGTGCCAACTGCAGACAGAACATAAGAGGGTTCAACCTTTACTGCCGGATATGTGATTTTATTATTGACATTAGTTGCGTTCTAAAGGGTTCAGATTCTCCTACGGTGTTAGGGCATAAAATCACTGGAACCTCAACAGGACTTTGCATGAACCTCATGAGCAGCGTGCATAGCATGGTTCAAATTATCATCTCAAGTTCATGTCACATTTCTTGTGTTATTTGTGATGATAGGGTGTATGGAAAAGCTTTGTCATGTGTGGAGTGTCAAGAGATATACCATCCTCTGTGTATTAAACTTGGGAGAAAGAAGTTATTCGGCCATCCACTTCATTACGACCACACGCTTGAATTTCTGGATTCAAGTGGATCCACGTGCAATGCCTGCAAACTGAAAGTTGCAAAGTACGGGTACAATTGTCGTGATTGCAAAGTCAATTTCCATTTGAAATGCATCAAAGCAACGACTGTATCAGGAAAGCTGAGGGTTCACCGTCACCTTCTCTACAACTTTTGGATCGATAACTCGAGGGTCACTCCAGACTGCACTGTTTGCAATAGACCATGTGGTGCGTCGTTCTATGGCTGTGTTGGTTGCAACTACAACGCCCATGTGAAGTGTATTGGGTTGCCTGACAATGTGAAGAACAAACTGCACCAGCATACCCTCAGGACCTCTTATGACAGTAAGAAATGTTGTTCTCTATGTGGATTAGAATTTGGATTTTCTATGTTTTACACTTGCGTTCACTGCGAGGACACATTTCACAAGGAATGCATATTGGCCTTGGTAACGATCTCTTCAATCATCTTTGTAGTACTGAAACCACTCTTTTCTTTATTTGTTTTCTTCAATTTAAGGAGTTTGTATTTTTTTTGTAATGATCATGCAGGATAAGTGTGAGCCAGCAACCGAAGAGGAACAACTCCAAGACATCTATCTTATGTACCTTGAGATTGATCTCTATTACCTACTCAAAGACGGTAGGCCTCATACACGTTCTGCCTATCTCTATACACTAAGTACCCAAAATTGCTCTCATATTCTTCTTATCCATTGTCTGAGAGACTGAAATTATAACTCAAAGTGCTCTCATATTCTTCTTTATTGTGTTTGCAACAGATAAGGTTGTATCCAAAGAAGAGGACTTGCCCACGGAATCTCCTTGTTGCATTTCTTGATGTTTTGTTTTAGATTGGCCAGTTTGATGTTGGTGTGTCTGTGTCACACTGTTGTCTTTCTTAAGCTTGTTTTTTTTATTAATTTCTTAATGTCTTTCTTTTGTGATTGATAATTCATCTGGAACATTTGCTACTGGTTCTGTTTACAATTTGGTTCTGTTTACAATTTGGTTCTGTTTTTCATGGTGTTGCATCTAATTAGGACTTGGTTTTGTGAAGGTTCTACATGACCTTGCTTCTTTGTATACAGTTCCTCTTGGCTTTGTAAGAGGACTCACTGTTGATTTGGATTGAATAATAATAATTAAAAAAGAGTCGAGGAGAGTTTCCTCAAATCCACCTTGTCTTGATAATCAAAATGGTCATCTTATAGATGGTTCTCCGTTTGGCTGCCCAAAATGTAAATTTTACCTTCATAAGCCTGGTACACAAGTCTCATCAGCACAGATTGTTTTCCGTAGATAGTGGTGCTGGCAAATTAACTAGTTTCAAAATTCCATGTCAAATGTGTATCATGTATGACCATCTTTGATTAGGGGTTGATAATCTCATTCCTTTTCTTCTATTGGTTTCATATTCTGTTCAGTTTGTGATGGATTATGTTAAGTATGCTGGTTTAAAGTCTTTAATGTGAGTTTACCTCTGACTACCTACAAGAGAACACATCTGCTTGTAAGTTGTTCTGTATATCTTCGTTTGGTTGGTAAAGAAATGTGTTGTTAGATCATATGATTTGTGTGCTTGACTTGTTGAGTTGCTTCAGTGTCTACATGTAGCAAAGATAAACTTCTAACACAACATTCATTACAAAGATGAACTTTCGAGTTCACTTGTAACTCTTGCAAATTTGATCTCTTTGTAAATCTTGATCTCTACTGGATTTTTATATCTGAAACAATCTACTCTTCCACAAATGAGGGTAGATACAATCTTTGATAAAAAAAACTTACCTCTTTATGCGGTGAACCTAGTCTTGTTGCTTGATGGATTATGTTGTTTGAAGTCTTTTAATGTGAGTTTAGCTATTACTCGTTTTCTACACACAACTTGTCGGAGATTATGATATTGCTGATTAGCTCCCAAGAATACATCTGTGATCTGACTCTTTACCCAATTAGCTCCATAGTCTCACTGGCTAAATAAAATACAATTAGCTTAGTCCACTAAAGACAACATATTAAATTATATATACTGCAGAATTACGACAACACTCCACGTTAGAGAATACTGAAAATTAGCATCATGAGTGCGGTGTCGAGAAAACGACAGCTCCTTTTTTGGATATTTATGAGTCATAACCGCGACTGACCCACTAAAACACCTCTGCTTAATCCTCTCTCTCTGAATCTCAACTTATCATAAAGGTTCTTGATCTCTAATCAAAATTAGCTCGTTGGTTATTAAGGATTCCAAAATCTTGAGCATGGCAATGGCAAAACTCAAGCATTTTTCCCACTCATGCCCTTTACCCTCACCAGAGATCGTAGCTGAAGGCATCTGCAACATTTGCTTCAAAGAAGAATCTGTAGAATTCGCCTGCAAGCCTTGCAATTTCGATCTATGCAAATCTTGCTCCAATCTGCCTCAAAAGGTGTCACACGGTTTCCACTCAGAACATCCTCTAGAGTTTTGTTTGTTCCAATATGATCGAAAACCTGGATCCATAATCTGCTCTGGATGTGGTAACATGTCTTCTTGCTCATTCTACCAGTGTAAGAAATGTGAGATCTATCTTGATCTTGGTTGTGCCCTCCTGAAGAACATATCCACGGCTTGGGACGCAAGAGAACTGCTCCATTACAGCCATGAGCACTTGCTTAGAAGGTGTAGACCGGGACAAGATGCTAGAGGTTCTTGTCTTCTCTGTGAGCTTCCTCTCTCTCCCTCCTCAATATGTTACGGTTGTGTTTACTGTTACGCATTTCTTCACGAGCATTGCCTCGATCTCCCGACAGAGATTCGACATCCGGTGCATCCTGAACACCCTCTCAAACGTCTTGATTACATACAAACTTTCGCCGGTCGGAGATCTTGTGATGCGTGTAAAGGAAGATTTGCTGGTGTCCCATTTGGTTGCTTAGAATGTGGTCTTTACCTTCATGTTAGGTGTGCTGATTCATTGTTGAGAGGTTTGAAGCACGAGTCTCATGAGCACAGATTGTTTTATGTAGCTTCAAATGCTAAAAAAGCTTTTGGAAAAGACAATTCTTGTCAAATTTGCATGGGAAATGCTTGTAGCTCTTTAGATTCTTATTTTCACTGCATTGAATGTGATTTAAAGTTTCATTTCGAGTGTCTTGGGATACCTAAGTCCATGTTCAAGAGATCTTGTCACATTCATCCACTCGTTTGTAAGAGATTCTCAGAAGAGGATGATTCTTTGGAATATTGTGGCGTTTGCGAGACAATGGTACAAGAAGGACATCATGTTTATTCTTGCCAAGAATGTGATTTTCTTGGTCACATTGAATGCTTTCTACGTGAGGTAATTCATTTCCTCACTCTGTTTCTTTTTTTCCTTCTTAATGATGTTTGCTATGTTCTACAACAGGAAGTGCCTTCACCATTGTTCTTGAAAGATCTGTATGCCTGTGGTGAAGACATCACAAGAGCTACAAGTGGAGAAGAGTATGAAACCAACGAATTAGAGAACAAACTTGTGGTATGGCTCTATAGTTATATTCTCATATTAGGCGGAGCTTTTTCTTAGATGTGTCCGGTTTATGTTGCAGGTTAATGATATCAACCATAATCATGTGATGAATGCGGTCGACATGTGTGAGCTTAGTTGCAAAGAAGAGTGTGCCATATGCAAAAAGGAGATACTTGGTAATCCATGGAAATGCGAGTCATGTGTGAGCTTTGTGGCACACCATTTCTGTGCAGAGTTGGGGAAACCATCAAGACATCGGTTTCATTGGAACCACCTTTTGACACTCTTGCCAAAACCACTTGCGAGTGATGTGATGATGAGCTGTAACAGCTGCAGAGAGGAGATAAAAGGGTTCAATCTGTTTTGTCGAATATGCAATTTTACAATCCACGTCAGTTGCGCCATGAAAGGTAAACATTTTCTTGGGATTTTAGGGCCTAAAGTCGTTGGAATATGGAGAGGACGTTGCTTGAGTGGCAAGCACAGGATGGTCCAAGTTAGGTTCTCCAAGTCATATCCAAATGTTTGTGTTATTTGTAATGAGAAGGTGTTTGGGTTAGCTGTGTCATGTATAGAGTGTGAAAAGATTTATCATCCTCGGTGCATTGACCGGCATCGATCCAAAGATCTGATCAAAGACGATGAGTCTTCTTAATTAGTTAGGTTTTGTCTCATCCTCTGAAACCAAGCTCTGCAACTTCCTGTGAATCTGATTATCATACCTCAAAATTCTCTCACTTAACGTACGTATCATGCATGTTTGTTTGTTTGTTGTGACTTGTGAGTGCCAACGTTTGATGTGATGATGTCTCTTTTCCAAGTTCTGAGATTGTTGGTGTGTATATCGGTGGTGTTCTAAATTTTACTTCTATAAGTAGTTGCATTTTATATAGTTACGATGTTAAGTCTCTTAAGTTCAGTGTTGAATCTATAAATATAATAAATTTATAAGAAAATATCACATAAGATATGTAAGCACGATGGTGTACTGATGCATATTAATGTAGGAAAAAAATAATGATTTAAAGTAATATTGCAGAAAGAAACAACAAATTCAATGAGCATGTAAACTATGGCAAATGCAGAGTCTTGTATCCAAAATTACAATTGTATCATTCACTTCATTATTTCTCCAAATTACAAAATCGTTATCACATGAAAGTAATTTAATTTGTCACATGAAAAGTTATCTCTCAGACTTAACTCAAATTAAAGTGTCATTTATATAATTTTATTCGGTTTTGTACTTGGACTTCCAGTGACTATTCTCCATACATATGTTATGGGCTTAAAATTAAAGCCCATAAAGCTGAGCACTGTTCTCTCTCTCTCTCTCTCTGGAATTTTCTGACGAAACAATTAACTAAGAACTAAGCAAAATCATTCAATAGCAGTAGCACGCTCTGTTTCATCCCGATTCCTAGGCTCTACCGGTCGATTGAATCTCTACAGTTTCAGAGGTATCCCCATTTTTTCAGATTTTTCGAGTTGTAGCTATCTCTCATGTCAAAATCACTGTTTCACTGTTTATTTAAATTTTCAAATGAGAAATACTCTGACAAGTAACAACTACATTTGGATCTAATCCTGGAGCTTTTTTTGTTCCTTGGTTGACTTTTTTTTTAAGGCACATCTCGCCATGGCAGAGCTCCACCTCCACCATCTCTTGCATGAATGTGCGTTGACCTCGCCGGAAACAGTAGCAAACGGCATCTGCAACGTCTGTTACAAGGATGTCCCGATAGAGTTCGCTTGTAAGCCTTGTAATTTCGATCTCTGCAAAGTTTGCTCCAACCTAAAGGAGAGGATCTGGCACCATCTTCACCCGGAGCACGCTCTAGAGTTTTGTCTACGCGAATACCAAGCTGATCACAAACATCCACACGTCATCTGCTCTGGATGCGGGAACATGTCTACAAGTTCCTTTTACTGGTGCAAAGAGTGTGAGATCTACCTTGATTTGGGTTGTGCGTTCTTAGAGAACACCGCCGTTTGCTGGGAGTCCAAAGAATTGCTCCATGACAGCCATAAACACTTGCTCAAGAGGTGTAGACCAGGACCCGATGCTATAGACTATTGCCTTCTCTGTGAGCTTCCTCTTTCCCCATCCTCGATATGTTACGGTTGCGTTGAGTGTTACACCTTTCTTCACGAACACTGCCTTGATCTTCCTCTAGAGATTCAGCATCCGGGGCATCCTGCGCACCCTCTCAGACGCCTTGACTACATACAAGCTATCGACAAATATTGTCATGTGTGTCACTTTAGTTTTTCTGGCGTTCCGTTTGGCTGCTTAGAATGTGATCTTTACCTTCATCTTAGGTGTGCAGATGCCTTGTTGCGAGGTCTGGTGCATAAGTGTCATGAACACATGCTGTTTTTCACAACAGATCATAGATATAGCTTTAAGAATTGCCAAATATGCATGGAGACTGTGGGGGATGACAAATCCCATTATTGCTGCATCCAGTGTGGTGTGGAATTTCATATCGCGTGTCTAGGGTTACCTCAGTCTGTGGTCAAGAAATCATATCACATTCATCCCCTCGTGCGTAAAATGTTCCAACCCGATGATGATTCTTTGGAGTATTGTGGTGTTTGCGAGATTGTTTTACATACAACACAAGTTGCTTATGTATGCGAGGAATGTGATTATGCAGCTCACACTGAATGCATTCTACGCCAGGTAATTAATATATCACCGCTAGTCTGGTTTTTTTCATTTGTTTACTAATGATGACGGTAGTAGTGACAACGATGATGACCTAACTTTATGCAGGAAGTTCCTTCTCCATTGTATTTGAAAGATCTCTACTCTTGCAACAAAGTCAACACAAAATCAAAGAATCAACAAGACTGTGAAGCCAGTGAATTAGAAGACAAACTAGTGGTATGACTTTTTACTATAGTCAATACACGTGAAGCAAAATGCACATGTTTTATTTTGGGCTACCCTTTCCTCAACTGTTTTAGTTGTGTTGCAGATTAATGATGTTAGGCATCTTCATGTGATGAGACCGGTCCGCATGAGTGTGCTTGATGGAAATGCAAACTGCGGCTTATGTGCTCGAAAAATACATGATAGTCCTTGGAAATGCGAGTCATGTAGCTTCCAGATACATCACTCATGTGCAGAGTTTGGGAGACCATCAATACATCCATTTCATAACCATCCTTTGACCCTCCTACCGTATTTCTTTTCTTGGAGTAAAAGAATGGATTGTTATACTTGCTCAGGGAGAATAGATTATGGTTTCTATCTCTTTTGCCGAATATGCAATTTTGTCATCCACTTGGAATGCGCCATAGAAGGTAGAAAACTGTTCGGTACACTACACATGGGTCAAAAAGTCATTGGAACCTGGCTAGGACATTGCATTCAAGACAAAAAAAGCTTGTTTCAGGTTATCATCTCTAGGTCATATCCTATCTCTTGTGCTATTTGTGAAGAGAAGTTGTGGGGAAAGGCTCTTTCATGTATCGAGTGTGGAGATGTATATCATCATCTGTGTACTGAAGTTGGGACAGAAACACTATTTTGTCATCCACTTCATCCTGATCACGGCCTTGAAATTTCATGTACAAGTGGATCCAACTGCGTTGCCTGCAAACTGAGTATTACAAAATATGGCTATCATTGTGCTATATGTGATATCAGTTTCCATTTGAAATGCATCAAAGCAGTGAATGCAACAGGGAGGATTGGATCCCACAAGCACATTTGCTATAACTTTTGGATCAATGAGTCGCAGTTGACTCAAACTTGCAATGTTTGTGCAAGAGCGTGTGATTCCTCATTCTTTGGATGTATCGATTGTAACTTCAAATCCCATGTAAAGTGTCTTGGATTTCCACCTAGTGTGAAGAGCCCTAGGCATCAGCATGCTGTTGTGTATAAGAGTTTGTCACGCTTCGACGAGAAAAGCTGTTCTCTCTGTGGATTAAGCTGCAAGGATTCAATTTACGCTTGCAATCATTGCCAAGACTTGTTTCATATGAGATGCATATTGTCAATGGTAAAGACTTTCCTGATAATCTTATACAAATTTCTTTTTTTTTTGGATTCTGTTTCAGTAGTTTATATTTACCATATCATACAGGAAAACCGTGAGGCAGCAACAGAAGAGGAACAACTTAAAGAAATCTATCTCATGTACTTTGAGCGTGATCTCTTCAACTTACTCAAAAACAGTAAGTCTTAGTTTGGTTCTGCATTCTCTCTCTTTGAAACTAAATCGTAATGCAATGTTTTCTTTTATCTATACTATGCTATGCCTCGAAACTCTCTCTCATTTCCTCTATTTTTTTTTACAATAGAGGAGGATGTGAACGAAGAAGATGATTCTTATTCTTAGTTAAGTCATGCCTGCCTTTCTGAAACGAAGTACTGCAACTTGGTATGCCTCTCACAAAAACTATAACTTGGCATGCCTCTTAATCTTCTCATTTTTTTGTTTTGCGATAGAGCTGGCATGTTTGTAGACTCGGGAATTGATGACTGTGAGTTTGGTTCCGTCTCCCTTTCTGAAATGCGACTTCAGTTATCTAAAGATTGCCTTTTAAAGTTGTATGATCGTCTACTTTACTCATTTGGTGACTTTTAATCTTGCAGTATAAATACCTTTTGGATATGTGGTTTTTTTTTTTTTTTTTTTTCTGATTACCAAGTTTGATGTTGCCAACTGCCGAGTGTATCTCAAGATTTAGTAGTGAGTTCTCCGATTGTTGCTGCTTGCTGGGGAATTAATGTGTGTTTTAAGCCGTTTTTATGTTTATTTTTTTGAAAAGAAAAGAGTGCTTTAGCCTTTAGCGATGGTAATATGCAATTAAAAGGACAACTTACCAAAAGGTACACAAGACAGGCTTTAGCCGACTTGGTTGGTCTTCGAGTTTATCTTCCTAAACCGTATATAACACGTTATTATCCAATACTAGTCTCCCTCATGTTGGAAGGAGGGGTTTTTGAATTTTTAATTTGCCCCATAGAAAGATTTTCTTAATTTTTTGATATTTTTAAACTGCACTCAATATCAATTTCGACCAAAAATCTTTCTATGGGGCAAATTAAAAATTCAAAAACCCCACAATATCTTTTGCCCCATAAAAACTGAATTTCTTTTGATATTGAGTGCAGTTTCCAAAAGAAATTCAGTTCATTTTCACTTTACTTCGTGAAATATTAAAAGTTAAAACAAAGTGAAAAGTCGATCGAAATGTCTTGGATTCCTTTTTTTCTGAGCAAATGTGAGAAAGTTCAGCATCTTATTCCCTTCCGGGTTTAGGACTATTATTTAACTAGTTGAATAGTCGTAGTATAACAGGGCTTTAAACAAGTTGTGTCCTTCCCAATAATTTAACATATGATATAATCTCTGCTTTTCCTCTCGTTGACTTTCGAACTCAGACTCACATCGCCATGGAAGAGCTTCAACATTTCTCCCATGAATGTTCATTGACCTTGCCCAAGATTGTCAATGGAATTTGCAGCATTTGCCTCAAAGATGACCATGTCGACTTCACCTGTAATTTTTGTAGTTTTCATATATGCAAAGCTTGCACTCAGCTGCCGCAGAAGGTGTCACATGATTTCCATCCGGAGCACGCTCTCGAGTTCTGTCTACGCCAATATGACCGGAAACCTGCACACATCGTATGCTCAGGATGTGGGATCATGTCTTCTGGTTCTTTCTACCAGTGTAGAGAGTGCGAGATCTACTTAGATCTGGCATGTGCGACTCAGGAGAACATCTTCAGGGCCTGGGACTTCAAAGAATTGCTCCATGACAGCCATATTCACTTGCTTAAGAGGTGCAGACCAGGACCAGATGCTAGAGGCTCTTGCCTGCTCTGTGAGCTTCCCCTCTTTCCCTACGCTCTATGTTATGGTTGCGTTCATTGTTACTTGTTTTTTCATGAGCGTTGCATTGATATTCCGAGAGAGATTCAACATCCTGCTCATCCTGCTCACTCTCTTAAGCGCTTTGATTATACCCAAAGTCGTGCGTGTGATGCATGTGGGTATAATATCACCAGTGTCCCATTTGGTTGCGTAGAATGTGGATTTGATCTTCACCTGAGGTGTGCAGATTCCTTGTTACGAGGTCTGATACACAAGTCTCACCACCACAGGCTGTTTTACAGAACCAGAGCCCGCAAGTATTTGACAAAAGATATTCAGTGTCAAATATGCATGGAAAGTGGTGTGATATTTCTTGATTCCTATTATCTTTGTGTGGAATGTCATCTGGTTTTCCATTTCGAGTGTCTTGGTATTCCTGATTCGGTATTCAAGAAATCATGTCACACACATGCGCTCACATGTCAAATATTCCTAGCCAAGGACGATTATGCCGAGTATTGTGGAGTTTGCGAGACAATGATACACGTAGGGCATCATGCTTATTCATGTGAAGAATGTGATTTTGTTGGCCACATTGAATGCATTCTACAGGAGGTATTGGAATTCTGTTTTTTTTGTTTTGTTTTTTGTTCCCCATTCTTAAAGACGAATTGGTGATGGTAGTGATGATCTAACCTATTCATATTCACACTTTAGGAAAGTCCTTCCCCGCTCTACTTGAAAGATTTGTATTCGTGTGGTGCTGATGCCACACGAGCAACAAACCGTGAAAATCTTGAAACCAACAATTCAGATAACAAACTCATGGTATGGGCGTCTGTTCATAAATTTATCTTTTTTTTGTTTAGCTTGAGCTTCCCTCAATTCTTTTAAGAATTATGTTTCAGGTTATTGGTTATGAGCATATTCATGTGATGAGCCCTGCGTTACCCATGAGTGAGATTTCTGGTTACGATCCAAAGTGCTTTATATGCCGATCACCCATATATGGTAGCCCTTGTAGTAAATGCGAAACATGCAACCTTCAGACGCATAGTTATTGCGCAGAGCTAGGGCGGCCGTTTAGGCATCGAGTTCATCCAAAGCATGCTTTGACACTCTTTCCACAGCCATACGCACCAGAAGGGATCACTGTATATTGTGACATTTGCTCATGTAATATAAGAGGGTACAATCTCTTGTGTCGCATATGCAATTTTATCATCCATACTGATTGCATATTCAAAAGTAAACATTTCTACGGAGAGATACAAAGTGGGCAGAAACTCTTTGCAAATTGGAAGGGTTATTGCACTCGAAGATGGCATGCCCGCGTGTTTCAAGTTATTGTTTCAAAGTCAAATCTGATTCTTTGCGTTGTTTGTGGTGAGAGAGCGTGGGGAAAAGTTGTGTCATGTTTCAATTGTGAAGATGTATATCATCCTGAGTGTGCTTTTGATGATAGGGTAGTCGATCATCCACTCCATTCTAATCACTTGCTTTCAGCTTTACTCATAAGTGGTGGATCTAAATGCGTCGCCTGTAAAGAGGAGATTGTCAAGTATGGCTATAACTGTAGCACTTGCCAAGTCAATTTCCATGTGAAATGCATCAAAGCCGTGAAAAAACCAGAAGATATCGGGTTGAAATTTCACACTCATCATGATCTCTACAACTTCTGGGTTGAAGATTCACGGTTGACTCGATCCTGTAGAATTTGCAAAAGACCATGTGGTGCATCATTCTATGGATGTATTGATTGTAGTTTCAGTGCCCATGTTGAGTGTGTTGGGTTTCCAGCCAGTGTGAAGAACCAAGTGCATCAGCATACTGTCGTGGAAAACAATTGTAATGCCTTGGAATGTTGTTCTCTCTGTGGATCAGAGATTGACGATGATGACTCTCACTACTCATGCAACCACTGCAAGGATTTGTTTCATCTGAAATGTATCATGTCCATGGTAAGCATTGAGTTGATCATAGAAATCAATCCATACATTCTTTTTATTCCAACTGTCTTATGTTTTTTGAATTTTGTTTAGAATGACCGTGAAGCTGTTTCAGAAGAAGAACAAATTAAAGACATCTATCTTATGAACATTGAGCGTGATCTCTTTCGCCTGCTCCCACCTGGTAAGTCTTAGATCTTAGTTTCGTTATGCTTCACCTCTTTTTTGCTACAAGTAGTGCTGCAACTTCACTTATGCCTCTCATTTTGTTTTTATTGTCTTCACAACAGAAGAGGTCACGAGCAGTGACAGTGATACTTCTTAATTTGGTTATGCGTCCCTCTCTGAAACTAAGTACTGCAACTTCCGTGTTATCTGAGGTATTGCTTCAAAATCCTCTTATTTGTGTCTTTATGTGCTTTAATATCCATTTGGTGAATTATGTTTACAATACGTTTAAAATATTGGATTGATTAATGAATTATTTTAAGTGATAATCTTTGTGTCATACAGATATATATGTCAGCAGAGAGGGACAAGGTAAAAGAGATATGTGATCTCTTCCAACTTCTCAAAAAACCATATCGTATGTTCCCTAATATGTGATACTGTTAGCAATACGTCTGGATCTTTTTTACCTTTCTGAAATTGTTTTAAGGATCCATTTGGTGAATTTGTCTGATATCAGTAGGATTGGATTTCCATAAGATGCTGAAAACATTTACATGTTAATGGTTTCTTTGTTTACATCTCTATGCGCTGAACCGAGTCAAGTTCTGAGATTGTTGGTGTGTATATATGCGGTGTTCTAATTTTTTACTTTTTTATTTGTAGTTGCATTTTATATAGCTACGAGGTTAAGTCTCTAATTTCAGTGTTAAATCTGTAAATGAAAATATCACATAAGCACGTCGATGTACTGATATATATATCACATACTATAGGGAAAACGATTTAGTGTAGTGTTGTAGAAAGAAACAACAAATTCAATCAGCATGTAAACCATGGCAAATGCAGAGTCTTGTATACATAATTACAATTTTATCACTCACTATTTCTCCAAATTACAAGAATCGTTATCACATGAAAGGAGTTTGTGACATGAAAAGTTATCTCTCATACTCAAAAGAGCCAAGCTCAGATTGAACAAAAATACAAAATATCTCATCTCCCTGTAATTTACTAATCTAAAGTGTTATTTATATTTTATTCGATTTTGTAGAATAATTTGGACTTCCACTAACTCCAGATTCTCCTTACATATGTAAATGGGCTTAAAATTAAAGCCCATTAATCTTGGTCCTACAAACCAATTCAAGAAACTGAGCACTGTTCTCTCTCTCTCTCTCTCTCTCTCTCTTTAATTTTCTCACGAAACAATTCAGTAAGAACTAAGAACTTAGCAAAATCATTCAATAGCACTCTTCCTAGTTAGCTCTGTTTCATCCCGATTCCTAGGCTCTACAGGTCGATTTAATCTCTACAGTTTGTGAGGTATACCCATATTTTCAATTTTTTAAAGTTGTAGCTACGGTTATGAGGTTCTCTCATGTCAAAATCACTGTTTCACTGTTTATTTTAAAATTTCAAATGACAAATACTCTAACAAGTAACAACTACATTTGGATCTAATCCTGAGATTTTTTTTCTTTCTCCGTTGACTTTTTTGTAAGGCACATCTCGCCATGGCAGAGCTCCAGCTCCACCATCTCTTGCATGAATGTGCGTTGACCTCGCCGGAAACCGTAGCAAACGGCATCTGCGACGTCTGTTACAACGATGTACCGATCGAGTTCGTCTGTAACCCGTGTAATTTCGATCTCTGCAAAGTTTGCTCGAAGCTCAAGCAGAGGATCTCGCACTATCTTTACCCGGAGCACGCTCTAGAGTTTTATCTACGCAAAGCTAATCACAATCATCCACACGTCATCTGCTCTGGATGCGGGAACATGTCTTCTGGTTCCTTCTACGGGTGCAAAGAGTGTGAGATCTACCTTGATTTGGGTTGTGCGTTCTTAGAGAACACCGCGGAGGGCTGGGACATGAAAGAATTGCTCCATGACAGCCATAAACACTTGCTCAAGAGGTGTAGACCAGGACCCGATGCTGGTGGCGCTTGCCTCCTCTGTGAGCTTCCTCTCTCCCCATCCTCGATATGTTACGGTTGCGTTTATTGTTACGAATTTCTTCACGAACACTGCCTTGATCTTCCGTCAGAGATTCAGCACCCGGGGCATCCTGCTCACCCTCTCATACGCCTGAGTTATGTACAAGCAATCGAAAAAACTTGTGATGTGTGTGACGGTGAATTTTTTGGTGTTCTATTTGGCTGCTTAGAATGTCGGTTTTACCTTCATCTTAGCTGCGTTAATGCCTTGTTGCGAGGTCTGAGGCATGAGTGTCATGAACACATGCTGTTTAATATAACAGATACTCCTGATAGAAGGATTCGGATATGCCAAATATGCATGGAGAGTGTGGTGAATGACAACTCCCATTATCGCTGCATCCAGTGCAGTGTGGAATTTCATATCACGTGTCTGAAAATACCTCAATCTGTGGTCAATAAGTCATATCACATTCATCGACTCGTCCGTAAAATATTCCAACCAAAAGATTATTCTTTGGAGTATTGTGGTGTTTGCGAGACAATTTTATTTATAGGAGCGTATGCTTATTGTTGCGAAGAATGTGATTATGCAGGACACACTGAATGCATTCTACGCGAGGTAGTTAATATGTCATCGCAATTCTGTCTTTTTTTTTTTTGTTTTTTCCATTTATTTATTAATGATGATATATAGTAGTAACGATGATGATGTCCTAACTATATACAGGAAGTGCCTTCTCCATTGTACTTGAAAGATCTCTACTCTTGCAACAAAGGGAACGTGAAATCAACAGGTCACAAAAAATTTGAAACCAATGAGTTAGAAGACAAACTAGTGGTATGACCTTTTGTTATAATCGTTACACTAGTGAAGAAAATGTCAAAGTTTTTTGTTTTTTTTTCCTTTACTCAATTGTTTTAGTTGTGTTGCAGGTTAATGATATTGAACATATTCATGTGATGAGACCGGTCCACATGAGTGAGCTTGAGGGAGAAGCAGAGTGCGGTTTATGTGGTCAACAAATACATGAAAGTCCTTGTAAATGCGAGACATGTAGTTTCCAGTCACATCGGTCATGTGCAGAGTTGAGTCGACCATCAAGACATCCATTTCATAACCATCCTTTGACACTCCTACCATATTCCACTGATCTTTACTTGTCCAAGGGTAGAATGTATTGTGATTCTTGCACAGACGCGATACATGGGTTCCATCTCTTATGCCCAATATGCAATTTTTCCATCCACGTGAGATGCGCTTTAGAAGGTAAAAAACTGTTCGGTACATTACATATGGGGCAAAAAGTCACTGGAACTTGGGTAGGACGTTGCAGGCAAGACAAACATAGCATGTTTGAAGTTATTGTCTCAAGGTCATTTCCTATCTCTTGTGATATTTGTGAAGAGAAGTTGTGTGGAAAGGCTCTGTCATGTATCAAGTGTGGAGATATATATCATCATCTGTGTACTGGAGTTGGGACACAAACACTTTTTTCTCATCCACTTCATCCTGATCACGGCCTTAAAATTTCACGTCAAAGTGGATCCAAGTGCCTTGCCTGCAAACTGAGTATTATAAAGTATGGCTATCATTGTGGTATATGTGAAGTCAGTTTCCATGTGAAATGCATGGAAGTGGTCAATGTAACAGGAAAGGTTGGATCACACAAGCACATTTGCTACAACTTCTGGATCAACGAGTCGCAGCTGACTCGAACTTGCAATGTTTGTGCAAGGCCGTGTGGTGCGTCATTCTACGGATGTATTGATTGCAAATTCAAATCCCATGTAGAGTGTCTTGGGTTTCCAGCCAATGTGAAGAGCCACAGGCATCAGCATACTGTCGCATATAAGCGTTTGCCTTACCTTGAGCATAAAATTTGTTCTCTTTGTGGATTAAGAAGCGAGGATTCAGTTTACGCCTGCAATCATTGCCAAGACTATTTTCATATGAGATGCATATTGTCAATGGTAAAGAGTTGTCTGATATTCTTATACTATTCTTTTTCTTTAATTTGCAGTAGTTTATATTTAGCATATCATACAGGATGACCGTGAGGCAGCAACAGAAGAGGAACAGGTTGGAGACATCTATCTTATGTACATTGAGCGTCATCTCCTTAGCATTTTGAAAGGTGATAACTCTTTTTTTTGTTAGCATCCGCCTCCTCTGTGAATATAAGTACTTTAACTTCTCTTTTCTTGAGGCTAATTCTTTGATTATCTCGTTTACAACAGAAGAGCCTGTACTGAAAGACACTGAGAGTAGTGAAGAAGACGGTAGTGGTGAAGAAGACAGTGATGAAGACGACAATGATGAAGATGATAATGATGAAGATGACAGTGATGAAGATGATAGTGGTTAAGAAGACATTGTTGAAAACGACAGTGGTGACGAAAACAGTGCTGCTTCCGTGTTGTTGTGCCTTAAATACTTCTTGTTTTCTCTTGTCGTGTTTACGATCCATTTACTTAACTGTGTATGTAATATGTTTACTCGTTGATTCTTGGATCTTTGTTTTTCAGTATTATTATCTGACCGGCCGCCAACGTTTTACGTCTTTCAAAGTTTAGCGTAACATTAACAGTCTCCAACTTAGAACAGCAAACACTTGCACTATGATCCCAAACTCGATGCCCTGTAATTTTTTGCACAGGTTCGACTTATTCGATGAGATTTTTGTGTTTCATGGGAGTTGCTGCAGGTTTTGAACTGAGAAAACCCGTCTCTGCAAATTATGTCCAGCGCATATTTTTAGAGCTGTAAAATTGCTCTTAAGTATAAACTGCTGACATAATAATTTTTCGAAATTGAGCACTAGGCCAGTAGAAAAGATAACAACAGATATCCTGGTGATTTTACAAAATGACAGGACAGGTCATGTCCATTGCATAAAATGGTTAAAAGTTAAAACTCTCGTAAACTTTTTCAAATAAAAGTTTAAAGCAACATTTGGAATAATATAGGATGATTTGATTTTGGGCGAATTGCTCGAAATGCAAAAGTAGACCCTATATTGCATTTAGAGCAAAACTAGTCTTCTGGGCATGTAGAATTACAAACCAAGCCCTTATGAACAAAGAAAAAAACGCTGGTCACAATGTCTGTTTTACCCTGTTTAAAGTCTATACCTGAAGTCTACAGCGTATTAGACTTCATCATGAAGTCTAATCCTAAATACAACTAAAATTTAATTTATAAAATTATAGGAAATTGTTTTGATCAAACAAAATTATGAATAAGTAAGATTAGAACATTTGGCATCCAAGAAAAATAAACTTGCATAAAAATGACTCCATTTAACTCAAGTAAGAGAAATTATGTTTGTAACCTATTAACTGCGTGAAGTCTACTTCCCGAAGTCTAATATATAGCAAAATCGTAAATTTAAAGTTTGAAATCTGTTAAAAATATTTTGATGAAGGTATTTACACATAATTTAAACAAAGACAAGTACTATCCATGAAAAATATAGTTGCATATAAATTGATCAATTTAAAACCGGTAATACAAATTATGGTATAATCCAAAAAATATTGTATGAAGTCTACTGAAGAAGTCTACCAAATAACAAAATCTTAAATTTAAAGTTTAAAATCTATAAAAAATATTTAGGCTTAAAAAAATTATAAATAATCTAAATGAAGACAAATCCTATCTATGTAAAATAAATTTTCATGGAAATTAATCAGTTTATAAGTTTCATGAGTAAACCAATCATCAAGCTTAGTGTTTGAGGTACAATGTATAGGGTTTATGAGTATGATTGTTAGGGTTTAGAGAATTTTGACATAAAAAATTGTTTGTGGTTTGTTTAACGATTTAAAGCTAATGAATTTATAGTTTATAATGTAAATTGTGATTCTATATACATAATTTATGTTTTCTATAGCTTTGATCTCAAAAATTCGATTTAGGGTTTAGGGTAAGTCAGACTTCATCGGTAGACTTCATAGTTGGACTTTGCTATGAAGTCTTTTATTCAAAAAACGAGTGGGAAACGAAATTATTAGGGCGGGAAACGAAATATTTTGGGCGAATAAATTTCTCATTAAAAGTTCAATTTGTAGACTTCACGAGTAGACTTTGTACATCAATTCCGGTTTTTGAACAGAACCGGTCAAGGAAATTATAATTTTTGTTGTAATTGGGTTTAACCAAAATTAGCCGGCCCTAATCGAAAGTGAGAAACCCAAAATCAGGGTTTCACTTTCACATTTCACTTTCGCAAACCCAAGTCCGTTCCGTTCTCTCTCTTTGTCGGATAGGCGATTGCATGTTCTCTCCGCCCACCGTCGCCGTCGAAGAAGAAAGACAGACCCACTATCGTCGCCGCCGCCTTTTCCCCTTCCTCCTCCGAAGTATACTTCTGTAAGTCATATTCATATATCAGTGATATACGTATTTGTGTCTGTTTCCCTCTACTGTCGTTATACTCACAGTGGAATCTTCTTTTGAACCCTTCCGCCACCGTTGGTTGCCGCTGTCCGTGTTGCCGTTGTCCGTGTTGCCGCTGTGGAATCGAACGACCTATTAAATCGCACCAATTATTCTCTTCCTCTCAGCGCCGGTTAGTTATCTCCCTTTCACTTTTTTTCTCTCTGCTTACGCCCTTCAAACCATGGACTATTGTTAGGTCTCCGTTTAGTAGTATCCGCCGTCGTTGCGCTTTTAGCCGCCGCCGGTTGGCTAGAGTTTAGAGCAGACTTAAAGTACAGACTTCACCTTTAGAATTGATAGACATCATAGTTAGACATCATAGTTAGACTTCATAATTAGACATCATAGTTAGACATCATAGTTAGACTTCATATTTAGACTTTATTTATGCCGTGTAAAATTGTAGACTCCTCCTAATTTCTCATATTTTCAATGTGTTTTCAGTATGGACGCCGTGACATTTCCTAGGAGGTTGTTCACAGAAGGAGAAGAACCGGATTATGATCGCAGTGTTGTCTACTATAGCAAGAACACTGCACTGTGGTCTCAAATGCACACCACACTTGAAGATGAATGGGATGAGCTTGAGAATTCTAAGCTGGGACCCCTCTTCAGGTTCACGAAGCTCGAGTTTAATTGGGCATCGAAGGTGGCACAGACTATGCTCACTATGCAAGTAGCATGCAAGAAGAAGTATGAGATATGGAGTGCCGTGGGTGTACAGCCAGTGCGATTTTCTCTGAACGAGTTTGAACACATCACCGGGCTTAACTGCGAGTATAAAGAAGCGCTGACGAAGCCAGAGACTGTTAACACAGACGAGATGAAAGAGTTCTGGCGGAAGCTTGGTGTGAATGAGAAGCTTGGTCCGAGCGTTGACGAACTCTTAGCAGCGTGCCAGTGGGCCGGAGAGTGGAGCAGAGAGGATAGGCTGAGACTTGGTTTTTTGGCCGTATACGCTGGCTTCATTGATGCTCGCAAAAGTTCCACTCATACACGAGTAGCACTGGCTAGTCAAGTTATGGACTTGGAGAAGTTTGAAAACTATCCCTGGGGGCGAGTAGCTTTCAAGACCCTCATCAAGTCCATAAAGAAAGCAGACGTGTCCAAGCCATTCAGCCTCGAAGGCTTTGCTGAAGTCGTGCAAGTGTGGGCGTACTATGCTATGCCGAGGTTCGGAGAAGAAAACGGTGATCCGAGGCCAAATAATCCTGAGCCACCGCTGCTAGCATTCAATGGAATCAGAGGGAAGAGATATGTTATCGGAACCATGAAGAAGCAGGTAATTCATTTGCCTTGTACTCTCTGCATATTAATCATAATATCCAAAAATTCTTGACTTTTCTGATAACGGTTTTGCAGGTGCTTTTCAATCACATGGTAATGGTGGACAAGGCAGACGTGTACCCACGTTGGGACAAGGAAATAGATGACGAGAAGGTGGACAACATCATCAAGGCCTTGCTTGGGGAATTTGGTGGAGGATGGGTGTGGAAACCAGCTGACTGGGTTAGAGAAGGGATATCGGTGGTTAAGAAGGTGAAGTTTGAGAAGTCTGTGAAGTCAGAGAAGTCTCATGGCAAGAGGAGTCTCTCTGATGAGGCTGATGATGATGAAGCGATAAGTGTCAAAAGAGCTCGGACCTCAGATGGTTCACCTGCGGAGGCCTCTGGTGCTGGCTGGAAAGGTCTTGAGGCGAAGATTGAGGAGCTTTTTAAAGACTTCACCAAAAAACACTTCGAGGAGATGAGTAAGACCCAGGAAAAGATTCAGGTCCTCACCGCTCAAGTCGCTGTGGTAGGGAGGATTGTCAAGAAGCTTTCGCATCCTCAGGCTCAGGATTCTGTGAAGTCCAGTGAGGATACTGCGAAGTCCAATGAGGATTCTGCGAAGGCCAATGAAGAGCTGGAGAAGAAGAATGAGGAGCTGGAGAAGAAGAATGAGGAGAAGTCCGATGAGGAGCCGGATAAGTCCGATGCCGGTGAAGGGAAGACGGCTCCGCCTGGTGGAACGGTTAGTACCGTTCATTCTCCACGTAGATCTAAAAACTCTGATAAAGTAGTTGAAAAGAGATATGTGCGTAGGAGTCATAGGGTCGCTGTGAAAAAGAACAAGTGATGTGTGTATGTTTCTGTTTGTAGTGTGTTGCGTTGCGTTGTACACTTTCCCTCCTGTTTAAATAAAAGTTCAAATTTCTAGTGACTCATTATCTGTTTTGTCTCTCTCTATCTCTCTTGTGTTTGAGCAATGTTAACAGGAAGATACGGATTGCACTTGGCTCCGGACACATATTCCAACTGATTCTGAGGAAGCCGAAGAGAAAAGGCAACAGGAAGAGCATATCAAGGCGGCTAATGTTATGGCAAGAGGGAAAAGTGAGAGAGTAAGGAAGCTGGCGTTTACTCAGAAAGGTGAGTTCCAAGGAAACAGCACCGCTAGAAGGATCATCCTAAACAACCCCCCGGAGATACCCAATTCCCCACCGAAATCACTTAAGATCATCTCTAAACCGAGGAAAGCAGCTATTACGAAGAAAGCAGCTAATCCGAAGAAATCACCTCCTCCGAAGAAAGCAGATCCGAAGAAATCACCTCTCCGAAGAAAGCACCTCCTCCGAAGAAAGCACTAACCGAAGAAAGCACCTGAACCTAAGAAAGCAACCGGTGGCAATGAACCTCTAGGGTATAATCCATTTGCTCGACCTCTCGAGGAAAGGATAACACCAATGCGGGCATTCGTCTCCGGATTACCGTGAGCCCCTAAACTCTTTTGTCTCTTCGTTGTTTGACCAAATTATAGAGGCTTACGAGAATTTACCAATGTTTCAGGGGTTATTCTGCAGCTACAGCGCTGGAGCCGGACAAGTTCGATTACCCGGAATGGCACTGGTGGTTTACTTTACTCACGGGGTTTCAATGGCTATCGGATAGCGTACGTTCTTGTTAGACTTCGTAAATATACTTCACAAGTAGACTTCACTGTTAGACTTATGACATAGACTTCATATTTAGTCCTCATAGTCGAATTCTTTGTTTCCATTGCAGCATATGAAGTCCTGGGCCACCATGATGACTCACCGCCTAGCAACGCGACCAGAGTTGTTTAAAAATGATAGGATCTGCTTCCTTAACAGCCATATCACTCAATTTTGGGAAAGGGACTGGCCCAGGTTTCAGAGATGTCAAATGCTGCCTCCTAATTCGCTGGACTGGTACTTTGGTAATCTCCCGAAAAGCCAGCCCAGCAATAAGCGATGGGGTTATGATGTTGATGATTTATTCATTCCATTGAATATCAAGAATAAGCATTGGGTCGCGCTGCATGTCTCCATACCCAAAAGGCACATTACCATCTACGACAGTATGGTGGACTGGCTCGATGATGCGGAAATGGACTTGTTGGTGGAACCCTATGCGGTGATGATGCCGAATCTTATGCACTCCGCGGCTCAGGCTGAGGACAAATGCGTCTACTTCGATGCGAAGTACACGCACAGCCGTCCGAGTAAGGATGTGCCGCAGCAAGTGGGGGCTGGAGATTGTGGCGTGTTTGTCCTCAAGTTCATCGAGTGCCTGGCAGTCGGATATGCCGCATTTCCGAAGACGTTGTGTCAGAAAAACATCACCATGTTTAGGGAGCAGATTGCGTCTGATATGTACCATGAGATCAACTGCCGTGGACCGGTCGAGGACCCAGATGATTGGGACAATGTCGATTTGTATGACGAGAGATTATGAAAGGTGTAGGTGTAATCCCGTAAACTAATGCTCTTTAGAACCCGATGATGGGTGTAGGCTAATTATTCTTTTGTAATCTATCGCTGATCGGCCTTCACATTTCAGAAGTCTATTGTTTTGGTATATTGTGCACTTGGTATATTTCAGAAGTCTATTGTATTTCAGAAGTCTATTGTTTTGTTATTATTGAATTTCGTATACTTTCCTCCAAATTGGCCACAAAGTAAACCTCACAGATAGACTTGCAACATAGACTTAACTGTGAGACTTCAAGAAAAATAAAAACCAGTGTTTTTATCCGTTTCGTCCACCTAAAACACGAACAAAACATACAAATTGGCCGCAAAGTAAACTTAATAGATAGACTTAATAGATAGACTTCTGTGTCAGACTTCACGAAAAACTAAAAACCAGTGTTTTTATCCGTTTCATCCACCTAAAACACGAACAAAACATACAAATTGGCCGCAAAGTAAACTTAAGATAGACTTAATAGATAGACTTCTGTGTCAGACTTCACGAAAAACTAAAAACCAGTGTTTTTATCCGTTTCATCCACCTAAAACACGAACAAAACATACAAATTGGCCGCAAAGTAAACTTCATAGATAGACTTTAGATAGACTTCTGTGTCAGACTTCACGAAAACTAAAAACCAGTGTTTTTCTCCGTTTCATCCACCTAAAACACGCACAAACATACAAATTGGCCAGACTCACAATAAACTTCATAGATAGACTTTCAGATAGACTTCGTCGGCAGACTTCACGAACAACTAAAATCACAAGTCAGTCTTCAGCGACCTGTGTAGTGCAGAAAATGAAAGATGTCAGCTCCTCTCAATGTGGATGCAAAGCATGAAGGGACAGCTTTATAAACTTACACAATTGGGGCGAGTATGACCAGGTTCCTTGCACTTAGAGCAGCTGTACTTCTTATGCGTTTTCCTCGGTTTTGTGTTTTTCTTCCTAGACATCTCTAGCCAAGTTTGCCACCTCGACTTCTTCGGCCTTCCAGAAGGGACACTCTCCCCTGGAGGCAAACAGCGAACAGGCTTCACGTGGGAGTCAGTTCCCTCTTTGGGGTAAATCGGATGTGCATATGTTGAGAACAAGGAAGGCGTCGAATGAGTGGCGCATACGTAATAGGACATGTCGACGTTAGCTTCGGCTGCAGCTGCAATAACATGAGAGCAAGGGATTTTTTCAACGTTATACACACCGCACGAGCATGTTCGATTCTCCAAGTCGACATTACAATCTCGTCTCCCGCCTTTAACATGAAAGCGCCAAGCGTCTATGCGATCTACGATCATACTTCCCGCATAGTAAGACCGTATGGCCAATATGTACTCAACACCTCTGCTGTGTCTGGTTGTGAGACTCAGTGCATCCTCCCGCCTCTTGCTAAACCATCTCCCGAGCTTCTCCCTAATAAACTCCAAAAGACGAGGAATAGGTAATCCTTTTGCTTTCTTGACAGCCGAGTTAATAGATTCTGCGATGTTGCTCGTCTTTATATTGTATCTATCACCTTCAAAATGAACTCTCGACCATAACTTCGGATCTGAGGTCTCTAAGTAAGTAGCTAGGGCAGGGTTCGCAGCTCTTATGAGGTCCATGTAACGGTCGTATTCAGGCACCGTATGGGCGTAGGCTGCACCTTTAACCATATACATTATCTCCTTTGCGTGGAAGTCCTTTACTATATTACCTTGGAGGTGATAGTAGCATATTCCTCTTGATGCCCAGGGCATAACGATTCCAATGGCTCTAGCTATGGCAGCGGCACGGTCAGAGACTATCGCCATTGGCGGAAATTGCCTGAAACAATCTCTAAGCTTGTTGAAAAACCATTCCCATGATTCACTATCCTCAGCATCGACCACTGCGAAAGCTAGCGGGAATATTTGAAAGTTGGCGTCTTGTCCGGCAGCCACGAGTAGAGCTCCTCCGTATTTCCCAGTAAGATGAGTCCCATCAACCACAATCACTCTCCTCAAATACTGAAAACCAGATATAGAACCGGCGAGTGATAGAAAGCAGTACTTAAAACGGTCCTGTGAGTCACAGACAAGGTCAGTCACAGTTCCCGGATTTGCATCCTTGATTCTTTGCAAGTAAGAAGGCAGATTCGCGTATCCTTCTTCAGCTGTTCCCCACACCAAGTCTTGGGCATGTTTCAAAGCTCTATATGAAGCCGTATAGTCGAGCTTCATTCCAAACATCCTCCTCATAGAGTCTCTTATGTGTTGCGGCACAATTCCTTCAATGAGCCCTGTCCGATCAAGAAAAAGCTTTCCAATATACTTCGTTGTACAACGTTTATGGTTACGTACTCGATCAGAAACAGAACATGTATGCGACTTCACGTACTTTGTCACCCAAAACGTGGAGGGTTCGTTCTTTACGGCCGCTCTAAGCCTCCATTTGCATCCAGCGACTTTGCATTTGGCCACAAACACTTTTCTTGTAGACGCAGCTATCCTGAATGAGAATCTTGTCATCACCGCGGTCAAACGCAACTCAGAGATAAGTTGGGCCTTGGTATCAAAGCTCTGGTGCTCGTAAATATTGTCTTCCCAATTATCAATTCCTATACGATGACCCACACCACGCCCTAAAAGGCGGGGATCATCGAAAGGAACATCAATGACAACGTCTTCATCTTTAATTTTCCCATACTGACTGTAGTCCGCGTGTGTGTCATCATCGCCTTCATAAGCTTTTTCCCTTACATCATCCTCATCACAACCCGACTCTTCAGACACTTCTTCTCGTTCTGCGCTCCAATCTTCATCCAACTCTTCATCGAACTCTTCCTTCAACTCATCATCCAGATTTTCATCTAAGTCTTCATCCAAAGGTCCATCTACGTTGTCTTCATCCTTCCCTTTGCTAGAGACACAAAGTCGTACACCATGATTTCTACTTAGCTCGATCAAGCTTTCGACTTGTCTGTCGTTTGTGACAAACATGGGCGGAGAATCATTACACGTTTGCTGAGTGAACACTTCTGGTAATGGATATGATATTTCCAAACGGTGTCCGATCTTGGTTAGCGAATAATCCTCTAAAGCCATTTGAATGAGCTCATCATGTGTACATCCATCCCTCAACGAGAACATTCTACCTCCTTTCCGATAATCAACCTCAAAATGCCAAGACAAATTGTCCTTTATCACCCATTCTCCATAAACAGATGCAATGTAAACCATTTCCTGCAAGTAAACAAAAACAACCGCATTAGACTTCATTGATAGACTTTTGGTAGACTTCACCTAGAAGTCTACCTAGTATTGTCTAATATTCAAATTTCACAAGAAAACCGTTTTCACGAGCTATACAACGAATAAGCATGTCAAACTAACACACAAGCAACTAATCAGATTAAATCAACTAATTGTTTCAAGAAATCTTAAAAATTCCTTATATATTTACCAAAAAAGCGTTTTCAAATAAAAAGTTAAATAGTAGACTTCACGATGAAGTCTATTTAGTATACTTACTTGTGAAGTCTAATAGACTAGTTTTGCAATTTTTCAAATGACAATTTTTTATGAAGTCTACACGTGAAGTCTACCGAAAAAAAAAGACTAGTTTTGCAATTGACCAAGCTTTGACTTTTACAATAGACTTCATTATCGTGAATAGGCTTAAAAATGAAGTCTAACTACAGAATGAAGTCTATCGGTGAAGTCTAACTACATAATGAAGTCTATCGGTGAAGTCTACAACAACAATTAGACTTCATAGGGATTAGTTTTGCAATTGGTCCAATTTTTGAATCAGGAAAATAGACTTCATCGTGAAGTCTACTCCGACAAACGTTGACTATTAGACTTCTTGGTGAAGTCTATCAAGAATTAGGCTTCGAAATGAAGTCTAACCCAGTATTAGACTTTGAATGAAGCCTAATACAACATTAATAGATTTCAGGGGTAGACTTCACGATAAAACAAACTACTTAAAGTTTGCAAAACTAGTCTTTTATTCAAGCAGACTTCACAGATAGATTTCCCATAAAAAGTTTTTATTCTGTCAATTGCAAAACTAATCTTTTCGAGTAGACTTCATTCTGAAGCCTACGCCATATTTTTTTGTTTTCAAAGGAATATGGGTAGACTTCATTGTGAAGTCTACTCTCTAAATTTTTTGAAAAATCAATTGCAAAACTAGTTTTTTAGACTTCGCTATGAAGTCTAAGGACCTGCAAAAATATGAGATTCACTCAGATCTACCGGAAAGTTACCTTGCCGTGATCTTATGTTTCGTTGACGGCCTATAACTTCGATTTAGAGCTTTAGCAAACTTCCCCAACCGTTATAATGATCTCCCACACCAAAAATGGGAAGATCTAAGAACATAAACTTTGAAAAGATGAAAATGTGTATTCTTGGGGTGAAAATTGAGAGGAAATTGACCAATACAAGTTTATGAGATGATATAATGAGTTTGTATATATGTTTGAAGAGTACATCGTGCATTGAAAGCTTGATTTCGGTTGAGAATGGTTGTTGGACGAATTGATGGTGATGGCATTTTCGTGAATAAATGAAGAAGATGAGGTTTCTTTGGACCTTTTTTTCAGAGTGTTAGACTTCACGGTTAGACTTCAAAGACGAAAGTAATGGCATTTTCGTTATTATCACAATTATTGTGAGGATAAACAAGGAAGAAAAAAAGAGTGAACTACTTTTGCATTTGACCTCAATTGTACTACTTTTGAAAACAGCCCTTTGATTTTTAGCAAGTTTTAAAATGATATTAGGTGAATTATAGAAGATTTTAGTTAAAGTAATCTTAGAATCCCATCTAAAATCATTTGATTTGGATTATCATATTTTTAAAATTTCAACAAATAACTTTAAAATCAAATCTACCTTTTTTTTTTTTTTGGTCAAGGCTTTATTTATTAAAGTAAAAGTTGAAATGTTCAGAAGAGCTCTCAAAGCATATTTAGTAAGCAGATATACTTTTACATTAAGATATCTAGACATATAAGACAACAAATTGCGTCCCTGTCAAATAATTTAACATTTTTTCTCTAATCTCTCTTTTCTTCTCGTTGACTTTGGAACTCAGACTCACATCGCCATGGCAGAGCTTCAACATTTCTCCCATGAATGTCCGTTGACCTTGCCCAAGATTCTCGACGGAATTTGCAGCGTTTGCCTCAAAGATGACCATGTCGAGTTCACCTGTAAGTTTTGCAGTTTTGATATATGCAAAGCTTGCACCCAGCTGCCGCAGAAGGTGTCACATGATTTCCATCCGGAGCACGCTCTGGAGTTCTGTCTACGCCAATATAACCGGAAACCTGCACACATTGTATGCTCAGGATGTGGGATCATGTCTTCTGGTTCTTTCTACCAGTGTGAAGAGTGCGAGATCTACTTAGATCTGGCATGTGCGACTCAGGAGAACATCTTCAGGGCCTGGGACTTCAAAGAATTGCTCCATGACAGCCATATTCACTTGCTTAAGAGGTGTAGACCAGGACCAGATGCTCTAGGCTCTTGCCTCCTCTGTGAGCTTCCCCTCTTTCCCTACGCTCTATGTTACGGATGCGTTCATTGTTACTTGTTTTTTCATGAGCGTTGCCTTGATATTCCGAGAGAGATTCAACATCCTGTGCATCCTGCGCACTCTCTTAAGCGCCTTGACTACACCCGAACTACTTGTTTCTGTGATGCATGTGGGGATCAAATCAACAGTGTCCCATTTGGTTGCGTAGAGTGTAGATTCAACATTCACCTGAGGTGTGCAGATTCCTTGTTACGAGGTCTGATACACAAGTCTCATCACCACAGGTTGTTTTACAGAACCAGAGCTCACCAAAATTTGACAAAAGAAATTCAGTGTCAAATATGCATGAAAAGTGGTGTGATATTTCTTGATTCCTATTATCAGTGTGTGGAATGTAATCTGATTTTCCATTTCGAGTGTCTTGAGATACCTGATTTAGTATTCAAGAAATCATGTCACATACATCCGCTCACATGTCAAATATACCTAGCCAAGGACGTGGAGCATTGTGGAGTCTGTGAGACAACGGTACATAAAGGACATCATGTTTATTCTTGCCAAGAATGTGATTTTCTTGGCCACATTGAATGCATTCTACAAGAGGTAATTAAATAGGTCATTGCAATTTCTGTGTGTTTTCCTTGTTAGTTGATGTATTAGTGATTGTATTGGTGACAAAGCTGATGATCTGACCTCTACTCATAATCACACTTTAGGAGGTGCCTTCCCCGTTGTACTTGAAGGATTTGTACTCTTGTGGTTCTCTTGTGACACGAGCAACAAACCAAGAAACCACCAACAATTCAGAAAACAAACTCGTGGTATGGGGTTACAATTAAGTTTTTATCTTTTAGTTTAGCCTTGAGCTTCCCCTCAATCGTTTCATATTTATGTTTCAGGTTATTGGTATCCAGCATAATCATGTGATGAGACCTGCGCTCATGAGTGAGCTTATTGATGACGATGCAAGGTGCTCTATATGTAGAGAATACACATATGGTAGCCATTGTATATGCGAAACATGCAACTTTCAGGCGCATAGTTATTGCGCAGAGCTAGGGCGACCATTAAGGCATCGAGTTCATTCAAAGCATGCTTTAACACTCTTTCCACAGCCATACGCAGCAGCAGGGGTCACTGTATATTGTGACATTTGCTCATGTAATATAAGAGGGTACAATCTCTTGTGTCGCATATGCAATTTTATCATCCATACGAATTGCATATTCAGAGGTAAACATACATATAGAGAGTTAAAAAGAGGGCAGAAAATAATTGGAACTTGGGGTAAACTATGCATTGGAAGAGACCATCTGCGCGTGGTTCAAGTTATTGTCTCCAAGTCGAATCTGATTGTTTGCGGTGTTTGTGATGAGAGGTTGTGTGGAACAATTGTGTCATGCATGGCGTGTGGAGATGTGTATCATCCTGAGTGTGCTAATGATAATGAGGTAAATGGTCATCCACTCCATTCTGATCACAGGCTTTCACTGGCACTAACAAGTGGATCTAAATGCCTCGCATGCAACCGGGAGATCATCATGCATGGCTTTTATTGTGGCACTTGCCAAGTCAGTTTCCATGCGAAATGCGTCAAAGCTGTGAAATTACCTGCAAAACCTCACAGTCATTATGTCTACAACTTCTGGGTTGAAAATTCAAGGTTGACTCGTGCTTGTAGCATTTGCAAAAGACCATGTGGTGCGTCATTCTACGGATGTATCGATTGTGACTTCAAATCCCATGTGGAGTGTCTTGGGTTTCCAGCCAATGTGAAGAACCAACGACATCCGCACACGGTCGTGGAAGTGATATATGATTACTGGAGAAGTTGTTCTCTCTGTGGATCAAAGATACAAAAAGATGATCATACCAACTACTCATGCAACCACTGCGGTGATTATTTTCATAAGACATGTTTTATGTCCATGGTAAGCCTTGAAATTTATCATCTTGTAGAAATATTCTTTCGATTTCAACCGTCTTATATTATTTCTTTTTTTGTTGTTGTCCCCATGTCGTATAGAATGACCTTGAAGCTGTTACAGAAGAAGAACAAATTATAGACATCTATCTAATGAACATTGAGCGTGATCTCTTTGGCCTGCTCGAAGCTGGTAAGTCTTAGATCTTAGGGTTTTGGTTATGCTTCACCTCTTTTTGCTACAAGTAGTGCTGCAACTTCACTTATGCCTCTCGTTTTCTTTTTATTGTCTTCACAACAAAAGAGCGCTTGTTGGAAAGCCAAGATGATTACTACAGTCGTGCTTCTTCTTAGTTAGGTTATGCGTCCCTCTCTGAAACGAACTACTGCAACTTGCGTTATCTGAGGTAATTCTTCGAAATCCTCTCTTTGTGTCTTGAGTGCTAATACTTACATCCACTTGGTGAATTATGTTTTAGTTATCGGAGTTATAGGATGTGCCTGATACCAAATGCATAATGTATGTGTAAAGATTTAACTGATAATATTGTATCATACAGAAGTGTCAGCAGAGAGGAACAACGTAAAAGAGATATGTGATCTCTCCCAACTTCTCAACAACCATATCGTACGGCAGCTTAGCTTCTCCCTAATATTATGTTAAATGCCTCAAAATCCTCTCATTTCTCTCATCATGTTTTACAATGCATTTGTGAAATTGTTAGTTATACGTTTGGATCGGTGATCTGTAGTATTTGGTGATTTGTCGATGCAGAGTTTCTTACATCGGTGATCTGTTTGGTGATTTGTGTTTCCACTTTTTTATTTTGCTGGATTTCTTTCATCCTTCTCAAAGTGTTTTAAGGATCCATTTGGTGAATTTTTCTGATATCAACACGATTGGGTTTCCATAAGATGCTGAAAACATTTACATGTTAATGGATTCTTTCTTTACATCTCTATGCGCTGAGCCGAGTCTGGTTCCTCGATGATGCTGATTCTTGAATGTAGTCTAGATCCTTCTGGAATCCCCAACGGCGGATTCTCACAAGAACAGTTATCAACAGCAAACAGCTCCCACTCCTTAATCCCACACTTCTCCAACGCAGACTGCAATCTCTCCTTCTCCTTCTCTTCCGGATAAGAACCATCCGGTGTCACGAGCACAGCCCCAGTGTAAGACTGTCCCGCAACACGAGCCGCTCCATTGTAATGAAACAGCCCCCAACTCAAATCATCACACACATCCACAATAGTCCAAACCTCATTCGACACCACACCATTATCCAACACACTGAACCGGAACGTTGCAGGGACCTTCCCTCTCTTAACCGAGTATCTTCTCCTTCTCCACACCAGCTTCTCTTCAAGCGTCCTCACCTGAAACACAGGCTCATACCAAAACGACGACTTCCCTTTCCCTCTGTAGAATAGCTGATACTGACATGGAAACTGATCATAAGCCGGGTTTTGTCCTGCCACGACACGCCAGCTCCACTCCAACTCTCCTAACCAACCAACAAACAAATCCTCCGCTGTCTCATGACACAACTCCTTCCCTCGGAAACTCTTCATGGGAGGCACATAAGGCTTCTCAGGGATCTTCGCATCCAACTCAAGACAGTTATGTTTCTGTAGTACACAAAGAGAGAAGGCTTCAAAATAAGGACTCTCATAAGAAGCAATGCATCTGTAGCTACAAACTTGGTCCACAGGACTGCATTTGTTCAAACAGACAAGAGCTTTACGACAATTCGGATCCAAGAGACAGTTCAAAATCTGAGGTCCACAGTTTTTCACCATACAGCTAAGTGTTGAGAACCCTTTTGACCTCAGGTTCTGCAACACAGGAACTGGTCTTATGTAAGCGTTGATGATCACAAGCAAACAGAATCTTATATCATCGGAGTTACGACGCTCCCAAGCATCTCCAACTGTCTTCACAACCTCTGTTGCTTCTTTGTCTTTGTTGCCGTTTCCGAAATCAGTCCCTCCGAGCCTGTTCATCAAATCTGGATTAGACTCAAAGCAAATTATGTTGTTGATGCTTTTGCTGTTTGTCTGAATCCATTTCAGAGACTCTGAGTTGTTAACAGCAACTACAACCAAAATATCAGTCTGATTCAGTTCCTGTTTCAGATTCTCAGCTCTCTGATCACTTGACTTCAGAATTTCATCATCAAAGACGAGTAATTCATATCCTTCATCAACCCATTTCAATCTTCTTGCCTGTTTTTCCGACAATAAACAAAAAAAAGCGAATTTTTTCAGGAAATCAATTAAGGATCAAATCAGATTGTGTACAGAAACCTACAAGTTCACGAATTTGCAGCAATTGTTACTGAGAGAAGATAAATTTACTTACAGTGTGGAGCATAACTTCCTTCCATGAGGTGGAATTGAGTGGGCTAATTGCTTCTTTCCCGACGAGAGCTACCAGTCTCACTGGAGGCTCAGACTTCTCTATATTCGTACTCTTCGCCGTCTCCAAAACCGATCTAACAATGGTTCGCGCGCGGAAACTCACTCTCTGTCCAGAAAACGATGCGTCATCTATGAAAGGACGAAGCTTTCGGTGAAACTTCACAGGAGAGAAAGCCGGTCGACGAGTGAGTAAGGGAGAAGAAGCTCTCGTTCCTGGAAGAGAAGGAGCTTTCAGAGAAATCGCCATGGCGATTAGCGAAGGTACAGTAAACGGTCTCTCACAGTCTCAAAGTGACTCACCCCTTTATTAAATGTTCACAAGTAAGCCACGTGTTGAATTTTGATTGGTCCAATAGCTTTACTTTTTCTCACTCGTCCAATTAGAAAGTCGTAGAAAACTCCAATCTTTGGTTCAAGAAAATTATACATTGCAATTGAAGCAAATCTAAGAACCGATTTAAACCAATGGTGATCATATGTCTCTCTAGTCTCTACACAAAATTTGATTCATCTACAAGACTCCATTGCAATTTCGTTTTTGGTTTCAGTTGTATCTTACATGTATGAGATAAAACCCAAAATTAATTTTTGGTCGATTTGGTTTTGTATATTCAGAATAAGGACAGGAACACTTTAAGTTCGGTTTAACATCAACTTTTAATTTAAACGTATCTCAAATTCCATTTATCACCATTATCAAAAAACATACGTTTGCGTCTATAAAACTCAAGCGTAATAACCACAGAGAAAGTTAGACCTCATTTGGTATTTTTGCCAATCCATGGTGAGACCTTATTAATCGGTAAAACAAAAACATCAAAAGGGAAACGATCTTCTCTTTCAAAGACAAATGACATGAGATAGATCTTTCTTCTGCCTTTCTTCTTACAACAAATCAAATGTTTCCGAGAATCATCATCAAACCTCAGATGAAGTTACGGATGTCCAAAGACTTCACATCAGGCATTGCCTCATCCTTGAATTCCTCCCTGAGAAATCAATCGCAAAGTTCCATCGTGTTATAACAATGATGAAGAAGATCAAAGATTGGTGATGAGTACACAAAAAGAAAAGAGAGCAAAACTTACTTCTTTTTCTGAGATTCCATTGCTTCAACAGCATCACTCTTCAGCTCATCCAACTGTGCTTTGGCAATGCTCAGCTCCAACTTCTCCTCGTATTTAGGAAGTTCTTCTTTCCTAATCCCAAGCCTGTTCATGTTTAATGAGATGCAAACATGTTATTTCAAAAGCAATGAGAATTATTAGAAATGGTTGGTTGATGAGTGTTGACATGACGCACTTTTTGTTGCCTTTTTCGAATTCTGCAACCAGAAGATCCATTCCTTTCTTGTCGCTTCTCAGGAGAGGCTTCTTAATATCCTTCTCAACTTTCTCCAAAGCCTCGAACATCATGGCCTCAGCACCAAGCTCATCAGTAAGGCCCCTCCTGTAAGATATAGATCAGATAAATGCAATTATAAATTACTTCTACTCTCAGGCATGTAATTGATTAGCATAAGAAGAGCTGAGGCATATAATCCCAAAGAATGACAGAAACTAAGTCAAAGTCTAACACTTGCCTGGTGCGGATGTCCTTGAGCTTCAACAGATATGCACGAGCATCTGGGATCTCTTTAGTCTCGTTCTCAATATCATATTTAATGCGTTCAGATTCAGAGAACATGTCTGCCCTGCACACCAGGAAACACACGAAGCAAGCAAACAAATTAGCACGGCATAAAATAACCCTGACCCATATGAGAAGTTAGATTCAAACCAAGAGATCCTACCAAACGAAGATAGAGACAGCAACATACAACCTAGGAAAATAACAAACATGTATAGAAGGGTAACAAGAGGCTTACTTTTGCCTGATGGTCTTCATCACATTTGCATAGTGTTTTACCGCAGCTGGGTCCTCTGGGTCAAGGGTGATCTTTTCCTTGCGGAGAATATCAACTGCAGCCTGAAATTTGTTCTTGATCTCCGTAAAGACACCCTTCAACATCTCTGTCAAAAACAAAGAAGTGTAAAACTTTAGTCAAAGGAAAAGTGCTCTCAGTTCACTCTAGAATCACTCTACAGATTTCAAATACACAATGAACCAGAAAAAGCAAAGAGATAATTCAACTTCTTCACAAGATTACTTGCAGAAAAAACAGTCCTAACGATCATGTCTTGGGTTTCTTCAAGGTTATACTGCATTGACCAGTAAAGTACTCTTCTTTAAGAATGTGATCATTTCTCTACAAACTTTAAATCGTAAAAGTTTTTACATTTTCTCAACTAGACACCATGATAAAACTCAAAAGCATAGAAAGTTACATTTCTTTAACAATCACATGCAAGATATGACAAATCAAAAATATAATTTTGTTCACTAACCATCTCCTTTAAATACTGGACGAGTAGCAGCTTCCTTAGCAAAGGCGCGGACTGGAATAGCATGGTGCTGTTGCGAAATGACCAGACTTGCCTGTAGACAGTAAGATAAGTTGAAGCTAATCAATGAAATCAGAAAGTTATGGTCTTTCACAAAACACTTTTGGCAAACAATCAGATATCTTCATTTCTAACTGAATTAGCAATCAACGGACAAAATGCCCATCGATATCGTAATCCCAAATCTCCGATCGAGATTGTATAGAAGATAACAGAAATTCGGTTTCAAATACGACGACAACATTGAAATGGAGCACCCCTATGATGTGATTCGGTGATTGAAGGAGTCAAATCAATCATCCCACTCTAACTAAAACTTGTGATAAAGGAATCAAAGCGACGAAGAGAATCGAATCAATCGTGAAGACAGAGGATTCCAAGGAATCAGAAGAATTGAAGGGAGAGAGAGTATACCTGCTTAGATCTGGCGAGGAAACGAGAAGCGTACGCCATTTTTGTCTAATCGAATCTCTGTGGACTTGTCGAAATTAGGGTTTGTGGTGCGTTCTCTGAGATCCCCTATCTGAGCGACGGAGCAGAAGTAGACTAGCATCATTTTACAGAGTCCTGCTTTATTGTGCAGCGTAGATTACTGATCAACGGCTCAGATTTATCCGACTATCTAAGATGGTAAGGTTAGTATTTTTTTTCCAAACGCCTGCAATTTGTTTTTTTTGCTTTTTTTAAGCTTTTGTCAAAAACTCAAAAACCTTTTGAAATACATTTTCTGATTACCAATTAACAAATCAATTTATTAAAAAAAAAAACATCACAGAAAAAATAATCACGTTTCTATTTCTCTAACTAGCATTTTCTGATTATCACCTAAGAAAATTTAATATACATTAGAAATTTTAATAGCATCATATATTATTAAAAACTATATAATATTGTTGTAAATCAAGTTAAGTTGCTAACAACACATCTAGATATACAATAATCGATAACTATATATGTCTAGAAATATGAAAATTATCTATAATTTGATACGAAAATCATTATATATATATATATATTAGGAAGACCTGGTCACTGTAAAGACATTTGCCATGATTAGTCGATATCTTTTGGTAGCGGATATAACGTCAGTCGATGTCTTATTGCATCATCATCAGTGATATGTTTCATCAACTTTTTAATGTCTTGAAACACATCGACACATGAGACATTCCCCCATCATGAGCGATGACAGACTCTCTTGCTACTGAATACTGATAATATTTCAACTAATATTTTGTATTTCAGAAACATTGGTTAAAGAGGACGTGGTTTGATGAAAATGAAGTTTTTAGATGTGGTGAGTTAAGTGCAGTTTCTTATAAATCCCGTGAAAGAAAACCAATTAAATCTACTCAAAAAAATCCCGCGAAGAACTGTTTATTTTGTTTGTTACGTCCCACAAATTTGGTTGAGCCTTAAAAAAGGATCAATCAGGAGAAGTAGTTATGAAGAGAAACATTTCATATGATTGGATGACTCTGAACTCTGAAGAACAACAACCAAAATCTGTTTTCTTTTAAAAACAAAATATCAATGGAAGACTAAAAGGTCGCAAAATACAAAGTGATTTGGATTAAGAATGTAGCAACCGACTCGTTAACATAAATTAAATAAGAATGCTATACATGAATCAAAACACTCAGATCGTTTCATATACCAGTTTCTTCGTTAATAAACCTCTATAATTGATATAAACCAAAATATAATTAGAAAGAAAGAAAAAAAAAAGATTGAAAACAAGAGAGCTGGGAATCCAAATTATTGATCAGATATTCAGATTTTGAAATATGAATCAGCAAGCACAACCTCTTGGTTGCTCCCCAAGAATGTCTGTAACAGATACAGACATGTCTCTGAAATATCTGCAAATTCAAAGAAAACAAAAGTCAAACATGAAGCCTTAAACAAAAAAACTGTTAAGAGTTAAATCTACCTATAAATCCAAAATTCAATGTACGTAGAAACTCACGTGTTGTCTTGTTTACGTTCATTGGAGAGAGCTGTGTGTGCAACACCCAAAAAAGCTTCATCCACATTGATATCCTCCTTTGCAGAGGTTTCATGGTATGGTATGTTTCCCTTTGAGTTACACCATTCGATGGCCTTCTTATCCGCAACCTGAATAAGTGAAATTGCGGAAATTAGGGCTTTTGATAGGTTTATAGAGGAGATTAATCATAAAGAATATCATCTTACAGCTCGGCTGTTTCCACCATCTACATCGGTTTTGTTCCCAATCAAAACAAAGGGAAATGTCTCAGGATCCATAGGATTGGCCTGAAAGATATCAGTTAACGAAGTCGAATCCATCAGCCTTGCGAAAATAAATGCATTGGTAACTGTAACTTCTCTCGCAAGAAAAGGAATGATTAGGGCAAAACCTGTTTGAGGAACTCCGAGTGCCAAGTATTGAGAGTTTCGAAAGATTTGGTATTGTTCACATCGTAGACAAGAACACAACAATCAGCACCTCTATAGAACGCGGATCCTAGACTGTGAAATCTCTCTTGTCCTGCGGTATCCCATATCTAAAACAAAGAGATATTTCATAACATTTTTCAGCATTGAAAAATGTTTAACTTGTGAAACAAGGGATGATTTAAGAATTTACTTGTAAAGTGACAGGTTTTTCTTCAATATGAAGCTCCTTGGTGACGAAATCTGCTCCGATCGTGGCCTTATACTGCCGGTTAAATTTCTTGTACACGTATCTTAAGTCACAAGTTAAGGTTTCTTACAAAGACCCCAATAACATAGATCTAATTTTAAGCTTGGGCATAAAACAAACCGAATATTCAACAGAAAATCAGACCAATTAATAGGTAATTAAGATTTAAAGAGGATACTGGTTCATCAATGAGGTTTTGCCTACACTGCATAAACAAAGATTCAGAAAAGACGACGAGTCTTATTTCTCTTAAATTTTTATTTTATTGTCATATATGAAAAACAGCAAAAAAAACTCTCGATAATCTGAGGAAATTATTACCCGCTATCTCCGAGGACAATGACCTTAAGCAATGTTCTGTTCTTCAAAGACTCCATTGTCGAGAAGCTCAAGAATCTATGAGATTCTTCTTCCTTTTTATTTTCTTTTTGGTTTTAGAGAAGATTCTTCTTTTTTTCTTCTTCTGCTGGAAAAGTTTCTTTCTTGTTTTTGGACAGAGACAAAAACAGAAAAGTCTATGAGATCGGTCTTGATGATCTTTTCTTCTTCTGTCTTCTGGAAAAATAAAGGAAACAAAAAACAGAAAAAAAGGTCCTTGTTCACGTGTTATGATATTGGTTTGATGTGAAGAGAAGCCATGTGAATCCTTTGCCAACTAAAAGCAAATAGTTAGGCCAGCGAATACGAATCCGAATCTAAAAAACCAAGTCCTTTTTTTCAATTAAAGAAACATAGATTTCGCTCTTTTAAACCATTTCGTAGTTTACAGGTAGTAGACGACAAAAATACATCAATCATTTGATTTACAGGAGAATTGAGTTGTCTATTTTTTTTTTTGTTCTGACTAATTTTCAGTAAACTATCTATATTTGGCCGCCAATTCATTAATTAGTTCATGATCGGCAAAACAATTAATTTTAGGATTATGAATTTCTTCTGCAATGAATTAAAAGTCAATGGATACGTGTTTAAAGTTGTGGACATTTCGCTATTTGACAATACGTGTGTGAGTATACTGAATCGGTAAATATACTTATTTTTTTGCCAACAATATGTTACTTTTTGCCACCCTCATTATGGTTAGTCGTTGTGCAAAACTTTGGTAGGATCAGTTTTGTAACTTTCTATTTTCATGACTAACAAAAGACTGACGCCGTAGGATCAGATTCATGATTAACAAACGAAAGTGTGAAATATTTTTTTATTGAAATAGATGGTAGTTAGATAATTTAGATCGGAGATGTCATTTTTAACAGTTAGTGTGATGATTGATAAGGTGTCGACCAGATCGTGCTTGCCTTGACAACTTCTCATCTCTTCGTCGGTCGTTGACATGACAGAACATGTAGCAGCCTCTCAATTATATAATATTCGGTTTTTTCTTATTTATTTATCTAATTTTTGGTTTTGAATAGAAACGGCGTAGTGTTGGGGAGAGTACATACAGTACAGACAGAACAGTAATGAAATTTTATAAATATGAGAGGCCCACTTTGTTTCTGCCGTAATTAGTTTGTGTGTCTATAAATGCAACATCCAAATGCATTATTTTGGCAATGTTTTGTGTGTGTGTGTGTGTCTCAAGCTACATTTGCTTGCTTCAACACTCAAATCCTTAATCCATACCACATGATATATTTTTGTTGGTAATACTAAATACTGAACTTGTTAACTAAAAAATAAAGATATCAAGATATTTGTAAACTGAACTAAAAGAGTCTCATGTACAATTAAAATTAGTTAATATATACAAAATTATTACCTTACCTCACATACGAGATATTTCCATTACACCTCCACCAATCCGGTACATTACAGAACCGACTCTAACAAGGTATATGTAGATACATGTGATGCGGGAATATGATGATCGATGATATATTGATATAAGACTATAGACACATCTATACACAACTTGTACCTATACACACAAACTTGTAAGTCTGATCATGGAGCCGAATGTGAGAAACTATAAGTTTGTGTCTTAAAAGACCAAGTGTTGAAAGAGGTGTGATCAAAGTCGTCTGAATCACAATACACCACTGAAGGGCTTGTGTGGTTGTGTATTCCTTCGTAGGTTGTCAACACATATTCCGGATTGTTCATATCCCTCTCGATCTTCTTCTTTACGACGCAATCTGGGCTCGAACACTTGTGATAATGCCTGTTCCAAATAATTAACAAAACTCACTTAGTATAACTCTATAAGATCCTATAAGATTTGTAATGGTTTGGTTGTAGCATAACGATAACAATATCGTCGTTAATTAATAAGTCCACTTGAAAACAAAGGTATACATACAACAAAGAACTCAAGTATGATAATCTCAAGTGTTAATTGTTATAAGCATATATCACAACTTGTTAGAAGTGGACATATATATGGATCATATAAAGTATAAACAAACGTTTTTAGTTAACAAGTCCAAGTTGATATTCTTTTAATTAGTTTATATTTAGGATCACATGGTCCACGTGAAAATATATATAAGTAACATTAGCAAACACCGAGATATATATAACATATAACGTTGGTGATCGTATATATTGGTGCATGTTGGGTTCTAAACATATAAACATATATATAGAAAATATGCATTTGGACAAGAAACATCTCCTATGAAGAGGGAACAATAACCATATTTTATATTACACAGTACCTACACATGTAAAGTATTAGTGAAGGTTTTTAATATACAAATTCAGATATAACTTATTAATCGAAACTCAGAAACGGGGTGTACTTGCTTCTTATAAGTATAGCGATTATCGGGTTTTTTCCCCTCATTTTCATGTACTAAGATTTTGTATGTAGTAGAAACTCGAAACTCATTAGTTTCAGAAAACTGAAGCTGTTAGTTAACTAAACGGATGAACAAGGTTTTGTGGGTTCTATTAGCTTCATGCAAGTAATTAACCTGTAAAATAAGACAGCCTGCAGGAGTAGATTAATTGTCTCAAGTTGTCCATTTGACACTTAACTATAATTAACGCTTTAAGAGACGCATTTTTTTCTAATTTATGAAGTGGGACACATCATAGCATTTCTCAAACCAGCAAACTATAGCATATGTAAACACTATATATGATCCAAGTTGTATATTAAACTTAAATATAAACTATTATACGTTCTATACGAAGTTAGAATCAACAATTTACCTCGGGTATGGACTACCCCTTATTGGTTTCTTGCCGTATTTTCTCCATTTAAAACCATCGTCCAATGAATGGTCCGCCGATTTTGTTTTGAATACGTGAACGATCGGATCTTCTTTGTTTCTCTTCCTCTTCTTTATCCCATCTTTGTCCCCTCTACACAATAAGTTCAGCATAGTTTTGAATTATATCACTGTTTATAATAACACTTATACACAACAAACTACATGAACATGATAAGATGTAATATATAAACGTTGGCTTACATTTCAAGGCTCATAGGTGAAGTAGCCAGGCTTGTTTGAAGAGTGCTTGTGACTTCTGCGGCCACTAATTTCTCGGATGAAGTCCAACTCAAAGTGGGGGAATGATCCTCGAGGCTGATTTCTTCCATGATCATCTGAAACGCATCATCAAGATAACCAAGATCGTCGAATTCGAAAAGTTCAGAGAATTCTGTGAAATTAGGGTTAGGGTTTGAAGGGTAGTTCATTTTCTTTGTTCAAGAAGGTTTTTCAGTTGCCGGCGTTGAAGCTAAGAGGAGGAGAGACCTATGTTAGGCAAATATGCTGTTTATATAGACAGAAAAATCTAAGGAAAATAAAATTAGATATATATTAAAGTATATTTGTATTTAAATAAATCATAGAATAACCTTCAACGTTACTTTCATGCGTAGATTCAACGAAGCTTCTTGAATGGAATTGCTATAACGACAAGTGATTTTTCTTTATTATTATCCTTTGTTTTTGGGTTAAAAATAAAGTACCCATAAAAGTGGGGAAGTTTACTTTTTCTCATCTTTAAGGTTTTAAAGAATTTTTTTGAAGTGTTGTCCACTAGAATCCTCGAGTAAAAATGCATGTATAACATCACGGGTCCCTTAACAATGATATTACACTTATTAATCGCTTTTGATAAAAGCTAGATCTTAAGTGGATTTAGCTAGCAAAAGAACCAATAGATGATGTGTCCAAAATCTCACCGAAAACCTGACTAACAAGATTAATGATCTTATGCTTTTAACTGTTTAGATATACAACATATCTAAGATCATTGTAATAATGTCTTGACACACACAAAATCGTATGAATTGTTGAAAGTAATTTTTTTGTTAAGAGTTTCCAATCAACTCACATAATTAAGCTATTATGAATATATCAAATTCTTGTTAAGATTATTTAAATTTTGCAGTTGACAATTTGTTTATAACCATGTTTTGTGGACCGGAGTCAAAACTATCATGGATTATAAATGAAATGGCAACTTGTATGCTGTAAATGAAAATCGTTTAGGGACCACGTCTCGTGAGTCTTTCGAACTTTGGCCTGACCAAACTAGTGACAACCGATTTGTTATCACCCCACGACAACTATTAATATTTTAAAGTTTCAGAAGTTTATCGTTTAGCTCAGATTTTATCTTTTACAGATCTTAAACTTATAGGACAAGCAGTTCCATTGTTTTTTTATCTAAAAAATTGTAATACTAATAGCCTTGTAGGGCAAGTAGTTGGAATTTTTAATTAATTATGGTCAAACAAAAACCTTTGCATGCGTCGCTAAATTAGTATAAAATCAAACACCTATCACATTTAAAAGAATACCATAAAGTAAATTGTTACCATCTGATATATACTTTTCTTCTTTTGAGCCAGTGGTTAATTATATCAACTTTTTAACTAAAATGATAATAAATTCCGATCAAAAAGCTTCTGAACATGTAAAGTGCGACTTTTCTATATAGTTGTAGGACGCGCACCTTTTGTTACCAATAATTTCAATTTATAATACAAACTTTATATTCGAAATTCAAGCAACCAATATCTAGACGTATTTGTTGTTACATTAATTATTAATATCTTATTGCAAGTTGAGATTTTAAGTGTATCTTACTTGCTAGTTACTTCATAGGCTCTCTTTTTAACAAGGACGGAGGAAATGACCTCAGAGAGATGACGTCACCCAGCTTACGTCAATTCCCGTTTGTCATTGGTAGGCGGGAGTGGTGAAGGCACAGGGTTGATCAACGAGTCTCGTGATTGTCTCGTGGAAACCCTACTTTTGATGGGACCCACTTTATAGCATATTCCTCGTATTTGATCTTGCTCTAGAAATTTTCAAGTTGGAAAAGATTTGGCTACTTTTTAAGTTAAAGTTCCTAAACCTCTTCGAGGCACTAACTATTGTTGAATTAAATGAACTCTCTCTATTGATTCTTTAAGCTGTACGCCTGTACTAGTATAATTTTAGGGCTCGAGAACTATAATCTTCGAAATTGTGAAAATTAACACTACTAGTACTACGACGTAAGAAAGACCAAATTAAACTATATATATAAAGGTTCGTATAAAAAAAATTGAAAATGGTAACTTTTATCTGGTTAAAAAAAGTTGAAGCGCTTACCACTGATTTATAGTTTTCCATTTTCATGTTTAGAAGACAAGCATTAAAAGAGTTAGTCACTAAAAAAGGAAAAGCTTAACCAATTATTGGTGAAATTTTGTTATCAACTATCTGGATCTTGCTAAAAATGAATATTTACATTATGACTTTTAACATAATAACAAAAAAAAACAAATCCGTCATAAAACATATCTGACACTTTCACATGTTTTAAAGGTTAGTGTACTGTAGTATCCGCTAAAAAGACTTTTGTGACTCCATATATATATCTAAACCGTAGTTTTGCGTTCTAGAATTTTTTTCACTTATTTAAATTGAAATTGTCTACATTTATGTACACACATATGGTCGGTCTCCCATGTTTGACTTAGTCACCTTGACTCATTCGCCTTAAATTTCAAATCCATATCTCCGAGAGAAGAGGTGTGTGTCCTACCAGCATGTCACCGAAGAAATTAATAACTCAGGTTTATATGGTTGAGAAAACCAAAACCATTTCTTCTCATATTTTTAGTTTTATAGGCTGTGTTTATATTTTGATGTAAAATCTAATCTTCTTGAAATCAAAGTATATACTACCTAAATTAGAAATAACTCATCTGGTTCATATATAGTTATATACAAGTGTGTATTCAACAAATTTTAATTATTTGCATGGAGAAAATATGGTGAAAGTTTTTGTTTCGGAATTACCATTGCTGTGAAATTCGTCATTAAACCCATTGATCACAACTGATGATGAACTAATTATAACTCATAAGTAAATTCTGGACAAACAACTCGGTTGACTGAATTTTGAAAATTGTGATTGGCTGACTGTATAAGCCTATAAGGAGCATGTCCTTATACATGAGTATTACTGATAGCAATTTAAGAAAATATTATTTTGCAATATTGAGTTATCACAAAAATTTGATAAGCGAATGTACGTCATACATGATTCACTACTGAGTTCTAGAAAAAAAAATGATTTGCTAAAAGTAGGTGTAATGTAAAATCTAAATATACGAGTCAATTAGAAGTGGCATAAGCACGTCCTTGACCATACAATTTTTAGCGGTCAACTCATTAGATAAGGACAAGAATCAACCAATTATCGTCGTCCACTATTACACAGTTTCATTTTTAATATTCAAACTAACTGACAACATGTTTTGATTGAATTTCCGAATATTTGCGACAATTCAAGTTAGTGCTGGTGAATGAGTTTGGTCAAATGGTTGAAACGGTAAAAACTTTACAACTATAAGTCTACAATAGATCCAAAACCCTAGCGAAAACTTATGACGTGATCTTCATGTAGAAAAAAATTCGCTCTTAATCTTATATAACCGTGATCTTCATGTTCAAGACCTCGATAAAAGCATATTCTTCTTTCTTGTTTCTAAGTTCTAACCTTCCATTTTAGGATAAGAGTAGAGTTTTACTCTCGGCCAGTTATGAAAATCAATACACGCTAAATAATGAATTACATGTCCCACTTTTACACGGTATTATGACTTGAAGCTTTTCTTGGACAAAATTCCTTAAAGCCCACTCGTATTCTTCTCCACCCTAACACACCTATATTTTTCCTTTGTTAATCTTTATGGAGATTGTGGGCTTCTTCCGATGGCATTTAAGGCACATTGGTGAAAATTTAGTACTATGACATTTAAGTTTTAACCTAGGTCGTGTGACCCATTATCCATACCGTACAATGGGTCCAGGGTCCGCCCGCCCATTCTCCATGCCATGGACGTTTGACCGAAATGAAGTTCTGAACCACACCATGACAAAGACTGGAGTTATATCGCCAATTACAAAAGAGGTCATAGTGCCAAATCTCACTTTACTAGCCCTTACTTCATACGCGTCACGTGTCTATGGATATATCATATATATGTGGGTCTCCAATGGGCAATGCTCCACTTAAACAAAATAGTTGGTCTACATATTTATTTAATTTTCAACTAGAAGGTATTTTGTACAGGATATTGATGAAATAACAATAGAAGCTAGAGTAACAAAATTATTGTATTATTATTAATTTGTTGTAAGAATTAAAATTTATCAAAAAAATTAAAATCACCAAAATATTATATTTTAAATTTATTTTCGGTCTCACTAATCTAACACAACTACACAACTAATCTAAGAGGGATGGATTCGATTCTCCCTCACTACCTGAAATATTTTTCTTTTTTCTTTTTCTAATCTAACACAACTACACAATATGAAAATTATTAATATTATATTAATGAAAGACTTGAAGAAATATCTCACTTGCTAGTTCTCTAAGTTTCTTCTGTACCATGTTATAAATATATGAATCAAATTAAGCTTCTGTCTCTATATCCTTTGGTGATTTCCAAGAAAAAATAAACCTTTTCCATCATGGCTTACATAGGCTTACTTGAAATCTTAATAGCTTTCCTTGTGTTTATCTTCTTCCATTTCTTGATCCACAAGAAACCCCATCAAAACTTACCTAGAAACTGGCCTGTTCTTGGGATGCTTCCCGGTGTGCTCGTCGTGCTCCCCCGGATTAATGGCTATCTCGCAGAGATTCTCGAAGTCTCCAACTTAACTTTTGTCTTCCAAGGCCCATGGTTCTCTGGAATGAACATGTTGATCACTGCGGATCCAGCAAATGTTCAACACGTTTTCAGTTCCAACTTCTCCAATTATGACAAAGGATCAGAGTTCAAAGAGATTTTTGACTTTCTAGGAGAAGGAATCTTCACTGCTGACTCAAAACTCTGGGAAGAGATGAGGAGATCCGCACTGGTCATGCTTAGCCATCAAGGGTTTCAAAGCTTCTCACTGAAGACCGTCACCAGTATAATCAAGAACGGGCTTGTGCCAGTTCTTGATCATTTTGCAGAGGTGAAAACAGCTTTCGATTTACAAGACGTGTTCCAGAGGTTAGCATTCGATGTAACCCTAACTCTGGTAACAGGTTACGATTCCAACACTCTTTCCATTGAAATGCCGGAGAACGAGTATGCGAAAGCTATGGATGATGCTGAAGAAGTAGCTGTGGTTAGACATGTTAAGCCTATGCTCTTGTGGAAGCTGCAAAAATGGTTTGGACTCGGAGAAGAGAAGAAGATGACAAAAGCTAATGCTGCTTTTGACAGATCTTGTGCAAAGTATATAGCTGCAAAGAGAGAGGAGATAATAAATCAGAGGATTCATCAACACTTTAGTATTGGAGAAAAAGCTCATGATGAGGATTTATTAAGCTTCTACATGAAGTTAGATACTTCCAAGTATGAGCTTTTGAACCCAAAAGACGATAACTTCCTCAAAGACATCATCAAGAGTTTCATGCTTGCCGGAAGAGACGCCATTGCAACAACTCTCACTTGGTTCTTCTGGCTTCTCTCCAAGAACCCTGACGCTGTGATCAAGATCCGTGAAGAGATCAACACAAATTCACCACGTTCCGGCAAGAGTTTGGATCCAGACAAGTTAAACAAGATGGTATATCTACATGGTGCATTGTGTGAAGCATTAAGGCTTTACGCTCCAATCCCTTTCGAGCGGAAGTCTCCCATAAAGCAAGATATGCTTCCAAGTGGACACAAAGTAGATGCAAATTGGAAGATTCTGTTCTCTGTCTATGCGTTGGGGAGAATGAAAGCCGTGTGGGGAGAGGACGCGTGTGAATTCAAGCCAGAAAGATGGATCTCGGAGAGAAATGGAGGCTTAAAACATGAACCTTCTTTCAAGTTCTTTGTGTTTAACTCTGGCCCAAGAAATTGCTTGGGGAAAAATTTATCTTTCTTGCAGATGAAGACAGTGGCTGTTGAGATCATACAAAACTATGACATCAAGGTCGTTGAAGGGCACAAGATCGAACCAGCTTCTTCAATAGTCCTTCACATGAAACGTGGCCTCAAAGTCACAATTGCTAAGAGAAGCTTGGTTTCATAAACTCAATGGAAAAAATCATTGACCTGTTGTAATAATTCAATAGTTCATCCCCTATGTATTTGGGAAGTAAATTTCCCAAAAGTATTGATGTGTTAGTCTCTTTCTCCTAAAAAAAAGAGAACTTTATATTATATTGTTTTGTAAACCGTATAGAAACATGTAATTTTACTTTTCGAAACGATATTCTCTATATAAATCATATATTAGTGCATATCAAAATATTAATTTCTATATATAAAATCTCAGATAACACAAATTTTGATTCACTAAAACAAAAAACAAATGTGGCTGCTGGGATTCGAGCCCAGGTCTCCACGGCCACAACGTGGAATTCTTACCACTAAACTACAGCCACTTTTTTAAATGTCAACATGTTCAGATATATGTTAAAACTTCAAAGACTCTTACAAGCTTAGAGTGTTTTGAAGACTTTAAGACAAAGGGACTATCTCAATGAAACAGAATTAGTTGGAGTTCAAAAAACGTAGATTGTAATATCTAAAGGCTCTAATTGATCAAGAAGACATGTCATCGATCGGGAAGGATATATGTGGAGAAGTGTGATGATGGGAGGAGTATTTGCATAGTATGGAAAGAAAAGAACCTATACATATTGAAAATGAAATGATTAATTACCTTATGGTCGGTCCATCTTTATTACTTTTTATGAGTCAATGGTATTACAAAATTTAATTCGTTCATCTTGAACCCAAAATGAAATTAAGAATTCATGATTTCATTTGAATTCTTTGAATCCATCACTTATGTCAAAGTCTTCTCTACCACGTGCACAATATTGATCGGCGCCCATCATTTATGTCAGAGTAACTTCTTCTACCATGATCTGCATCTTGAGCCTGATTATCGCCGGATGACTTGTCGAAGCTCCACATCCCCATACCTAATAATTTCCCATAAATCCTTTCAAATAAAGTCGCTATCAGACAGTTTTTGCATCACCGTGTTTTCGATTGGATCATTCCATACACATGCACAATAAATTTACACGCTCAACTAAAGAAATGAATGCTCTCTTTGCGCCAAACCCAAAAACAAGTTTAACCTCTCTTAAAAAAATATATTTACGGTTTAAAGAATACTAGGGTTTGACCCGCGCCCTGCACGGGTGATGGTTTCTGAATTTATATTTTATTAAAAGATTTTTTTTGGTAATTTATTAAAAGATGTCTATTTAAATATCCCAAAATTTTATGTGACGGGTTTTTAATCTTTGTTAGATTATTGCCCTCGTTTATTCGTTTATAATATGAAAATTAAGCATTTTAAACTATTTTTTAAAAAGGTAAATAGATTAAAGTCTTGAACGTAGCCATATATTAAATATGATAGATTTAAGCAAGATACATGAAACTCAAATGACTGCAGTATAATAAGTTAGTTTAAAGAACAAAAAAGTGAAAATAAAACATTATTCTTTACAAAAATGTATACTGTATTTCATAAGATAAGAAGTCTTAGCTGTGTGCACACAGATTATAATTATTATTATTTTCTTTCTTTTAAAACTAAAACACGGATTAAAATCAATTTTTTTTTCTTTTTTCAAAACTAAAACATGGATTAGAACTATTTTTTTCTTTCTTTCAAAACTAAAACATGCTTTATTATAATTTCAAAACAAATCAACCAATAAGAAGACAATCTGCATGATCTAAATTGTTAAAATAACAAAAATATAATTAACTTTATATTGAAAGTTGAAATAGATGGAATAATTGTTACACTAAATGAGGTTATATACTAAACAATTTACATTATTTTGTTTTAAAAAATTCAAATCATAGCATATACAGAAAAAAAATTAGATTTTCTTTATTAGTTTTTTTATATTGTGATTCATATTATTTCATAAAATAAAGTTGAACAAAGATGATAGGGGATATATAATGATTTTTAAAAAAATATTATGATAGAATTCAATTGAATTTCATAACTTCCTTATTTACTTATTTTCGTAATTGTCAATTAAGGAAAGAAAATAATAATAAATGGATGGTAAGCATAATATGCAATGGCACAATTTGTAATTTCTCTAGTAAAGCTTGTCTTAATTAGAAATTGGGCTGAGAGTGAACCTGGTGATGACACATCAGCAGTGGCACTCTTGTTAATAACACAATGGACAAAGGTTATTTAGTTAGTGTTTTCTCTTTTAATATATTAGGGATGTTTATTTCTCTCGTAGATTGTAAGATTCTATGTGAATGATACACGAGATATTGATAACTTTGGCCTTAGATGGTGACACATATATCCTTCGTGGTCTTTTCTGACATAATAATTATTTGAAATGACAACACAATCACTTGTGAAAATAATGGTCTCTGGACTTTCGTGGCTATTTGCATGTATGCCTATTCGAAAACATAAGTCTAGTCTCCAATATTTAGCCATGGAATAGCTACTACTTGGCCAACCGATTTCAAAACCTTTTTTTTCGCGGTGCCCACAAAAACGGGATTGTTAAGTGAATTATTCACCAAAGAGTCGTAGTTTTCCATGTTAACATCCATTTATATATAAATTCAATCTTCTTAGAAACATGCAAATGATTTCATCAAAACATATAAATTCAACTTTTATTGATCATATAAAAAAAAAAAAAGAGAAATCCTTAAACATCATCATGATTCACGCTACATCACATCATTCACTATCACTGATTAAGCTATACTCAAAATTAAGAAGAATGAATTTGTAATTTAAGTAATCCCAATACACTTTGAAATCTTCGCCTGCTTTGAGGTCTAAAACTTGCCTCACAGTACTCCACCCAGATCCGAAATAATAATTTTCTTTGTCATTGTATTTTAAGACAACAAAGTGTGACATGTTTTTAACAATGTCTAAGACTTCGAATTTAACACCCTTTCGCAGACAATCATCTGTAACATTTCTCATCTTTCTTAAGACAGAGAGCATTTGGCTTTTCGGTATTAACATCCGACAGTAACTTTTGTTAACATCACTATTTGATAGCCTTTTTGATATGATCATATCAGGGTCTAATCGGAAGCCGTCCATCTTAAACTTTGAACTAATAATGTATATAAGAGGTTCAAGGAGAATGTAAACTAATTAGCAAAATACATATGTTATATACTAATATACAGTATCTTGCCTAGAGTAATATTAATTACTTTTGTATATATTACATAACTATAAATCTCCTCAAAAAGGCTCTGCATTTTTATAGTTTTAATTTACTGATTTTATCTTTAATAATTTTACAAATTTGAGGGATAGCTCCCTAAAGAGCTTTTCTTGAATTTAGCATTATCACTAACATGTATATGAAACTAGTTATATGTATAACTTAATAAGTGAGAAAATCTCTAAATTACTACAATAGAATTAAAAAATTTCTTTTTACGCGTTTAACTTTAAATTTCTAGAATTTTAAACAAAATTATTACTTTAAATTACAAATACATAATCTCTAATTAACTAATTTATAATCTCCTACAGGGACGCGTTTTTTAACTTTTAAATCTAGGTAAAATTTCTCTATTTGTCCATGTAATCTCTTATTAACTAATTCGGCGGTAGGCCCTATCCGACTGCTCAGCGCCTAGAAAACTCTTTGACAAGAATTAAAATAGATGTGTTTTTTTTATCAAAAACAAATTACAAAAACTACAAGTGTATTAGTGGTATAGTAGTACCTCTGTGTTTTGGTCTCTTAAGCCTAATATATTTTTTGCTGGTTTGAGAGAGTATCTAGGAACAGTTGCTCAGATTAGAATGTTTCTTCTTGGGATCTTGTAAAGTCCTAAACTCTGTTTTTCATTATCTTGGAGTAGTTACAAAAATGACAAAAAAAAACAAAAAAGTGTATAGCAATGAGCCAATGACCGTTGCATCATGGATCATTGAGAGCACATTTTACAAGGTAGCAATAATTGATTGTCCAGCTCGTTAGTTTAGGCCCAATAGCTATATTTTCTCTTTTATTTTCATAATTTAAATCGCGCCAAAAAAAAAAGAAAAGCATTCAACGTTTCTGACAAGTGACGACAACTGATGACGCAAATGGTGTGTTTCTTTCGATTCTTAGAATTTTCTCTTTCTTCTCCCAGGGGAAAAAGAAACAAAAATTGAGTTACATTTTTTCATCTTCTAAAGTTTGGGTTTTTCCGAAGACGAAAAGTGTTTCTAGGGTTTGAAAAAAGGGATTCAAAAACCCAAAAAGGTTGGATTTTTTTCCTTTTTTTATCTACAACACTATGGGGAAAGATGAAAGTAATTTACTGAGAAATTGTGAAATTGAGGTCTCTTCTGATGAAGATGGCTTGAAAGGAGCTTGGTTTAAAGCAATCCTCGAAGACGATCCAAAAAGGCGAAAGAAAAAGTTGAATGTCCGCTACTCGACTTTGCAGGCCAACAATGGCTCACCTCTTCTGGAAACAGCTTACCGGAAATTTATCCGGCCAGTCCCGCCGGAAAATCTCTTCTCCACCGGCGATTTTGAGGAAGGCTCAGTAGTGGAGGCTGCTCACAGAGACGGGTGGTGGACTGGTTTGTTTGTCAAGAAGCTAGATGATGACAAGCATTTGGTTTTCTTCGACTCTCCGCCAGATCTAATCCAGTTCAAGAGAAAACAACTCAGACAACACTTTAAATGGACAAAAGGGAAATGGATCAAAGTCAAACCACAGAACAAGGTACGAGGTTTTGATTAACCCTTTTGGATCTTTTGTGTTTCCTCTGTATGTTTCTTCTCAGTTTTGTTTGATTTTTTGGTTTTGTGAAGGAAGTGAGTAACAATTCTAGCTTTAGTTGTGGAACAATGGTGGAAGTCAAGGTGAAATGGAATGGTGTTATGTGGATTCCGGCAATAGTTGTTAAGGAGACGGATAACGGTCGGACTTTTATTGTCAAGTCTTGCAAGTACTTGAGCTGGAACGATGAGACCAAACCGAACAGAACAGTTAGTTCGCGCAGCATCAGGCCTGTACCGGATCCGTTTTGTGTCGAAA